TTGTTTTTATTTAGTGTAGAGAAAGCGTATATACTCGTATAGCCCGTCTATAGACACCATAGAGTATAAGCACGGATTAATATTATTTGAAATAGGGACTCATTGTTAAGAATATGACCTACTTTGAAACAAATGCAGCCGTGAGGTATGATGACACCTGATGACACATAAAATAGCTAAGTTATCCGTGTAAGAGATACTGAGTATAAGGCAACGTAGTGATGCTAATATAAAGTTCATAATAAGTTATTAAGCTGGGGTCACATAAGGTGATGGAGCTCCGATATCGCGACCCTTCGTTCACGTATTTATAAGGTTATCGCTTCTTTTCAATGTTATACGACATTTAATTTAATTTACTGGACATTTAAATGTTTATACAGTATCAGCGAGGTTGACGTGTAAAAACATTACTTATACCAAATGTAATAATTATACTAAAATATTTTTTAACGGATAATTCAATACATCTAGCGTTTAAATTACTTACCTATATTTTTAAGTACATCTCATAATCATGAATGTTTCAACATTCATTATTCTGTCGATAAAAAAAAAACTTTTTCATTGCAGTCAGAAATATATTTAAGTCTGAATTAAATCTAGATATATATATAGCTTTCAATAAATAAATATAATTAGTGAAATATACCTTATGTGAAAATATTTTTATCCCCCGATTATGCAATGATTTATTCTTTTCTGCCCATATGTTAAAATGCTTAAAGTAATTGTAATGCTTAATTACCTCTATCTGCTTTCCTTTTATGCTTTAAACCAGAACACAATGCAAAGATGGTAGAATCGCACATTCCGAGGGACGAGTACTGGATACTGAGACAGGCTTCGTGCCTAGTTTAGTCTCCAGTCTCACAGAAACTTAATTATATCCTACTTTATGAACCATGCTTAGATTATGATGTAGGATTGTGGAAGAAATAAAATATTGTTATTATATCACAACGTCATAATTTTATTAGATCATCATACTAAAATGACAACATACTCAAAGCAGGCAGTCGTTTTAATATGTTAAATATTATTACGTAATATTAATTGTTATTTTTTTTTTATTAAATTAAATATTCTTTTACAAAGTTTAAACAACTGTGCGTGAATGGGATTTCGATCTCGACTTTTTTCTTTTTATATAGAATTTTATATTCTGTATAGAAACGATTTAGAAAACGGAGCTTATTTATGTAATCTGCGCATTAATCTTATGACATCAGCGTCAGAGGGTGGTTGATATGAATGGACGGCGCAGAATTAGTTGAACTTTTGTCTCTTGTTGCTCCCATGCGTTGCACTAGACATAAACCATTATCACATGTAGGTACCACGCCATACTACTAATTATGACGAAAATTATTTATTTGTCAGATTACCAAGTACCTATAACAATATCTTTTCTAACATTGATCTCTTTGTAGGGTCGAAACTAAAGTTTAAAAACAAGATAAAGCGTCATATAGTGACACTGTGTAATTAACGTTTAAGTTCGTTGTCCGAGAATTTTTTATTTATTTCTTTATTAAAGAAATAAAAGTTTAAATTTTCTTAAATTTTGATTTGTTTTAATTTCGATTTATTTTCAAATTGCAAATTTTTTGCCTAGTGTTATTTTCAAATAATGGGATGCGCGAAGGCTTTGTTAATTTCTAAACTTTATTAGTGGCAGTGTTGCTGTAGTTTTCAATAGTATTGTTTATTTTTATGTTTCCTTCGCTTGTATTGTATTTTCATTTGTGCAAACTTTAGTGGCTGTTAAATTATTATTTACGTGTGTAAAATTATTATATGTATTGTTATAGCTGTCTGTTTGCTTTAAGGGGTTATATACAGTTAATTTTTTCAAAAAATCGATTTTTTTTTTATTTTATTTTCTGATTCTACATATATTCAAGAATACACACAAGAAATTTCAAATCGATCCGGCAAATATTTTCGAAGTTACACGCATATTTGTAACGACGTCTCGGAGCGCTTGGGAGTATAAGGCCGGAGCGGCATCGACTACCTGAGCGCTGTCCCTTTCATGCATCTGTCTATTGTAAGCATTCCCCTTCTAAAGTGTTTAGATGTGTAAATCAACAGTGTGATTATTTTATTTTATACCTGAAAAGTGAGTTTATATTTTTTCGACCCTAAAGTGGAACATATTTAAGAGTGGTAGTCAGTATATGGAGCCAAGCCAAGCTGTAAACTTGTGAGATCGTTTATTTTTTTGTGTGTAATTTCCAGTGAAAATGAAGTCTTCCCGAATAATGAGAAAATCTCATAATGTACGTAAGTCGAGAGTAAAAAAACGTAAAAATGTTTTCAACCCAAAAACAGCTGAAACAGATGAAAGGAGTTTCAGTGCCTCGGCGAAAAAATTTAAAGAGCAAGAGGAAATCTCCGTCACACGTGATCCGTCTGTTGAGTATCGCATACTAAACTTCATTACTGTTTTTGCAGCAATTGCTGAATATGTAAAGTGTAAAGTCTGTGACGGAGATGTCAAGTTTCAAACAACTTCTGAACGAGGACTTGGTTTTCAAATAGTTGTGCTGTGTGATAAGTGTGCCGACCGTAGCGTAAATTCTAGTCCGTTCGTCACGCATTCTTATGAAATAAATCGACGATTTTTATTTGTCATGAGAGTTCTCGGATTAGGATTGAAAGGTGCAGCAAAATTTTGTGGATTAATGGACATGCGAGCTTTTATATCACAGCCAACTTATGATTTGATAATAAATAACATTCACTCCAGTGTAAAAATAGCCACTGAAAAACTTTTTGCACAGGCTTGTACCGAAGAGAAAAATTTGACTTCCGATAATCAAGGTAACGAACATTCAACAGAATTAACTGTATCTGGTGATGGCACATGGAAAAAGCGAGGGTATACTTCCTTGTACGGTGTGACCTCTTTGATTGGATATTATTCAGGTAAAATAATAGATATAGTTGTTAAAAGTGCCTACTGTAAACTGTGTGAAACTTGGAAGAAGAAACTTGATACAGAAGAGTATAATGAATGGTACGAAGAACATAAAAATACTTGCACTGCAAATCATGCTGGTTCCTCAGGGAAAATGGAAGTTGATTCAGTCGTTGAAATGTTCAAACGTTCATTGGAAAAACTCGGAGTCATCTATAAAAATTATATCGGAGACGGTGATTCCAAAACGTACTCGGGAATTTTAAAGGTTAAACCTTATGGTGATGAGGAAGTTGTAAAGAAAGAATGTATTGGACATGTACAGAAACGAATGGGTACGAGACTTCGAGATTGTGTAAAAAAAAATGTTGAGACTGTTGAGAATGCGAAAGGAAAAAAAATACAAAAGAAAACTCTCGGTGGAAAAGGAAAACTCACTGGAAAGATGATCGATAAGTTAACAGTTTACTATGGCTTAGCAATACGTAGAAATTGTGATTCCATTGAGAAAATGTATAATGCTATCTGGGCCACATATTATCACTATTGTTCATCTGACCAAAAACCTCAGCACGACAACTGTCCGAGTGGACCAGACTCATGGTGCAGCTGGCAGAGGGCTGCTGCTGCCAATGAAGTATCTACTTTCGAACATGATTATGAGCCACTACCTGATGATGTTGCTGAAGCTATACGTCCGATTTTTATAGACCTCAGCAATAAAAGTTTATTGGAAAGATGTGTCGGTGGTTTTAACCAAAACAACAACGAGAGTTATAATCAACTGATTTGGAAAATCTCTCCCAAAATTGTTCCGGCAGGCTCGAAAACTGTAGAAACCGCTGCATACATAGCTGCTGGCGTCTTTAATGAAGGAATGGCTTCATTATTATATTATATGAATGCAATAGGAATTACACTTGGACCCAACGCACATTTATATGCCGAAAAAGAAGATGAGCAGCGCGTGAACATCTCCGACCGCAGAGCGCGCGATAGCACCCGAGATGGAAGAATGGCTCGCAGACAACATCAGCTCGAGTTATTGGAAGCTAATGAATCAGCAGAAGGTCTCTTATATGGGCCTGGAATAGATGACACCATGTAAGTTGAAAAAAAAAATTTTTTATCCCATGTAAAGTGCACTCAAAACTTTAAACGCGTTTTTCTCGAAATGGTGTTTTCAAAGTCGGTGACCACTGTAACTCGAAAACGGTTTCTCCGATTCGTCTAAAATTTTGATACAAGCTTCTTAAATATATTTTTCAGTTATTAATCGAAGCTTTTATTTTTCCAATAAAAACTTCGATTTTTTATAAACAATTTAAAGTTGAAATTTTGGTGAAAAATCGACTTTTTTTTTGAGAAGGCGCCATTTTGACAAAAAATTTTTTTTTGCTTATTCCATCGATTAATAATTGAATTTAACATTACTTTAACTAAATCTTTTTATTTTTTTAATTTCAGATGATCCAGTTCAGAGATAGAGTGGTCACCGCAAGACGTCTTTTTTTAGAGGACCTCCTGGAGATCGGCTGTAGCTCTTCTCCAGAGAAATATTTTTACTAATAATAAGCACTAAAATGTTGTTGAATAATACCATAATAAGTATGTAAACTTTTGGAATCAATAAATTTTAACGGCTTCTCAAAAAAAATTCCTAAAAATTCGCTTTTTTTCGACCCATTAACTGTATATAACCCCTTAAATAAATAAATATATTTATTTATATATATGAGTCAATATGAATACGAACGTGTACTTAATTGTTTATCTACAACAATTTTCAATTTTTCTGCGTATAATTACATTTCTGTTTTGCCAAAGCTTGATTGGGAGAGAATGCTATATAATATTAAATCCTATTTTAGTCCAGACATTTTTTGAATATAGAATAAATAAATATATGTTATATACAGGGCGATTGTTTGGCATTTATTTGCGTGACCTATAAGAAGACCAAAAAGAAAATCCCAGGCCCGAGAAACTCTAAAAATGTTCTATTTACTTTTTATTACGCTTAATAAATATGGGACACAATTAATTATTGCTATCATTATTTTTTATTCCCCAGAGACTATGGTGGATCGCGGCGGTGTTACTCGTGTGCACACCATACACACATTGTCGGAATGTTACGTAAGTACCTACCTATTAAAAATATGTTTTATGCAAGTTTAGCTTGTAACGTACCCAGTTAAAAGCGACTATTTTCTGTTTAAGTACCTTCTGTCCAATTATTATCGATCTTACACAATTTGATTGACGAACAACTCGATCCGTCATACTTAAGAGGTAAGTACTTCAATAATTCATATGATCAGTTTAATACATAAACGACGATTTACTTTATTAATTTACTAGCTGTTTCCCACGGCTTTGCCAGCATGAATTATACTAAAAAGTAGCCTATAATATGTTAATTCTGTTTATGGTCCATTTTAATATCAAATTTCATTCAAATTCATTCAACCGTTAAAACCTATTTGAGTAACAAATATCCAAACAGCTTTACAAACTTTCATATTTATTATATTAGTAGGGTATAACAGCTATAATGCTAAGTATTAGGGTTCCGTGACAAAATGAGGAAACGTGCCCTTTATTGCTGTCATACTGTTGCCAAAACTCTACGTACAACCACTCTTTGGAATCAACTTCCAGCAGCAGTATTTCCGAACTGATACGACAACATAACCTTCAAGAAAAGAGCATATTCCTTTTTAAAAGGCCGGAAGCATACCTGCAATGTTATTGGTGTTATGGGTGACCATGGGCGGCGATAGTCACTTACCATCAGATGAGCCGCATGCTTGTTTGCCCCTTGTGTTGTAAAAAAAAAACCTTTAAAATTCTTCAAACCGTTTGGACTACCCTTTGAATGAAAGAACTGAACTTACATGGATTATATATGTACGTATGTATATATCTGAAAACCATTATCTTCATTTTTAGCAGTCGAATATTAAAAAGCAATACAAACCTTGTTTCTTTATATATATATATATATATATATATATATATATATATATATATATATATTTTATATATATATATTTTAATTTCAGCACGTTTGACCAGTATCATCTAGTCAAAGATGTTGTACGAGTATATATTTTCTTCTTCTCTTCATGATATCTTCAATGCTAAGAATCTCAGAGTCATCATCATCATTATACCAGCCATTATCTGTCCACTACTGAATCTAGTCCATCCCTATTGCAAAGTTTTGCCAATAGTTGCCATACTTGACAAGCGAAATGTCAATCGCAGTTAAGCTTTTGGCGATGTTTTAAAACGGATGCTATTGCCTATCCCTCGACCATTAAGTTCCCTTAGTCGCCTCTTACGACACCCACGGGAAAGAAAGAGTTGGCCAATGCTATGCCGGGATCATACGGCAACGATCTCGAAGTAATCTAATAAAATAGATATCTGTTATCATAATCATATTGATGACATTCTTTTCTGCCTATACAGTCCAAGCTTCGTGAACGATGGATCCACTAGAATTAACCACGATGTTTTTCAGGGGGAACCGCGTGGAGGTCGACCTGATAGGGTGTCAACTTTGCCAGTTATTATTATTTATTTGTCCTACTTCCTAATTCCTACTCTTATTATAAAAGTCAAATATATACATACATATCGGTCAAGCCTAGCGCCTGTCTCCCATTAGGGTAGACAAAAAGAATGGAACGCCAAATGCTTCGATTCAAACAAACCTCTTTCGCCTTCTCTACATTCATTAATCTTTACATACACATGGTAAATTTCTTTCGTAATTCATATTTCATCCATCCCCTCCAAATGACCAAACTAACACATATTAAACTAAATTACATTTCAAACTTAAATCAATGTTTTATACTTTAAATGGATTTGAAATAGATTTTGTACATATTTAACACAGCCTATTTTTTTCACACGAGCGATGCTATAGAATACAGTTAATTTATCATAACTATTAACTACATACATAATGCATGCAATATCCGGTCAACATTCTGTCCCAGCCAATCTTTTTCTTTCACGAAATATTGCGATGTTCGATGGACAACCTATTTCTTTTAAAAGACCGACACGCACTTGACTAGTTTTTATTATCTTCTCCAAACGCCAAACTGAAGTGCATCTGTAAATACATTCTCTAGTATTAATTTTCATATAACATGTTACAGAAGACCAGTAATCACGTTTCCTTTCATTTAAGCTTTTAAGACTATATCTATGAATAGAATAAACATTTCGATTTTCAAGTAGGTCGTCGATCTTTTTAGATGATATTCTGGGATTTTTATTAACGCCCGGGCGTTTTATTGGATAATAAATTCTTTTATTATGGTTATTGATAATGTTTTTACTTGATCGTTGTAATAAGGTTTATTTAGTATTTAGAAAAAAATAATATAATTAAAATGTATGTTACTAATGGATTCGTTTAATAAACGGAATAATTTAATGTTTAGTCTTAAGGTATATTACTCGAAAATGTATACACAATGAAAACATTGTTCGGACTTGACACATAGATTCTATTTGCAACCGACTCCAAAAAAAGGAGATTTTCAATTCGGTTGTAATTTTTTTTGTTTATTACATACGTAATAACTCGCATTAGGTCTAAACCGATTTGGATCTTTTTATCATTTTTATTTGCAATATCTATATACTTACAGATTGGTCTCATAGACATTTTATTAACATTGGTTTAGCAGTTTAGTTTAAAATCAAAATAACTGGTTTTATCATATAAACAGATAGACAATTATTTAAGGTTTTGTTCTACTAAAGAAGGACTTCAATGTTAAAACAGAAGTAATTGATTGTCAAGATAATAATCAATATCGATTCAAATTTAACAAAGATAACCCTAATAACCTAAGAACAATAAGCATGTTATGCCTGTAAATAAATTCGTACTGCATATTTCTGAATTTGACAATAATAATTCAGTTAATCTATCCAACCGATTTTGATAATTCTTTTTACTATAGAATATGTTGTTTCCGAGACATAGGACTGATCCTATGTCTACTATTTTTGTCATTATTGAAGTAATTTTTGTAGGAACATTATACCAGACAAAGATACAAAATCATTCTGTAACTTTGTCCAGGTATCGCATAATAACCATTGAATCGGTTTTGATAAAACTGTTCAGTAGCTGCATCTCTATGGACAGCAGCTACCACTTTCAGTCATTGCTGTATTTTTTTAATGGATGATAATGGAATGGTAATCCCGCCTGCGCTTTCGGTTTACGCTGGCGGGGCATCAGTGAGAGATGATAGATGAGAACGAAAAGGCAGGTCAGTTAGCCCATCGTGACAAATTCACCAATGGATCAACCACGATGATTTCCAAGGGGAACCGCGAGGAGGTCGACCTGATAAGGTATATTGCTAGAAATAGGTTTTTTCTTAATGAGTGATAATGGATTGGTAACCTCACCCGCATTATTGGTATTCACCGGCAGGGCACCAGTGAAGGATGGTAGGTGAAGATGAAACAGGTCAGTTAGCCCATCGTGACGAATTCGACGAGAATTGTTCACGATTGTTTTCAGGGAGAACCATGTGGAGGTCGACCTAATAGGGCATATTGATAGCAATGAAGTTGTCAAACTCCATTGCTAACAATCCCTTTCTCCCACGCTAAATAGGGTTGCTATTCCCCATTACAAACGACCCCTTTTCCCCCTTCATTGCTCTACTAGGCTATCAGTGCAGCTTGTTACTAAACAATAGAATTATTATTATACGAATTTTGTGCATTATCATTTATATACACACTTGCTCACGATGAGTGGCAGAAATTACATTATGCGTCTAGAATCTAGAACTCGCGCCTAATAATAAATGCTTGTAAGCGTCACTTGTCTGCATTTCCTTGAATTTTCAGTATTCGGTTGCATCTACGTTTATAGAACGCCTAATCTATTTAAAGAGCATTCACTCGATATGTATCTATGTGCATACTCCTTTATTTATACCCAACAATAACCTGCAACTTCATATAAGTGGCATGGATTAACTAAACACTACATAATTGATTTCTTAATCTGTTTTCAATTTTTCTGAACAATTTTACTTTTTATGATAAAAAATATAATGTCTTAGTAAAAATAATACGAGTATAACGTATTTCTACCTATTAGATGATACGCTTATACATTGAAATCAAATGCTTTTTGTCCCACCTGACAATTTCTATGCATTCTTTTTTTTTTTTTTTTTTTTTTTTTTTTTTTTTTTTTTTTTTTTTATACTACTTAGAATGGCAAACAAGCTGACGGCCCACCTGATGGAAAGTAGTAACCGTCGCCTATAGACATGAGCAGTACCATGGACATAATAGAGTATACTGTTTCGCCCATGATACCCCCCATGCGTTGCCATTCCTGAGGACTCAGGTGTTATTCCTCTGTACCCAGTAAATTCACGCCAATTCTTCAGTGCAGACTATCTCTTATACTAAGTCGCTACTGAGATGTGCTATTTTTTGAAAAATAACAGCAATATACATACAGTCCGCCTGATAGAAAGGGTGAGCCCCTTTACAGCCCTCATACTTTGTGCCATCAGTAGCGTTGTAACATGAAGGTTACGCGTCACAGAACCCAGCAGTTTCACTGTCATATTTCCCCGTTCAAACTGGAACACAGCATACCAAGTTGCTTGGTAGCAGATGGGCAAGTTAATGATTGTATGTCTTTACTCCCAATCCTTACTAATGACGATGCCATATCTTTTTATGATACTTAGAATTACAAATACGCTAACGGTTCAAAGTGATAACTGTTGCTTATTAAACGATCAGTACTATCATCATATCACCGTTAACTCTCCACTACCAAACACAGGCTTCCCTCTATTGGGGGGTTTTACCAGTAGTTGCCATGCTTTGCAGGCGGATCGACAATCGCAGTTAGACTTTGGTGATAATAACACAATAAATATCACAAAACACACTGAATTGCCTTTAAGACATCTTTCTGTTTACTCTTTATTGTTTCCTCTAAAAGATTGCAGTAGTATCTAATTACCTACTACCTACCTTGTTATTTAAGTATTCTATTTATTTTTTCAGACACGAAGACATCCGAGACGCTATGATGTCATTAGTACATATGTTCCGGGTATCAGAAGACAAACTGGAGCGACATGAGTACAGGGAAAAGGCGTTAGGCGAACAGCTCAAGCGGACCCTCGCAGGTCTTGATAAGAAACACAGAGCACTGGAACCATTAAAGGGCATGATCTCGAGACTGGATGAGCGGTTGTCTAACGTGGAAACCATTTTATTGCAGGTATATATTTCTTTATATATCCGACAATAGCAAACAAAATGACGGCCCTATTGATAAGAAGTGGACATCACAAAGTACATTGTGTACCCCGCAAACGTTACCATTTCTAAGGACTAACGTGTAAGTGTGTCGGTCGGTCAGTCGGTGCTCAGTGGTTTCATTGCTAGCCATACAGAGGTACCCATACAGGCGATTGTTATACAAAGTCTTTCGTTGGTGAAAAGCATTGGTACACAATCACATTCAGTTGCCTCTGATCCTCAAGCTAGGATATGGTTAATTCTGAAATACTCTCTGTTATGAAGAGTAACAAAGCAGTGCTCGTTTCTAAATTTATTTCACCGACAATCAAACTCTTCATTTACTATAATTTTTGTGCTATTGCACTATGGAAGTCATCAGTATGTCATCATCATCATTGCCTTGCCTTTTTCCATTTATTTGCGGCCGGCGCAGTAAGTATATCTTTTACCTCCACAAATTCCTGTCAATTATCATTTACAGCCTCATTTTTTTTATGTATATCGTCTTTCACACAAAATCATCTGTATGTATCAAAATAAATAAAATACTTACTACTATAACCTTAGATGAGGCAATCGGAATTATTTTGTCAAATACTTCCCCTTTGTTGAATGTTACTCTGCCCGCATCTTACCAATTAAATGAAACAATATTTTATTTATTCTAAAAGTGCCACGTCATATTATGGTTTCTTTATTAGAAGCTACGGCTCTTATATTATATTTAAATCTAATATATCGCGTATATAATGGAATGCAATGTTATTACATTTGTAAATAGTTTACTATCAGATTATCGTAATAAAATTGACACAAAGTTTAGGTGTCGATCACATTTGATTATTGGGATCAGGGTCATAGATATGAATTCGTCAACATTTAATTTGGTTTTATGTCATAAAATATTTAAATATGTACTATTATAATCAGATATCTGTTATTTTCAATTTTATTTCATAGAAAGAAGAAAGAGAGAAAGCAACGCAAAAGAAAACAAACGAAGCATTAGATGCAATTCAGAAGGCTCTCCAAACGCTGGCCGGCACAGTGAACAAGAAAGCGAAGCCACCTGCAGAAGACAATTTGACCACAACAGGTGATAACTTGGAAAGGCGGCTCGATGCAACCGACGCCAAGATTGACAATCTCAAGGTGGAAATAGAAAAATTGAAGAATGCATTGAGTAAGGTCAGTGGATGAAATACTTTAATAACTTTTAAATAGTAGGATTATCCATAATGGTTGTACCAACCCGTACCGTTATAAACATTGAAGTAAGTATACAGTACAATTACTGTATAAAAACAATACATAATAACACCATGCCTCATATATAGAAAAAAAATATGAAAACTCATTTAGATAGATAGATAGAGAAATTATTTATTCACCATTACAAGCACATAATCCATGAATGTATAAGCGAAACAAAAATTTGTAGGTGGTTTTATGTACCTCAGCCTCTATTTCTGTACATTTGCTTTAATTACTTTAACACTTTATACCCATATTACCTCAATGCCTATGATAGTGGGGATAAAGGGATTGTTAGTAAAAGGGTCCAATTTCCCCATTACTAGCCCCCTATCAGGTCGACCTCCACGCGATTCTCCCTAGAAACTATCTGGGTTAATTCTAGTGGAATTCGTCACGAGGGGCTAACGAACCTACTTTCACCATCATCTAACTCCTTACTGGTGCCTCGTCAACATATACCGTAAGCACAAGCAAGGTTATCAAGCCATTATAAAAATGCATATGATAGTAAATTAAACTGACCTACCTACTTATCCCGGAGAATAAAGTCCAAATAGATATAAAAATAATATCTGAAGCTTTACATATCAAGTAAGTACTTACTAAGACGATTAGGTCATTGATGCTCACATGACCACGAGGAAGATAACTTGAAATATAAAAAATATAATGTCTTTCTGTACTTGACACAATTTAGCTAGATATTTATTTTATGCACTGTTATTAATATAAAAAGATTTGCCAAGATTGTTTACTAAAATTGTGCCAAAAAAAGGATACAATAATATTAAAATTGTTCAGTTTCTCGACGTATTAATTCTTACCCGTATAACTAGTCTTTTACCCATGATTTCTACCGGGCAATCGAGATATGCTAATTGACCGGGATAAAAAAGTGTTTGTCCTTTTCCATCCAATACAATTCGTGTATATTAAATTTCATGATGATTAGTCGAACCGTTAAGGTGCCAAGAAGTAACGAAGAAACAAACTCACTTCTTATTACTAAGAATTTGTAATGTCTATATGTTATAATACTTACATAGAACTCGACTTAGGATTATGATATCCTCATTCAAAAGTCTTTATACTTGTAAATAAACGTTCAAGTATAATGAAATGTTCCAACACAGACTATCTTTTACAGGAGGCCCTTCACGCCATGTGTCTAGAAGTGGCATCAGACATTAACCCGCTAGAAAAGCATATATCCGACGCAGAGAAACTTCTTACCAAATACGAATTGAAACTAAATGAGTACAATGTCACAAAGGTCCAAACTGATTTTGTACCGCTGAATGAAGTCTCCATGGCCGATGAAGCATGGCACAGCAAGATGACAGAAGGTATAAATTTATTTATATATATCCAAATATTTTTATTTGACAAAAAAAAGTAACACATTTTGATTATTTATCCTTTTATAGTAATGGAGCGCCAAGAAAAAGACATTAAAAAGATTCAAAAGTTACTTTCGGACGCTGAAAGCATGTGGAAGGATCTCCCGCGACTTGCACATTTTCAAATCGCAACAAACCGAACTTTGGAAGCAATTGAACTTGCCAAGAGCGACTCCAGAGAGAATGATGAAAAGTGTAAGTACTCATTGTACATGTACCAAGTTGGGTTTTAAGATTTTATTGTGAAATGACTAAATTGGGACTAATTTTGTCGTAATCTATCCCTCTTATTCATGAAAATAAAAAAAAAATATCATGCATTTGCACCCCCCCTACCGGGGGAAAAATATAGAAAACATTAAGATTTAAATTAAGTTACCGTTTGAATAAAAATTTAAAACATTTAGGTTACCATCCAAATAAAAAAAAGACATACGTACATAATTTATATTTTATTAGTTAATAGCATGTTTGTAGATGCACACCTTCCTGTAATAATTCCCATCGGTACATAATATATAGGTTATATAATTATGTACTTACCATTTACCCATGTGGAGCCAGGTCGATTCGCTTGTATATTTATAATTTATTATTTATTTTAACAGTTCTTTATTTCAATTTTTATAGCTGTAAGCAAGATAACAACAAAACTTCGGGAGATGACAGATCGACTAGCCGCAACTAATGAAGACATCCAAAACAGCCTTACTCAAGGAAATACTATGACTGAACGCGCCTACAATGATATATCTCGCAGCTACGATACACTACGAACAGAGGTAAAACTGTTTTATTGGAGAAAATTTGTTGTCGATTTGTGATAATTATACGGCCGGAACATTGGCACTTTAAATTACAACCCTTCGATCTATATTGGCCTGTTTAATTCTTCTATACATATCCTCATTTCGGATTTTATAACACGGCGAAATATCCATTATAATTTTCTAAGTAAATAGAACTGTTGATTACTCAGCCAGTTATGGAGAATAAATATCTAAAACTGCATTCAAAGCAATGCAGTTTTCCAAAACTCAAATGAACGATGTATATAAATTTAGTGTGTAGTAGGTATATAGTTGGCATATGACATTTTTTTTATTTAAAACAAAATAAATGTGCAGGCGATTTTATTTAAAATATGTTGATATACATAGATCATTTGATACAAATATTTAATACCTTTAACTTTACGATAAAATTTAAAATAATTTTACTATTTTTTCAGGTACAAACGTTGTCTAAAAGCGAGCATGTAATACTACAAACTGCTGACAATGTAATCGCCACTAAAAAGCGAGTGGAATACGGAGTACACCAGATACTAGCGGAGGTTGGCGAACTAGTGAAAGCCCACGCGAAACATTTGAATAAAACTTTATATGAAAGGTTAGAGTAACTTATTGACACTTGCATTGTCGAGAGATAACTCTTGGAGATACGTTCCGTCTGTCTAGATAAAACAATTTTAGAATTTATAAAGTACACGAAGCATTAAAATTCTCCATCTGTTATGCGATAAGCAAATAGATTTACACTTTATACCAAAGACTGTCCCGACATCTATGCGGAATTTTATCTATACTCATTGAGCAAACTTTTAAAAATGTATCCCCTAAGTGGGTAAAAAATAGTTAAGTTTGCATAAGTTTGCACCAATACAAGCAACGCCCAGATATATTAAATAAATTATTACTGTAAAGATATCGTGAGGAAATTTCAATGTTTCATTTTGTCCATTTCGTTATGCCAGTTTAAAAATAATTACATATTTGATTTAATATTGTTTATTTATCAATTATAATTTTGGAGATCGTATATATTATTACAGATTTGAAAACGTAGAGACAATGATATTAGAGAACCAGTTAACCACACGGTCCAACCTGAGCGACAAGATCGAGGCGGAGATGGCGCCTGTGTGGCGGCAAATTGGCATCATGTACAAACAGTTAACAGCCAACAAGGAGTCACTGGATAAGCTCACAGTGAGTATTAATGCATTTATACAGGGGGAAAAAGATTGTTAGTAATAGGGTGTAATGGCCCCATAGCTAGCAATGTACCCAATCTGATCGACCTCCACGCGATTCCTCCTGGAAACCATTGAGATTAAGTCTTCGTCACAATGGGCTAACTGAATTGCCCGCCAGTGTATACCGATAGCACAGGCGAGGTGGGGTTACCATTTCATTTTCACCCATAAAAAAAACGCATTTATACATGTTACAATTTTTTTTATTAGATGATAATGAAATAGTAACCCCATCTACGCTAACGGTATATGCTGGCTAGGCACCAGTGATCCCTCACCTGTCATCAATTACAAGTGAGAATTAAAAAGCAGATCAGTTAACCTCGTGATGAATACACCTGAAATTCAGCACGAAGGTTTCTAGGAGGGACCACGTGGAGGTCGACCTGTCGGCGTATATTGTTAGCAATAGAACTGGTAGTCCGCATTACTAACAATTCCCTAGTTGCAGCTATTGGACCACCAGCTGGGATCATTACGTGTAAATGGCCTTACTTTACCAAAAAGAACATTAATGACACTTTTTACATGTTCAAACGGGAAAAATGCCCAAATATAACCGGTAAAAATAAAGGGCGCCAAAATTTAAAGTTGTCAAAAAATATTCTTCTTGCCAAGACCAGTTAATAGACTGATGACACTTCTAATTAAAAATTTTATCTGTGGTAACTGTAAAACATTAAGCTATAATTACAACTATTAAAGTCATGTAATGAAGGTGAAAATTTTAATGATTTTTCAGTTAATCTATTAAATCACTATGTATCGAAAAGTTCCTTGAAAATAGGCTACTTGAAATTTTACGTGCGTAGAAAATTATATATAGACGAAAATTATCGCAGTTTATCTTTGAATTTATCATATATTTTCCCAGGAACAAACGGAACTGTATGTCAATGGCAGTGCGAGCACAATGGAAAACATCGACAGTAAAGTAAGCCAATTAAGCTTTCCTTATCATAGAAGTGCAACATTTATTTATTATTAATTAAAGTAATTATTAATTATATAAATGTTTCAGGTGGGAACAATAAAATCTCGTATGTCTGAAGTAGATGACAACTTGAACTATTTACTGGGAAGACTGTCGCTTGTGACTCAGGAATTCAACCAAATTAAGACTGGACTTGGAGAAGCTCTAGAAAAAGCCAAATCCGGTCTAAATACGGTACAAGCTAAACTTGAAGGTAAAAAAGAAGGCAATTATTATTAGACTATTAATTTATTTTATTTATTTTATTTTATTTTTTATTGACACATAAAACAGATTACAACCATAAGAAACTTAAGTAATAATTACATTTGTGATTCGGCTAGGTTATAATCCGATTATATTATGTGCACAGCTTGAGTAATTCATTAAAAGCAAACACATAATATAAAAAGAAATAATTAAAATGTTATATAAATATATAAAAGATAAAACTATATATATAAAAAAAAAAAACATATTTTCAATCGTGTTCTACATAATAGAAATCAAGTTCTTCCTAAATATCAAATATTTTGTACCGAATATGTCGATGGATTTGTGGTCGAGCAGTAAGTCATTATAATGACGACACATTCTTACCACAGGATTGTAATAAGAGGTGTTATTTTTGTAGACTTGCAATGTAAACAATTTATGAGTGGGATTACGTGCTTTGTACCTCGTATTAAAATTTAAATTAAGCAGTAGAGATGGAGAATCTATGACGTTATGGATGATTTTGTACAGATACAGTATGTCACTACGCTGACGACGCCTCTCTAAAGATGTAATATGAAAGTGTTCAAGCTTGTTTTCATAAGAGCTCAGTTTGCGAAGCAAGCCCGTTCGAAACGCGAGTATATTAAGGCATTTTCGCTGAACACTCTCAATACGATCACAATGTACTTTATAAAATGGAGACCAGATAACCGAGCCATACTCTAGAATACTTCTTACCAGTGATTGATATAGAGAAAGAAAACTGCTAGGATTTTTAAAATTTTTAGTTAATCTAGTAATAAATCCCAGCAGTTGGTTGCTTCTGTTTATAATACATTCATAGTGTGGTTTAAAAGAAAGTTGGTCGTCAAAAATAATACCCAGATCATTAGCGACATTTCTGCGTTCTAATATTTGTCCATTAATAGTGTAATTATAAATTAATTTTTGTGATCTGCGAGTGAAAGACAACACAAAACATTTACGTACATTTAGACCCATTAAATTATTAATGCACCACTCGGATATTGTATCTAAATCGTATTGAAGCAATTGTGAATCATTGAAATCTCTTATAGTACAAAAAACCTTTAAATCATCGGCATATAATAGCGATGGACACCTTAGTTTGTTGCAATGAGGAATGATAAAAGGCGGAATATAACCGATGGTAATTTATCTCTTCTACTTTTTTGCCCCTCAAAATACAGAACTGCTTTGCATAATGTTGTGAAGCAAGTCTACGATGGACTCTTACATTATATAGATAGAGAACCGACCCTTAAAAATGGGTCAACTTTTTGTCAGCTTATTGTGAAATTAGCAGACTCGTTTTTTATTAGTGTTCTATATACTTACACACATATTGTATCTTAATATATCTATATTTAACTATTTAATAAATGAGTTTTTACGCATTAAAAGGATACAAAAAATATAAAATAAATATAGAAGTTATAAAGGAAACACTTATGACTATTTATCACGCAAAATTGTATGAAAAACTTGACCCACTTTTCTAGAAGCATTTGTATAGAAACACTATCTATATAATCTAAGGATGGACTTTAGAAAAGAGAAAAGCAACAAATGAAGAATTTTTATTTGCGGACAAAAATCTTTTTCACGGGTGTAAGCCCATAATAATTACAAATTAAATCATTTTAAATAAGTATTAATTTGATTCTGTTGTTGCAGATGCGGGACCGGGGCCCCATAACATTACAAGCGCTGAAGTAAAACCATAAAGTAAATAATTTAAATAAGCACCAAAACTAACATAATTATTTAATATACCAATTAGGTTTTAATTGTAAGTAGACTGAAGTATAGGATGTATTTCACGATAAATAAAACTCACACATCATTAACTTTTGCAAATATTTAATCTCTTTCATAATTGTGGATCTATATATTTATATTGTACAAGTTATATGATACAATTAAATTTCATTGTGACAGATATCCCAATGTCACAAGTGAGCGCATAAAACCAACAATATACAACTGACGAGATACCTCTAAGAAAACTTGTGAATTAATGTAATGAACTGTACAATCATAATAATATATTATTGACAATAATATAATAACCATTGTTCTTAAACAATATACACACAAATTATTTGTCTCCCTTTTCGGTTGTTTTTATTAAATCCGATTACAACCTCATTTTCCTATGTGCAATTAATATTAAATATAATAAATAATTACTGATAAGTACAGAATTTTTAAATCCATATATAAGAAGATTAAAATCCGTGCCATTAAGTGATTTTGTTACGCTTACAACTGTAATATATTTGAAAATGTGAAAACACACAATGCTTCATACAAAGGAGAACGAATACATAATAAACACAGATTAATATAACAATAACATTATAATTGCCTATTTGCGTCCTCAGTACATACACTTACAATGTATAGGTACACTTCAGTTATGTATAAATAATGTAGCGTAATATGATTGTACATGGCATAAAAATTATTATAACGTCAATTCAGTGAGTTGGACAGCCAGAATGGAAAGAGAACTCCACTTAAAGGTAAAACCCTAGACATTCGTTGTTATTGTAATAGCCTAAAATGGGACATCCTCTAAAAGCTAAATATTATTGGTGGTACGAAATCAACAATGCCCCAAAAAATAGAAAACATTTAACAATTAAAGATAAAACAAGGAATGTGTATTACCTATGCGAACCAGTCGCTAATTGGTTTCTTTGGAAACTTATCTACTTAGTAGGATATTTTCAGTTCATCTAATCATCGTAGATATTTTATATCATATTAAAAAAAATAAGTACGAACTCGAAGTTATTACAAGAGGCATAAATGTTCTATGGCAGTGGCATACCTAACACGCATACACAAATAGCACTTGAACATTTTTTTACAATATGAATCACTGTTATGTACATGGATAAATGTACATGTACATTATATTAATGCAAAAAATATTTACAACTCCTTAATTATGTGTTAAAAAGCACTTAATAACCGTCCCTTACCCCACTCCCCCAAAATTCTCTCCAAAAGAGATGAAATTATATCTAATAAAATATAAGCAGTAGAAAACATAGACTATACGAAATTAGTGAATCGTTAAAAGAGTACATCGATCATGCATAGTAGATAAAGTATATGTATTTGTACGTTATAAATAACTAATGTTCATTGAAACATATTAAGCTTTTTAACGCTTTATAAATTCAAAAATATTATGTATCTATGTCTATATGGCTTGAAATAAAACATTAAAATAATGTTCGAATTTAAGATGAATTTATAAAATGTCCAATTATGAAATTACAACAAGCTCCCTAAGTGAGTAAATCTAAGATTGTCCATGAGACAAAACTGTTCATGTCTGTGACATCTACACTTTGTACAATGCGGTATCAAAACCTCCCGGCGGTACAGCGTTGGGCAGCGTTGACTGTGAGCTCGGCAGTGTGGAGCTGGGCTCCCTCAACGCAAGAGTTAGACGGATCGGGCGTTGGACCGTGTTCGACAGACGAGAGAAAGGTGAAAAAATAGTTTATAGCTTTAGTCCCAACGTGAGCCGGATGAAGAGACAATGCGGTCGATTCTGGAATGCAATTTGTCTTAGAGATATTAAAATTTCAATTTGATATCACAGCATATTTTTTATTGTAGGTATGAACTAACTTTCTAATAGATTTTTGTCAAAATTATTATAATTTTAGTTTATGATGGTCCACAAAACAGTAATCTCGTAAGATTATCAAATTAAAATATTAAGAAATAAATTTAAAGAATTGACACCTCAGAATCGGCCGCATTGTGACACTACAGACCTTGTTCATAAGGCTATCGTTACGTGGCCCTCCTTGCTGTCCATCAGACACGGGGACCTTGAGACCAGCTCGAGCCTCTCATCGCGCGTGCATTATGCCCATGTCTCCGTCGGGCGCAGCATTATATTGCGAGTGCTTTGCGACTACGACACACAGTACGGAATACAGGCATTACCACCATCATAATAACTGAAATTTACCTAATGCCAACTGTATCCTACTATTTATAATTCATTAACTCCTAACTAACTTTTGAGTGTAAATTGTGCCACTTAAGCAGTCCCAACAGGACAACTAAAGCAAAAAATGACGTTCATAACTCACACGAAGTCGCGACCAGAACGCGTGACATGACAATTTAGACTTATTTCAAATTCAATCAGTAATGGAATGTTCGTTATGGAGAAAATTCCAATAAAAGGTTTACAACCCTGTAAAATGAGAAATATTATTTCGCTACCACTAATTCATATATAAACTGACACCCACTACTTATTTATTACTCCTTCTGATTACAACAATAATGGTTATTCTTTGGATTCAATTTGGAACTCCCTATAGCAATATTTTCTTTACATTATCTAAGTAATATAGAAGTGGCCGGATATAAAGGTGATGTTCATATGTACCCTAATTCCGCGCGCGAATACCAGATGCATTACTGCAACAGTTACACTATACTTGTTCTTATGTGATGGAACTTACATAGGAAGACATACAACTATACATATACGCTTTTAATAATAGACAGCGAAATTAAAATTGCATATATTACGTAGTACATTCCATGACGTGGAAATTGTTGCATTTATATCATGTGCGATACTAGTGATATTGTATAGAAAGAAATATTGGGCATAGATTGTACTGTATCTATAAAGGGTGAGGAAGTCGTAGGTAAGGAAGGACACAAGCAAAATGAATCAGTCTCACTGACTACACTCTCGCCTTGCACAGGTGTCGGAAATCAAGTCTGCAAATTAATACATGACCACCCCAAAATCAGAGGCACTTACATGATCTTAAGAGTAATGATATACAACTACTATCTAGTGGTACCAAATATTTTAGCTCATTGTCTTCCCGTGAAGGAACCCGTTGATACAACGGGTGTGACACATTTAAAGCTATGGACATGTTTCACGTACTAATCGTTAATAAGTCTAACCTAACACGGAGAGAGATGGGAGCTATCTATCGTAGACGTACAAAGTATGTATCTATATAGCCTACATTCAGCTCTTAAAACTTACATGAACTGACCGTTAACCAGTGCGATTACATACGAGTACAAAATTGGTGTAGTAAAATGAGTGTCCGACTTCATTAAAACGTCTAATGTGCTGCCATGTTAAAAAATATAGTGTCTCCCAGTAAATTTCGAAAAAATTTAACGTGTGCTGTAGTGAATTATAGTCACCCGTACAAATCATTATGCCTTACCATTTATTTCACTTAAGGTATTTATGATTAGTATTGATAAAATAGGTGCCACATTGACCCGTTTAACAACCGTACCTACAAAGCGAATATCGACGTCCACGCGTGATCTATATACATATCGACAAGTTGCAATAACAAAACAACAATTACTTTATTTATACTTTAAAACGGTCGCACATAATCTTTTATGTACAAATTCAATGGGTCCAGTTAAAATTTGACCGAACCTAACATCAATACGGCTACTTCGCGTGGCAATTCGATCAAAATTAATTATTACTGAAGCTAATTTTAATGAGTTAATCTTCAATTCCTATAAATTCTATATTACAAGTAGGATCTCCTCGAATACGTCGCTCCGATTCGTTCGGGTCCACTGGTACACCGCGCGTCATCTAAAACCCAGAGAGCCGGTATCACCGAGAGCCGGCCTACCTAGTCGGAGCTTAAAATTTAAAATCGTAGACGTTCAAAATGCCACGCAAAGTGTTACAAAATATTAATCTTATGTACATATTGTCGCTCGAAGATAAGAATAAGAACTATCGTCTAGGTTAGGTGCGGGGATATAAAAGGTGTCACCGCGGGGTTTACCTCCGCGTGCTCTTGGAGGAGGGGCGCGAGTGTGAGTGCGTGTGGGGGGTCGCGCCCCCCCCCCGCTCCTAACTCGAGCACGACGCCGCCGACACCGGCGACAGCGGCGAGTCGCGCGGACACCCGGACAGGGTCACCACCACCTGTAACACCAATATCATACGTGTCACAAACACACCAACCAACTGGTCTCTGAATTATTAACAAGTGTTATGACAACCAAAACAAACGAACATTTAGCAATCAAGCAGCTATGCTTGTACGGCTGCTTCGGTTTAAAGAGTAACAATCATCATATCAGCCGTTAACTTTCCACTGCTGAACACTTCTGTTACACAAGTTTTGCCAGTAGTTGCCACACTTGGCAGGCACACAAAATAATCACAGTAAAGCTTTAGTGATATTTTAAGAGGGATGCTACTGCTCATCTCTCAACTATTAAGTTTTTTTTTTTACAACTTAGAATGGCAAACAAGCTGACGGCTCACCTGATGGAAAGTGGTAACCATCGCCTATAGACATGAGCAGTACCATGGACATGACAGAGTATACTGTTTCGCCCATGATACCCCTCATGCTTTGCCATTCCTGAGGACTCAGGTGTTATTCCTCTATACCCACTAAATTCACGCCATGTCCCACCCTTCAAACCAAAACACAACTGCTTCACGGTTGAAACACGAATGTAAGTTTCTTAGTCACCTCTTATGCCACCCACAGGAAAGGAAGTGGAGGCTTATTCTATGCCAGAACCACATGCTATGCTAATAAGATTAGTTATATATCAATGACGATAAGAGTTACAATATGGCAATGAAGTTACAGAAGCATAACACCATAGTCCTCAAGTACAGCAATACATGAGGAGTACTATTGACATCACAGTGTGTCATTATGTGTGGGAGATGACAGCTAATTTCCATTACATGAGATGTCAGCTTATTTGCCTTTCAAAGTTTTATGAAAAATTTTTACTTTTAATGAAAAATAATTTCCATTAGTAGTTAATTATGTTAATGTTTAAAGTCCATAAATCTTTATTGTCATAGTAACATACTGAAAACAATGAAATGTGTTTATTTATCTAAAATCTAGTTAATATTATTAATTTGATGGATTATGAATATAACATGATCATATCTAGTATATAGCAATACATAGTCAAATAACTCACCTTCCGGCTGCCAGCATGATTTCGATGCTCACAGAGCCACACACCCTGCCATGTGCCCAAATTGAGCTTTCCATCTGTGATTGGGATCGTCAGCGAAGAGCCCAAGAAGCATGCCTTCACATGTGCAGGCTAGAGAACACCATCATAATCATTAGAATAATAGTCACTGTACCCAAATAAATATAAAATTATTTTCTACATACATTAATTTAAAAAATATAACTATTGGGTTGAACCAATATTTATATACACTTATTTGGTTGAAAAATAAGTGGCAATTTAAATAAATAAATCTATAAAAACAATTTTTCTATTAAATACATTTTCTATTCTATTCAAGAAAACCTTCTTAGGTGGTTCTTAAATTATTTCTGAAAACTAGAATATCTTTTTCATATATGTGTAGTTGTATTCTATTATATAAATAAAAAAATAACATGTTTATCAATTTAAACCAATTTTACCGTTTATTTAATTAAAACTTTTCATATCTAATATTATCACATGCCAACTACTTTAATTAAAATTTAAGTCAGGATTTAACAGAAATCTTTATAATAGCATCTTATCAATAATTATTACCATATATGAAAGCTTGTCTTTAAAAATAGATAAAAACAAGTATTACATTAAGTTATCCTTCTAAACCACAAGCCATACCAATAATTTAAAAGATACTCAAGGATCACTCAAAAAAAGAATAAGAAATTTTCTTTAAAATTTTTCAAAAGCTAATATTAAATATCAATAACATATTAAATAAGCAATTAAATAGTTAATTGTTACTATTTGATGCCTACACATAACTACAATTCTGTAGTTCAAAATATTTACTATAAGACTATACTTTTAGGTAATATATCAAACTGACCTTGAGCATGCTATACACACAGTGATATTAATAAACAAATACTCATAACAATATTATATTTTGCATCATAACTGAAAATAATATAGGTCACTTCAAATGATAACCCCTTTGAGGTTCCCTAAAATCCTTACCTCCTAATGTTTTTTTAAATAAGTATTCTAATAACTGTAAACCAGTTATTAGACATTAATAGTTACCAAATGTAAATGACAAGATTATTAAACTATATTTTTTATGACCTAAAATTTTTAATAGCTTACAATATTATTGAATATATGAAAAAATTAAAAAAGAAACTCAAATGAGCCCCAACTTTATGGAATGTAATTATAAATATAATATTTGCACCTAACTGGTACAAAACAAAAGAATGTTTATTTACTACTGTCATTGAGGACAGTTTATTTATTAAGTACTTTGTTAACACTGGCATTGCACTGTATAGCTAAACATGTGTCTCACCATGTCATCAGGTCCTTCACAGGAGTGGCGGTAAGGCAAGCCCTCTGGCACAATTTTATTGAGCATCATCTCCATGTCGTCTCTGACGTCAGGGTCCCAGCTCTCATTGAGCGCGAGGCTCGCCGATGTGTGCATTACTAGAAACAACATGCACCATTGATCAGCTGGTTATCATGTATTAGCCATTTTTAGGCCAAATGCACCCCAACTATATAGAACATAGAAAAATCACATGAGAGAATGTAGGGCGAATGTGACATGTGGGAGGGGGTGCATCATCGGCGGCAAGAACGCGATCTTGACGGGTGACGGGTACTCACTCTGGATATGGCAGAGGCCGACCGCAAACTGCGACAACTCGGGCACCTGCTTGAGGATTTCCTCAGTAACAAGGTGCACGCCCCGATGCTGCGGCCTCAAATTCAGCTTCCGTTGAAACCACGCGGATCCGATCTGAATTCCTCGGTTCGAGGCCATGTTTAATTTTTAAAAACGCTACAGAGTGACCGCAAGAACACAAACGATCTTACACAACATCACTTAGAACAACCTTTACACAAATTAATCCACAATTATCATAAAAGATTCATCTTCGATCTTTAAATAGTAATAAATATAACGGAGGTTATAGGACAGATTCGACACCCTATTTTCTGCGGGAAAGTGAAATAGTTAACAAACGAAAGAGAAAAAAGATATGAATGTTGTCAATAGGAAAAAAACAGCAATCAAAATTATGCATACTGTCGTATAAAATAAATTAATAAATTTAAATTAATATAATAATATCACCAAGTTTAGAACATAACATAAAATTATATATTTAGAAAGTATACATAAAATATCTACATTAATAGTGGTAGATAAGTAGATAGAAAAATATTTTTAAGGTATTTTATTTCTTTTACATTTTTATTTGTTATGCATTTATGCATAATTTTAAAAATTTATTCATTCATTATTGCTTTAAAAATTTAATACTTTACGTTTTTCTTGAAGATTTTCCAATTTCAAATGAAAAATATAAACTAGAAACACTGTACTACTGCAATATAAATAAGCGGGAAATTTAAATTTTAGAGCACTTATACTGGGCACGAGCATTCGTAAGTAATAGGTAATTGAAACAAAATATTATTATATCCGTAATTCTAATTTCTTAGATATTTGAAACAATTTTAATAAATACTGTACTCCACTTTTTTCTTAAATATGTCACTATATCACTAAACGTATAGGGGAGTGCCGAGGTATGATAGCTTACTAGGTGTGGCAAAAACCACTCCTAGAAATTGGGACAATTAACTATTCCTTCAATTGGCATATTGTGTGAATGTTTGTTGATTGCCCTAGTTTGTGCATTAATTAAAAGGATTACTTTTAACCATGGATCCAATAATGGACGTAATTAAAAACTCTGAAGAACCTGAATGGCTTGAAAAACGCATAATTGGTGACCTTAGGCTCTGGCAGATGGTATTTCTTTGTTTAGCTGGTGTTGCGTCTCTTAGTAAGTTTTATATTCCATCGTATCTCATTAGAATAAATGAAGTAGAGCGTATTCTAACAGTTTTATTATCTAAGTCAGAAAATATTATTTCTACTCTCGTACTTATAGTTATTGCTATTTAGAATATGAATATTTTGTTGAAATTATCACAGAAACACTTTTAAAAGGAAGTTAGTAAAATAAAGTATATCAATACAAATCAAAGTGTATAATTCAATCAATTAAAATAGATTTTTTATTTTTATTACTGTTGGACAACAGCAGAATATCTAGCCAGTTCCACTTGTTAGGTCAGGTCAATTATTCCTTTATCTATATTTTCATTAAATTCTATTGAAAAAGACTATAGATACCTAGACTCTATAGAGATATCTACATATGGGTCCCATACAAGGATTTGTATTAAATAGCTCTTTTGCCCATTACTTCGTACACGTAGATTCCAGAAATAAAAAACTCAAAGAAATAGACCACTTCTAGATAAAACATACAACAATTTTTAAGTTATATCTTCAGGAATACAAATGCGAAAACTGAATCTAATTTGATGTAATAGTTTTTTCGTGATACCGAAACAAACATACAGACAAAAGACAAAATTTAAAAAAATATAGGTTTGGCTTCTATTAAATTCACCTTATATCAATTTTTCTTAAATAGCTCCCATATATAGATATCGTCTAGTTAAAATTTTAAAATAATAATATATGTAAAATAAATATGAAATCCATTAATCCATTAATTATGCATATTTTATACTTAATCAATATTCATTTTTTGTAGTATTTCTTTAAATCATAATTTCTTACATACAAAATATATCGTCACGATAGAATTTGAATAATTAAATGAAAAATTATTATAGTTCAACTTTTTTCGTGCTTTTATTCGTCAATACTTTTCTAGTTGTAATGGTGTGTTGTTGTTTCCGCTTCCGTATTCCGCGCACTAAGCAACAAATAGAAGCAGATTACCAACGCCGGAAGATCACCTCCAAGTTCAGACAGCAACTAGAAACAATCCAGGACGCTAAAATGGACTCCATGTCATTAAAAGATGGTAAATAGTTTAGAATCCAGACTTTTATTTGTATAATATAAAGTTTAAATATAATCGAATTGCTAATCACTGAAACTACATCAAGGATTTCTTTACAAAAGATGTAAAGGATATTTTCAGGGTTAGACAATGCAGTTCACAGCCCTGGTGTTAACTCTTGCTTTCATCATCATTTATCACACTTCACTGGTGGTGATGATAGTAGCTGTGTGGTCCCGGCATAGAATAAGGTACCCTTTCCTTTCCATGGGTGTTGTGAAAGGAAACTTAATGGTCGAGGGATGGGTAGCAGTATCCTTCTTTAAACATCATTAAAGCGTTACTACGGTTACCAATTCATCTGCCGAGCGTAGCAACTACTGCCAGAATCGTAGATCTCCCCCTATTGGGAAATAGGGGGAGATCTACGTTCTGCAGTGGACAGTAAACGGCTGCTATGTTGATGACGATGATGACTGGTACCACGCCAGTGTATAGCATTAGCGCAAGCGATTTTACTATCTATAAAAAGTACTATGATACGTACATTATCATCTGACAGACCTTACGTTTGTTACTACCATGTAAAAATAATAGATCAAAAATCGGGCGTTGGCATTGTATTTTTCCGTGGCATTTATAAATTATTTTCTTTTAATGTCTAAAAATAGAATAGCTCGTTTTTTAAGATACCAGTCTAGATATAGAATTCGAAATAGAGAAAGGAATCATTAGTAATGGGGAGAGTCCTCATTGCTAATAAGTACCCACGATGCCCCCTCTGGAAGCTATCGTGACCTGTGTCCTATATATGTGAACCTACTACTTTCACTTGTCACTTTGCTACCACTTACCACTTACTGTAAAACATACTGCTTTACATATACTTTCCTGATTAAATCTCGATCGGGGTATTTTATTAATCTTAGTTTCTTCAGAGTACTGTTGAGCCAATTTTGAGTAGTGTGCCTTCAATATTTATTACCTTCTCATACAGGCAATTATTATAAGCTAATCCCATAAAGCGTCCCATAATCCTTTAAAAAGAACTGTATTGAATATGTAATAGAAATAAGTCTTATTTAATTAGCAAAACTTGCTTTATTAAATAATTATATCAATTCTCCGTAAATGAAGTCAGTTGGATTAATTCATCAAACATTAGATAAGATAATGAAACTGATATTGCAGTACTGTGTCAGTTTCAACTTACAAGATATTAGATAAATCTCCTCTCTGTTCACCTCTAATTATTTTGCTCATTGATGCAGCTCTAGACTTGCTACACGAAAAAAGTGCTCACAACATGGACAATAACAACCAAAGGATATCACAGCAGAGCTCTATTATGTCGCCACAACAGAGTAAGTATGATCCTGATATAATTTGTGTAAAAAATACTAAACACTCCATTCATCCATATTAAGAAATTATTAATTCAAAATCTATTCGTAATAATCAATTTGACGACTTCATTACGATAAATGTTCTATATACCTTTAATTTCTTATTTATATTCTCCAAACTCGACCCAAAATCCTCACATAATATTCTAAAATTATTAAAAACTACAAAGTTTGATTTATTTAGTTTTAAATTATTTCACATTTTAAATATTTGACAAATCCTAGATTGGGCCTCATAATTTGTTCTGTTACACCTGGCAGACTCGTATGCGAGGTGTAATAGTATAAAAATAAAATAAAACACTGATAAATTATATGACATGAACAGGTTCATTAGACGCATCTTTCCAACCGGAGGGCGGACAAAAACCCGAACCACAAGTGTCAGGCAATAATTTTGCAAGGATTGCTAACAAAGTGGCTAACTTGACGAAGTTCAACCAACCCAAGTCACCGACATCGCCAACTCCGTCCGGAAATAAAATGGATTTTTGAAATGTTTAGTTTTCAATGACAACAATAGATAAATATTAAGAATATAAATAGTTGATAAGTTTTGACTTTGTGCAAAAATATATGGTGTATTTAAATAATTAATATAAAAATTAGGACGCCTGAAAATTGTAATAAATTTGTATAAATTATGGATTATTTCAGAATCTCGCTATTATTGATTACATATTCTCCGGTGTGTAGTAGTAGTAATTGTAGAAAGGTTAATAATTAATTTCCTTATTTGTCATTCATATAACTGGAAATGTATGTGTTATACTGAAATAAAAAAATATGCAGTAAGATGTTTTCTTTAATCTAGAAAATAAAAATACAGAAGGTATAAACGGATTTTAAATCATAAGAATAATTACATATTCACAAATAACTTCCTTATTTTGCTCTCAGTTTACATATTCTCGCATAAAACTGACAGTAAAAAAACAATTATCAAATTGTAGCAATAACTTTAAAGCAACATTTAACTTACATTTTATTATACATAAATAATACATCTTGCAAATAAAAATTACATAAAATTCAAGTTAGCTACAAAAATTTTATTAAATAGTTAAATTGTTTCTACATGCTCATATTAGTTCCATACTTACTCATACACTTATGTATGATGTGTTTTGTGTCATGTTATTCCGTCTCATTATTTATTTTATGACTTAGCAAATTACATTAATATTTTATATAACTCCAATAACTTCCAGACAGTTTTGGTAGCCTAAACAACTCAGTCCATGACTCAATTTATATTACGCCACAATCTCAGCCCAACTCAGAAATTACCTTACGCGCTAGTTCCTCGCAACCTTACAAGTATTTTAACTCTTTCTAATACATGTACTGGATTCATAGCGTTACCTATTGCTTCCATATGACAATTATTTCATTTAAAAACTTTTTATGGCTCCTTGGTGTTTCAATATAGTTTGAGCAATTCTTTTTGGTGCGATGTGTTGATAAAGTAAAAATATTTGTATTATTTTATTTTCATCCAATAAAACACTTAAATATATATAACATTTTAAAACATAGTATGATATAATAAAATGATTTTTTTGCTAAAATTAGGAGCTTATTCGTATATATTGTGTCAAAAAGTAAATGCACAATGGAATTCAAAATAGTGTGTATTTGAATTGCACTTAATAAGACCGTGATCTAAACTAGCGATTCTATAGAACTGGCGCCGGCGGCGGCGGCGGCGACAGCGCTTCGCACAAAAATCAACGACGATCACAAATAAGGCCATTGTAATTTATTCATCGCGTTCTTGTTTGTGGAAGAATCTATTGAGAAATACTATACATTTTCACTTACATATTATATTTAATTGAATCAGACCTACCTAAAACGTAAAAGTGTATGTTTCATTAAAAAATATTGTTCACATATGACATAACATTATTAAACTAAATGGGACAGTGTTTAAATAATTAATACATGTTTGTGCATTATACCTGTCATCGTGACCTTCCAGAGATATACATTTTTACAAGTTTGTAAACCGAAACAAGTATAGGCTACATTTTATATAATACATTATATCCTACTTGAGGATTGGTAATTGCATTACTTACAACAACATAATTACGTAAGCTAGGTGAAAGGTTCGCTCTCAACTCGCACTGTGTTCAAACGAACAACTTTTCTATATGTCCAGGTGTACGCTATAGATAGGAACCCAAGTTTAATATCGTCGCAGTGCTATATATAGAACTCTCATTATATTAAAGCATAATTTTGTTATCAACAAGTTCTACGACAACATTATTTAGACTTTACGCTATGCTCGAAGAGTTGACAATAAATAATATTAATACAATGTGCACATTTCATAACTCAATCACAAAATTGTCCATGGGCAGTACGATTGAGCATGTATTTGAAATATTTGGCAATCCATTCATATTGGCCTCGAACAGCAGTTAAATCATTCACTGTTGGAAATATAAGTACTTTGTGACGTTTAGTGAAACTCGGAAACTTACAGTAACGTTATGTTTATGGTTAGAAATAAGAAATACGCACATTGTGGTTGCCTCGTCGAATAACGAGACCACTCTAATAATATCATTAGTTTCCTCAAGTTAGTTATATGAAAATTGTTCGCTTTACAAGGTGGATTGTATGACTTGATGTTTATTGCACTTCCTGACAGTGATCACCCGGCGACGCCGGCGTGATGGTGGCGAGCGTTGGAAGTATAGTGTTGAGATGTTACCGGAGTGGCGTCGTTACAGGTCGTACTCTAAACAAGAGGACAGCTATGCTGTGGTCGGCGCCTACGTCCCGCCGGCTCGCAACACTCAATCTCGCCTTACAAATGTTCTGCCCCTAGAATATGAAAAATTGTTTTTTTAATAATATGTACAGTATATATAGAAAAACAAATTCATTAAAGACTTTAATATCGTAATACTGCTAGTAGTCGCCACAGCGTGGGTTCGATTTATAATCAAGATGAATAGTCAATCTATAAAAAGTTTTTAAATGCAATTATGGTTACAGTGTGATTGACACAGATCTTAGTTAGAGAACCAAATAAAGGCAGACATGAATATTTATGATTAAATATTAATATTAATTTAATACAAATAAATTTAAATATTAAATCAGAGGATTATATTTTTCGTACCTATGTAGGTATCGGGAGTCAAAATGACAACAAAGTCTATTTAAGTGTTAACCTAAGTTATGCTGTTATAACCGGAACTATATAATGAGGTAACAGTTTACGAAGGAAGATTACAAACCACTGTTAATGTGTACGTCATGCGTATGCAATTTCCGATAAATCATAGTTTTTAATATTCGATAGACATAATATTACGCGAGACTGTTGCTAGTCTCATGCGTGCTTTGTGAAACATTGATTCATTTTGCCTACTTCTATTGGTTCATATTATGTGATGGTAACAATTCACTGAGAGAAGAATGTAACTGATTACTAGAGGGAGACTTTGTACAAAAGTCGATTGCTTGGGTACCTCTGTCCCATTCGGTTTGAAGGGTGGGATATGGCGTGAATTTACTGGGTACGGAGGAATAACACCTGAGTCCTCAGGAATGGCAACGCATGGGGGGTATCATGGGCGAAACAGTACACTCTGTTATGTCCATGGTACTGCTCATGTCTATAGGCGACGGTTACCATTTTCCATCAGGTGGGCCGTCAGCTTGTTTGCCATTCTAAGTTGTATAAAAAAAGATTACAAAAAAACATTTAACTTTTGTCTTTTTATGGTAATGAAATTATAGGGTATGAAGGCAAAACACCTTGGTCCTCAGGAATGGCAACGCATGAGGAGTACTATGGATAACACAATATAATCTGTGCTCTTTTTGTCTATAACAGACGGTTATTATTTTCTATCTACTAATCATTGACAGTGGGCCGTCAATTTGTTCGCTATTCTAAGTTGCAGAAAAACCCCAAAGGCATGGACTTAAAATCACATGAATGGGAATAATACTTTCACTGAAATACTACGAGTATATAGAATCTTTTAACAACTTTGAAGTCTGTTATGGGCTCGTTTACGTACTTAATTTTATCAGATTCTAAATGTCGAGAACTTTCTTTAATTTTATCTATATTTTTTTTTATATTCGTTAATTGTTTAAAATATAAATAGGCATTAAAATGAAATTTTAATACACAATAAACTAATTAACAACAATATAATACGAGTATGTATTATTTTTCCTAATAATTCGAATTTTGATTCAAAACTTTTTTTACACACAATTTTCGTTTTGGACAATGATAAAACCAGGCTGAACAGGCTGCATTGCTTTTACAAATATTTAAGAAAAAACAGATGATTCCTACACTCCGTACGTACAGATACGAACACTCAGGGCCGTTCCGAAAAGGAATGTAGGTACCATATATTACATATATACAGTTGCATACACACATTTTCGCATACATACATTTATGGAACTGCAAGTTGTGGTATGAAGTGTTCAGTGGAGTCTTCTTTTAATTAGTAAAAATGGAATGGTAACCCGCCTGCGCTATTGGTATATGTTGGTTCAGCATCAATAAAAGATAGATGAGGACGAATGTAGGTCAGTTGGACCATCGTGACGAATTAAACAAGAATTAACTACGATTGTTTCCAGGGGGAACCACGTGGAGGTTGACAGATTATATTTCTGGTAATGGGATCATCAATCCCCATTACTAATATTCTACCCTCTATTCAAGGGATTCAGATAAGAGCATGGCAAAAGTAATACTAACGTGATCGTCTTCCGTTCGGCGGGGCGGGTGGTGTTCTGCGGGCGAGCGCGGTTGAGCACCTTGAGCAGGTCGCCTGCCTTGGCGCGCATGCGCGAGTGCACGTACACCTTGGAGCACTTGATGTGGTAGTGCAGGTAGTCGCGGAACATGTGTAGCAGGTCAATCGTGTTGTCGCGCGCCTCCGAGCACGTGTGCCGCGGGAACAGCACTGTAACAACAAACGCACGTATTCTTGTATATGATAGACAAAACAAACGAACGACATGCGAGGCAGGAATATAAAATATGACGATAGCATAGCAACAAATTCTATTAAAATAGAGAGGGACACTTTGTATAAAAGTTATCTGCATTGGTTTTTTAACCCCGCCTGCGCTAACGGTGTATGTTAGCGAGGCACAAGTGATAGGTGATGGGTGAGAATGGAGGCCAATCAATTAGCCTACAATGACGATTTTACAAGAATTGACCATGATTCCACAAGAATTAATCAGAGGGGACCACGTGGAGGTCGACATGACATGCTAGCAATGGGGATGCTAGACACCACTACTAACAATCCCTTCCCCTATCTGCATTGGTACCTCCACCCCACACGTATTTCTGCCCTAAAACAGCTATGTTCACATGGTGGTGCTACGATTTGATGGATGGAATATGGCAGGAAAATTACAAGTAGGATGTTATACCATCAGTCCACAGGAATGGCAACGTGTGAGGCATATTCTGTGATATCCATGGTGCTATTCATGTCTATAGAAAATGGTACCATTGTACATAAAGTATGTCGCCAATTTGCCATTTTGTTTCATAAAAAATTACACAATATTGATTTGAGAAATAACAAGTTTAAAATATAAGATAAAAAACAGGTATCAAAACAACTAAATTAAAAAATAGACACTTTCTATTTTTATTGTATTGTGTCTATTTGATGAAAATTAAAACATGTTACAATACGTAGGCAAAATTTGACATTCTAATAAAGAATATACTTTATTGATTAACAAATTTTATCGACGTAAAATATTTGAATGACAAGTTTTCTAAAATAACATCAATTCCACGACAAGCTGAATTTGCTCAGTCGTTTTTGTGGATTATTTTGTCTCATCCATTATTTCTGTAGCCTATTTATTAATTTGCTTGAATACTGTATTCTGGTTCTTGGAGGGGAATAAACTATTGGGTTATGTAACTCAAAATTTTCAAGTTAGAAGCGTCAAAATATTATTTATTGATATTAGATATTTTTCCTGGAGTTACAGTTTTACTACTGACATATTTATTTCCATGTATATAGTGGATTATAATAATTACATCTAGAACTTACCAAATGTAACATAACTGATATTTTCCCCTACTTTTGCATCAGTATCCATGAGTTCTAATGGCGGCTCCCTGTGTGAAAATAAAACCTGAAACAATAAATCTCATTTTGTTATGGGGAACTTTTACATTTCTTTTATATAAAATACTATAATTTTCTAAAAAGTTGTATGTGTGCGCACAGAGGACTTCAAGTCTGCGACAATCTCGCTCCTTTTATGAACTTTATGTATTCCACTATTTTGTAAGATGCCTGCTTTTACATTAGATAGATAGCCTTGCAAAGAGCAACTGAAAATTACCAGAATACTCACTTTTTATTAGAGGATCAATTTAAATATATTAAAAAATAATGAAAAACAAAAAAAGAACAATTAGAAATATACTTACTTGTGGGGCAGTATGTGACGCTCTTCTTCCCTCTTTCAGTTCTTGCATGAACACCTTGCCGATAACCATGTCATCCTCGTGCCGGAATACAGTTGAAAAAACCACTGTCACACGATCTTGTTGCGCCTCAACATACCTAATAAAGAAAAATATATATAAATACAGAATAGAAAAATTAATCTAATTTGTATTAGATATACAAATCGAACAGTTTTTTTTTTTTATTATTAGATGACAAACAGTGTTCAGTTAAAATACAATTGGTATCATAGATACTCAAGATTACCTATATAGTTGCAGGTATGTATTGCGTATGAGACCTGCTTAATGTTTAATCACAATCAGTATATGTACTTATTTAAAAAATTAAGTTTATATAAAAAAAAAATTCGATGTACCGAAAAAGATGCTAAGGCGTATTTCTCTAATATAGTATTGTAAACACCAATAAGCTAATCATACAACACCTTTTTCCTTCATGTTGTAATTAATACAAAGTATACCATATCTAGGCCAGTATGAATTAGTCAGTATGAACTGGTATGAACCCAAGCGTGACTGACATTAGGTAAGTAATTATAAAGTTACGTTATCCAATTTTAACGGAATTGCTATTACTTAACTGAGTTATTTTATGTACTAATCACATTTTAAATTATTAATAGAAGTCACATTTTCCTTAAATGTTTATAATTTAAATTGTCTATTGTTAAAAGGTAGTTTAAAAAAAACATATGACCTATGATAGAATAATAGAAACCTATATCTATTTTATTAATTAAACTTCAAGTAATTAATGATTCTATTCATTCAAGATTATTTGTTACCTGATTTTTTAAAAATAATATTATAATTGCAGAAGTGGCATTCTGATCTGTTCTATTGAATTTGTGTAAAATATGGATTTTATCATATCTTTTTAACATCTTATCGTTATTATAATTTATAATTAATACATCTGCATATAGAAATACAAAAGTTATTAAAGAGGCACTTACAATGTCTCATCTTGTCTGTAATTGATAACGGCCCGCTTTTTGCTAACATCGCCATCCTCCTGCAGCCGGAAGTAGCATTCGAATACTGACGCGAAGCAGTTCCTCTTCAGGAGGCCCACCTTCTTCACGACGTCCTCCCAGTCGTCCGGGATGTTCTCCAGATCGAGTAACACTGATACATTGTAACCTGTGTATTGCCATTTCATTATTAGCCATGCGCAACTTGTATATAGTCTATAAACTAATTGTTTCCGGCGACATTACCGTAACGTTACATTCATTGTCTCGCTTATTCCAGTACTGTGTAATGCAAATAAAGTATTATTTATTTTTTACCCATGTGAATTAATATATAAAGTATCATATGGGTTAATTTAGGATATAACCTACCCATGTACTAAATTTTAATCAAATCTATTCAGTCATTTTAGTGTGATTGAGTAACAAACAAAAACAATCTAAACATGTACGTAAACTTTTGCATTTATTAGTAGTATGGCTAATTCATACATATAGAAGAATAGAAATGCGCTTAAAACTGACACCGATCTGTTTCTCTGTAGCCACCGGCGTTCATATGCTGAAGCGCCTCTAATACGAGTTAATATGTGAACAGTAATCCTACAGAAACAATTGGTAACATATTAATTCTAATATTTTCAATTAATATAATTATATTCATTATAATAATGACGACATTCGTAGTCAAGCGGCTTAATATACCGCTCTACCTTCCTATAGTTGCAGGTTTGATCCTCAAATAATTAAAAATATTTTTATTCACGAGTAAAACTGTTCCTTATCTGTGTATCCAGTGCAAGCTCTCCTTAGTTTAGGACTAGACGGCGCTGTGGTATATGTCCAGTGGTATTTATTATTGATTTATACTAATAAATACAATTGCCTCTATATCCTGAACTATTAACCATTATATAAACCGTTTATTTAAATATGGAGCACATAGTTACAATAATAATTTTACACCTATGATTCCTGTGCCATGGGGATTTTAGGCTCTCTCATAGATTTATTATATACAAATAAAGCAAGAAATATTATTTTAACTATGATTATGCTTATGCTTGGAGATTTTTTTCCATGCATGTGTGTGTTATAAGCATACTGCGGATTTATATTATAAATCGTTGTTTATATATAATATGTGTGTATGTCATCATCTATGTGTCATTACGGTTTCAACGCGTTGTAGTAAATAATTATTTATTTAAAGGAAGTTGATGTTATGAGTCATCATGTTATGACCATTAGGAATGTGGGTCGTAGTAATTAATGAGTTAATTTTAACGAAAAACTAGAAGGTAACATTGAGAATTTTTCATACAACGAAGGTCAAGCATACGGTTCGCCTGACGAATTGGCTACGTAGAACCTTATTTGTTACAACACCAGAGATAAGGCTGATTAATAAGTAGTAGTTAGTAATTTATTTGCCATGTATTCACACACTTGAAGGCGAAATGTGACACTAAAAATAGACGAACTAAAAATACTATTAATTCTAGTATATAACAATATATAAATTTTTATTATTTTATATAATATATATAAAATAATAAAATTTTTATAGTATTTGAAACAATTATCTATTTTCTTAAAAACAATCCTTACCTAAACAACCTTATCTTTAATATCTCATAAAGTATCCATTTTATATCTTATCTCATGTCTAAATTAGATACAGTAACATTGTTAAAATATAGTAATAAGTGTATGCGATGGGTGCTCTAACATTTTTATTTATTTACCTAACAAAAGAGAAGTGTCATAATATGTATGTAATAGTATGACGCGATGACATAATGCAATGACGCCCATGATACCCCTCATATATACACATTCACACTCTTTTCTAAGAACTAAGAGTGTTTAGTCTGTGTTAGAGGTAGCACTAATAAAATTTAGTTACTTTTTTTTTACCACTTTACCACTTCCAATCAGGTGGGCCATCAGCTTGTTTGCCAAATTGTATAAAAAAAAAAGACTAATTTTGTAACAATTTCTTGATTGATTTATAATTGTGCAAGATTTCCAATATGTCATTAATGTGTCTATATAAAATTATTCTGATGTTGTATTGAAATTAAGGAAAACATTTAGTGTAATGAACAAGAGTTTATTAGCATCAGTTTCAAGGCAAATAGTTTATAAATTAATTATTAAAAGTAATATTAATAGATATAAAACTATGGATGACATATGTATAATGTAAATTGTAAATTCATAACACCATATATTCCAGGTTGGCATCTACAGTGTTTATTTTTATTATTTTAAAAATACATAGGATAATAAAAAATCATACCTGATTCTGGTTCTATAAGGAGTGGTCCATAAACTCTCTTAAGCAATTCATCTGCACCATGTTCTTCTAACTGCTTGTAGAACTTGAGTGATATACTAACCTAAAAAATAATGCACTTAATATGAGTACAAATATTTTACAGAAACTATAAACAAATAAACAAAATAATTTATTTCTGGAACCTTATTTTTATATGGAAATGTTGACTATTTATACAATCAACATTAAAACATTTTTCTGTTTGATATATTATAAATAATATCAATATCAACTTTTTATACCAATATATTTTTGTTGTTATCCTTTCCCTATCAGACCAAAGATATTTACATTCGTTCATTTCCTTTCAATTCACTCAGATAAGGTTTTTTCAGTGCATAAAATAATATCTTATGTGAAAATAATGCATTATATTAGTATTTGTACTAAATGATGACTGCTCAGTTGGACTAGAAATTGGAGATCCTATGATTTCTTTTGAATGGATGATAATGGAATGGCAATCACCCATTGCACTATAGGTATACAATACATTACAATATATATTTGGTTCACCAGTGACAAAATCGAAAATAAAATATTCATGATAATTTTTAAAGGGAACCACATGGAAGTCGACCTGATAGGGTATATTTCTAACAATGTAGTTGCCAATCTCTATTACTAGAAATTCCTTCTCTACTCAAGATTCTAAGATTAAACCTTGAACACCAAAATTTTTCATCACAATGTTTTGATAAAAAAATATTGTCACTTGCTTTATGCTTTAAAAGGCACATAAAGGCTGATAATGTCAGGTAGACTAGACACTTCCATATATACTAATGACAACCAAGAAACTAAAGAATAAAGAGGACCAATATCACTTTTAGTATTTTAAATTCACTATCAAAACTAAACACAATGCAATTACAGATGAATAGTACTTATATATGAGATTTTTATTATATGTAGATACTATTTACTGGCAATCGCTCCACATTAAGTTCAAATAGTGTATTTAAAATATGTGTCAACAATGAGAAAGTTTAAAATTAACTATCACTTGTAGTAGTTTTAGTTTATTGATTTTTTTTTTTAATCCATTGCATACTTAGATTGTTAAGTAAAAAACTTTGGCATTCTTTTTTACAAAGTTGGTAATTAAAAATAAAATGGACAATAATTATATTACTCTGTAAAACATGATCCATTATTACAAAAAGCTTTTTATTTCAGCTACTTATTTCATGCATAATTATATTGATAAGCAGGCAACTATGTTTGCTAAGTACAATAACACATATTATGCACACTTTTGAATGGTGCATTTATAACAAATATTTGATATGCTCTATTTAAATTTCTTTGACTTTTCCCACCAATCTTGTTTTTATACATATATATTTTGTGTCACATTGGAGCATGCTATAATAACTCCAGTTATCAAATGTATCCTATGAAAAACAATAAAGCTAAACAATATGTGAATGATACATATGTGCAATCCCTGCTAGTGTGTTGCTATGTGAATGGGACCTTACTTGTATCTATTTGTGTTTGCATTGTATTTTCAAACAATGTGAATGTTATCTGATTCATTTGATTTTTATGTAACTGTATACCATATAGTAAAATAAACATAGTACACAATTGCACATTTATTTCGACTTATATCTTTATTTCTTTAATATGTTTCAATTAAACTAAATATTCAAAATAGCATAGATATGCTAGTGCAATATCAATTTAGTTTCTCACTACAGAACTCACCATTGATGAGCACAAACAATTTTTTTTAACTAATAAGAAACTTCCATTAATATCACCTAAAATAATATAGTATAAGCCATATTATAACAAAATAATAATAATAAACAAAAAACCTAAATATTGATGGTCTCAAATCAATATTTTTTCCTGTATATATCTACTGTGCATGCTGCTGCTCTATTTACTGCTTTAGGCATTTGAGTTCAATTAAAATTTCTGATAAAATTGATAAGGGATTCAAATATAGGGTATAACACTTACCCTAACTTTGGTTTTATCTCCATTGATATTAGATATATGAAAGAGAACTCCATCAAAATCTGCAACCGTCACATCAATAGATTCTGGCTTTAAACTGAAATAGAAGGGTTGAAATTAAATAGGAATCCCATAAATTATTAATTAGATTCCCAGTATCAAATAAATTATCAATGGAATTCAGAAATATAGGATTTAGGAGGGGTTCCAAATCCGCCGCCGTCAGCACTAATAAACAAGCGCCATGACTCATACGTGTTGAGATAGGCGCTGCCACCATAGCGTCATACTAAGACCACCGATGGCAAGCAAATCTGGACATCATATGTTTATACTCTTTGTCATGAACACCAATATTCCAATAATGCGGGAGCCAACGTGGGCTTACGGCCCACCCTAGCAATTTGACACTTGTCATGTTACTCCCAGATAGGGGTTAGAAGTCAAGATTATCACTCCTGTAAAAATCCATGTATACAGAAATTACGGTCTTAATCACCCTAATCCTTGTGCACGCTTATTAAACACAACATAATTATAAAATCAGTAAACTTTCTAAGCGTAACGTACTCACCTGGCCAATGCATTTTTATATTTTACAGTGAGAGTTTCTTCTATAATTCTATTATTGATCTCGAGTAAGATCATTATTTAATAATATATAACCTACAGCTTTTTCATAAAATAAACGCCTATAGCACCTTCATTTAATAATTTCTACAGAAATCTTCAACGATGACCGCCCGTATAGATATCCATAAACGAACGACAGAAAAGGAAGCTCGAAGTGAATGAAATACCAGCCATGTAACCATAGACTAATTTAATATGACAAGGGCATTTTGAAAACTATATTAATATTTTGATGTAAATACATATTAAATTGATATTTATTTATACTACAAAAAAGAATATTTAATAATTTTACAATAATAAATACAAATAAGACAAATAATAATATAAGTAGGTACTACCTAATTATATGAATAGATTGGTTACATATCATCAGTGAATTAGTAATCGAATGTTTCGATTTATGAATCACTTTCTAAAGGTTAAGTAGATTAAATGCATTTTTATTCAACCTTCTTCAACAAACACCCATTTGCGATCTAGTGACAAAAGACATTTAATTAAACTAATTCATAATAGTAATTTTACTTTTCAATATGCTGTGCATAAGAATCTAATTGTATCGTAGATTAAGGATACCTGCTACGATTATCATACACACTCAAAGTCAAGAAGTCACCCGAAAAATCTGTTTTTGCAAATAATATATGATTCCGATAGTGCGTAAACACAATTCGGTGAGATTCAATAGGTATGGTTTCAAACTTTTTTGGATCGCTTATAGCCAAAGTCTCAATAAATTAAAAAATAATTCTCTGCTCTATGGAAAACATGCTTCTGGGTGTTTGTGATTTTCACGTCTTGTTTATTTATTTTTATGGAAAAAAGAAAATTTTACGCAGTTAACAAATATATTTGAATTTGTAAATACCTACCAGCATTATGAAAAATTAGCTGTATTATCTGACGAGTTCGCGGATGCCAGAAAATGTCTAATCAGGTAGCTCAATTTGTAGCTGGTCTGAAATCACGAAATGTTGATGTACAGATAAAAACCGCTCGTGAATTATATCACTATGCAAAGACTGAACTACGAGAGGTGCCTCAAGAGGAACTCACCCAGTTCCTTGACGAGTTTAATCATCAAATTTTTGAGATGGTCTCCAGTAACGATGTCCATGAAAAGAAAGGTGGAGTGTTAGCTATTGGTGCGTATTTTTTTAAATCTGTATATATATATATATAGAAAATTAAGTAGTAGTAGTGGCGCTTATTACTTTATCTTTAATTTTCTTTTTAGGCTAGGTCCCTAAAGGGCTAAGTAGAAAGAGTATTAGATTATATGGCAGTTTTATTATCAATTAACGTATGTCTTTTACTGTATAAGTGTGGATACTGCAACTGTTATGTAGTATGAAATTATAATAATTTAAATTTGGCTCTGATGTGGTTGGGAGCCTTGAGTAAGTCATGCTCACTAAAATGTCCAGATAGGAGGTGGCATGGTAGACCAGGTTATTAATAATAATAATAATATATTAATAATAAAATACCGAAAGCACATTCTGAAGAATGACACTGAGAACATCTGTTGGGCTTGTCTCCATCCCTGTTGTTCAGTTCTTGCCAACACTGAAAACTTGTACAAACACAACAAGGTAAACAAAATACTTCATCAAGAATTAGTTCTGAAGTATGGCCTTGTGAATGAATGGTTACCATACTATAAGTATGAGCCCTAGCTGGTCCTCGAAAGCAACAGCATCAGGCTGCTGTTTTTGCGAACAAACCTGATGTCATGCAGAAAGCAGTGCTCTTAGATACTGCCAGCATTGTACGCCGGTTTCTCTTCCTAGAGCCCTAAACCTTGGCCGACTGCTTCTGCCGGGGGTTAGTTTGCTGTCTCCTCTTCTTAATATGAATTTTTGTAAAAATATAAATAATAATAATAAAACCTCTTTATGCTCATATCCAACAATAGTTTTAAACTATATCAATTGCATTATGGTTAATACTAGAAATTTTTCCCTTGGCAATTTCTTAGTCGGTTTATTGAATTCCCTAAAATATGATTGAGCACAATAATGGGTGTTGCTTGTAGGGACTAGTCTGCTCTGGTTACTGCAACTGATTTACTTTATTGATTTGTTTTAATTATATACTATATATTTTAAATTTTATGATCTGATACTGCAAATTTGCAGATTCACACAAATTCATTATTTATACAGTTAAACTTTTTGAAAAGGCAACAGCTGAGTTGGTGGTAATGAAAATATTTCTTTCTTTCTTTCTTTCAAACAGGAGAAAAACTACAAAAATATATTTGCATAATTCCAAATTCCAAGCATGTATAAATATATTTATTTAATTTTTTTTTTTATTACGTTATATAATTTCTTTTACAGTGTGTCTTATTGGAGGTGACTGTGATACAACTAAAACAAGAATAACTAGATTTGCTAACTACCTGAGAAATTTGCTTCCATCATCTGATGTGGGTGTTATGGAATTAGCTGCTAAAACTGTAGGCCGACTTGCTATAGTATCAGGAGTGAAGAGAGCTGAATATGTAGAATTTGAGGTGAAAAGGGCATTTGAATGGTTATCAGAGGAGCGAAATGAGGGTAGACGCCATTCTGCTGTATTGCTACTGAAGGAACTAGCTATAGCAGTACCTACATATTTTTATCAACAAGTTTCAGGCTTCTTTGATCATGTACTTGTAGCATTAAAAGACCCCAAGCCCCAAATAAGGGAAGCAGCTGCTAAAGCCCTTAGAGCTGGTCTTGTGGTTACTGCACAAAGAGAAACGGCTAAACAATCAACTGCTAAACCGCAGTGGTACATGCAGTGCTATGAGGATGCTATGGCATCATTTGAAGATATTCCATTAAAAGAAAAAGGTATAACTAGAGAAGATAGAGTACATGGAGGTCTACTAATTTTGAATGAGCTTTTAAGATGCTCAAATGCTACTTGGGAGAAAAAATACACACACCTTATGAGGAGTTTAGACACCCAGAAAGATATAACAGTGTCTGATGATATTATTTTCATCAGTAGTAAACTTCATAGTCCATCTGTAAAAAGAGGTTATTTGTGTGATGGTTTTAAGACTGAAAATGTCCAATATCCTGTTCCTATTTATGAATCTGAGGTCTGCTGCAAACTCCTATCTGAAAAATTTGAAAGGATATGCCAAGGTAATATTTTATATTCTATACAAAGTCTTAAAAATACTTTTTGCAACATGTTAAATAAATTTAATTAATATTTCAGATGTTATGATGCATCGCATGCTGAAAATACAAGGGGTACCCCAAATACTACTCATCATTATTCCAAGACTAGCAGCTTTCAATAAAGAATTCTTTTGCAAAAAATATTTGGGTATCACTATGCACTATTTGCTGTCTTCATTACGTGGCAGAGAAAAGGATAAAAACATGGCATTCACTACGTTAGGACTTATGGCTGCAGCAATTGGAAATGATATTCAAAACTACATACCCAAAATTATGGAAGTTATAAAACAAGCTTTACCTATAAGAGACACACAAAGCAAAAAAAGAATATGGGTAGACCCATCAATTTTCGCTTGTATCACTTTATTGGGAAGTGCTGTCAAAGATCTTGTAATAACTGATATTAGAGAACTATTAGATGCAATGTTTGCCACTGGCTTAAGTCCATACTTGACTGTATGTCTTAACGAGTTGAGCCATAATCTACCATCACTCAAACAAGAAATATCAGAAGGACTTTTGAACATGCTATCACTGGTATTAAGAAATAAACCATTTTTACATCCTGGTGTTCCGAGAAGCTTAGAACAACAAATGAGTAACATGAATATTGTAATTGAGCCACAAGACACTGCAAGCATAGTTCTAGCATTGCAAACTCTTGGAACATTTCACTTTGAAGGTGAACAAAGTTTACTTATGTTTGTTAGACGTTGTGCTGATCACTTTCTTCAAAGTGAACATCAGGAAATAAGATTAGAAGCAGTTAAAACTGCTGCGAAATTATTGGCAGATGCTACTATTAGAACTCAAAAAACGCCATCACGTACACTCACTATGTTGACAGCCGAGGTTATAGGCAAATTACTAGTCGTAGCTGTAACAGACCCAGATTACGAAGTTCGCTACTGGGTATTAGAATCCCTTTATGATATATTTGATACCCATTTGGCTCAAATCGAAAATTTAAGCTTTTTATTTATAGCTATGAATGATGAACATCTTGAAATTCGTGAGTTAGCCATCTGTACTCTTGGACGTCTTAGTACTGTGAATCCTGCATATGTAATGCCAGGTTTAAGAAAAACCCTGATTCAATTTTTGACAGAATTAGAACATTCAGGAATGAGCAGAAATAAAGAACAAGCTGCCAGAATGTTAGATAACCTCATATTACATGCTCCTAAACTAGTCAAACCTTATATGGAAACAATATTAAATGTATTAGTTCCAAAACTTAAAGAATCTGATTCTAACCCTGGTGTAGTTATCAGTGTTTTAAAAGCTGTAGGAGATTTAGCTGATGTTCATGGAGACAATACTGGTCTTAAAAAATGTTTGCCTGAACTACTTACAATTCTTCTAGAGTTGTTGTCTGATGCCAGTGCCACAGAGAAAAGAAGTGTTGCACTGTGGGCCTTTGGTCAGCTTATAAGTGCTACAGGTCATGTTGTTACTCCATATACTGAGTTCCCAAATCTTATGGATGTTCTATTGAATTTTTTGAAAACAGAACAACAACCAAAGGATAGGCGTGAGACCATACGTGTCTTGGGTCTATTAGGCGCTTTAGATCCGTATAAGCATAAAATGACTAGAGGATTATGGATTGACGGACAACCAGACTCCAGTTTAGTACCTGTAGCTGATAGTAAAGCGGAAGAAAACAATTTTGATATGACCACAAGTGAAATGCTAGTCAATATGTCATCGCCTGTGCTAGATGAATATTATCCAGCGATTGTGATATCGACACTTATGCGTATATTGCGAGACCCGACACTACAGCAGCATCATACTAGTGTTGTCCAAGCCGTCACTGTTATATTTCAATCTCTTGGTATAAAATGTGTACCGTATATTTCACGGGTCACACCAAGTCTTCTCTACGTAGCTCGGGCCACTGACAGCAATAGTTTCCGCGAATTTCTCTTCACGCAGCTGGCGAAACTGATTGCAATTGTGAAACAACATATTCGGAATTATCTTGACAAAATCTTTGACCTTATAAAAGAATTTTGGACACCAAACAGCCCTTTGCAACATACATTGATACTGTTAGTGGAACATATTGCTGTGGCATTGGGTTCGGAATTCAAAGTATACCTACCGCAGTTGATGCCACAAATATTACGTGTTCTTGCTCACGACACGAGCAAAGATAGGTTCGTAACAGAAAAGCTATTATATGCCTTGCAGAAATTTGAAGATAATTTGGATGACTATATGCATTTAGTAATACCATCAATAGTAAAATTATTTGATGCAACCGACTGTCCTATTAATGTAGCGAAGGTCGCTATGGAGACAGTAGACTATCTGTCTGATTCATTAAATTATAGCGAATTAGTCTCGAGAATTATACATCCTTTGGTGAGAAGTCTAGACACCTGTCCATCTTTAAGAACTACAGCTATGGATACATTGTGCGCTTTAATTGTGCAATTGGGTCGCAAATACAATGACTTTATACCTTTAGTGCAAAAAGTAATTATAAAACATCGAATTCAACATCAGAACTATGAACAAATATTAGCTAAATTGCAATCAAGTCAAACACTTGCCCTTGATGAATTCTTACAAAGCAGTAGGCGGAAACCAAGAAACAATAACCAGGAGGTAAATATTTTATTTTGTTGAAATATGCTATAAATAAAATTTATGCATTTGCCTAATGATAAGCTAATGTTATACAATATTTATCAAGATCTTATGATTTATTTATTTGAGTGTAAATTATTCCTTTTTATAGTAATTTTTCTAAACATAATAAACCATAAGTAAGTTAAATATATTTTTTAAGATCCTTAAAAAAATTTTAAAGAGTTATATCTAGTTATTTATAAAAGAGGATAAACAATATTATAATATAACGTCAGTGATATGTAATGTATTAAATTTGTGAAAGCAAACGTATACATGTTACAGTTTTCTCTTACTAAAATCTTAAAATAATATTAATTATTTGATTAAATTATTTTGATATTTTAATATAAGTAAATTGTTATGTTCTCAGGCACGGTACGTTCTGTGTGATTCTACGACATCGATCCGAAAGCTGTGTGTAAACGCTCACAACTTAAAGTTGGCGTGGACAGTGAGCAGCCGCGTGTCCAAGGACGACTGGCTCGAGTGGCTGCGCCGGTTCAGCATCGGCCTGCTGACGGAGTCGCATAGCCCCGCACTAAGGTAGACCACTAATTGATCTTGTTGCATTTGACTACAGATTCTCAATCGCACGATACGGCAACATATTATACTAATAAAATATTTTATTCTTAAGTGCACTGTTTAATATTTACTTAGTAATAGAAATAGTAGATTTTATATTGGATTATTCCTTTACAATTATGGTTACATGCAATTATCAATCATTATTTTTATTTGTTTATTTATTCAAGAAAAACCAACAGCTAGAAAATTTCATAATAAAAAATAAAACAGTAAAGACAAAAAGCCCATTACAGATCTTTATATTATTTATAAAATAAACAAGATTTAACTAATACATATGACATCACTAATACTTACAATCAACTAAATTAAACATAGAGTAACTACATTATAGTAGTACAAACATTATAGGTAGGCAGTTATACAAAATAAAAAGTTAAGTACAGGGGATTAAACCTAACATTCTTTTCTCGAAGCGAAGCGTGCTCGGCTCGGTGGGCTCATTGCCGTGCCCCCGGATGTTATTACTTTAATTAATTTCATTCCAATAGGCACAAGTTTCATAAATTAGGTTTCGTTTTAACTATGTTTTATGACATTACCTTCTTAATGTAAATCCCGGTGTATGTGTGTATATATGCACGAGGGCACAAGGCTAGAGATGCCGAGTCTGGCTATTTTGGTATTTAAGTATTATATTTTGTTACCCATTGTACAATTGAATCATGATTCAAATCCGAAGACTCATACAAATCTTAAGTACTTATCTAAGTTACATATGTGGGTATTTGAGTTATCTATCAGATTCGAGTAGTTTTTCAATTAATTTCTACTAAGGACTTTTTTCTACGGAGTAGGTACTTTTTTTTTATAGATGATAATGAAATGGTAACGCAGCCTGCGCTATAGATATACAATGATAGGGCATCAGTGAGAGACGATTGGTGAGGATGAAATGGCAGGTCAGTTGGCCTATCGTGTGTAATTCAACGATAATTTGATCAGGATAGTTTCCAGGGGGACCGCGTGGAGATTGACATGATAGGGTATATTGATAGCAACGAGGACTAACCTCCCTATTACGAACAATCTCCTCCTCCCACTGGAGTACGTATTAGGTAGTGGAATGAGGTCGACTCGATACGTGACTACGCAGGGCGTGCCTGGCGTTGGCGCACAACTACTCGCAGCTGCTGCGCGACCTGTTCAACGCGGCGTTCGTGTCGTGCTGGAGCGAGCTGGACGAGGCGTGGCGCGCCGAGCTGGCGGCGGCGCTGCAGCAGGCGCTCACGGCGCCCGCCGCGCCCGAGCTGGCGCACGCCGTGCTCAACCTCGCCGAGTTCATGGAGCACTGCGACGGCGGCGCGCTGCCCATCTCCGCGCACCTGCTCGGCGAGCGCGCCATGCACTGCCGCGCCTACGCGAAGGCCTTGCACTACAAGGTGACGCATGCTTTGTAACATTTACTACCTAGTACCTAGGTAAGCATATACATACGATGCAGATTGCTTATGTTTTTTCAATCTTCACAGGAAGAAGAATTTAGGAACGGGGCAACATCTCAAGTCGTAGAGGCTCTGATCCACATAAATAACAAATTACAGCAGAAAGAAGCGGCGGAGGGATTGCTCGAAAGGGTAATGGCTCAGCGTGAAGCAGGAGATGCCGATTTAAAAGTACAAATACGATGGTATGAGAAATTACATAATTGGGAGAAAGCTCTAAATTTGTATGGTGAAAAGCTAGCTGTGGAACCTAATAATATGGATGCCTATCTGGGTGAATTACGGTGTTACGAAGCTCTAGGCGAATGGATTAAATTATATAATACGGTATCCGAACGCTGGCCGAATATGAGTAACGATGAGAAATTCAAAACTGCAAGACTAGCAGCAGCCGCCGCTTGGGGCCTGAAAGAATGGGAGTCAATGTCCAAATATGTAAACTTTTTACCAGAGAATACCCAGGATGGAGCTTTCTTTAGAGCTGTTCTCAGTATTCATAATGCTGAATTTGATTTGTCTAAACAATTTATACACCAGGCCCGTACATTACTAGATTCCGAATTAACTGCCGTGGCCGGAGAAAGCTACCAGAGAGCTTACGGAGCTCTAGTCAATGCTCAGCTTTTAGCTGAATTGGAGGAAGTGATCACTTATAAATTAGTAAGTGAAAGGCGAGAATCCATTCGTCACGCTTGGTGGACAAGACTTCAGGGTGGACAAAGACTAGTTGAAGATTGGCGTAAAATACTTCAGGTTCGAGGTTTAGTGTTAACTCCTCAGGAGGATATGACGACTTGGCTTAAATTTGCTTCACTTTGCAGAAAAAGTGGTGCTCCAGGACAAGCTCATAGAACCTTAGTCATGTTATTAGGAATAGATCCAAGTCAAAATAGAGATAAACCCCTTCCGACTCATGAGCCGAGATTGACCCTCGCATACGCAAAGCATTTGTGGGCGGCAGGAGATAGGCAGCTGGCGTATGACCAGTTACAACGTTATGTAAACGCAATGGCGTATAGTGAAGCAGAACGTCGATTAGTTGCTCGTTGTCATTTGAAATTAGGATCTTGGTGTGAGTCTTTGCTTGGAATCAATAATCAGTCTATACCAGAAATCCTACGCAACTATGAGTCGGCTACTGAATTAGCACCTGATTGGTACAAAGCTTGGCACGCATGGGCCTATATGAACTTTGAAACAGTTTTGTTCTATAAACATCAAGAGACAAATGCAGACAATGCAAATCAAGGAGAAAAGAAACCAACGCCGGAATGTATTCAACAGCACACTGTTCCAGCAGTGGAGGGTTTCTTTAAGTCAATCAATCTATCTCATGGTAGTTCTCTTCAAGACACACTAAGATTATTGACATTGTGGTTTGATTATGGCCATTACTCTGCTGTGCACGAAGCACTTGTAGAGGGTATCAGAACCATCGAAATTAACGTTTGGCTACAAGTTATACCGCAGCTGATAGCTAGAATTGATACTCCGAGGGCTTTAGTGGGGAAGTTGATTCACTCATTGTTGATAGATATAGGTAAATCGCACCCTCAAGCCCTCGTTTATCCACTTACTGTAGCTTCGAAGTCTTCCTTCGTGGCTCGTAAGAATGCGGCTAATCAAATTTTGAAATCAATGTGTACTCATTCGAGCAACCTAGTCAACCAGGCCGCTATGATATCTGAGGAGTTGATCAGAGTGGCCATATTATGGCATGAACAATGGTATGAAGCATTGGAGGAAGCTTCCAGATTATATTTCAGTGAGCGTGATGTAAAGGCGATGTTCAAAACACTAGAACCTCTACATGCAATGCTGGAAAGGGGTCCGCAGACACTGAAAGAAGTATCATTCAGTCAGGCTTATGGGAGAGACCTCAGCGATGCACAAGAGTGGTGCAATCGATTCAAGGTATTATTATACCTTTATTCTTATTTTTAGATACTTTTTAGTGAAATTGAAATATTATTTTGATGTCATACTTATTTTTCATGTAGCAGTAATAACTACTAATGACCACTGTAAATAAGAACTGGTACAATTTATATATTAAGTTGGAATTTTTTTATTTTGTTTTGATATTGATCATAAATTTCATACTACGAATATTCAAAAAAATATCGATTCCAAATTCGAATTTTAGTACAAAAAAAAATAGTAGATGCCCATTTTATTGAGATTTTTCCTTGTGTTTATCGTCGACGGTGTATAGGAGTCGGGCTCAGTACGGGACCTGACGCAAGCGTGGGACCTGTACTACCACGTGTTCCGTCGCATCAACCGACAGCTGCCGCAACTGACGTCGCTGGAGCTGCAGTACGTGAGCCCGCGGCTGCTCGGATGCCGCGACCTGGAGCTCGCGGTGCCCGGCTCCTACGTGCCCGACACGGACCTCATTCGCATCGCCCACATACAGAGCAGCCTACAGGTAAACATTTGCTAAACATATTCAATGCCACTGACACGTCCTGTGTATTCTTATAAATTTTAATTGTTTATGTTTTTAGTGCCCGCGATACATTTAACATGTCCAGAGTAATAATAACAATTTATTTAAATTTTTATTTAAATGTGATTAAAATAGATCTTAATAGGTTTTATATAAATACATATTTAGCCATATTGTTTTAATAGCGTGCAATATGTAGTTTTCATTACATAAATCTCTATAGCCATCATGTAAATTAAGATACTTTGTCATATAAATTAATAACGGTCACATAACGTTTTCATAAAAATGTAACGAATAAGTTATAAAATGTCGATGAATACACAGATAGACACACAGAAATGCACTGTTGGAACTTCTACACTTATTTTGACTTAAAATAGATTTTAAAGTTATTTGAACATTTTCAGTTTGGTATAATCATATTACAACGTTTTTTTTTTTAATGTTTTATTTAAATATTCTAAACATAGGTAATAACATCAAAACAACGTCCTCGCCGACTATGCATCCGCGGTTCGAACGGCAAAGACTACATGTTCCTCCTGAAGGGCCACGAGGACCTCCGCCAGGACGAGCGGGTGATGCAGCTGTTCGGCCTCGTCAACACACTGTTACAGGCCGACCCAGACACCTTCCGCCGTGACCTCGCCATACAACGATACGCCGTCATACCGCTGTCCACCAACTCGGGCCTTATCGGATGGGTGCCCCACTGCGACACGTTGCATTCACTAATAAGAGATTATAGAGACAAAAGAAAATGTCTGCTTAATATTGAGCATAAGATCATGCAACGAATGGCATCGGATTTGGATAGATTGATGTTGATGCAAAAGGTTTGTAAAATTTCATTGGTATATTATCAAGGTTATTATTGAAATACATAATAGCCATACCTTTACCAGAGGCAGACTTTGTACAAAAGTCGATTGCTTGGGTACCTCTGTCCCATTCGTGTTTCCACCGTAAAGCAGTTGTGTTTGCATAGCTGTGTTTCAGTTTGAAGGGTGGGATATGGCGTGAATTTACTGGATACAGAAGAATAACACCTGAGTCCTCAGGAATGGCAACGCATGGGGGGTATCATGGGCGAAACAGTATACTCTGTTATGTCCATGGTACTGCTCATGTCTATAGGCGAGGTTACCACTTTCCATCAGGTGGGCTGTCAGTTTGTTTGCTATTCTAAGTTGTATAAAAAAAAGTCTTTAAATTTTCTCAAACAGATATTAGGCATAAAATAAAAAAATAAAGATATATAGTATTTTTTTTTAATTGAAATGTAAAGTTTAAATGCATTATATTAACAATATTATTATTCGTAAGCCCAAATACCCGAGTACACATTTTGAATACACTTTTCAAACCTTCAGAGACAGTCATCAATTGTGTCATGCACAACACTCATGTCAATATTTGTTACTGCTTTCATAAACTTTCAAGAAGTCGAATTTTTTTTTTTAAGTTTAGCACTTCTTTTTCCTCTAAATACTGCCATATTTTATGTTCCAACGAGATAAGATCTGGGCTAGACGAGGGCCAATTTTCATGTCGAATTCAAAACTATAAACATTTTTAATAAAAGTTTATAATTATTAGATCGTAATTAAAAATTTGACTTAGTGACAGTACTTATGAACCAACTAAATATCACGCAATATAATCATTTTGAATTTGTTAACATTGGCATTGAGTACAGAAATAATTTCAAAATCATTTTAAAAATTACAAGTGTTAGTATATTTAGTAATGAGATCTTCTATAAAAAAAATACGTTAAATGTTCTAAATAGCAAATAACAAAAATAATATTATTATTGATTAATTTTTTTAACTTTAATAAAGTTTGTATTTGAATTTCGACCCTATAGGTTCCTGCAAATTAGCAAACGATATTCAGGTGTCATGGTTACAAAAATAAACAATTAATTTCGCATTTAATCCAGGTGGAAGTTTTTGAACACGCACTGGAGCATACGGCTGGCGACGATTTAGCAAAATTACTGTGGCTGAAGAGTCCTTCCTCTGAGGCATGGTTCGAGCGGCGCACCAATTACACACGCTCTCTGGCCGTCATGAGCATGGTGGGATACATCCTTGGCCTCGGAGACAGACACCCATCCAACATCATGCTCGACAGAGTCACTGGAAAATTCCTACATATTGACTTCGGAGATTGTTTCGAAGTGGCCGTAACTAGAGACAAATTCCCAGAGAAAATACCATTTAGACTTACAAGGATGCTTATCAATGCTATGGAGGTGAGTTACTAATTATATAAAGTTACTTGACATTACTTCTATTTTTCTTTTTTATTTATATATAGCAGATTTTTCTAAAAGAATATTTGTAGCCTAATAATGAATAAAATCTTAAAACTGTTAGTTAAACTATTGTTAATTCGTATCTTTATTTTCTGTAGATTTTAGACTTAATGCACACAAGTTGCAATAATCTAAAACAGTGCCTCTTTTAATGGCTCTACATCCTATTTGAATTCATTGATGATTCTTGCATAATGAACTGATCAACTTGCATGTTGTATTCTTGAGGAGTAGTATATTACTGAATTAGGGGAGATTTTGTGAAAGATCAGTGTTATATCTACAAAGTACCCCCAATTCTGCAACTAATCAATCATTCTCTAAGCTAATCCAGTTATTTTTATAATGCGTATCATACTTGTAATGATTTAATAAGTATACTGATAATATTTGATAATTACTGAAACTTCTCCCTCTTTTAGGTGACGGGCATCGAAGGAACGTACCGACGTACATGCGAGTCAGTCATGGAGGTCCTGCATCGGCACAAAGACAGCGTAATGGCTGTACTGGAGGCATTCGTGTACGACCCCTTACTCAACTGGCGACTGATAGACGCAGTCCGCCGGTCGCGGGCCGATGCGGACGCGTCGTCGTCGGACGCGGCCGGCTCACCCCCCAGCCGCGGGCGAGTGCCCCTCACACCACTTGCCCCATTAACCGATACTGTTGACCCCCCTGACCCACCCGCTGAGACGAACCTTAACAAGCGTGCGCTGGCTATTGTCAATCGAGTTAGAGACAAGCTCACCGGCCGCGACTTCCCCCACATCGACGAAGTTGTCTCTGTGCAGAAACAAGTGGACCTCTTGATCCAGCAGGCTACCAGTAACGAAAATCTCTGCCAGTGCTACGTCGGATGGTGTCCATTCTGGTAGTTGCTCGTGACTGCGATTTCATATATCTTTTTTTAAATAAATATGCATGTGTAGTTATAGTAAGTATGTAACTGTATAGTTGTAACATGATAGTCTAACGTTTGACCGTTGTCAATATCGCCGTAAAACTGCCAAAAAGTGGAAGTTCTCAATTTGGCTCTGTTTTTTTTTTATGTATTACGCTATATTTTCACGAAATGTCCTTTTATCCTAATATATAATTCCTTTAGCCTCATACCAATTCTATGAAAAGGATTTTCTTTTTATGAAAAAATATAAATCATGCATAGTAACAAAAAATCTCGCATCACATTTGATGGAAAGATGTTTTCACAATTATATATTTAAATATACATACGGATAATACTATAATTTGTAACCTATCAAAAAATACATCTGGTATATTATGAATGTTATGGTAATATAAAATTGTGATATACAGGCAAGGTCTAATTATAATGTAATAAGATATAAATTGCCATACTATTTATAATTTTTAAGTTAATTCTATTAAATGAAATGTATTCTTTAGGCCACTTCCAGATTTATTGATGTGGTACAGCATTATTTTACTCAGACTAGCTCTGTACTTACAGAGCAAGTTGGAAGTACAAAATAGCTTACCAAATAAAACTATATTGTACCATTAAATGGGAAAGCGGCCTTAGTATATTAAGTTTTTTTTTTTTTATTTGTAATATTTCAATAATGAGCAAATAATTATTTCAATATGCATAGAGTATGATTATATAATCAAGCCTTTTTTGTGCAAAAAATATGCTTATAAATTTTCGTACTATGTAATCGATAAATGAAATATTATAATTCTATTTCACAATGGCCAGGCGATGTGGTGTAGAATTTTAATGTACAGTAATCCACCCTATAACACTGAAGATTCGTTCCGCGTTGTACGAATATTCTCGTATAACGCGCTTGTACGACCTCATGTGTGTTATGTACGAATATGTACAAACATGTGTAATGTACAAATAGTTCACGTTTCACTTTTCTCGTTAAAGTGGTTTTAAATTGAATATTAAGAAAAAACTATGATGTTATGGACGCTATATGTGTGTTTTATTAAAATCAAATTATAAACATTATAAATAAAAAGCATATGTATATTTAACTAAAAACAGTTATTTTTCAAACAAATTAACAGTTTTATTACATGTTTATTTGGTGTCGGAGCTATCCGAAATAACTTTCCACCGACATATTTTTTTAATAAAATATTCAATACCCGCGAGAGGAATACCCGTTTTATACGAGGGATTGAAAACGCGTTATAAGAGTACCGTGTTATAGGGGGGATTACTGTATTACGCTTTGTTTCTTTAATTGCCTTTAACGACATCCTTGGTGTGAAAAGTAGGATAATGAATAAATATAATATTTGCATATTTTTCCTGTATATAATGTGACAGCAATGGACGACTATTTCATTTGTTTTGTTAAATATTTTTGTTGTGAGTGTATGTCAATAAAATATAAGCTGGAGAGGAGAATAATGAAAATGTATAATTAATTTAATTATTTTCCGACATTACACTACTATTATGTTCCTAATAAATGAACTATTTCGTTAACTGGCTTTTTTTTATAATAACATGGTCTCGTCTCTAATCATGTCGTGATGTCGAATAGCGTCAAAAAGTAAGCTATCAAATGCAAAAAGATTGTTTTTAGAGATTAACGTCTTCAAACAAATATACTTTTACGCTTCATTACATAGATTATAAAGAGGGTTGCTTATATTTTTAGGGATCACAAAATAGAAATCCAAACGGGTTCTTATGATGAGATTCCAATCTTTGTCCCACCGTCAGTGTATCCAACGTTTTTCTCAAAATTTATGCTTTGTGAAACATGTAGAATTCATATTTCAATTATAGAAAAAAAAAAAAAAACAGTAATTAAGTACTGGAAAGGGTTTGCAATAAAAATATAAAGTTTGAACGTTTTAACTTTTTTTAAATAACTAATTCTATATTTTGTCAATCGAGAATATCGAAGTCATGACCCTAATACTGCGGACCAAAGTAGTAAACCACTACGTTACGGTCCTAGACTACAGAACTTTGGCATAACCTCGCTCGCTCTATCCAAGAATAAGCTATTGTAAAAAAAACTATAAACGGTTGCTTTCACTCGACATAATTATAATAGCGTGTTTAATTTTTATACAACCGTAAGTCTTTGTCTACAAGATAACCAGGCAGAATTAATTAATCTATCTGGCTAAGAATTTAGATTAATAATAAGTTTTTTTTTTCTAGAAAAAAAATGACAAGTACTAATGGTAAATGCTTAATATTTTTCCATGGTACGAAACCGTAGAAAAATAGATAGATACTCTCTATTGTTTCCTTCAAAAGATTACAACAGTAAATTTATTATAAATTAAATAATTATAAAAAAAATAAAAATAGTTACTCCTGCATTTTAATTTTTCTCATAAAGGAGAATATTAAATTGGGTACTTATTACCATGGTGCCCAGACGACATAGGCTTAGCTCATAAGATTTTCTTTTCTACTGGAGTATTGCATAAAAACAAAGATTTATTCTTACGGCATTGTGCGTGGTTTACTTGGTCACTTTTGTGTTACCTCGTCATCACAAAGACTATTTTTGACCGAGTAATGACCTATAAATATCTTTCTGTCTGTATTATATAACGAATATAAAAATATCACGACACTTATATTAGCACGACTACTAATGATAATCACGACTTCACGACCTTCAGGTAACTGTAAATAGAAGGACCAAACTTATTTAAATAAAAATGCCGCTCTCTAACTATACCATTCACTTGCCTACATTGACTCTATCTGTTATTATGGTGCCTGGTATTACTACAAAATTAAGTGATCTACCTATAAATGATTTATTGATGAATTATTTAGTGAATTTACAGAAGTACAAATATAGAAAATACTGGTCATAATTAATTAATTAATAGACTACCTTATGACCCATGATTATAACTGTATACGTATACTGTTATTATCAATATTTACCATTATTGATTGCTAGATCTTCAGTAAGCAGATACAAAAACTAATATGATGACATGATTAGCAATTGTAATAGATTAGGTATAAACAAACATATTTTGCAATACAAATGCTATAAATAATAGTCGTAATCAACGATCGTTTGGCTTAATCAGTTGGTCGGTGACCGCTACAAGTATAGGACGTTACACACAATCTTTATTCAATTTACTGCAACGTGCACGCGATGGACAACTATCAAATAGTAGATTTTAACTCGTTAAGTAAGTACTCTCGTAATATTTCTAAAACAAATTTAAATTAATTTAGAAAAACCTTTTATTTGTGGGACTTTAGGACCGTCTGTAGAAAAAACTATGGATTTGAAATCACGCTTCTATGTTCTATATAATTAACTTAATCCATATGTTTGTTTTAAAAGTTATAATGTGATACGGGTATATGGGTTATCATATCATACTTTGATTTTACAACTACGTACTTGTAAAATAACCCTCCGTTGCTCATTGTTACTGTCATGTTATGCTAGCCACTTCCTTTTTATAAACCGATTGGGTCGGTCCCATAATATATATTATTTTGCGAACATAAGTGTATATGTATGATGTAGATTAAATCGTGGTTGCTTATTATTTCAATGGGAAATACCATTTTTTTTTTCAAATAAATTAACATATTTTCCTATACTTTAACGTAGCACATCCATATTTTGTGAACCTATCGATTGCTTATATCAATTTAAAGGACTTACTGTGAAGATAAATTAAATTACATTGTATTGTACTTAAACCATAAAAGTTAGGATATAGCTATACATTAAGGACTGATCCGAGCAGACTGGATTCCACAAGTTAATAGTTCAGGAGTATGACCAATAAAATAATAATTATTAGGTACATTATTTATTTAAAAGACCTCATTATTTAAAAGAACGTTTTATGTTTCTTGGAGAGAGCAATTCTAATTCTTATTCTTTACGTAGTACTGACAACCTCCAACTCATAATTCCTACCCATTCTTCCTCTTCCTACTCCAAATCCTTTTCCGTGCAAGCAGTTCGTTTGTGGAACTCACTCCCTACCTCTATACGGTGCGCTCAATCGTTGCCCATTTTTAAAAACTTAGTTAAAGCCCACTACCTATCCTTATAATCACTTAGTCCTACGTATTTCCAGTTTTATGTGTGTTATATATATATGTGTATTAATATGGTATATTTGTATGTATTTATGCGTATATATGTATATGTATGTATATATATTTATATGTGTATGTATATATATGTATATGTTTGGTTGTATGTGTTTATTTATGTATGTATATGTATATGACTATGCTGTCACAAATATTATTTTTTACAAATCTATCTTTTTTAACGCGCCACCTACCTACTTATGCTTTAATCCTTTCTACCCAAAGGTTGTCTGGAAGAGATTGCTTAGCAATAAGACCGCCTTTTGTACTACACTATACGTATTGAAAATTGTTTTAACAAATCATGTTATGTTGGTGCAATAGTGTTAAATAAATAAATAAATACATTCACCCATGTTTTAGAGAACCTAACATTACTTCATTATATATTTTATAACTTATACAATGCTTATCGATCTAATAATTGTAGTTAGACACTGGATCTGACCCGACGCGGACTTTAATTTATTAATGGCTATAATTGGTATAATTACATCCTTGAGATACCGACGGTTAACGGTTCTTTAATAAATCATAAGATCAAGGCGGTTTTAGAGAGCGGATTTCATGCAGCATGCCTTTACTAATCGGAATTTGAATATAGAAGACAAAGATAATGTTTGGAATATATAAAGTCAGCTAGGATTAAACACATTCTCTACTTGAGATACTAGAGACCGTACCAGTGCCGCAACCGGATTAGGCATTTTGGGGCAAATTTTTCAATTTCATTAGCACTCATTGCGTTATCTTCTCTCACCGGTGCCCATAGTATAGCAAGCGTATATCGATAGCACAGGGCTTTCCATTTCATTTTCAAAAACCCTGTGTAAGTGGAGATTATATAGATAATTGGAATGAGTGGAACTAACGACATACTTACCTACCTATCCATATATGTTCATGTCATGTCTCTTATGGGATAGATAGAGTAACGAATTCCTCCTTCTCGTGCCTCTAATATAGCCCTAATCTACACGAATTCTTTACAATTTGATGTGTGAGCTATATAACTTTTGGTGCATCATTTTTTGGTCGGAGTCTAGTATTTATCTTTTTACATGACATAAATAATTTATTATTTAAATTCATATCAACATCACTGATATTAGATAATATTATTTGATAGTAAAATTAATTATTAGATAATTTATAACTAGGTGCTTATAACTTATGTACCTAGGTTTGTCTGATACGATCATGTACGACCGAGGTGTCTACGACTTTATTTAATACATAATTTAAGCGTAACCAGGTCGGTCGTGCATCTACGTATCTGTTTTGATAACAATTAAATTGTGATGTTTACGTGCTTTCATAACATGACACATGTTTATTGCATGGTGCAAACAGGTCAGGGCGACAACCGATTTAATTGCCTACTCAATAGTAGATTTCAGAATATTATTTGTGCGAATCTGCGAGCATGGATTCCCTCAATAAATGCAAGCAAAAAGCAAGCTATAATAGTAACTCATACATACATACATATATATATATATATATATATATATATATATATATATATATATATGTATATATATATATATATATATATATATATATATATATATATATATATATATATATATATATATATATATATATATATATATATATATATATACACATATATATATATGATATGAACGAGTGATGTTAAAAAATATTTTGAAATATTATAAAAGAATAAGTAATAATTTTGTCTAAATAACTAATATATTTTTCTTAATAACTCATAATATTCGTTGCAGACGAAACCATACAAAATTTAATTAAAGAAGCAGTCGCAGCAAGGAAATTAGCGTACTGTCCATACTCGAACTTCGCAGTCGGGGCAGCCCTACTCACAGAAGAGGACAACAAGTTATATACGGGGTGCAACATTGAAAACGCAGCACTCGGACCTTCGATATGTGCAGAGCGCGCTGCCGTGCCCAAAGCTGTTTCCGAGGGATACACTAAGTTTAAATGCATAGCGGTGGTTGCACATCAAAACAATTTCACTGCACCGTGCGGAGTCTGCCGACAAACACTAAGTGAATTTCGTGGGTCAAACGGCGATATAGATGTATACCTGAGCAAGCCACAGATGGATAAAGTATTATGTACGAAACTATCTGACCTCTTGCCGCTTTCCTTTATTAGTTACACAAAGGACAGTATTATAACATAGTTTTTTAAGTCTCATAACTTTATGAAGATATCAAATTTTAAGTGCAACTCAGTAAGCGTAAAGAATAAATTTTATTAAGTATAAAAATTTATATTTATTTCTATGTTCTGTATTGTATAAATGTAACAATACAAACCAAAGCTACAATGGGTATGGCGAGAGTCGCTTATGAATTTCTCAATTAAATTTTTCTCAAGTAAATTTATACAATACCAAAAAGACAAAAATATACATTATACTTACATTAACATTTATTCGGTTTGTGAGGGATATGGAATTTGCCATTAAATTAGTACTAATCAAATAACGTTTTAAATCTTAAGTTATTAAAGATCTCATAAACGGCTCTAACTTTTGCGACATAATAAAAATTTCAATTTGATATTAAGCAAAATCTTTACGTTTAAAATAGATTCAAAGGTAGTCTATTGTTATATTATATTACCTGTGGGTGAGTGGGTCTACAAGGCAATGTGTCAATAGAGACAGTGCGTATTCAACCTCCACTTGTTTCACTCGTCACCCTGTGTCGCTTATCTAATTATGGCGACGACGATAGAAACAGTAATTTCGTAATATTATCAAATTAAAATATTACGAGGTTTGTCCGGAAAGTACGTATAAAAGTTTTTTAAAAATTTTATTTTACAATTATTCAGGTAAATCAATTTTATCCCCTTCAAAGTACTCCCCCTGTGACATAATGCACTTGTGCCAACGCCGTTTCCACTGTGAGAAGGCTCCTTGAAAGTCCTCTGGTTGTAGGTTTCTCAGCTGCCCCGTCGTAGCTTTTTTTATCTCATTTATGTCCCCCAAATGCCGCCCCCGAAGTACCAATTTGGTTTTTGGGAACAAGAAGAAGTCACACGGGGCCAAATCCGGCGAATAGGTGGGGTGTTCGGTCACCGTCATGGAATTTTTACTCAAAATCTCACGGACAACAAGAGAGGTGTGGGCAGGGGCATTGTCGTGGTGAAGAATCCAACGCCCCTCTCGCGCCAATTCTGGACGAACTCGTGCCACACGAGCTTTGAGGCGTCTGAGCACATCGACGTAGAATTTTCCATCAACTGTCTGGCCTGGAGGGACGAATTCTTGATGGACAATCCCCCGAACATCGAAAAAAACAATCAACATTGTCTTGACATTTGAGCGGGATTTTCTTGATTTTTTTGTTCGTGGTTCCCCGGATGTCTTATCGAATTAGATCGGCAAAAATTTCACGGCCATTCTTGCCGAGTTTCGAGAGAAACTTGATTACGACGCGCTGCTCTTCAACGGAAGCGGGCTCCATGCCGACGGGGTTTCGTTAAGAGGTAACTTCACAGATGGCGTGACAAGCCAGTTCGCACCGCACGGCGGTCAGACCAGAACTGAAGCATTGTTAGGGACATAAGGAAGGGGTCCTGCGCTTACCTGGCCTCCCCACTCCTCTTTCTCGCATTCCAGAACACTTTTATACGAACTTTCCGGACAGACCTCGTACATTTAGAAAAATGGCTCCTCAAAATCGACCACATTGACACTAATCAAGTGTTTTGTGTGTATCTGCTGTATATGAATGTATTTAATAATTACAAATTATATTAAATTACTAAAATATAATTGTAAGAGAAACAAAAGTAAGTTTTTTTTCGAAGATCGTTACGTTACGTTTTCTTTAAGAATAACACAATAATTAAACTTTTATTGTAAATCATTTATATCTGTCCCGAATATACAAAAACAAGCCAATATAATGAGAAATTATAAATGAACAATACTGCTAATGCTATATTTTTATTTGCACAACAATTTAATAAAAAATACATTTGCTTACATACCTAAATAATAACAAACTAATAAGAAGATACGGTGGTAATAACAATATTGATATACTTAGAACTATGAATATAAAAACACATAGACATGACGGCAACTAATAAATTACTTTTACGCGTATTATTTTTATGTATTTTTTTTTATATATATAATATAGAGAAACGATATCTTTATACCTATCTGTATTATACAAAATAATAAGTCATTTGAAATTAAAAAACAAGCTGTTATAATATTAAAATACTGTTAAATCAATGTTAGAAGATAGAAGCATGTCACACTTTTAAGTCATACAATGATATCTGTTGTATCGTTGCGTCCGTCGTCGTAAATAATTAGCAATATTATAACTTTGGTTCGTAAACAATAGAACATACAAGTTTGAATATTATTTATAATGGAGTAGTATTTTTCTTTTAAGTAATATAAGTAAATTTAGAGAACGTTAGTTTTTAAGAAATAGGTTTTATAAACATCAAACTCATTATTACCATAAACTATAGATACAATTTTATAAATATTATGAGTCTTTTTTTATTTTAAGCAATAGATTCTTTTTTATAGATTGAATAAATAATAAACAATCTTAAACACATAGTAAACTTAAAAAAAAAATACATAGCGTGAATAAGTAGCATAATAGAAAAATTCTTTATGTACATTTATTGTTTTTGTCTATGGTACTTTTCATATCTAAACAGTACCATAGACAAAATAGGTGACGGTTACCACTTTTCATCAGGTAGATCGTCAGTGTATTTGTCATTTTAAATTGCATAAAAAAACATAAGTGCTTGAAATATATGATAATGTCAGTCATACATTTAAAACATTTCCAATGATAGTGTATTCAAGTCCAAACAAGATAAATAATATATATAAATAAGAATTAACGAATGAAATTACATTATGACCTAGGGGCCTATTACAAACTTTTAAATAGAACATCAAATGTCATAATTTCATCCATATAATAAGACTTTTTACATAGAACAGCTTGTCCTATTTCTCTCTCGATTGGTGTTCTTAATTTATACTTCTAGTAGCAAAATCTGTAAAACTGTCAGGTTTTAAAAGTTCATAATATGCCCCCTGAATTCGAATTATGTGCCTTAATAGTTAAATAACATTGCCTCTATACAACATAATAATTACATACGGTTTTCCAAATTCACTTGTAATAAATATATAAGTGCCAAGCCACAATGAAAAAAAAAAACATTAGCAATGTATGTATAACCCAAATCTTAAACCACAGTTATTTTCAAAAATTGACGAGAAACAAGTGTATCTCAATTTGTTACAATATAGGAACTCTGTACAATATTATACAAATAACTAAAATAGGTATATATACTTTAGGCAGTCAAATACAATCAGTTATAAATATAACTATTATTTTCTCGTATCAACAGTCAAGCGGATGACACAACGAGTAGAAAGTGATAATTATCGATAACAAAACTAAACATTAAGCAACGCCGCAGAGACATTAATATATACTGTGCTGACCATTTCTATATCCGATATTATCAGATTGAAATACAACAAACGCATTTTACTGATTCACGGCAGAAAACAGGGATATCTCCCTTATCAGAAAGCTTTACATAATATTATAATGAGTACATAACCAATCAAGTAAGTAGCACTGATTGGTGATTGACGATGTCTTACCAAAATGGACACCATCCTAAGTAGCACTGACACAAATTCTCATTATTAGTCGCTAATTTTATCAACAAGTCCACCTGTTTGGGTACACTCACAACTGCCTCCACATGTGGAAAGTCCCGTCCGGTGAGTTTGTCCCGTATTCTGTTCAGAATGGCGAGAGCTCGCTTGTTTAGATTCGCTTCGGGCGGTATCTCTATGGACTCATAGTGGAGGTGATTACGGCTCCTGCTGGGAAGCGTATACGAAGAGTCGATGTCAGAGGAGAAGGTCGATTCTGTGAGCGAACGGTAATCGTTGTCGACGAGCCGCCAGTTCAGTAATGGATCGTACACAAACGCCTCAAGTACGGCCATCACGCTGTCTCTGTGTTTGTGCAACACTTGCATCACAGATTCGCACGTGAAACGATACGTGCCTTCAATGCCAGTGACCTGTGGACAAAGTAAAGGCAAATAGTATGCTATGTATAAAGATTAACCTCCGGGTTCCCGTGGAATCTCAATCTTCTGCAATATTAGATAAAAAATTATTTAAACATTTTTTTTTTTACACTTACTAAATATTCATTATAATAAAATTCACCAGAACGAATACATTTGGTCCACCACAAAAAAAAAAAAAAACACCAACTTCAATCATGGTAACACTAAATTAAATAATTTAGTTTCAGTATTAATTCAGTTTTGTCACAAATAACTGGTTAATGATTGTTGTTATTGCTTTAAAATAACATTATTCTTATTTTAAACTAGTAATCATAACCATGTACCAGTTATTTTGATTTAAAAACCAAACTAATGAACCGATATTGATGAAATTTCTATAGGAAAATATCTGAAAGTACATACTTTTAAATAAAAAAAAATCCTAATCAATTTATAAATGACGGAGTATAAAGGTAATAAACATAACAATACAACCGAATTACAATAGAACCTTTAGTTTTTTTGAAGTTGGTTAAAAAGAAGGGAACCTAGCCATAAAACTATCTAACACATAGAAAAAATATACATAAAAACATCCTTACTTCCATTGCATTGATTAACATTCGTGTCAATCTGAAGGGTATTTTCTCAGGGAACTTTTCTCTTGTTTGCGTCACTTCAAAACAATCCCCAAAGTCTATGTGTAAGACTTTGCCAGTAACCCGATGCAACATGATATTGGACGGGTGCCTGTCTCCAAGGCCGAGGATGTACCCCACCATGCTCATGACAGCCAGAGAGCGTGTGTAATTGGTACGCCGCTCGAACCACGCCTCAGCTGACGGACTCTTAAGCCACAGTAATCTAGCCAGATCGTTTCCAGGAGTCTGCGATAATGTGTGCTCAAATACTTCCACCTGTAAAATGTATTATTTGATATGGCGAAAAAGTTGGTGGCCTACATGATCGAATAGTCGTGAGACAATGAACAATGATAAAAATATAGCAAGAAATGAACTTATCACAGACAGATATTAAATATTCTATTATATAAGTTTTTTTTTATACAAAAGCGGTAACCGTCGCCTATAGACATGAGCAGTACCATGGACATAACAAAGTATACTGTTTCGCTCATGATACCCCCCATGTGTTGCCATTCCTGAGGACTCAGGTGTTATTCCTCTGTACCCTGTAAATTCACGCCATATTCCACTCTTCAAATCGAAACACAGCCATGCAAACACAACTGCTTCACGGTTGAAACACGAGTGGGACAGAGGTACCCAAGCAATCGACTTTTGTACAAAGTCTCCCTCTGGTAACTTATGAAATAGAGTAGACATCATCTGAAGAAAACTGAAAGTAGAACAAGAATCGTACAACCTTAGATTATATAGATAATGTCTCCATACAAATGTTTCGAGAAAGCGGATCAACTATTTTATACAATTTTGTCTCATAAAAAATTAAGAGGGTTTTCTTTATAACTTTTATATTTATTTTGTTTTATAATTTTTGCATCTTTTTAATATGTAAAAACTTATTTTATTTATTCAATAATTAGATAAAGATATGTTAAGATACATTATGTATGTAAGTATAAAGATAAAAAAACGAGTCAACTAATTTGACAATTAGCTAACAAAAAGTTGACCCGTTTTTACAAGCACGGACTTCATAATCTGCAAGGTATGTACCACAAACTGTATCACGTAGTTATGGGCGTATTTTTGGCCATTTTGTAAATGTGCGATGCCATCGGCTACGTAGCCACGAACTTGGATGCATGACAATGCACGAACTGCGAGCATGTTTCCGTTTTACGTAAATATCAAGTTAAATATTCAGAGGCACTGAATTAAATTTGTTTTGAACGAGGTACTATTTTAATATATCAGTAGGTCAGAAGTTTGTTCACTGTTCCTAGTGCAATAATTTAAAAAATATACCTATATAATAAAAAAAAAAAAACCAACCTTATGTTTTAACAAGAGCTTGTGATAATCAGATGCCATTCGCAACATAATTTGCTGCTCTGTATTCAAGGACATTTTGTTGGACTTTTTGTCACGGTAGTCACTTATAAGATTGTAGAGAGTATCACAGTGGGGAACCCAGCCGATGAGGCCCGAGTTAGGCGAAAGCGGTATAACAGCGTATCTCTGTATGGCAAGATCGTGTCTATACGTGTTGGTGTCGGCCTGTAACAGCGTGTTGACGAGGCCGAACAGCTGCATCACCCGCTCGTCCTGGCGGAGGTCCTCGTGGCCCTTCAGAAGGAACATGTATTGCTTGCCGTCTGATCCTTGAATTGTTAGCCGACGCGGCCTCTGTTTTGATTTTATAACCTGAAATATGTAATTTTATTATTTTCCATTATCTCTTATCAGTTCCGTCTATGGTACTTGTGGTGATGGAAAAAGAAAACAAAATGTCCCTATTATTTTTCATCACCAGAATGTCTTATGAGATCACATATATGAAGACCCTTAGTTTACCTAGGTCACATAACCATGACACTGTCAATTTGAAAAATAATTAATACAAAACGCGTCAATAGTTTTTCATGTATACTATTTTCACTGTCAAATCATAAAAAATGTCAGTAAGCAAGTCTTAAAAAAAAAAAACTGAAATGTACATGCGGGATTCACGCACCGAGGATTTCGTACAAATTATAATAATAAAAATTGAAACTTTTTGTGAGTACACTACAAATTTACGATTTCGGTTCTTTCCCATTACTTGCGCTATACAAAATTGCTTTTTGGCAAATTTCGTGACTCTAGGGAACTTCAACAGGAAGTAACCTCTAGATATTGATAACCTTGTAAATGTCAAAATATATGCTATAAACCAGGGGTTACCAACCGGTCGATCGCGACCATAAGTCCAGTCAATCGTGGCAAGGTAAAAATTATAATATTTTGCTAATCTAGTGGAAGATACTCAGACGCAATGCTCATACTAATAAGTAGTTGTTAAGAATATTTTTCAGCATTGCTGGGATCGACTGGACTAGTAGTCGCGATCGACTTCGCGATCATTTGGTTGACCACCTCTGCTATAAGGGTTGTGTTTTCCACTTGTGTATGGAATCCTAAAAACAATTTTATGCCCCATAATCTAATGACTGACCTGTAAATGACTATGTATGGTAGATATTCGTATAATTTTTTCATTAGGCACATAGGAGCCGGGCACTGCGAGCTCGAAATCCTTGCAATTGTGGAGTCGCTTGCTGACGTACTGCAACTCTAGCGAGGTGAGTGACCGGAACTGTGCTAGCAGACGTCTGAACACGTGGTAGTATAAATCCCAGGCCTCGTTCAAATACTTGTCTTCGCCAATAGCCTATTAACAAGTATTGAAATTGTAACATTTGGAAATATGAAAAAGCAAGACACAAACATATTTCTCATAACAAAGTATATACTTTATAAAGTTCACACCAACGCTGCGCCTCTTGCAGGTCCCTTCCATACATTTGAATGAAGGACACTTCCTTCAATGTTTCAGGGGGACGATTCAACATGGCGTGCATTTTGTCTAAAGTTTTGAACATACCTCTGTAATCCTTTTCACTGAAATATAGCCTGAAAAAGTAATAATGACAAGTATTTATCGTTCATTAATGCTTTTGGAAAATATAATAAAAAAACTGGCCGTGGGGTCCCGGCATATAATAGGCTACACCATCCTATCCTGTGGGTGTCGTAAGAGTCGACTAAGGGAGGGCGAGGGATGGGCAGTTGCGTCCGTCTTAAAACATTTCTAAAGCCTGACTACGGTTGCCAATCTGCCTACCAAGCGTGGCAATTACTGGCAAAACCCCCTAAAAAGGAGGCTTATCTTCAGCAGTGGACAGTTAAAGGCTAATATGATGATGATGAATCAAAAAATTTATATGATAGCGTCGTCAGAACAATGACTAAAAATCAAAACCATTTTCAAGTTCGTTGCCGCCCCGACCGGATGCCTCTCAAGTATATGGCCTACTAAATTCTGACCTTCTTTACTAACATAATTTTAAGTCTGTTACTAACATAATGGATCTTATTGAATTTGAATATATTACTTACCTAGAAGCTTCATCAAGTGCAATGAAAACCTGATCATGCCATAGAATTGCAACTTTAATTAACTCTTCAGATATTACAGCGGCTTCGTTTACTAAATTCTGGGAGTGTGTGCACATAGTGTTCAAGATATAGTTTGCTGCAGTCTTCCGTGAAATAAATGATGATTTGGTAGCGACAGTCAATGGATAAACTAAAGCTTGCGGATGTAACTTTCCTATGTCTATAAGGAGAATATGCACCAACTTGGCAACTAAACTTCTCGGTGAATCTATCCTTGCTATCAACTGCGGTATTACTTGCAGCCAAATTTTGACGTCAATCTGTCTGATTCCTTCGAACAAGGCGTCATAAATGACAGTATTATGGCCATGGTCAAACCACAGAGTTAGCAGTCGCAATGTATCCTGTAGTGCACTACCATTAGACAAACTTATAGACTTAAAAAATCCCTCAATAGCTGGTATTGTATGTGTATTTATGAAATCAGCTCTTGACACTTTCTTTTCTCCTGAACCACCCGCTAAACTGCTTTCGGATGTGTTATCTTGCTGTTTATAAAACAATACCGTTTCGAAATTCATGCAAGCCCACGCATGGCACGCTTTATACCAATCCGGTGCGAGATTAGTTGCAGCTGCAAAATTCCTCAATATTTCTGGTATAGACAACTCATTTATTTCCTGTAGTGACTCACACCACGAACCAAGTTTTAAGTGACAACGCGCTAAAAGCTTACAATGGTCCTCGTTATCAGGTTCAAAATTGTCCACAAATCTTTGTAAAACATCATAAGCATAACGTTTGTTACTCGCCTCCCACAAATTTTTACTGTACGCTAAGACGACACGTGGGTCCTGAATACGTAGCAGTATGTCTGGATTAGTAATAGGATCAGAACCTAATATGGATATTATTATTTTTCGGGCTTGATTTATAGCACCAGTTTTCCTACATAAAGACGCAAATTTTAGCCATGTTTGAAAATCCTCTCGTGGAGATAACACTAGGCTACGAATTTGAAGTAATTTTCTCCAATCTTCTACAAGTCTTTGACCTCCTTGTAACCTTAACCACCAACTTTTGCAGATAACATTTCTCCTTTCTTCAATTAGTTTGTATGTAACAACTTCTTCGAGCTCTGTCAATAACTGAGCGTTGACGAGAGCTCCGTACGCTCTCTGGTAACTTTCGCCAACAACAGCTGTCAATTCACTATCCAATAAACTTCTAGCTGAATCTATGTAGTGCCTTGATTCTGACCACTGTCCTTCGCGTATAGCGATAATCGCTCTATAAAAAGCACCTTCTTGAGTGTCTTCTGAGACACAATCAACAAACTTTTTCATAGAATCCCATTCTTGTAAACCCCAACAGGCGGCGGCAGCAATTTTTGACGACTTTTTTCTCATATCTTCAGACATATTATCCCACTGATCAATTGTAATGTTGTATAGCTTTCGCCACTCGCCCATAGCTTCTAAGCACCTCATTAAACCAAGTTTACATTCGCTATCTTGTGGTTCCACTTCTAATTTTTTATTGTAGAGATCTAAAGCTTGTTCCCAATTATGAAGCTTTTCATACCACCGCACATGAATATTTAGAGAACAGTCACCATCTTTTTGTTGCATAATAACTTTTTCTAATAGGCCATTAGCTGCCTCTTTTTGCTGAAGTTTATTGTTAATATGTATAAGAGCTTCCACGACTAGAGTTGATGGGTTTCTTCTGTATTCTGTCTCCTATAGACATAATATGCATGGTAATTAATTATATAAAGGCTATATTTATATTAATTAAATATTAAATACTTCATTTATTACCTTGTAGTACAGTGCTTTAGCATATGCTCTACATTTGATGGCTGTATCACCAAGTAATTTAATTGATATAGGAAGTGCCCCCTTTTCACAATGCTCCATGAACTCGGCTAAGTTCAAAACAGCCAATGCTATTTCAGGTGAATCGGGATCAGTTAAGGCACGCTCCAGGGCAGTTATGAGTTCCCGCCGAGGTTCCTCGCCTAGTTCGGTCCAACAAGACATAAATGCTGGATTGAACAAGTCGCGTGCCAGTTGAGAGTAGTTTTGGGCTAATGTTGAACATGCCCTGTAAATAATAAATAAATATAATTATACTTTATGTATATAAAATAGAAACGACCAAGAATTGCGTTCTTTATTAAGTCCACATTTACCTAATTGCTGGACTATTGGACTCGGTTATAAAGCCCACACTAAGATGACGCAACCATTCGACCCAATCTTCTTTCGAGATGATACTCTTTGTAGACCAACACTTACGTAAATTTTGAACGTTGACTGATAACTTTTGAATTGTTTGTGTATCGCTTGTTTTACCCAGCAACTGAAATGTAATAAGAATCATTTTTTTGTCAATGTTTTCATTTGAATTGAATTGCTTAAACTACTATACAGATAAATGTAAAAAGTATATTTAAAAACAATAAAGAATAGATTACTTACTGCATTCTTTTGATTACGAAGCCTTGTGCGCGTTTCATCTAGGTAGTCATCATCAGATGCAAGTGTTGATACGACCTGTAATCTTGTAACTAATACAATGTACTCTGGACATTGTATTTTATGCTTTGCCAGTATACGATCAATCGATGGTATATAATCAATGTATTCCCGGCCTAACTGGACAATGAGAGCGCAAAGAGTGTTCATTGCTGTCTGTCTTAATAAAGGGTTATTGTCTAAAACCTTAGCAAGCGCCTGTATTATAATCGCAGCATATGGCCTAAAGTACAAATACATAGATAGGTGCTTGATAGTCTCCATCGCCAATTTTGATATCGGGGTAGGAATATTTCTACCATCAAAGAGCCCAGTAATAGCAGGAACTATTGACAATAGTACATCATCCAAATTGTTTTCAAACTTTTGTATAGTCAACAACATCTTTTCTGTTAAATATCTATCTTTAGTTCTATCATATTTTAAAACTCTAAGAATGTTTGGTAGTATTTTTCTCAAATATATTTTAAACTCAATCCCGATAGCAACAGTGATGTGTTCAACCAGCATTATTAATGTGGGTTGTAAATGACTATCTGGTTTCCAATACTCTTTGATAATATCAAATATATCTTCTAAATAAGTTCTGATATGTATCTTCACTACAGAAATCAACTGAGCGAGTTGCGTGAGGAGGAATTCACGGAATTTATTATTGTCAGTATTACGTATCACATACAATAAACTGGGAGTAACTCGAGAAATGTATGGAACAGACTTGATGCCAAGTGATTGGAAAATAATTGTTACTGAATGTACTACACTTGTGTGGTACTGAGCTAATAAGGGGTCACGGAGAATTCTCACCAGTGACGTTACCACGATGGCAGGATAAAACTCGTCTAGGACCAATGGCGACATGTTTACGAGCATTTCACTAACATTTGTATCAAAGTTGTCATTCCTTTCTGTGATAGGTATCAAAGTGGACACTGTCTGGAAATCGATTAATCCTTGATTAACCTTGTGCTTATATGGATCTAGAGCACCCAAGAGTCCTAAAACTCGTATTGTTTCCCTTCGATCCCTCGATTGCTGTTCTGATTTTAAAAAATTAAGCAGCAAATCCATCAATTGTGGATATTCCATGTATGGCATAATCACATGACCTGTGGCACTTATCACCTGTCCAAATGACCATAAAGCTACACTTCTTTTTTCAGGTTGATTAGGATCTGAGAGTATTTCAATTTGAATCGCCATTAATTCATGTAGCCATAGACTCAGAGCATTTCCACCACCATTTACTTCAGCCAAATCTCCAATAGCTTTTAATATTGTTGACACCATAGTGGTATTACTCTCCTCTTCCCTTAATTTTGGTACAAGCACTTTAAGAATTGTGTCAATAAATTGTCTAGTAATTCTTGGAGCATGACAAATTATATTGTTTATCATTCTCAAAGACTGTTCCTTATTACCTGTAGACTCCGAGTGTTGCAATTCCATTAAAATTTGTACAAATAATTGTCGAAGGGTAGGTGTAGTATAACTAGGATTCATGTTACTTAATCTTCCAACAACACATAATGCTAGATCACCCACTTCAGTATTTGAATCATGAATGGCAACAAATAAACAATTTAAATGTTCTTCCACTGCTAAGTATTTATCAAAAATAGGATTGGTAAATATTTCTAAAACTCTATACCGAACTTCATGATCAAAATCTGATCTACCCACTGACAAAAGTTTGCCAAGAGATTCATCTACTAACAAGTTTAGAGTTCTAGAATTTGTCTGAGAACATCGCTCAACTGCTTTAATTAATAATCTTGCTGCAGTTTTTACAGCTTCCAGACGTACGTCATGCTGTTCACTTAATAGATAATGATCGGTGCACCTTCTTATGAAAGACATTAGGGTATTGTTCCACTCAAAATCAAATGAACCCAGAGTTCTCAGGGCTAAGACCAACTTTGTAGCATCATGTGCTTCTACCATCAAAGCCGTAGACATGATGTGCATAATCTGATGTTCAGAATTATTTGGATTATATGGTTTTTTTCTGAGTATTAGTGACAACATATTCAAAAGTCTGTCAGTTATTTCTTTCCTTAAAGATGGTAAATTTTGACTTAATTCCTTAAAACATGTAGTGAGTTGTGGGCTTAGTCCTGTTGCACACATTGGTTCCAATAATTCTCTCATTTCATTAGCAACATTTTCTTTCATAGCAAAGCCTAATAATGTCACACAGTTAAACAAAGGGGTGTCTATTCCATTACGTTTCTTTGATGAGTCTTTGATAGGTAGTGTTAATTTTATAATTTCTATGATTCTGCTTAAATACTGTTGAATATCAGCCTCAACAGCGACACAAATAAGTCCCAAAGTTGTAAAAGCCATTGCCTTTTCTTTCTCCTTACCATGAAGAAAAGTTATTAAATGGTTAATGATTGATTTAAGGTGTTTCCTTGCAAATGCTTCCCTGTTAAAAGCAGCCAACCTAGGAATTATGAGCAAAAGCATTTGATGAACATTATGAGCTCTTGATACTTGTTGAGTCATTATATCAGCACATATAATATTACACATAGAGTCATAATTCTCAGTAATGAGGAGTTTACAAATACTAGATTCATGAATTGTGGAAACTTGTTTCTCTTCAGAAAAATTATGTACAGACCATGAATTTTGCATTTTGGCACTTAGAGAAGACATATCATCAGACATATCTTGTTCGGAATCTAATTTCTGCATTAGTGTTGTATATTTTTTCTCCCAAGTACTATTGGAACATCTCAAAAGTTCATTTAAAATTAACAATGCTGTATGAATACTATCATCTCTATTCTTAAAGGTTGCAATGGCTTCTTCATAACATTGGATATACCAGTGAGCTTTATTACTCTGTTCAGGTATTTCCCTTTGTGCAGTGACAACAAGAGCAGCTCTTAAAGCTTTAGCTGCTGCCTCTCTAACTTGATCTTTGGGATCTCTCAAAGCTAACATTATGTGATTGAAAAATCCATTTATATGCTGATAAAAGTATGAAGGCATGGCAATTGCTAATTCTCTCAGAATTAAGACAGCTGAAAACCTTTTGCCTTCATTTCTATCATCTTTTAACCACTCAAAAGCTCTCTTTACTTCATACTCAACATAATCACCTCTTTTAACTCCTAAAGTCATAGCTAAGCGACCCATGGTTTTTGCTGCTAATTCTAGAACATTCACATCTGTTGTAGGAAAAATATTTCTTAAGTAATCAGCGTAGCGAAGGGTTCTTGTCTTAGTTGTCTCTGTATCTCCACCAATAAGGCATACTGAAAGAATAAAATACAATTTAACACACACATTTTGCTCTGCAAAAGAAACCAGATTAATGATACATTAGCCTTGCTCAATGCTCAAATATTCATTATTTAAGAAGAAAAGTTATGGCCTCTTAGTGCCTATTGTAAAAAGTAACAAGTAATTAAGTGAAATAAACATTTTATCACAATTATTTATAAAATGTTGATAGAAGTAGTTTTTTTTAATTAGTAATAATAGAACTCCAACTGTACTATTGGTTTATGTTGACAAGGTACCAGTGAGTGATGATAGATTTTCATCTATATGAAAGGTAAGCTGGCCCATTGTGATAAATATACCACAAATTAACCACAATGGTTTTAAGGGTTTCCCTTTGATGTGGATGTTAGCTAAACAAATCTAAATAGCAAGCTTATAGATACAAACCATTACGCATGAAGGTATGTATCAAGCAGTACTAAAAAATCAATTTGAATATATAATATTATATATATTAAATCTATATATTTCAATATTTCACTTCCCAAGCTGTATTAAGATATTATTAAAAATTCACGATAATGATGTCATTGTATAAGATTATATTTGGTAAAATATATTACTCATTAATGTAAACTTAACAATAAATTAGAGTGGGCTTAGATAGATACTCTTTATTGTTTCCTCCAAAAGATTACAATAGTAAACTTATTCTACAACTAAACTATCATTACAGTTACTACTAATTTCAAGAAAATGATGCTGCTGTTTGGCGAATTCAATACATTCTAATTATCTTGTCATGTTTACTACACAATTTCCTCTAATATTTTTACGGTTAACCGACCGTCCCCTGATACACATGCTATGGATCACTAAGAGATACATAAACCCCACTTTAAAAAAACCTGAATTGGAGAATTAATCAAGCTGATTATCTTATCCATATTAAACTCCACACTCCACACTCCAAAACGAAGTTTCAGTACCTATTGTCAGTATTCCTGCTTTTTTCTCATTCATATCGTAGCTAGAAGTCATTGCGTGTATTTGTTGATTAAAGTCATCCAGAACTTGTGACAATGAGTCCTGGGACATCTCACGAAGATCTGTTCTGGCAAAGTGCAGTAACTCTCGTATAGCTTTATGTCGGGTGTCTGCATGGCGAGACTTTAATCCAGATACGAGTTCAGCCACTTGATAGGTAGTCATTTTATAAAAGTTTTGTTCTAATACGCTATTAATTATTAATTAAGAACGGCAATTATAGTTCACTATTCATTACGAACACAAACAAACTGAAGACTAATAAATTGTTCACACAATTATTACATATTCCCGTTGTGAAAAATGCGATAATCATATTTAATGTTTAGTTTTTTCATTTAATTTCATTGATGTATAATTGCAATTTTTAATGCACTGTAAATAAACAAATAAAATAATAAATGATGTACAAGTACAAAAAATTCATGACAGGCCCACAGATTACAAAGAGTATGTCTAAAGTCTCTAAAGATAAACACAGCTAGACCAAACCGACTAAACTAATAGATAATTGCTTCCAAATCACAGATTACAGAGTATGACTACCTTAACGTTCGAGCGTCGCATTATGATATTATTGTTTATTATTTCCTACACCTATTCTACCTGCCATACTAGGAGGACAGCATAAATTTTGAAACACTTAATAGATACAACTAGGTACCTATATTCCTTTATAATAATTTCCATCAGTTATATTATCAATGCACCATTTTAAATTTTACAATATGGATGGAAATTTTATAATTTGATAATAGATGTTAAACATAATTTTCATTATATATAAATATAGAGGCAGTATAGTGAATGAATAAATTTAGTAATCAAATAATTTTGAGATTCATTCGGTTATTTCAATCGAATTTCTCAGTTGAATAATTATTAGTATTAAATTCACACACCGCTAATTGTAGGTACTTAATGATTTCTTAGAAATTTCAACGTATGATCATAGTATCCTTTTCTAAGTTTTTTAGCATTCTTAAGCGACTTCAAAAAGAAGTTTTTAAATTCGAATATATTTTTGTGTGATTATTTGACGATATGTTTGTCAAATTAATTTTGATATTTCTTCTTTTCTAATCTACAAGGTTTATATTCAGATTAATAATTAATTTGCACGACACCATAAAAGTTAATCTTTTTTGCGAAAGAAATAAAGTACAATAAAACGTTAAAAACAGTTAGCCAGAATTTTGTACGCGTAATACGGTCATTAGCGTAAAGAGTACAAAAGTACTCTGTGGTGCACCCGACGATGACGCGTGTATTTTCAATACTTTCTCGTCATTTACCAACGACAAACTACAAACGTCAAACAGCTGAGCGAGGTGACTGACTGCTTGTAGTTGTTAGGCTTGTGGTCTTAAATTCTTTTATATACTTAATTTAAACTAAAATTCTTTAAAATAGTGTTTACGACGATTATTGCTCAAAGTATAAAGCTAGTTTCAACATGAGTGAATTGAGCCAAGCGGAGGTAAGTCGAATATTTGTTTTGTAAACGAACCTTGGTGTTGTACGTATGGCCAATCTAATTTCGTAACAAAACAAAGCGTTGGTGTTTCATATTAGCGCGCACTAAGATTTAAACACGTGTCTTAGGACCTCATATTCCTTTATTTCAGTTAAGGAGACGTCGCTTAGAGAGGCTCGCTGCTCTAAGTGGTGCAGGTTCTAGCCCTACGCCCGTGAGCCCACCAGTCACTCCAGGGGCGTCAGTGCCCTCGCCAGATGTCAATCCTATCCAAGTTCCATTATCCCGTTTGTCTCCTGCGCCGACTCCTCGTAGCTCCACAGAACCAACTACACCTGATGCTAGTAACACTAACCAACAATCAAACTATTCAGATGGGGATAGTAAAAGTGAAGTATCCAATCAAAATAAAATACCAGCTGATGGGTTAATTGTAACTGAAAAAGCAGACAATAATTTGTTAGATGAAATGGCTGACACAAAAATGACAGACTTGTCCCAGACAAGACAATACAATAGCTTCGACTCAATGGGTGATGACACACTATTGTCTTGTGGCTCAGTGGGAGTGGGCCGTTTGAACAGCCTACCACAAACTGTAGATGGATCAGAGGGAACTTCTACGAGAGAAGACAGCACATCAAGGTCAATATTTCCAGCACAGTTTGTTGAACCCTCTCCTGTAAGAACTAGACCTAGCACTGTGTCACCCAGCTGCTCACGGCGCTCTCTATCTATGGAAGTCGATGATGCATCTGAAAGAAACTCACAGTCTGAACAACAGCAGGAACCAATGGAGGTTAGTACTAGTAGAACATAGTTTTATATTGTGTAATGTCTGTAATATTCATATTCTTAAGTAATTCATATTGCTCATGGAGAAATTGAAGAATTAAGTATCATAAATGGTTCCTTAAAAAGAAAATTATCTGATTAAAAGAAAAAAAAAGTTTACAGTTGATATAAATATTTTACTTTGTCAGAATATTCATAATAATAAATATATTTTTAGGTAATTAATGATTACCTATAGATTTGTAATTAATTTGAAAGTTATAAATCTGTAATGATAAACTACACAAATAGGTACTACTATTAAATTATCTGTGGAGTCTATCATTATTTATTTTTATGTTCTAATTTACATTTGTTACACAACAAATGTTTGAATACATACATGTAATATATGTATATTACTCTAATATAATGCAATCTTATGCATTAAGTCTGCTGTTTCATACCATATAGTTTTATATAATTAATGTCAATAAAGTATATGAAATAGTCATAATTTATCCATTACAACAAATAATAAGGAAATTAATAATAAAGGTTTTTGTTTTTCATGCTCTTTCCTTGTCTTTCTGTAGAATATATGACTTAAGACTGAGATTTATGTCATCTATTGTGCATTTTACCATTACAAATCAAAATACTAAGTTGCTAATGTATAAAGCATTTTAATTAACAATACTATAGATAATATTATTAAAATTTATTTTATTATTTTCACAAGGTGGAAGATGACTCATCAGCATCACCTGCACGAAAAATATATCGATCACGGACTGTAAGCTGTACTGAGTTGACAGAGGATCAGCTGCGACAAATTGTTGCAAAGATCCTACAGGTCTCATGGTCAGATGAAAGTGCTGGTAAAGTATTTATTTAACATTTATAATCTATGAACAAGTTCTTTGGACTTATAATGTAAATAACCTCCATCACACATTTATTAGGATGATTTTCCATAAATTGATACTAAAAGCCTAAATATAAGTTTTAATTTTCTGAATTTTGAAATTAGTTTCTTCAACCCCTTTTTGCCTCTTTGGATCACATTTTTTTCAAGAATCCTTTCTTATAATTCATCTCTTAAATACAAAGAATCTAGTGTATTATTAAATTTTTTGTAACAGCGGTTTTCACACAGAAATGTTTAGTCAAATATATAATTAACTACTTAAACTAATTGACTTATCAACAGTCATTGTATAAACTAATGAGTTTAAAAACATGATTAGATTCAATATGTCCTTTAAGAGGATATCTATAATTAGGTCTTTTTATGGTGGCTACTAGCTAATACAATTTGGAAATGCATTCAAGATTTTTTATACTACAATGATGGCAAACAAGATACCTAATAAAGGCTGTTAACCAGCTGTTCCACATTTACATTGCCAATTTTGAAAGAATGTACTATAAGATTAAAAAGTTTACTTAGAAAAATTTCCTTCTTATATTAATAATCAGTTCAATATTATATTGTGACTGTAAATTCATGGTTAAATTTAATGTAAAATTATTGTTGCAGGTGGAATTTTCGTACCATCAGTTGCTGTGGCGTTACTCGATAATCCTAAACTAGGTTTAGATGAATTAGCATCCCATGCAATAATGGATATAATCTTTCAAATAACAGATGGATCAGATCCTTTAAATCAAAAACTAATCGCCGTTTCTGAAACATCTAAAAGACTGAGCGAAGATTGCAGTGATGACACATTAACGAGTGGTCCCCTCGGATCTGAAATTGACGCTGATAAGTTGGACTGCCCTACGCCATCGCTACCTATGCCCAAAACTATTCCCACACAGGGTCTAGCTGTTAGCTACATTTTAAGATTTTATAATAACATAAATCTTTATGAAAGAGAACATCCAAAGAAAAGTTCAGAGCCGCCTTTGAGTGATCTGTTGCAAAATCTAAGAACTTTACTCGTGAATCACTTGGTGCTAGTGCTACAGGGGGCTTTTGAGTTAGAAAAATGCAAGAAATCTCCACTTCTTCCTTATATTCTTATTGGAAATACGCCTACTGGACTTATTCCAGAACTACTGCTTGCAACATACTTGGACAAAGATGTGTTTGAAGAGGTAACTTCATTTGGTTTTACTATTTCCAACTCAACTTTTTTGTCCAATCAAATATGACTATAAAGTATTAGATCTCATTATCTGTCATTTTTTTAATTTTACCCAAACATGTATGTTTAAAAACGTGTTTATGCATGTACATATTAGTTGAAATTGTTATTAATGATAACAAGAGAAGAAAAACTTTATTTTTCAATTCTGCATTGATATCTATTGCATTAGTTTTTCTTATTTTTGTATTAAAAATTATGGAGTACAGAGGTGTAACATCTTAGCTTTCAGGAACAGTAACACATGAGACATACAGGTTCATAATATACTTTGTGGGGGGGGGGGGGGAAGTATTGTTAGTAATAGAGACTAAGAATCTCATTGCTAGCAATATACCCAACCAGGTCGACCTCTTTGCGGTTCCCCCTGTAAACTATCATTGTTAATTCCTGATGAATTCATCATGATGGGCTAACTGGCCAGTTTTCATTCTCATCAATCACCCTTCACTGGTGCTCCGCCAGCGTATCCCGTTAGCGCAGGCGGGGTTACCGTTCCATTTTCACCCATAAAAAAAAATACTCTGTGGGGCCGTCTTTTTAAGTGTCATAAAAAAAATTCAATTGTAGGTACATAAATGTTTCTAAGCCTCATATTGAACATTTAAACTGAGAACAATCAGTTTTAAATTAGTATGAAAGAACAAACGTGCGCGCAGGTGTTCACGCCGCTGCTGCTGGGCGTGCGCGAGGAGATGCGGCGCAGCGTGTCGCCGGCGGCGGGCGGCGCGCGGGGCGCGGGCGGCGGGCGCGGCGCGCGCGGGCAGGGCGCGGCGCTGCGCGCGCTGCGGGCGCTGTGCGAGCTGCGCGCGCCGCCGCGCCTGGCGCGCCGCCCCGTGGCCGAGCTGCTGGCGCGCCTGCGCAGCCTGTGCCCGCCGCCCGTCACCACGGCGCCCGGCCGCGAGCTCGCGCGCGTCAGCTTCCTCGGGCCCTTCTTCGCCGTTAGTACTCCCCTTGCCTGCTCCCACTGGTGTACACGCCTACTACCATGCTACAATGGTAGTCCTACCTGAACTACTGGTTTATGCTCGTGGGGTAGGAGTGAAGGATGATGCGTTAGTGAATGTCCTGTCGTAGCATTCACAAAAAATTAACCGTGATGATTTCCAGAGGAACGATCTTTTCCCCCTGTTTTGATGTTAATTCAATTCTCTCGGCCTTCCTCGTAATGAACCTAAAGTGAATAGTAAGTAATTTGAGGTTTTTAACCTTGAATATGTCAATTCCAGTGCATCTAATCTGATTTTGTCTATTACTAATATTTACTTTATTGGTTTTATCAGAATCCCTTTACCAACAGTTTATTGAATCACACAAATGTAAAATACCTTCAAAATTTTTAAATCTTTGAATACACTCGTTACAATTAATAAAGAAAAAATAATACGCTCTTGCAGATATCTTTATTCGCGGAGGAGAATCCGCGTCTAGCCGAACGCCTGTTCGCAACCGGCTCCGGGGACCGAAGTCTCGCGTTCGCGTTGCAGCGCGAGGTCGAAGCGAGTCGCAATACGCTGCATAACATCTGCCACAATATACTCCTGTGTCCCGAGGCCAGGGAACCTCTGCTGAACTATTTTGCAGCTCTTTTACAAAGAAATGAGCGCAGAGCACAACTGTTGACTGACGAAAGGTCATTAGCCGGTAAGTTATTGTATATATAATGTTTAACTTTATACATCCGTTATTAAGGTTCCTTTGAAAAGGTTGCATTCAGTGATAAAACCTTATTGTATTTATGTAAGTGTACATCTTGTATCTATTGCTTATATTCTTTTACTCCCTATTTTGTATAATCCAAATTAAGGTATACTCACTCATTCATTCGATATATTTTTTATGCAACTTAAAGTGCCAAACCAGTTGCATTTCAAACCGAAATATAGCCCACATCATCTTTGGCTGTATCCTCATTACATACCGTCTATTATTTACTGCTGAAGGCAGACCTACCTCATACAAAACGTTCTTAATCTACCTACATTCATTGACTTCCTATGATACTTTTAAGTTCTTTACTCTATCATGAATATACATTACTCTTTCTTATTTATATTATCAATTATTGATGCTCATGATTTTAGTAATACTTCAATTACAAAAACATAATTTTTATTTCAATATTTCCTATTCTTATTTTTATTCGTATCTTAGTTGTAATGATGCGTCGTTCTAAAATCTGTAATATATTTCATTACACGTGTCCTTTGCTACCGTTTAATTAGGGCCACGTCGTCGTATTAACGATTAATAAAGGTCGTTGGCATTGACTGGCTATAGTAAATGGAAATTATGGCATTGAACAGTATTCAGTGCTAACACGTTTAATGACTTGCTAAAATAGATACTTCGTAAATTCGTTCAAATGTCTCTCACCTACCTCGCATCGATTACACAGTTTCTATTGGCGTGCCTCCAAATTATTTACTTTTTCACTTTGTAAATAATTATGTTTACTATTCCGTTATTTTTTGGCGCATTATATTTATCTAGACTAGAATGAAACATATAAACGTTTTAAATTGTTTGTTACTGTTGAAAGAATTGTAAAGTAATGGTTCTGAGGAATTGTCTATTTTTATTTGAAAAATAAATTTTCAATCTGTTTTATAAACATGAAAATATTTTTCAACCGATTTCGAAAAGAAGGAGGTTGTTTTTTTATGTTTGTTATCTCATAACTCCGTCAGTTGTAAACTGATTTGGAAAATTCTTTTTTTTTTATCTGAAAAGATATACTTACAGATTAGTTCCATAGAAATATTATCAAAATCGGTTCAGTAGTTTAGTAATCATATCAAAATAACTGGTTTTACCACAATTAAAGTCGACTTTTTTGTAGAACACAATCTCAATTATTGTATCTTTGCATTTATTAATTTATAATCGAGAGATAGATTATATCCAGAGACAGAAAAGAGTATATATGTCTAACTTAAATGAGCAAGATGATATACATTATTTTCTTTTGTTATCAATAAAAAAAGAAAAATTCTATATATTGTGATGTAAGGAATCGCATCCCAAGAACCTATTAAAGAACCGCGCGTGGTAGGATCTCTACATAGACCTTATTTAATCCACTGTTTATGTTATATGAATCTTCTTGATGGAAGTTCTTTACAGCAATTATATAAGGAATCAGGTGGCTACGTATTGCTCCGAGTACATGTCCCAACTGCCCACTCCACCCGTAGTCTTTAAACATCTTAATTTTTATTTTATTTTACAACAAATATTACTTCCGGTAGACTGTAGTTACAAGATAATGTATTTAAATAACATTTATCAAATTTTGTAATTGTATTAATTCTAAATATTAAATTTAAATTATTGATAAAATTTAGCGGTTATTATATTTAGGTCTAAAACGGTCACATTAATAATCGATCACGTTGAACTGCGCGATTAATCAATATAATGTTTACTAATATTATTATTGAATTATTTATTATTATATTTTCATAAATAAATATAAAAAGATATATAGGTTTTATAAACTATTTTTTTATGCAACTTAGAATGGCAAACAAGCTGACGACTCACCTGATGGAAAGTGGTAACCGTCGCCTATAGACATGAGCAGTACCATTGGACATAACAGTACACACACATACTGTTTCGCCCATGATACCCCCCATGCGTTGCTATTTCTGAACACTCAGGTGTTATTCCTCTGTACCCTGTAAATTCACGCCATATCCCACCCTTCAAACCGAAATACAGCCATGCAAACACAACTACATCACGGTTGAAACACGAATGGGACAGAGGTACTCAAGTAATTGACTTTTATACAAAGTCTCCCTCTCAGTCTTCCTTACAATTATATGATATTGATTAAAATATGCGTTGTAATTACACTGTATTTATTATAAGTTATCTTTATTATTTACACACAGTTTGTTTGGAAACATTTGTTTATCATTCCATTATGTTTAGTTTGACCAGGTTACTCGGTATAGAGTTTTATTTTGAGATTTCCTTATTTTGCACTGTTGTAACGTGCTTTCTTTTAATAACCTGGAGATGGATGCCAGTTATGACACGTCGTATTCTTACTCTGTTCTTATACAGAAATATTTATAGCTTTATTAATATAAGGTGGTTATGAAATGACAAAAATTTTTTTTCATCCTCTTTTATAACAGTTTATAGGTAAAACTATTATAATTACATATCGTTACATTTGCAGTTTTGTATATATATACAAATAAATATAAATAAAAAATATGTAAATAAAAATTTAAAGTGTTTTTATATTACATATGTGTCAAATGCTTTCACGTACAATAATACGCCAAGGACGTTATTCTCACACTAGTAATAAAAATAAAAAGTCTTAATCTAATTTTCCCTGTTATACCTTGAGCTTACCTGCTTATTAGAAGAAGTAAACAAGTAACTTTTTTTTTACAATTTTCATTACTACTAATAGTTATAATTATATGAATTAATACATACATACATATCTGTCACGCCTGTCTCCCATTAGGGTAGGCAGAAACAATGGAACGCCAAATGCTTCGATTCAAACAAACCTCTTTCGCTTCCTCCACATTCATCAATCTTTTCATACACGCTCACCGGTGAATGAACTAACTTATATGAATTAACTTTATATAAAATCAACATTCTATATGTAGCACTAAAATTTTGCTGAGCTAATATAGTATTTAATGAGGGTTGAGCGCTACTGTCTGAGATACAGGTTTTATACACCGAGATATTTAAACTGATCCAAATGTACAAATGAATTCGTACCTACTTTTACTGTAATTTCCAGCGCTGAGTTTGTTACAATCATGGTTATGAAATAAAGTTATTATTATTATTAAAAAAAACCGTGGTTGAGCCGTTGTGATCGCATCGTATTGTGTTGTCGGCAGGCGACGGGTTCATGCTGAACGTGTGCTCGGTGCTGCAGCTGCTGTCGGTGCGCATCCGGCTGGAGCGCGTGTACCCGCTGTACGCGTTCCAGCCCGGCTCGTGGGCCAGCGTGCGCGACGACACGCGCCTTTACTTCACCGCGCAGGAGGCAGCCGACTGGCTCGAATCACTCAGTAACTACCACTATCTAATCATTAGCCGTGTCCTGCAGTTTTGTACATAGGAATCATTAAAGTATCCTATGTATTCATCTAGGACATGGGTTCCCAAACTTATTTTGTCTACTGCCCACTTTGAGAATAAATTGTTTTTTTAGCGCTCCCATTTTTTTACCTACTTAAAAACCACTATTATTCAAATTATAAATCACCCCCAAACCTCTACACAACACCCTCATTTTTTTTCTGGGTCCCTTACCGCTTACCGCTGGGCACTTTACGCTTTGCAGCGCCCACAAGGGGGCGTTATTGCCCACTTTGGGAAAGGCTGATCTAGGATATGATGTGTTTGTGTAAAAAAATTTAATCAAAATCTTTAAATATTTTATAAGCGTTCATGCTCAAGTTGTGTGGTTGACGTTTTAATTCGTTATCAAGTATATGTATCAGTAATTTTTTGAATAAACAATTGAAAAATTTGCAAAATGACAGTTAATTTTGATACTATCACAATATGGTTTTGGTATAAACACTTAATTGAGTTTGATCAAGTTACAAGTATTGAACTTTCTTAGCCAATTTTCATGTTAATTTAATTTTAATTATCACAGTTTACGTAAATGATCCCATTAGTTTTCGTTTAATTTCTTATAAAACATAAAACATACAGCACAAAAGTTAATAAACTTTACGTTTATAATATTCAGAGAATTAGGATAATTATCATTCTGTACAGTTCTTCATGTAACAACTAACTGTACTAAAGATTTCATTGTATTGACTCAAATATTCAACATTGTTTAACATTACGTATTTATGGAAATGCTCTAGTGAACACATAAAGGAGTTTTTTTTTTCGTAACAAAATATGTTAATTTTCATGACCAATGACCTGCAGTTGAAGTGACCCGTATGTTTGTCACTTTGTTATGTAAGAAAAATAAATGAAGAGCTAACACACTGCTAAAACTGTTTTTATTAATGTTATAATAAAATTTATTTCTGTCTAGATAATGACCCTAATCACAAATGGCCAGAAGCAAAGTTCCAGACGATCTGTTGGTTCTTAACACTTCACATGCATCACGTTGCTCTCATTCCTGCACTACACACTCATCAGCGTCGTATTCGGTAAGGTTTCTGTATTAATTTTTACTAGCAATATAAATATTTATCATAATTAATCTTTAGTATCTTTACTACTATCTTTAGTAGAAAACAAAGTCTAATGCCGGTCTGTTTCTTCTCTTACATCTTCTTAACCACACATCAGATTTTAGTGTAGGTTTAGATAATTTTATGGACAAATTACATCTCTGTAAAGTAAGGGAAGATCGCTAACTCTAGCCATATTAACTTTTATATATTTTTATAGCTATTAGTCATAACACTCCTTATAAGGGAGGCTTATGTTCAGCTGTGGACAGTTCACAGCTGATATGGTAATATATTTATACAGAACTAGTTTTACTTATAAACAAACCCTTAAGTTACTTATCAGGTTAAAAACGATCTCCCATAATTTAATTCAAGTTGTGTTTTTATTAATTAAAACATAAAAACACAACTTTATACACAAGCAAAACCAGTTTTTTTTTTTTTATTTAAAAACTAAACTATATTAAACTAATTTTGATAAAATTTCTATGGCACTAACTGAAAGGGAAAAAAACCTTTTAGATAAAAAATAATTTTCCAAATCGGTTTAATATTGACAGAGTTATGAGATATTAAACATAAAAAATAACCAAATTAAGAAAATTTTGAAGTCTGTTGAAAATAGGCTAAACATATTTAAAAATTTCATTAAAATTGAGTAAGCGGTTTCGGAGATTATCGTGAATGAAAATATTGATATAAAATTTTTATATACATATTAAGATTTTTTGTTTGGTTGCTTCAGGGCATTCCGTGACCTGCAGAAGGTGATAGAAGAGCTAGTGGCTGCAGAGCCCCAGTGGCGCAACAGTCTATCTGCCTTCCGCAATAGGGAATTGCTCCGTCGGTGGCGGCGACAAATTAAAAGACTACACAGGTAAATTAAATTTAATGTAATTTTAAATTATATCAAAAAACTAATCTCATGACTAATATGGTGACTTCACCAAGTAATAATTTTATTGATACATCTAAGAGTAAATCATTTTAATGAGAATTTCCTGTTTTTCTTTTGAAGATAGTTAAAAACTTGATTACAAATAAAAAAATACAAGCTATAATTTACTTAAGGAAGCCTTTGACATAACACCATATTGCAAAAAAAAAAAAATTATAAAATATCAGTATGATTTTTAGTTTAATAAAATATGCTTTAAATGGGTCAAAATTGAATAGTTTATCATGCGTGTTATTAGTTTATGCTAGCGGCGTACCAGTGAAGGATGAAAGGTGAGGCTGAAAATAGTTTAGTTTTCAGTTGTAATTTCATCATCATTATCATATCAGCCATTACCTGTTCACTGATGAATGTAGGCCTACCCCTTATTGGGAGGTTTGACAGTAGCTGCTATTCTTGGCAGGCTGGTTGGTAACTGCAATTAGCCTTTGGTGAAGTCTTAAGAGAAACGCTGCTGCCTCACCCTCAACCATTCAGTTCCCTTAGTCGTCTCTTACAATACCTACAGAAAAAGTAGTAATGAATTTACCAGAAATGGTTCACGATGAGTTCTCACATGGAGGGGGACTCGAGAATACATTTTTAACAGAGGGGTTATTATTCTACATATTCATTATTTCCCTTTCGTGATACAAGAAAACAAGATTATAAATGAAATCTTAATGAAATGAATGTCGGAAAACTAGATACAGGCTACGAGGCATGCAATATAGAATGTGGGTACCGCTGGGCGCAGGTCGAAGCAGTGCGCGGAGACGGCGCTGCTGGACGGCGAGCTGATGCGGCGCAGCGTGCAGTTCTACGCGTCGGCGTGCGCGCTGCTCAGCGGCCAGCTCGACGCCGCGCGCGCCGCCTCCGCCGCCTCCTCCGCGCCCGCCGCCGCCGCCTTCCGCGCCCTGCCCGAGTGGTACGTCGAGGACATCGCCGAGTTCATGCTGTTCGCCGTGCAGTGAGTACCCCGCCTAGTCTCATTATCGATCCTTCTATTTTTAAAATATACATTTGAACATATTTTAAAAAGTGCTCATAATTTACTCAAGTGTGGCAATGTTGCTATTATTTATCAAATTTCAAAAACGATTGAAGAGTTTTTAATATTACTGATTAATTACTTAAAAAGTGCTCTGCCTGCAAGCTAAAACGTTAATCATATAATGTTGCATATAAATTTACCCTTAAAAACTTCGCACCTACTTTTCAAATATTTGTCATGATAATTCAAATTTTCAAGATCAGATTAATAAGTATTTTATTATGTTTTAGTTCGTAAGCAGAACATTGAAATTTTTTGTTTTTAAAAATGGATAGATATTTACATTGTTTCCATATTTCATTATGAACTCTATTATGCTATCCCTGCATCGGGGAATTTTAAACAGTTCAATCCAAAGGGTTTTGAATTTAAATAGAATAAATATGAACCTCATATATATTATAAAATATATTATAAACAACAAGTCGACACGACCACTGTACAGTTTTCTAATTGTAAAAAAAATAAGTTATTTTCATTCGTACATATTATCGTCATTTGCGTATGAACGTGACATGTATTTACAGTATAGAGCAATACATAAAAAGATGTCAAAATATTTTACCAAGAGTAAAATGTAAATATATATATATATATATATATATATGACTAATGTATATTATTATATTACTTATATATTTTGTATTAAAATAACACGATAAAATTGCAGATATGTTCCGCAAATAGTGGCAGACTATATTGAAGATCCGATAATAACGTGGTTGCTGAACGCAATCTGCCACTCGCATCTCATCAAGAACCCTTATCTCGTTGCTAAGATCGTTGAGGTGCTGTTCGTAATCAATCTCTCTATGCCTCTCAAGTTGAAAAACGTATACGAGAAGTTCATGGACCATCCGATGTCGCAGACCGCTCTGCCGAGCGCTCTGATGAAATTCTACACGGATATAGAGACGACAGGACAAAGCACAGAGTTTTACGACAAGTTCACGATACGATTTCATATCAGCATTATACTCAAGGGGATGTGGGAGCGGCCTATTCATAAACAGGTAATTTTGTGTATAAATCTCATTTATTTTTTTAAGAATGTGTACACAACAATGCACACATTCTTTCTAAAATAGTTAATCAACTAATAGAGAAAAAAATAAAGTACAAAACTATTAAAACTAAGCAAACTGTATGTGTATATATTTAAACTAAAGCACTACTAACTACTGACATATTGACTGACTGACTGACATACTGACTAGTGTGTCAGTAAGAAAGAGCATAAACAATTTATGCTCTTTGTTCTGAATATCTATTATTGATTGTATTTCTGTGTTATTGCAATAATTTAGCTGGATTTTTTTTTATTACAGGCAATTGTAAAAGAGTCGCGTTCGGGTCGCCAGTTCGTCAAGTTCATCAACATGCTTATGAATGACACCACATTTTTATTAGATGAATGTCTTACGGTAAGTAATATATAAAACAATGATTTGTTCAGTAAGTAGGTATTTCAATGTATTATTTTAATAAAAAAATGACTAATTCAAGCCAATTTATTCTGATCGATTTTAAGATTATCGAAAGATGGATTTTGACCAAGCGATCTAATGCTCATTGCACTGAAGTTGTTTTTGATATAAACATAATAAGAGTATTATTATTTTTTGTTTTAATACAGTCATAAATAATTGCATATGTTATTATTTTTATTGGTTCTATATTCAGCTTTGGAGTTTCTTCCACAACTAAACACCGACGAGAACAACAAAGGGTTAATTAACTAAAATATATCACTAATAAGCTCATTCGGAAAAAATACATATAATATTATAACTGTATAGGCGTGAGAAGCTTCCACTTACATATTTGATAGACGCTCGTGCGGGATGGAGGCAAATATTCTAATAATTTATTTTATATATCTCCAGTACCTCAAGCGCATCCATGAGGCGCAGGAGGCGAGCGGCGGAGCGGGGGGAGAGGCGCGCGCGCGGGGACTCGCTCAGGACGAGCGACAGTGCCGCTCGTACCTCACGCTCGCCAGGTGAGCCGCCCCTGTACACCCTGCACTGTAGCACTGCGGCGCGGGACGAGCGGTTCTTTTGTATATTATATTTTTTTTAATGTACAAATGTACTACTATTGTCTACTAAAATCATGCTTAATTTATTGAACCATATTAATGTGTTTTTATTATTTCCTTTATACAGGGAAACAGTGGATATGTTGGAGTATTTGACCGTGGAGATTAAGGAGCCGTTCCTGCGGGCGGAACTCGTTGAGAGGCTTGCCTCCATGCTGAATTTTAACCTGCAGCAGTTGTGTGGACCTAAATGCAAAAACCTTAAGGTAAATATTGCTTTGACTTGTAAATCGACGTAGATGGCTTGTGTAATTATTTTAATAAATTTTGTCAAATTATTCTTAATTTAAAAAAAAGTAGATTGTATAAATGATATGATTTAAGGCACAGTAGTGGACTGTTGAATATAAAGAAATTTTAATGATTTTCATGGTGGTGTTGGAAATCTGTCGAATCAATGTTCTGTTACAGAACATGTTTACAGTTGGAGCACTAACGATTGAACAAGATAGCAACAAATAGCAGTTTACGATCTTTATCAACCCCTTAGTATTAGGATTTCTACTCACAACGGAAATTTTACTACCTTAATTTTTTTTTTCCAACAATGGTTTCATTTCATTCATCCGACAATCTTTATAGAGCGTACAGCACTTTGCGTCACAGCGTCGAAATTGACCATAACCCTTAGGAATTGTTATTAGAAATATCATTTGGTTTTGATAATAATTACAAATATGATTCAGGTGAGACGGCCTGAGAAATACGGATGGGAGCCTCGGCGTCTGCTGAGCCAACTGGTGGACATTTACCTGCATCTTGATTCGCCGCAATTCCACGCCGCGCTTGCTGCTGACGAGGTATATATAATTTTATGTGTATTATTTTTTTATTATTTGAGCCGTAAACTGTCCACTACTAAACATATGCCTTCCATAAATTTTGCCAATAGTTGCGCTTGGCAAGCGGATTAGCAACCGTAGTTAGGCTTTGGAGATGTCTTAAGAGGGACGCTGCTGCCCATCCCTCGCCCTCTCTTAGTCGCCTCTTACGATGCACGGAAAAAGAAGGGGTGGCCCATTTTATGTCAGGGTACACACGGACGAATATAAATATTATTAAATAGTATAACATAATATATGGTCTATTATTTTTATTCTATTATTCTCTATATCTATTCTAAATTTTCCACCAATTTAGCATTTTTTTTTTATTTATGTTTTTTTTTTTCATAAAGCAAGCCTATGGTTTTTGCAGTGATGGAATAAAATTATTTTAGATGCGTACTATGAAAAGGCGATGAATGTTACGCAGAATTTAATAAGCGGCCAGATAGATGAAAGTAACGTACAACTTGTTTTGTTCCTTCAGGCATATGTTCTACTAACAGACTGCAATGAACCTTCTACTCTAAACGAGTGCTAAATGAATCTATCAATATGTATATTATTTTGTACACGAGATAATCTGATACCATTCGGTTATGGTTCCAAGTTGTATAAAAATATAATATTTTACTCCTACAGAGATCATTCCGCAAAGAATTGTTTGAAGAAGCAGCTGTACGGCTGGCAAAGTCTTGTATCAAGACTACCACCGAAATAGAGCGCTTTAAAGCACTCGCTGACAATGCATATCAAATTGCTGGTGAGTATATTGACATATAAATTGACTCACCATAATACGAATTTAAAATTTATATGTAAGATTCTTATCTACTTCATATATGTATAGAATATTTCATTTACAAGGGTCGGTAATCCGCGAAGCTGCGGCTCTTTAGTTTTATACGCAAATGTTATTTTGATTTATAAAAAAAAAAAAAATTAAAAATAGTTTTGTATTAGTTAACGGGGTTTAGGCACCAAACTTTATTTATGCAAGTACTACTTATTGTTGGCAAGAAAAAATATTATGGCTTTTTAAAAACTTTGTAATTTTGTAAATTGTAATTTTTGGCTCTTCCAACTCAAAAGGTTGTTAACCCCTGTGCTAGTCGAAACACAATAAATGCCCAATGATACTTGAATTGCAACAGTACGCAAATGTATTTCGTTGATCCGACATAATCTCTGTCTGAGTATGAATCTGAATTTCAATAAAAGAAAAACCTCAGATATAGCCTAAGTTACTTATATAGTTGTAACCGTAATAACATATATATAACAAACATATATTTCATATATTTCCAGTATCAAATCAACAGAAGAGTGATGAATTCGCTGATGCCCCTGAAGAGTTCCGGGATCCGCTAATGGATACGCTTATGACTGACCCTGTGTTACTACCGTCCGGGAAGGTAACAAAACAATTTTTTATTTAGAACATTTTAAATTGTTTTCGAAAATTAATAAAGCTCAAGTTACATCAGTCTCTTAACATGGTACAGTGTAATAGAAGTCTCGCTCAGAAAGACAGTTTAGCAAAATGTGTTAGTATTATAATGTGGATACTGTGATAGCTATTGATTTTATTTTGCCATCAGTTGGGCTCTCAGATTGCCACTGGTGAAAATTTTTTGTAATTTCACTAGTTACTCGATTAGAGTTTTGTTTTGTTTAATTCCGCTACCATTAGTATGGATTGACTACTATTAATAATTTATTACAGTATTATTGAATACTATAAAATAATAAAATGAAAATTTAAGACTTTCATAGTCTAATCGCTGAAAGGTCAACACTAGGCAATCAGCAATAAATTGTCTTGTTTAGATGTGAAACTCGTGTCGCAACATGTGCCTGGACTGGATAACGGTTAGAGATTGATGACTAATGTGGAAAGTCGTAGAACGTCTACAGGTAATAGTAGTTAAATTGTCAAATGTTGGCAATCGCACATATACTAATGGTAACGGAATTAAACAAAACAATTTTTATCACCTAATCAGTGATATGGACTTTTCAGCAAAATAACAGAGGAGACTTTGTATAAAAGTCGATTATTTGGCTACCTCTGTCCCATTCGTGTTTCAACCGTGAAGCAGTTGTGTTTGCATGGCTGTGCAAACACAACTGCTTCACACACATATATATATATATATATATATATATATATATATATATATATATATATAATATATAAATAAAAAACTGATGGTATTTAAAATTAGTAATCTATCTCACTGGCTTTATTGCAATATGCATATTACAATGATGAACATTTATAATATTCCTGCATTTCAGGTGATGGATCGGTCTGTGATACTGCGCCACTTACTCAACAGTGCGACCGATCCTTTCAATCGGCAGCCACTTACCGAGGACCAGTTGCGTCCAGGTTAGCATTAATATTTCTGTATTTTTTCCAAAAAATACCTTTTTACTATAGTGTGATGAGAACAGATTCGGTTGAATTTCTTATCTATTTTCAAGCGATGATAAATTCTTATGCAATGCGATATCTTCGTTAATTTTTAACTGATTATATAATAATATATATTATTTTTATAAACGAGAGTTAAGTTATGTGTTGACACCATAATAAGTTTGTCACGATTGAAACCAGGTATTTATAAGTGGAGTAAAATCTTTTGTATGTATATAATAACATTACTTCTTTTACAGCAACGGAACTTAAAGAGAAAATCAGTCAATGGCAACGTGAGAAGAAAGGATCTACATCGTAAGCATACTAAGCCAACATTAAAGTCTGATGTATATAATGTAATACATATATAAAGACTCCGCCTGGATATTTCCAGCTTTCGACGGACTATTGTCCATGCATGAATGTGAGATTATAATAAGTACGATTATAATTAATTTGTGTGTGTTTTATACACATGAAACAAAAATAATATGATTGTGATCAATTGGAGATTTGGGGATATGATAAAACTTGTAAGTATTCGGCGTGCTGACGATAGTGCTGCAGTATGAGCCATCTCGTGTGCATACATCATTACTATAGTTATCAAATTATAAATATATTTTTCTTTGTAACACACTTATCACCTAGCACTGTTTCAAGTTGCAATATTAGACTCGTAATATTTTAATATCACATCAATAAATGGCCTAAATTTTAAATTTATTCAAGTCCATTATAAGGTGCTTGTTCGAAATTGGACCCCAAACATCTTTCAAATGTGGAATGAAGCTTATACATCACCGTAATATGGTGTATTCTTGCATTTTATATGAAACCAATTACAGATATTGCATGCAAGTCATTTCTATTTTAGATTAATTAGCCCAACATTAGTGTAACTAATGATATAGTTTTAAAAAATTACTGTAAACAATTAGGTATTCTATGGAAAGTTGAAGACTATTTTTTTTTTTTCTAAATAAAAGAGTAGAAATGAATTTATTATATTTTATGTATTAAATTACTATTCGCTATAGTGATATTATATTTAGTTTTGTTAGCAGACATTATTATTAACGTTATTATATCAATGATGTGATTTGTTCCTTTTATTTTAGTTGTCAATATTATCTCACATTTTGAAATGGAATTAGAGAACATTACTCATAATATAGTATTGTATACTTAGTAGTGTCGACAAGTATATCATTTAAAAAATTTCTCCAGTCACTGCCAAGTAATCAACATATTCTTTAGAGCCGATAAAAGTCCATTTCTTTTAAAATTACAAATGGTCTCATTGTATTATAATAATTTTACTTGTATTTAACTTTATAATATGAAGATTATAATGCTAGAGGTCTTTTATGTTAAAATGTCAAATAAAATGTAATAATAACTGTATATCTTTGTTTTAATTAGTAATACAACATAAAAACTAGCCAAAGGTATGTCAGATATACATTACTAGAGTCTATATTAAGGTTTTGAAGGGATTGTTTAGTTATTGTTTTAAATTTCCCATTGTTTCAGATGTAATTACATTGTTTTTTTAATTTTTATGATATTTTAACAATTAATGAAATGAATACACTACACTATCAATACAATACAATTATGTATTAATTGAAATACAAAAATCTATGGCTTTTGATCATTGTTTGAAATCATATAGATTTCCATTATGTCCAATGTTATTTTATTCAATATAAAAATAATGTGCTAATTCACAGATAAATTATAATTTTGGTTCAGTCATGAATGATTTCTAATTTAATGGAATTTTTAATAAAGCCACCAAAAAGATTATTTTAGCAAACTAATATATTTGTCATACACAATTACAATAAATTATTGTCATCACATTGTATGAGATTTTTAATAAATTACAGACACAACATCAAACAGTTGCAAAATTATATATACATACATAAAGATATAACAATGTATATAATAAAAAAATTCAACAGTTTGATCTACAGATAGAAACTATTGAACACAATATTTTTATTACAATTTTCAAGTTTCTCTCAATAAAAGTCAGTTCAGCCAACACAACAGAATGGCAGGGAAGATAATAATTGTGTTATAGACTAGTGTTTTTACTTGAACATATGGTTGAAATTGGCATAATAAATAGCAGTGTACGGTAGCATGGCAACACCCCTGTGTCATAGAGTTTGCATTGAAACTGATAACTGCTCTTCACTGGCACTCTGTCAGTGAGCTCTGACCTTATAATTGTGTTTCATAAGCATAAGTATTATTTCTAATCATTAGGATCTATTATCTCAATATTCGCAACCTTTCATTCTAAACATCCATATAAAAGTGCAGTGTAAACTCCATAATATAATCAAATTGTTTTTGTTTCTCTTTTTAACTTTGTTTTTTTACCTATCTACAATATAATTTTTCATATTTTATTTCCATTACTTGTGGAAAAAATATTAGTATTTAAATTTTTTATATAATCATCTTCCTACCCATATCCCAATTATTATATGAGGTCGGCGTAATGTTTTTATCCATATTACAAAAAGATTTGGCTTTTAGTTTTACGACCGGCCACCTGCCTGATGTCAACCCTCTTTGGATTTTTTTTATATACTATATAATATAATATATATATATATATATAATATATATATATATATATATATATATATATATATATATATATATATATATATATATATATATGTATGTATATGTATGTATATTCTCTAAGGAGTTTTATGTTATATGGAGTTTACACTGTAGTTTAAACATGCACCATCATTAAGATTCAACAAGATTCATAAGTCTAAAGTAAGAGGTAGTTATTATTCATACACTTTAACAATACTGTATTTCTTACAACACTCAAAAGATGAGACACAATGCATTTTACTGATAATTTTTGTATGGAAATGATCACTTTATCAGATGTGTTTCACTGAGAATAAAGCAATATTACAAATTCAAATACATATTCATTCACATTTAAATGATAATAAGATCAAAGGTGGTTGATATGTCACAAGATGAAATAAAAATCGTTTTGATTAATAGCAAGATTAAGATAATTTTTATTTAAAAGCATAAGCTCATTAACATATTTAGATTTTAATTAACTATGTAATATTGGTCAACCTATTATATATTATTGATTTTTATCGTAACAAGAAAGGAAGTCTATAAGCAAATAAACAAGATATCATATACAGCATGCCAAAGTAAAAATTAAGTCTAGCTGTTTGTCGTGGGACACATCTCATTGTGTCTGGGCTCCTAAACCTTCTTTCAATATCAAATGCTCTATGTAAAGTAAGAACAGGTAATAAAAACCAAAATGAACATTTAACTGATGCAACTACAAACATTATATAAGGAGTAAATAGTAAAAAGGCATAAAGCAAGTAGGAAGCTGTTCTTCCAATTAATATTGCCAATGTAACTATTTCAGCTTTGCTGTCTGTCTCCAAATCTCTTGTATTGTTGCTGTGTAAAATAGCTTCAGTATTTAAAGCAAGTGGTATAGCATAATAGATGATAGGCCAATCTACCCGCCCTGTTTGTGCCAGAAATGAAAAGACAACTGATACAGGGCCAAATATTACTAAGACTAATATGTCACCAAGAGCTATATACTTCAAACCAATACCACCTGTATATAAAAATGATGAAGATAGTCCTCCAAAATAAACTAATGCCAGATGTTCCATTCGTGCTGGTGATGAGACTACCAGTGGAACGAAAAAGGTACATCCAGCAAAATATAATATTGCTCCAAGTGAGACAATTTCATCAATACTTAGAATATGATCGACTAGAGTCCTGTCATCTGATTTACGGTTATCTATTCCTTTGACAAAATCGAAGTAAGTGTTAACAACATTACCAGCACCATGAACTGGTATAACGGTACATAATGTAAGCAGCAAGGTGAGCCAACTGAAGCCTGTTTCGCCTGGTAACCGGTATGCCAGCGCAGCGCCTAATAAAGTAGGCAATAAACTGGCACTCAATGACCAAGGCCGGAGTGCAAGTACATATGTGCGCATCTTTATTAAAGGATTTCGTACAGGGACTTTCACCTCTTTTGGTTGTTCCAATAGATTTCCTTCCGCTGTTATATCCATATCCTCTTGTTTACTTCTATTACTCATTGCCTTAGTTTTTAAAGACTGTTATCTTTTTAGTATATATTTTAAAAAGGCCTATACAAAATAGTCAAGAATTCATCGTTATTACTAATTTTCTCACTTTGAGATTAATATTTTTTATTTTATATACAAATTTAATGCAAAAACCGTCAACTTGCACAGATCCATATTACAGACATGACTATTAAGTGACATTGACAATGATTTTGACAAATTGAAAAAAGATGCCTCATTGAGTGCAGTGTTTATTTTCTACATTTCATTAAAAATTTCTTTTCCTACGTCTATTTTATATCTGTTAGCTCATCGCTTAATCTATAGCTCCTAGGGTTCCTTTATTTCTCATAATAAAATCAAACTATAACTATCACTAATACCAAAATCCTTACCATTCCATTTTGTGAAGGTTCGTTATATAGGGCAATAAATAAAAAATGCTGAATAAATATATATTTTTCCTAGTACGATAATAGTAATATTTTAAAATGACGTTATCTATGAAACAAAATATTAATTAACAGAAAATAAAGAAATTCTATTTTAAAAGTAAAATAAATAAAACCTCCTCAATTTTAACCCTGAGTTATTGAAAATAATAAGTGTATGCTATAAATAACATTAAACAATTTAAAATTAAATAAAAACAAAGGCGTGTTCAAAAGCCGTTCTCACCCCAAAATTATTTAGTTTCCATTCCAGCACTTTTTTAGCCGTTAGAAAATATCGAAATATACAGTTTCAATATCTAATATTTAAGTTAAATAGCCATTAACGATTCAGTATTGCAAAAAAGTGGAATTATGCAAACCTAAGGCGAGTCTAATTTAGCCTCTTAATAAGGTATATATAATATGTGCGCTCAAGCATATTTTTGCTAAAGTTTTCTCGCAGCCTAAGATAGGAACTGGACAATTTTGGGGTAAGTACGGACTATTCTTAAATACTCCTTAGTCCTTTAATTATAAGTACTTTATATTAAGTCTATACTTCAATGTATATAAAAACAATTATTATTAATTGATTTGTCTGTTGTCTTTAGATCTCAAATGGTGCTGTTTAATATACAGACATAACAAAGTAAAAATATATTTAACTTAATATTTTGCAGGGTTAGAAAGTAACTCAGATTAAGGTACAGAACACAATAGCGCCCCCATAGAAATAAATTCGTGATATAATATGTACTCGTGAATAAATGATAGAATTTGATACGTAAAGAATATAATCTATGAACTTTTACTGATATCTACGAAAGTATGAATGACAAACTTGTTTTTTTTTTAGTACGTTTGTTCCGTTTGGAACAGGCTAAGGTCGGAGACCATGCTGCCTAGACAAACTTGTTTTAATCTGTCAACGTCAACTTGATTTTGATTGATAAACATAAGAGAAAAAAAGGCGGGAAACTCGAATAAGAACAAGCGGGTTTTTTAAATTTTTTTTATTAATTTATTAAAACTATCTCTATCAATTCTTATTATTGAATAAAATATTATATTTTCACTAAATTCAGCGACAGTAATATAATTAGCATTCATGGGGAAGCGCAGTTGTAGAAAAAGGAAAAAAAAAGATGACGATTCAGGTGATGTAGACCATGAACCTTGTAATGACAAGGATATATATTCGGAAGATACTTCTACTGACTCAGAATCTGAAATTGATAAGGCCGATAAGTATAAACCTTACTACGTCACAGATTATATTAGAAGATATCCCGAGGAATCCCCTGGGACAGAATTTGTTGTCTTTGTAGAATCCTCAGATAGTCAGAAAACCATTGGATCCAGAGACTTGCTCTCACTCTCCTCCTGTTTAAAACGATTTAATAAAGGGGTAACTTATCTTAGATCTATAAATAAATTCAAAATCGGAGTATACTTTCAAAAGCCAGACTTAGCCAATGCTTTTTTAAATAATAAAACTTTTTTAAATGACTACCATTTTAAGGCCAGTATTCCTGCTTCTTCAACAGAAGTTACAGGCGTTATTAGAAATGTACCTACAAATATATCTAATAAAAAAATATATACTATGATATCGAGTTCTAAGAAAATTATTGCTATTAAAAGAATTTTAAGAAAAAATACCTTGACTCATGGATATGTGTTACAGCCAACTCTAACCGTGACAATTACTTTTGCTGCATCTGTATTACCTGAATATCTGGATATTGGAGGTTGGCGCCACAATGTCACTCCATATATACTACCAGTTAAACAATGCTACCGGTGCTTGAGGTATGGACATTTAGCTAAATTCTGTAAGAATTCTGAGCGTTGCAGCATCTGCAAAGGTGAGCATAATTATAAAACTTGTACAACTGGAATGGAAAACGCTATTTGTGTACACTGCAATGGAAATCACACAAGTGTATCACCGCAATGCCCTGTTAAACAAAAGAAAATTGCTGAAAATAGATCTAAATTCAGACCTGCTTCTTTTGGAGATATACTTAGCACTGAAATATTTCCTAAACTGGGTAACAAACCTAAAAAAAATGTAGACCTAATTTCAATTCTAAATTCTGATAACAAGAGTTTATCACTTTTAATAGAAAGCATAATCAAACTTATTTCACTACATAACACAAAGAACACATCTATTAACACTAAAAGTGTTTTGAATGTGTTATATGATACTTTTGGTAATAGACCTATTTCACAAAATTCAATCGAGACCAATTAACTATCATACAGTGGAACGCTCAGAGCCTACTGAGCAATCGACATATTTTTACACAATTTTTAAATGAACATCATATCCACATTGCTCTCATCTCAGAAACTTGGCTAAAACCACATTACAAATTAAAAATTAAAGATTATTGTATAGAACGAAATGATTGTGGTAATAACCACAATGGAGTAGCGATTATTATACATAATAGTATTAGATATAAAAAACTTCACTCTTTTTTCGACAATTCTTTGCAAACTATAGCTATTAGTATTGAAGTTAATAATTCTTGGTATTCAGTTGCCAGTATTTACTGTCCTACCAATAGTACACCTAGTTTTACTAAAGCCAAATTTAAGTTCTTTTTGGAGTCTCTTCCTAAACCCACTATCATATCTGGAGATTTAAATGCACATCATACTATGTGGGGTTGTACCTCCACTAATACAAGAGGTAAAGACATTCCTGATTGTTTAGATGAATGTAATTTGGTACTATTAAATGATAAGCAAGTTACTACTGTTGGCTCTCATATTTGGAGACCCAATGGCCTTGATTTAACTATGGTATCCCTATCCATATCATTAAAATGCGAGTGGTCGGTTCATGATGATCCGTTAGGAAGTTATCACCTGCCGACTTTTACTAAAATAAACACAAAGAACTCTTCATCAACTCCGTCAGGTGAACAACATGCTCCTATAGATGAAGTTAATAAACTTTTGTTAAATCGTATAAACCTACGTCTCGTTAATTGGGATCTTTATTCTGAAACTGTTAATCGATTACTTTTGGATTTCGAGTATGATGTCAATGAACCCTTAAACAATTACAATAGGTTCTGTAAAATTATTTTGACAGCTGTGGAACGTTCCGTTCCACGTAGGAACTTATCAAATAGCGGTGCAAATACTTCAAAGAGGCACAAACATATTGCAGTACCTTGGTGGAATAACAGGTGTGCGACAGCTGTCAATGATAGTAAAGCGGCTTACCTTAGGTTTAAACAAAATCCAACTCTCGATAATTACATAAATTTTAAAAGAGTTCAAGCTGTTAAAAAGTTAGTAATTAAGCAAGTAAGACAACAGGGGTGGCAGGAATTTTGTTCCAAATTTAATAGATTAACACCAATTTCCACTGTTTGGCAAAATATGAGAAAACTAAATTCAAAACATCGTCAAAATCATTTTAAAGATATATCATGGGTCAATGATTTTTTACGCAAATATACTCCTGATTTTGTACACTCATCTTTTGATGACAAACAGTTTAATTCTGTTAATTCATGCCCAAAATTTCTCACTGACCCATTCTCAATTGATGAAATATCCAGTGCAGTAAAATCTAGAAAAGATACAGCTAGTGGCCTTGATCGCTTAACATACAATATGTTTCGATTGCTGAATAAAATAAACCTTACTAAACTCTTACAAATTTTTAACGATTTATGGAAGGACTGTATTATCCCACCAGAATGGAAAATGGATTGTTTGATTCCAGTAATTAAACCCGGTAAAGATCCTACAAATTTCGACTCCTATAGACCTATAACATTGACGTCCTGTGCAGGCAAATTATTCGAACAATTAATTAAACAGCGTTTAGAGTTCTTTATTGAAAGTAATAGTATATTACCATCGAATCAATTTGGTTTTCGCCGTGGATATTCAGCGCGCGAAAGTTTAGCGAACTTCTATGTCGACCTTAGTACTGCTTTGAATAACGATGAATATGTTCTATCTGTTTTTTTAGATGTCGTAGGAGCTTTTAACAATGTAATTTTAACAGTTCTATCTTCGATTTTATCCTCATTTCTTCCAATGAAACTTATCGAATGGATTTATAATTTTCTTAGTAATAGAGAAGTGTATGTTAAAGTAAATAGTAAATTAATAGGACCTAGGTTAAGCTCTAAAGGAGTATGTCAAGGTGGTATTCTAAGCCCGCTACTATATATTTTATATATCTATAAACTTAATTCAATTTTAGGAAACAGTGTGAACAACTTGCAATTTGCCGATGATTTATTAATTTATATAAAAGGAAAGAATATTATTGATATGCAATTAGTGTTAAATGAGTCATTAAAAAGACTTGAGAAATATTTTTCTCTTCTTTCCCTCGATATTAGTTTAACCAAAAGTAAAGTAGTTGTTTTTCATCAAGTTCATAAATATGTTCCATTAATGAATATTATATATAATAATCAAACTCTTCCAACAGACTGTAGCGTTAAATTTCTGGGGGTAATTTTTCATCAAAATTTAAAATGGGATCTATACGTTGATTGCTTAGTAGATCGTGCTTTAAGAGCCACTAATATAATAAGATCTGTAATTGGTCGTAACTGGGGAGCTGATCCTAAAATTATCCTTTTACTTTACAAATCTCTTGTTAGAAGTAATTTTGATTACGCTTTCTTTTGTTATGCCTCAGAACATAAATTAGTAGAAAAACTCGAAAAAATTCAAAATATGAATTTAAGACTTATTTTAGGTGCTATGTATACTTCTCCAATTATCTCAATGCAAGTAGAATGTAATTTGCCTCCTATCCTTCTTCGTTTCGAATACCTAAAACTCAAATTTCTCTTCAAAGTTTTTTCAGTTTCCAATAACCCACTCATACTCAAATTATTAAATTGCCCCATTTCTATGTTTTTGAATAAAACTATTATCAATGATTTGAATTTACGAGATGAATATAACATCTATAGTAGTAAGATACTTCCTTGTTATAATGGCCTTTATGAGAGTAAGTTCTGTAAGATCAAAATTGTTATACATAAAGACATAAAAGAAAAGCACGATATGTATGAGACTTTATCAGAATTTATTGACTACAGGCAGATATATACAGATGGTTCCAAAAATGCACTTAGCACTTCAGTGGCTTTTTACGATTTGTCAAATAGATTTGGTCACGGTTATAAAATTTCAACTTTGGCTAGTATTTACACAGCAGAAGCAAAAGCTATATTTTTAGCATTAGAATACATAGAAAAACAGGTACTATATTCGAAATGGATTATAATTACAGATAGTATGAGTGTTCTTATGGCATTAAAAAATAACACAATCATTTCATCATCAAACTACTTAATTCAAGAAATTCGTAATAAATATTATCATCTCTGTACTATATATGGAAAAGATATTATCTTCATCTGGACCCCTTCACATATTGGAGTGTTTGGGAATGAACAAGTAGACACTTTGGCTAAAATTATTAATTCAAGTGCTGCTCGTGTTCAAGATTTACCCCTTTGTTACTCAGATTGTAGTATTGGAATACATAAAATCGTTACAACTAAATGGGAGGAGCATTGGACTCAAATATTACAGACTAAAGGCAAATGGTACCGCAAAATTAATTGGCGTATTGGAAAACCGTGGTTCTACAAAGGAAAGGACACAAACAGAAAATTTTACACCAATATTTGTAGATTACGAATCGGCCACGGACATTTCAACGAACACCTGCACCGAATGGGCATGATCGCTTCCCCATCATGCACATGGTGTAACTCAAATACAGCCCAATCTCTACATCACCTTTTTTTTGATTGCTCTGAATTTGTCATTCAAAGACACATTATGTTTGACGAACTTAGGATTATCTTCAAAAAACCCGAAAATATCCCGCACTCAATCCCGCTTCTCTTAAGATTTCCTTCTTGTTTCAAAGCTATTTTCACTTATATTACTACAACATTCAAGAAGCTATAAGAATACTTTTATTGAATTGCAAGACAATGATTTTTTATAATTATTTATTTTTAATTTGATAAATTCACTGGTTTAAGAAAACTCAAGAAAAGATATTTATGAAAATGTACTTACCGGATTTGACAAATGAAATATTGAAGATTATGACAATAATTGAAGCGACATTAGAAAAATAAAATTCCAGACAAATTATCTTTTTGAAGACTAGGCAGCATGGTCTCCGACCTTAGCCTGTTCCAAACGGAACAAACGTACTAAAAAAAAAAAAAATGATAAACATAACCTAAAGGCTATACTTAATAGCACGCCTTTATGTATTAAAATCAAAATAAACAGCATAGTTTTCTGTGTTTTAATATAAAACATAACGTTTAATTGCTAAGTGACATATTTATTCAATACATTAATCAGTTCGCCATTGGTAAGTTAAAAATGATATTCATTGTTTTCATAGATTATAATCACTAAAACTGTACTATGGCACATGAGGTACACATATTCAACAGGTTTGTATTAGATTTATTTAATATGTATAGTATCAGTTGTGATCAGTAAGTAGTTTTAAGTGTTACTTTTATTATTACCACATTCGTCACTTTTACTTTTTTGCTTGTCAACATCTAGACGCCTCCTATAGACAGTCTTATGAAAATGTCCTAAGGTGTAAATTTAAATTGTTTACTTTTCCTTTCAAAAATTTCAGTCTTCAAACCGCTTGCCCAATACGGTATTTTATGACTGTAAACTCTGCAATGAATAATGTCTTGCCCTCAGTGTGAAATGTGGAGGATTGCATATATCAGAAGTCATTGAAGAAGGTCTATATTCAGCAGTGGGTAGGGACAGGCTGAAATAATAATGATGATTTATTTCCAATAAATTCACTACATCACAGTTCAAATTATTTATTGCACATAATTGACATTTTGATAATTTAGTCTAAATAAATATAAAAAGTCTTAAAAAGTTAAAGTAAAATCTTAATGGCAGAGGGATGGGCGAGCAGCGTCTCTTTTAAAATGTTACCATAGCTTTTTGTGACATTTTATTTGCCTGCCAAGCATGGTAAGTACTGGTAAATTCCCCTCATAAGAGAAGCCCATGTTTAGCAGTGCATAGTTAATGGCTGATATGATATGATGATGATAATAGGCAAAACTATTGATTGCACAAAATTGATAATATAAAAAGTCAGAAGACATCAATATTACTTCAAATGATGTAGTTATTTTAATCTAATATTGTATTATAATTTACTAAAAAAAGGAAAGCTTTATAATGATATCAAATATTCAAAAGCATAAATTATATAGAAAAATAGTTCAATAATATCTAGTTCACACTATCTCATTTTTTAAATTAGGTGGTATATACACTTAGGTTTTTAGCAATGGATTACATTATTACAGATCTATTTAGTATTAAATAAAAGTTCTAATACTTTTGATAATTCAATATGATCTTGGAGATAAATAAAAATAAATAGTTTTTTGGGATTAAGTTCAATTTATATATATATATTAATTATATTACTGAATAATATGTACTGAAGAAAAAATATATTATTATCAAGGCGTACATAAAGTCAAATTGTGTAATTAAGATTAAAAAAAATATTAAGCCTTAGCAAAATTTTATTACCTTAAAATTATTTTTAAACAATGAAATGATAGTAGATTCAAGGTTTAATTAGATTAACTTTAATAAATAAATTTTATGCAACTGCTATAGCAGCACCCTTTGCAGCATCACCTCCTGATGTGAACACCAGTGGCAAACTGTAATGATGTTCGACAGCTCTCTGTAATACTGCATTTCTGGATAGCCCAGATCCATTTCCAACTATTCTTTTTATGTTTGCTTTTTGCAATATTTCTTTAGGCATCATAAAATGCAAATTTGCGACTAAACTGTTACAAAGAGATTTGAATACTTGCCCCAAATTGATATTAGACAGATCTATATTTTCAACACATGCTTTAGCCAGAGGTGCATACCTCTCACCTAAAAGTTGAGGATTTATTTGCATAGCTGATTCTGGTGCTTCTAAACCAAGAGCAATTAGCTTTTCCCACACCTTTGATTGTGGTATGGGAAATCCAAATTCAAGCATCCATTGCTGTAGCATTTTCACAAATGTAGCTAAAACATTGCCTCCATTTAGTGATGCAGCCACAACTAAATATTTATTCTTAAAATATGGTAAGTGTTCTATAGTGCTGCAACCCAAGTCGGAAATTTTATCAGCAACTATGGCAAGTTGAGCAGATGTTGATATGTTCAATACAGCATCATGTTCATTTTCTAAGGTAGAAAGGATTGAACACTGCAGATCACCCATAGCTACACTTACAGGTATTCCTTCAGGTATACCATTCCAAGAGCTGTTCAACTTCCCAGCAAATTCTCCACTTTTTATTATCTTAGGCAATAGGTTTACTGGAAAATCTATTGATTGTAGGATATCAGTATTCCATTTATTATTTTCTGTATTGAAATAGCCCCAGCTTGCAGCATTCTGATCTGACATAATAGGAATGTCCAAATCACAGAGCATTGCTACCACAAAATCCTGTACTGTGGCTGAATATTTAAAATTTTTAAGTTTATCTGGTTTATGTTTAAGCATCCATAAAAGAGTAGCACATCCATATCCTGTATAACATTTTAAATGTGAGTCGGGTTTTGGCAATGTGTCCAAAAATTCAGGCTTGCATCTAGAATCTTGCCAGGTATATAAAGCAGACATATTTTCCCTGATAGCTTCAAAACGAATTACATTACCATCTTTTTCAACTTTTTCCCAAGCTCTGTAGGGCAAAAAAATAATGAAATATAAAAATAATGATACTTTATATGTACTCGTGACTGTAGTTAAATTAATGCAATCAACAAATAAAGACAAAAATATACATTACCCATTTTTCCACAATACAACTCCATGCATTTGTCCACATACTCCAATTTTCGTAACATGCCGTAAAACATCCCTTGGAAGACGTGAAACACAGTAATGAACAGCTGATACTATTTTTGGAACGTCCTGCTTATTTCCTTCAATTCCCTGATCACTTGGTATATTAGCTGCTGTGTCCTTAGTCTGTTTGGCCACCAACTCTTTTGTACCAGGATCGTATACACATACTTTAACTGAAGTAGTGCCAATGTCCATTCCTAAGATAAATTGTTTCTCCGCCATAATGCACTGTTCTAAGAAGTTTACAATTTTTTTTGTTATCACATATATATAGACGCGTTTTTACTGTAGGTGAATGCAATATTTTGTGGAGATTACGCTCTGTGAGTTTGTGGTCGGGGCAGTAGATGCCGCGACTTATAGTAAGTAGTCTGCCGCTCCGGCTACACCGCCGCCGCGCTACCCCCCCCCCCCCCCTTCCCATCCGTTACGTAAACATAATTCACTTGTGTCTGTTATCACAACGAGTTGCCGATTGTTTATCACTTACTTCAAGCCACTGACTTGTTAACAAATTACTCCTGACAATATTTATCTCCTCCAAATTGTATCTATTTTCGACTAAGATATAACTAACTTTAATTGTTATTCCAATCAAATTTTGCATTTCTGAAAATGATAATTATATAATTAGCACTATAGCTCTTGTTGCTTGTAAGCATTTATGTAGTTTGTGTAGTATATAATTTACATAGGCACGTTTCAAAAACATTTTAGTCGGCACTCCAGTTTTTGTTTGACAAGTTTGATTTGACTTTCCACACACTTCTAGACTTTCAGCGCAAGTCTTCAAAATTTGACAAGTACTATAGACATCAACAAGTAAGCTGTGTTAGTAATTTACAATTTTTGCTTTGATATAACATGATTTAGATGCGTCTTATATCTTATTTCTTAGGTACCTATTATTACTTACTAAATTCCTATTTTATCTAGGTAGTTATGATAATTGAGGAAATATCGTTTAAATATAGTAGATGTTTTTAAAATTAATGTAAGATATAATTATTCTGAGTCATCTATATTCAACATAGTAATCAAAAACTACTAGCTGGGCGAGCAGCGACGATGTTATCCGTGTCACTCATAATTATTCAATTGCCCAAGAAGATAGAAATAGAACGACTACAAATCAACTCATAGCGTTCATCTTGTGAGCGTCTATTTATTTATTGTCTTTGGGTATACCCACTTAAAACACACCTTTTATACAAATGTTTACTTAATATGTAGAATACTCATTATTATTATTAACACTCAAACTTTAGCCGAAAAAATAAGAAAACTACATATAATATTTTCATTATATTTTTTTATTGATCGATTGGATAAAGAACTTGTTAAAGTTTAAAACAATTCATTTTCAAGTGAAATGTAACAACGTAAAAAGTAGGTTTATCAAAAATTACAGACAAAAAGATTTTTACCTTTCTGTCTGTAATCTCTAACTGTTAATAGACTGAGATAACTCTAATAGAATGATATGTGAACATACATATACCGATGAATGACGAGATGTTTCGTAAACATACCTATTACATTAAAAATGTTTGAATTTAGATCACGGAATCGGGGCCCCGTAAAGAAAAACTGCAGCTTCGATTCGTCACAAAATTAATATGAGACCAACGCGAGATTAAAACTTATCGACTACATATGTAATATTATTCAAAAACTTGTACTTTGTTTCATTGTCTTTATTAAAATGCTTTTATTATTTAAATGAATTGAGAATTTCCTTTTATGTATGAGTAATGCTTTTCATAACGGATTTAAACGCTGGTTTTATAAAGCTATACCTAGTAATCAAACATTTATGTACATTAGTGGAATGTTTTATACTTTTTACTTATAAAAATCAGATTCTTAAATTTTTTACACAAATACACACAACCCTTTACATATTATTGTCAACTGATTTAAAAAAAAAAGAACGAGGTTCTCAATTCGGTTGTATATTTTTTTTTTGTTTGTTACCTTAGAACTCCGCCATTTATTAGATTATTTTTTATTTGAAAAGATATAGATTCAAATTGGCCCCATAGAAATTTTAACAAAATCAGTTCAATAATTTGTTTGCAAATCAAAATAATTAATTTTGCCACAATTGGAGTAGGTGTTTTTTTTTGTGGAACAAAATGTAATCATAAACTCCTATAAAAAATACTAGAAAGTAATATACAGATTCAAGAAAACATTTGACAATACACATCATTTGTTGTTGTGTCACGTAAACTGTCCAATATTGAAAATAACTTCTCTCAAATTGTGGTTTTGCCAGTAGTTGCCATAATTGATAAACATAATTGATTGTTATTATTAATATCAATTAATAGTTTATCTCTTAAGAAGTCAAGTAATATATTTATATGAATCAGTAGAAATATATAGTATGAATATATAGTATATAAAATTTTCTTGATTTTTAGTATTTAATGCACAATGTATTCGTATCCATATTTTTATTGTAATTTATTACGATTACAGGCAAATTTTGGTCTGCGAAACAACTAGGTACTTCCATCATGAAAAAATTAACATAAGATCAAGAGATACACGAGAGTACTACTACTTTTCGTGTGAGGGCGTCGCACTCTCGTGACAAATTTCTAGGCCGCCTGTATTATATAGGTACAGAGGCCTCTGACGTGGTTTACCGGACGACGGCCTTACGTACCCTTCAAAGCACAAAACGAGCGATAATAATTTTTAATTAGTCCAAATAAAACTGTAAATTCAAAGGAATTATTTCAATCTTGACATCCCTAGACAGTAGTTAAACATGGTCCGACTGAGCTGTCACTCCTAAGGTGAAGAAGAACAAAAAGCATGTCACGTAATTCAAGTGTACATTATTATTATATTATCACATTAAAATCCAACATTAAAAATACATAGTTACATTAACATTTCTTTGAATCGCGAGCACTAATTTAGACACTGGTCTCGGAATGAAATAAACGTATTGAAGTATTATGTATTACAGCTACAATGAAGCTACACAATTAAAAATTGGTATGAACCCAATAGATAAACGATAATAACGTAGTGTTTCAAGAATATACTAACTCCTCCACGTATACTATCACTTTTAGTGACAAATGACTCCATTGTATTAAATTATCCCTGGGTCAAAACTCACAAGTCCAAACTTAAACCCACAAGCTTATAAAATGTTAAAAAAAAAGTGTAATACCAAAATTGTTTGCAAATGCTGACGAGTAACGATTCAGTATTGTTACAATGCTCGTAAAAAAATATAATAGCCAATTTAGACTACTTTGTTTTAAGTAAATAACTTCTTTAAACAACTAACATAAACATAGATCTAAATCTCAAGCTACAGCTACAATCTCGCATATTCGACACAATCTTGGTGGATAATTTGCCTTTGGAAAATGTCCACTTGAATTCCAGTTTCCTTCGTTATAAATTCCAGTATGAAATTAATAACGAAGTACGGTTTACAATACTGATCCGTGCGAATAATGAAATAAAATTTCAATCGGTGTAAATAGGAGGGATTTACAATCGATATAGCTTTTGTTTTTATATAGTTTGTTTTTTTTTTGTTACTACGTTACTCGTTCACGTAGCCACTTATAAACCAACTTTGATAATGTTTTTTTACAATTATTGCGTTCATTGCCGTGTTGGTCCCATATTAATTTTCAAAGGATTGTTTATTGTGAAAATCTACTTTTAGAAATACGATCTGCATTTTAAACTGAACTATTTGTTATTTGTATTATCAGTTTCTGCGAAACATCTGTTTTTCATCGGTGTGCTTTTTTGTAATTGAGTTCCCTGATTTTTTACGAAGTAAGATGCGTTAAATTAAAGTCAATCGCTGGATGTATGTTAGCGTATCACTTAGAACAGCTTTACCTTTTTTGTTATTTTTTTTTTTGTTGTTGTCAAGACAAGATTTGTATATCAGGAAATATTTGAATAATCATACGCAAAAGTGAAACATTTAGGTTAAAAAAGGAAAGATTTGATCTCATTTTCTTTATAAGTACAGTGCGATGTCGCAGCTGTGCCGGCTGGCAGTTACTTTTTTTGTTTTTATTTATAAAACAGCTTGTCAGGAATTACATCTTTCACCAATTACGCATGACAAGGCCTTATACAAATTATTACACATATACATTTTATAGATTTAGAAAATACAATTTGCAAATAAATGCAATACATTTAAAAAATCTGTTCTCGGTCATACATTAAGAATAATATCTATCTTGACCCTTCGGATAGATGCGATTATATTAATTTTACTTTGCAACTTAATATATTCATTGGTAGGTTGTTTTAGCAAAGTATCAGACAGTTGTTGAGATAACAGGTACTTATCCACACGATATTCATGAATACAAAATCGACTGGAGTCGACTAGACTGTATACACATCATCATTATCAGTAGTTATAAAGTGGCCCACCGATAACTATCGAAGAGATTTATGAGTTTAACTAAAAAGATGCCTGGTTCCCTTACTTTATTTAGGTCGATTATATATTCAAAATACAATGTACTTTAATACTGTTGTTGCAATATATTTAAAAATTACTAATTTGCTAATGAAATTTATATAAAAAATACGCATGTGCTTGATTACAATGTATGGCGAAATCACTCGTGTTGCCTAATTCGAAGTATAAAACATTATTCATGTTGCTTTGTCTGCTTCTCGTCAATGATCGTTCATAGGGAAAAAATACTTGTGTACATTTTGTATAAACTTTTTTGGAGAGCTCCCTTTAAATCTTATCACGACGCATACGCCGTGATTAGGTACGAGTGCCATGTTTTATACAATTATTGAATGTTCAGATTAAATAAATTTTGTTTAATGAATAATCAATTTTTTCAATAAATCATAACAAAATTAAACAGACCGAAGTTACAGAGTTAGTTACAATCCAATTTTATGTCGCTCGGCATCATTTGTTTATTCATCTAGCGTTAATAATGACATTGAAATGTATGCACATTATAACGTCAAAATACACTAATATTGTTATTATAAAATATCTCTGTACAATTCATTATCATGACCTTTTAGATCCCACGCGGCCAAATATTCGCAGTGCGTTGCCTTTTGCTTAGGGTTAAAAAATATGTTTACTTTGGTCGATGGACCTAGTTCATCATCCGTAATTTACGCAAATATGAGTAAACATGATAATAATATAAAAGAAATAATAAAAAAAAAAATCAGAAACAACAATGAACAAAAACAACAGCGCAACGGTAAATGGAAGGGACGATAGGTATTCTAAAAAAAATGGATATGAATATGGATCCGTATTTAAAAATGTTATTTGCATTGGATCGAAGTAAATCTTAAAAACCGGATGGTTAACTGTAAAAGAGCCGTTGTAGATATGTTCTTCAAATTAAAAACGTATTAAATATCAATTATGATAACTTATGACCTCAATAATAATAATAATATTTATTTATCGATTTAGGTAATAGATAGGAGTATTAATATTCACCTCTGAGTATGTTACTTATTTTGTTTTAGTATCCATTGTAGTCAGATTGGATTGCCTTAGGAGTACTTTTGTTGAGAATGCTCGATTAGTTAAAGTATAATGTGTACTTACGAAACTAAAGAATAAAATTTGTCTTACACACACACACACACGCACATGCACACGCACGCACACACGCACACGCACACGCACACGCACACACACACACACACACACACACACACACACACACACACACACACACATTGTATGTTGATATAACTAATTATTTTAGTTAGAGGCTGTTACCTTTTTTTATGGTCACAAGTTGTATTTTCTTACTAATATAATGAAGTTGTAACTAGACAATGTCTGCTCTTGGAATATATTAGAGAAAAATTGATGTAAGAAGTTTTAATGGAAACAATAGAAGCCAAAACAATATTTTTTAGAAATTTTGTCCGTCTGTCTGATTACATGTTTGTTACGGTATCACGTAAAAATTACTGTACCAACTGAACTCGGTTTTCACTTTTGTGTTCTTAAAAGTTTCACTTAAAAGCTGCTGTGGTGTTTTATTTCGATACACCATCTAGGAATAGTCTATTTCATTGCTACTCCTACTTCTGAAAACCATGCATATGAAGTAGCGGATTTAAAGCTAGTATTTTATAAAATTGTTTATGAGCAAAAACGCATATAGAAAAAAATATATAAATTGATTTTTGAACTAAATTTTGGTTACTCTTTAGAACTCCTATGTGAATCTTGCACGCAAATAATCATGTGAAATGCAATAATCTGTTTGTAGTGGTTCCTCATCTACAGTTTTTATAGAATAGATGTCGGATCTCATGACTCGGCACTTGTTAGCCTTAGACAAAATAACAAGGCAAATTTTATGCACAAAAATGTAATAATTATGTGAAACGCTATTTAGTTGTTTGTGTTGTATGAACACATGTGAAGGTCAGCATAAGATTAAATATCTTAACATAATTCATCTAATTTCCATATACACGCTTGCAGACAGGTCATTTAGTATAAATTTTTGAGAAATTAATTTATATTAAAGATGTTGGCACTTTTCTGAGTTTATTTTACTGGTGTTTACTTGTGCGTGAACTTTGTGTGACACGCCGGATTAAGTAATATTTGGTATTGCGAATAATTTGGGTATATATATTCAAAATTAAAATGTACTTATAAAATTATATTATTTTTTTTTCTCTCTGTTTAACGAAAACTCTTTATAACGCATTAAAATAATCGGTCCTTTCAATTTCGCTATATAAAGTTTTAACTGTTATTTTTATTTATTTTTTGTTTTTGTTTTTATTTTTTTATTTACCTAACAGTGAAAATCTTGTATATTATGAATAAAAACATATTACGTCGACCCTAAATAATTGAGTTAAGAGCAAGATGATGATAATGATCTTTTTTTATTTATGACGCAAATAATACGAATCTAATAGAAATCAACTATTGCTATTCTATCTTTCGGACAACTAGTATTTTATGTAAAAATTTATTAATATGATTGTGTGCCCATTCTAGAATTCATATTGATACTGTACCTCTTTGTAACATGAAAATGCAATAATAAATTGAATTGTAATGTTGTATTGTATCGAATGGTGGTACCATTGCTAGAAAAGGAAAATTTGAAATAAAATTCTGTGCTAAGTGGTCAGCATTCGTAATTCATTTATTCGTTGGTAATTAGGCCACTTTTTACCTCAATTATATTATTTTTATTTTATTTAAAATAATAATATTTAACAAGTATAATTTTGTTTCAGAACATAATGGGCAAAAGACATAAAACGAGTATATCAAAAGAGGAAAGATCAGCAAACGATGGAGTAAATCAAAATGACAGTTCTAATGATGTTAACACTAATGAATCAGCTTTTAAAAAGAAAAGAAAAAATAAAAATAAAGCACATTTTGATCCTTCAGCAATCACTAATGATATTCGTCCTAAAAAAGAAATATTGAAAGATGAGCTTCAAGTCATTGAAAGTTCTGATAACACATATGATGGTGGCACTAAAACGAAAAAGAAAAAAAAGCATGACTCTAAAGGTATATTTCAAAATGTTGTCACTGAAGAAATACCTACTAAACATAAAGTAAAGAAGAAACAGAAAAATCTAGTTTCTGAAAGTGATTCCAATTGTGCAAACAGTAATGATGTCGTAAAAAGTAAAAATAAAGCAGCAACTGAAGTAGTGAAACAGAATACTGTAAATGACGAAGCAACAAGAAACATGAATACAAAGAACAAAAATGAACAAACATTTCAGGACAATGAAATGGATGTAAAGGATGAAGATATTGATAAATTTTGTGATGAAATAGATGAAGAAGATAATGAGCAATACGAAAACTGGGTTAAATTGATTGAAGCTAAATTACAACCGAATAAAAAATAACAAAAATTGTAATTTAATTTATACATTGGGAAATAATTATATACTTAATACTAAATTATCATTTTTGCTGTGGCCCATTTTTATTTTACTATCGGAATCCAACATGCTGTTTTCTAGTTGTATTCATCACGATGGACTAACTGACCTGTCTTTTCATTCCCCCTCACTGGTGTCCTGCCAGCGTATCCCATTAGCGCAGGCGGGGTTACTATTCGATTATCATCCATTAAAGAAAAACACCTTCAAACTCGTGAAGGATATCATGGGCGACACCGTATATTTTGTTATGTTCATGGTACTGTTTATGACTATAGGAGACGTTACTATATTGAATTCTGTGTCACCCACGATAGTCGGTATAAAGAAAATTCAAGCAAACGAATAGTCTCCTGCGTATTTCAAATAGACATTAATTTCATTTAGAGTGTCTATATAATTTCAATAAAACTTGGTTAACTTTTCATTGAGTCTTATTTTAGATAATAAAGTATTAAAAATACAATTTATTTTTAATTATCACTCCTCTCTCTCTACCATAGATTTAGGACCTTAACAAATTGCTACTAATATAGGATTTTTAATAGATAATAATGTAACCTTGCCTGCACTAGCAGAATACGTTTGTAGGGCACCAGTGAGAGATGATAGTCGAGGATGAGAAGGCAGGTCAGTTAGCCCATCGTGAAAAATATACCTGGAATTCAGTACGGTGGTTTCCAGGGGGGATCACATGGAGATCAACTTGACAGGGTATATTGCTAGCAATGGGACTAATAGTTCGCATTACTAACAATCCCTTTCCAACCCCTTAGTGATGTAAGTAGATAAGTGATATTTGTTATAATCTTAAATTATAACGTAGTACGTTGTACTGAGTCTATGGTTATAGTGGTATTTGACAGCTGTCAACTGTCACTGCCCTACTGTATTTATATTCTTCTTTAGATATAGTTTCTGTAATGTTTGCTGTAATCTGTATTTTTAATTATCTTTTGTATTTATGTCATAAAAAGCATTGCGGTATAAATATAAAAATTAAAATATTATAAATCCTAATTTAATCCTTTCTTTGCTACTTCCTTTAATTTTTAATAAATATGACGAGATTTGCTCGTAGTAAAGGTTCTAAAGCTTCAAATGAAAAAGCTCCGGAAGATAGCACGCCCTGGGAGGTTATGAAGGAACAGCTACTGCGTACGAAAAAAGAAAAAGATGAATATAAAAAAATAGAGGAGGTAATTGTTATATTTGCTTCATATATATCATTCAATATAGAACTATCATTTTCGTGCATGTTAATTTTGTCTGACACTATCATTATATATATTTTTTTGTATTTTCATTATATGTATTGTGGTCTATGCTACTCTTAAATTATTCATTATTAATTGTAAGATGCGCTTTTAACCACATAAAATGAAAAATTTTAATTTTATTCTATAATATAATCTACCCATGTATAAAATTTTCTTTCATATCTGTTTAAATATGATAATTAGCAAATAATATTAAGAGCTATGGTGGACTGAATACATAGCATAAAGATGACTACTTTACATTTGGCTAAATTTCTATTCCAGGCTGAAAAACAAAGGATACAAAATTATGAAAACTTTTTAAAAGAGCAAAAGACTCAAAAACGTAAAGCCATATGGTGTGATTTTCCAGAGACACAAGAAGGACAAAGTACACAATCACCAACTAAGAAAAAAAAGAAGAACAAAAGTAAACAAATAACTGAAAATAATGATAAAATTATTGCATATAGTTCAAATAATATTGTAGTATCCGACTTACCAATTCAGAAAGAAAAGATAAAAAAGAAGAATTTAACACAGATTCACAATGAAAATAAAGAAACTGACACTGACAAAGAAATACTTGAGGAGACTGTTAATAACTCTTCTGGACAGGAAACACTTGCAGTAAAAAAGAAAAAAAAGAATAAGAAAAACAAAACAAACCAGACAACTATTCCTAGTTCAAATCCACTAGATAACAACCAAAAATTGCAAACAGAAGAAAAGAAAGGTAATAATACACCCAAGCAGCCTCCTAAACATAAGAAGAAAAATAAAACATTAGTGAATGGCAAAGTTGTTAGACGCAAAGATATTAATGATAACAGTTTTCAACTTATCATCAATGGTAAGGAGGTGGAATTGGTTAGAGTTGATGGATTCCCTGTTATGAAAAAAGATGCTGAGCGTCTACATGAACTTAAAGCTAACATGTTGCAAAAAGGTATACCAAAGAGTGAAATACAGAGAACTATGAAGTTGGAAAGGAGGCGAGCAGAGAAAGCTCTGGCAAGATTAAAGAGAGAAGTTTGTTATAATTGTAGAAAAGGAGGACACAACTTGTCTGATTGTCCAGACTTAAAATCAAAAATACCAGGTGTTGATGCTCCTGAAGGGGTTTGTTTTAAATGTGGCTCAACAGAACACAGGCAGTTTGAATGCAAAGTGCAAAGGGATAAAGAATTCAGATTTGCAACATGCTTCATATGTAAAGAGCCAGTAAGTTTGTATTTGTAATATAATCATTTCAGCTATTATCCCTCCACTGCTGGATGTAAGCCTCCCCCATAGATTGCCAAGAAGGCCAATAAGGGTTTAATACCTCCTTATTTCTCCTTGAAAATCAAAATTATCATAATGAGTGCTCTGCCTCACTCTGGTTCCATGCTAGTGTATACAGATACTGTAGTCAGTGTTATCATTTAATTTTCACCTATGACAAAAACTCAATGTCTATTGCTGAACAAAGGAAAATACATATATTATGCCATAAAGTATGATCCTTCATTATTTACTTCCAGTGACTCCCTGCAATACTTGAGATCAGCACACTCTATCTCATGAGGGGTCACCCCCCACTATACTAGGGGGGAGGAGATAGTTAGTAATGTGAACTTTCAGTCCTATTGCTACCTATCATCTTTCATTGGTGCCCTGCCAGTGTATACTGTTAGCGCAGGTGTACCGTCCATAAAAAAACCATACTATACTTGCTTGCACAGGATCACGAGTCGAGAACTTTTTTCCTCCTCAGTTATAATTAAATTCTAATATTCAACGTTAAATTTCCAGGGCCATATAGCAAGACAGTGCCCTGATAATCCAAAAGGTTTATATCCGAATGGAGGCAGCTGTAAATTATGTGGTGATGTCACACATTTAAGAAAGGATTGCCCTACTGTAAGTTTCAGTCTATTAATAATATTTTTTCTCTGTATTGACTTCTATTGTAAAATTTTAAATTAAGCCAGTTTATATTTTTTATCCATATGTAATAATTTGTAATAACATATTCCAATTACTTTCAATTTTAGTAGTATATTCATTTGTTTTAACATTTATTATGTAAGTAAGTAGATATTATATGTATAGTGTATGTATATATGTAATATTTTATTATATATTTTAATATTTTATTTAACTGTATATTTGTTTATGTATTAATATTTGTAGCACTTCATCTGCCTGCTAACGAAATGCTTTCTTACTGTACTGGGTTGACTGGAAGAGATCTCTGTCAGAGATAAGTCCACCCTTGCTCACAATATTCATAAATACATTATTTTATATGTAACTTACAAGTGCAATAAAGAATATATATATAATTTTTTAAACATTTTTCTACAATATTTTTTTTACTGCAAAATATGTACAAACTATAGTATTATATTCTATTATATAGTACTATAATTCTACTGATTTAATTCTAGGTAATGGATAAGAAAGAGGAAAAATCTATTAAACTCCAAACTTTAGATAGTGTAAATGATGTAGAAGGTATTGGATCACAAGGAAATAATACGGCAAGTTCTCTGGAGACAACTAAAAAAGTAAAGAAAATTAGATTTTAGGTAATGATGTAATTTTGTAATAAATATTATATTTGTTTATATCAACTGTTTTATTTCTTTTCTATTTACTTCAGATTAAATAATAATTGTTCAGTAAGTAGAACAATTATTCCTTTTTTTAAATGAATCCAGTTACCAATTGTTGTTGAATTTTGTAAATTATATAAATTGTTTAAATTGATATATATATATATATATATATATATATATATATATATATATATATATATATATATATATATATATATATATATATATATATATTAATGGGGGTTTTGTGTCAAATTCAAACTTTTTATAAGATGGGGATTGTGCTGTCAAATTAAAACTTTTTTCAGTGTTGACAGTACAAGCACGTTGTTATGTCATTCATGCAGTCATTTTGAACGTGCTTCGATTAAAGAAAATTGTCAGCGATAATTATTGTTTTGTGTTTATATTTTTAAACATATTGTTGAGTGCATTCATACAAACGGTGATTAAAATTATTTGTTTTTATTATTATGTAATTAAAATCAGAGGATCCCTAATATTGAGAATATTTGCTCAACCCTCTTAAAATACTTAGATATATACTGTTTTTAGAAGGACATTATGTATTGTTAAATATAAATAAAAGATCCTGTAACTGTATAATCAGAATATATTTAATGAAAAATAAGCCAATAAAAATAAAATGTACAGAGATCATGATTATAATAGCTGTCTTTTGAATTAAAATGCAACAATTTACTATTTAAACATTGAATACTCCTGTAAAATATCTTGAAACTATTAAAGTGGAGAACGGAAAGCGATATTAAATATTATAATACGTATAATAAGCAGAATAAAATGTTACAATCAACAAGATGCTTAGCAACGAACATTGTCATCGATAGACACAGATAATTAGGTCGTATATCTACAACTCATACTCCTAACATCCCGTCTACTTTTTATAGCTGCTGCTACTCATTCCAATGCGTAATGGCAGTTATTCTAATCTTGGTCTGTAGAGTAGCTTTGTAAATGTGTCCGCTTGTTGATGTTCAAATGAGACATGCTTTACTAATCTGTACCTGGATGCTTGTCCTTTGCACATTCACTGACACAAAAATGCTTGCGCTTGATATGATTTATTATAGGTTTTAGGTGCTTTTGTGAGTTCTTTATCTCTCCTGAAGCAGTCATTACAAAGTCATCAAATCTTGTAGGTGCTCGTAAATAATTACGATTTCGTTGACCGTTTAACTTCTGTTTGAACTTCTTCATGTGTCTCTTCATCATTTGTAGCTTGGCTTTCAAAAGGTCTTGTTTCTTCTATCATCTGGATATTTCTTTCATCATCTGTCTCAAAATCATTATTAATTGAATCATATTCGCTTTCAGTTTCATTTGGGTCAATGTTCTTTTCATTGATTATAGTTTGTTTTTTATCTCTCTCTTCTAGTTTTTCAATATTATCAAAGAGCAGATCTACATAACCAATTGTACTTGATTTATTTGCTAATTTATTTGAATTAAAGTTTTCTTTATAGAAAAATTTATCAACAAATTTCACATCTTTTGAAATCATAATTTTACCTTTTGTAGGTACCCAAATTTTAAAAGCTTTTGATCGTTCAGAATATCCTGCAAACATGCCAGGAATGGCTTTTGTTTCAAATTTGTTTCTGTTTTGTTTATTTTTAAGAAGCATGTACGCTTTTATTCCGAATACATTAAAATGATTTAAAGACGGTTTTCTTCCGACCCATTTTTCAAACGGTGTCAAGTTGTCAATACTTTTATTTATACTTCTATTCGAAATGTAGTTCGCTGTACATATAGCTTCACCCCATAGAGTCATCGGTGCTCCAGATTCTATCATTAAACATCTAGCTTTTTCTAAAAGGGTTCTATTCTTTCTTTCAGCTATACCATTTTGGTGAGGAGTGTATGGAGCTGTTAATCGTCTTGTTATACCATTCTTCTTTAAAAACATTTCAAATTCATTATTACAGTACTCTAAGCCATTGTCTGACTGAAGACATTTTATTTTATTGCCAGTATAATTTTCCATCTCAGATTTAAATTCCATAAATTTGTCTAATACTTCACTTTTCTTTTTGATACAATATACACGACTATACCGAGTAAGATCATCGATGAAAGTAACAAAGTATTTGTTACCTGCATAAGTTTCAGACTTCATCGGTCCACAAACGTCAGTATGTATGATTTCTAATCGTTGTGTAGTACGAGGAACAGTATTAGCTTTAGATGGTAGTCTTTTTATTTTGGCTTGAATACAAATTTCACAATCTCCAAGTTTCTCGTTTAAACCAAATTCTAAACCTTTTAGGCTTTTATTTCTTAAAGCAAACTTCATGTCATTTTCATTCATATGACCAAGTTTCCTGTGCCAGTGATGAATTTTGCTTTGATCTGTGTAATAACATGTTTGAGATTTATTTAGTTTGGCATCAACATAGTATAAGCCATCGGCTTTTCTATGTGCTTTCAAAATCACACCTTCATCTTTGTGAGTAACTACTGCCTTATTTTTTGTAAAGAGTACAGTACACCCATTTTCGGTAATCTTACCAACAGATAACAGATTCAGTGACAAATCTGGTACATATAATGTGTCACATAATTTAATTTCTCCTTTCTTTCCAGGTTCATTTAATTGTAAACATACTAAACCTTGTCCTTTTATTTCAGCAGCACCATCGTTAGACGCTAATTTTAACGTTTTGCAAGTGTTTTCTAAATTTTGAAATATATTTCTTTCATAAGACATATGTGAAGTGCATCCGCTATCTATGATCCATTCATTTTTGTTTTCTTCCTTAGATATATATAGACAAATCGCAATATTATTTTTATTTACGTCTTTGCTATCATGACTTGATTTTATATTCGTCTTATTTTTGTAGTATGATGACTTCTTTTTACAGTTTTTAGTATTATGTCCTTTTTTCTTACATATCTTGCAAAAAGCATAATAAACTTCTTCATTACTTGTGCTTGCATCTTGAGAGGATAAATGTTTTCTCGCTTCCGATTCTTCAATAATTTTGATCTTAAGATCCTCAGGTTTAGGTAACGTGTCTCTCGATTCTATCGCTACTCTAAAATTTTCATAGTCTGGCGGCAAGGTGTATAGCATCATAACTGAAAGTAAATCGTCATGAATACTTATATCCATTTGATTTAACTTTTCAACTATATCCATAAACTTATTTAAATGTTCACGTATATCATCGTCATTTTGTAATCTACTTAGAATTAGTTGTTTTAATAGACTAGCTTTTCTTGCCGGACCTTTGCTCGAATATATATCATTGAGCTTTTGCCACATTTCATGTGCAGTTTCACATTTTTTTATTAGTTTTATTTCTGCTGCAGACATCAATAGAATGAGTTCTGACTGCGCTAGCAAGTCTTCTTCTTTAATTTTAGGATCCTCATATTCTATGTCTGGAGTTACTACGTATTTCCATAGCTTTTGTTTAACAAGGACTGCTTTTGCTTGTAAGGCCCAAGTGTCATAGTTATCTTTATTTAATTGTTCTATTTTTCCATAGGAGGCCATTTTATATCGTTATTATTTGCTCTGCTACCATATTAAAGTGGAGAACGGAAAGCGATATTAAATATTATAATACGTATAATAAGCAGAATAAAATGTTACAATCAACAAGATGCTTAGCAACGAACATTGTCATCGATAGACACAGATAATTAGGTCGTATATCTACAACTCATACTCCTAACAGAAACAATGATGTCTTATTGCATTATATTAGATCTTATCTAATGCTCGTTTGAGCCAGAATAAGATGGGTTTACAAGAATAAAAAAAAAAAAAAAAAACTGAAATGAATATAGTTTTGTTAGGGAGTATATATGGTATGGTGTAAAGTTAAAATTATTATTGACTTGTAAAATGTCTAATTTAACGACGTCGTTAATAAGTTTCTATAATTACTATATAATACTTTTACATCTTTTAACTTTAATGTAAGGGACATTATTGAAAAGAGATTGGTACATGTTAATTACAAACTATCTAAGCTAGCTTTTAGTTGCTCCATAGACTGATAGGCTATCTGTCCTGTGATTCCTTCTGGACTTTGTGGATCCTCACGCATTAGGATTCTGGCCGCATCAGCCAGACACTTTATGGGTTCTTGCAATCTGTCTTTTAATTTTTCTTGTGTTATAACACCTGCACTGAATTCGTTTCTTGCCATGAACATTATTGGAGCATGGAGCTCGTAAAGTACCATACCTGAAATAATTTGTTATTGAATTAAAAAAAAAAACTTCAGGTGTGATGGAAGTAGGTATCTCGTATCATGCAACCAACGGAAATAAATACTATTAATAGCTAAAATATAATGAAAATCGGTTCATAGCATAGAAGATATCGTGTCCTTTGCGCCGATATTAGAAATCTATTATTTTTTTTAAGAGTTTAATATAACATAGTTTAATTATTAACAGAAGAAAATAGTGATTTGTATAATATGAAAGAAAAACTATCGATTAATAAAAGCACCAAAATCACTTCTGAAATAATGAAGATATAGTGATTAATGAATATACAATAAACATGAAAATCTTTCATTTGAATCATTGTTCGACTGAGAGAACATTTCCATAAAAGAAATATCGATTGTCCATTAAGTAATACTGAAACAAACTTGTATTTGATATTATACTTTACCTCTCATTCTACTTTCTCCTGGCATGATGACATCAAGTGTCTTCAATACGAGCCGGCAGAATTCTGCCTTTCGTTCTAGCATTAGATCTGGCAACTCGTCGATATTATAGCCCTCCACTCGGCCGTACAATTGTCCTAGCGCCTGCTTGATGGACAACAGTAACGAATGCCGCGGGTGGAATACAGATTTGTACTGAAATTACGACAAATAAAAAATTGGACTAATTTTATATTTAATAAAATAAAAAAACATACATAAAAAATCAAATAAGAGCATTAAATAAATTAATCTCTTGGACATACCACACAGCGATATTATGTTCCAAACTAAGCAGAGATTATGGGTATTTTTTTTTTTCAATGAATGATAATGGAATAGTAACCCCGCCTGCGCTAACGGTATACGCTGGCGAGACACCAGTGAACGAAGATAGATGAGAATGAAGGCAGGTCAACTAGCCCACCGTGATGAATACACCAGGAATTCAGCACGATGGTTTCCAGGGGATACCACGTGAAGGTCGACCGGATAGGGTGTATTCCTAGCATTGGAACTGGTAGTCCGTATTAGTAACAATCCATTTCCCCCTTAATTATGGGTATTAGATAACTGGTATAGTACTTAAAGGAAGGAACCGACCGACTTCAATCACGTCAAAAACATTAAGTACCCAAATATCTTTGTGTCTGTACCGCCTTTGTTGGACTTATCAAAGAAACAATTTGTAGGTATGTTTACTTTTTTTTTTTCATTGCCGATTTGAATTCGACTGTTAAACGCGCGGGAATTGATAAGTACGAAGTTAAACGGTGAAAAGGTTTAAAAATTTCATGTACGAGGTCTGTCCGGAAAGTTCGTATAAAAGTGTTCTGGAATGCGAGAAAGAGGAGTGGGGAGGCCAGGTAAGCGCAGGACCCCTTCCTTATGTCCCTAACAATGCTTCAGTTCTGGTCTGACCGCCGTGCGGTGCGAACTGGCTTGTCACGCCATCTGTGAAGTTACCTCTTAACGAAACCCCGTCGGCATGGAGCCCGCTTCCGTTGAAGAGCAGCGCGTCGTAATCAAGTTTCTCTCGAAACTCGGCAAGAATGGCCGTGAAATTTTTGCCGATCTAATTCGATAAGACATCCGGGGAACCACGAACAAAAAAATCAAGAAAATCCCGCTCAAATGTCAAGACAATGTTGATTGTTTTTTTCGATGTTCGGGGGATTGTCCATCAAGAATTCGTCCCTCCAGGCCAGACAGTTGATGGAAAATTCTACGTCGATGTGCTCAGACGCCTCAAAGCTCGTGTGGCACGAGTTCGTCCAGAATTGGCGCGAGAGGGGCGTTGGATTCTTCACCACGACAATGCCCCTGCCCACACCTCTCTTGTTGTCCGTGAGTTTTTGAGTAAAAATTCCATTACGGTGACCGAACACCCCCCCTATTCGCCGGATTTGGCCCCGTGTGACTTCTTCTTGTTCCCAAAAACCAAATTGGTACTTCGGGGGCGGCATTTGGGGGACATAAATGAGATAAAAAAAGCTACGACGGGGCAGCTGAGAAACCTACAACCAGAGGACTTTCAAGGAGCCTTCTCACAGTGGAAACGGCGTTGGCACAAGTGCATTATGTCACAGGGGGAGTACTTTGAAGGGGATAAAATTGATTTACCTGAATAATTGTAAAATAAAATTTTTAAAAAACTTTTATACGTACTTTCCGGACAAACCTCGTACCTTGTTGATGAAGGCCTCCCGTTGCTCGATGGCCTGCGCATTGGGTTCCAACACATCTAGCTGATCGGCCTCCGCCTGCACTACGGCCAACATCTTACGTACCGCTGCTCCGGATGTTTTGAACTCACAATTTTTCTCCGTGCACTTCCACGGGGCATCGTTATCTGGCAGAATCGAGAAATCAATATAGAGAAATGATATAATAGTCTCATTTTAAAGTGTATATATTAATTAATATATTCATCAATTTAATAAACGTTATCTACTCATAATTTTGTCGAGAATGATGGTGGTTTTTTTAAGTAGCTTCAAAAGGGCTTTTTATGCAACTTAGAATGGCAAACAAGCTGACGGCCCGCTTGATGGAAAGTGGTAACCGTCGCTTATAGACATGAGCAGTACCATGGACATAACAGAGTATAATGTTTCGCCCATGATACCTCCCATGCGTTGTCATTCCTGAGGATTCAGGAGCATACTCTGTACCTTGTAAATTCACTACCATATCTCACCCTCCAAACCGAAACACAGCCATGCAAACAACTGCTTCACGGTAAAAACACGAATGGGACAGAGGTGCCCAAGCAAACGACTTTTGTACAAAGTCTCCTTTTGGTAGGAGGTGGTTTGATCTTGTGGAATAAAAATCCCTTTCGTCCTCTCTGTTACTATTACGATGGGAATATTAGTCTCATAATATTGAACTGATAACAATGTTTTGTTTTCACTTATCAATAGACGAAACCATCGAGCCCTAATTACGTATTTAATAAAATATCGACACTAAATAACACGACAATGTTTATAATAGCCGCTGATAACTTACCTAGAGGATTAGTGGACAGTATAACACCATTATCACACTTATTGCACTTCAGCGTACTAAGGTGTGTGCCCAGTTCGGTGGGATCAGCACAGCGCGCACACTCACAGTTGAAAAATTTAGACTCTAGTAGGTACTCTCTGCGGATGGGTGTTGGGGACAGCGCGTGCGTGTAGCATAGGTGAAGAGTTTCTCCCGATTTGATTGGCACTGCAGCTCTTACTTGTACCCTAGCATAAGAAAAAAGAAAGAATTGGTTATAGTGTTTTTAGAATATATGTATATATATATGGTAAAGCAAGTGACGCCCTCTGACGGCCTCTTGATAGTTAGCAGTAAAAGACAACAGAATACATTGTGATACCCACAGTACCTCTCATGCGTTCACATTAATATTGTAAACATATAGTGGATGAGCAAAATAATCTACTGATTAGATCAGTGAACTAAGTAAACTAAAAATTGAAAAGTAAAAAGTGAACTAGTATCGATCTAGTCGGACATGAAAGCCCACCACAAGAATTTTGACAAACACAGCTCCCGGGCGTGTTGCCCGCGCCACCACATAAGTTCCGTTACGTTATGTTAGATGATGAAGTGTAAATTAAACATAATAATTATGTTTGTATTCTAAACACTGAGTTATCATTTGTTAAAACAAATCTCTTAACTGGTTAGTCGATTCCAATTACTCTACGAGGTCTGTCCGGAAAGTTCGTATAAAAGTGTTCTGGAATGCGAGAAAGAGGAGTGGGGAGGCCAGGTAAGCGCAGGACCCCTTCCTTATGTCCCTAACAATGCTTCAGTTCTGGTCTGACCGCCGTGCGGTGCGAACTGGCTTGTCACGCCATCTGTGAAGTTACCTCTTAACGAAACCCCGTCGGCATGGAGCCCGCTTCCGTTGAAGAGCAGCGCGTCGTAATCAAGTTTCTCTCGAAACTCGGCAAGAATGGCCGTGAAATTTTTGCCGATCTCAGAACAGTTTATGGGGATGATGCTGTGAAGGAACCAACCGTCCACAAGTGGCTAAAAAGATTCAGAGAGGGCCGAGACAATGTTGATTGTTTTTTTCGATGTTCGGGGGATTGTCCATCAAGAATTCGTCCCTCCAGGCCAGACAGTTGATGGAAAATTCTACGTCGATGTGCTCAGACGCCTCAAAGCTCGTGTGGCACGAGTTCGTCCAGAATTGGCGCGAGAGGGGCGTTGGATTCTTCACCACGACAATTCCCCTGCCCACACCTCTCTTGTTGTCCGTGAGTTTTTGAGTAAAAATTCCATTACGGTGACCGAACACCCCCCTATTCGCCGGATTTGGCCCCGTGTGACTTCTTCTTGTTCCCAAAAACCAAATTGGTACTTCGGGGGCGGCATTTGGGGGACATAAATGAGATAAAAAAAGCTACGACGGGGCAGCTGAGAAACCTACAACCAGAGGACTTTCAAGGAGCCTTCTCACAGTGGAAACGGCGTTGGCACAAGTGCATTATGTCACAGGGGGAGTACTTTGAAGGGGATAAAATTGATTTACCTGAATAATTGTAAAATAAAATTTTTAAAAACTTTTATACGTACTTTCCGGACAAACCTCGTATTTAATACCGCATAGTACCTTTGCGTGCGACTCTCAGCATTTGATTATGGTTGACAGTCGCACACATACTACTACTAGGTAGCGAAATGATACAAAATAATTGGAATCGACTAACCAGTGATATGCACTTTCGCAAAATAACACCTAGTTCAATAAAATAATTCTATACGCTGTTTTGATCACATTTTGCAACAGACAGACGGTTGTAGGCACCAACTTATAGTGGTGATGATTTATTTATTTCACAAAGCCCTATTAAATGTGAGACAGGAAAATTAAAATTAAAATCCACTTACTGGTAGTCATTGTAAAGTATAGTGTGGACGATGTTCGGTACACAACTGTGAGCAGCGATTGCCAGCCGTGGGTATACGGCTCTGATGCTAAATCCGCCTCGCGATGGTATTTCCACGGAATTTATCTAAATAAGTAGGTCTCATATTAATATACCAACATTTATAAGTGAGAAGAAAGCCACTATAAGATATTAATGTAAAAAGCATGACCTGGATGTGCGTGTCCAAGGATCGAGTCAACAATGTGTAATCTCCTGAGGGAGATTAAATACATCTCTTATATATGTATATAAATACTAAATAATTACCTCTAAAATACCGCAGACTCGTTGTACCAATTCTTTGTCAAATTTATTGCCAAGTTTGCAATGATCAACAAGGAAATCTGCTATGTTGACTTGGTCCACAGCCCACGAAGGCTTCTGCTGCCTAGCTTCCGTATGCGTTTCCATCAGTTCAAGCCCTTGCTGCCATTTTTCTGGATCCTTTTCTTTTGCTAGAAGTACCCTATTTATTACATAATGCGAAATTATTAAGCTTTATACCTTATCTTATCACCTTGGAAGAAAGGTTCTTTAGTGGCGACTACGTACGGGTAAACGCAGTGTAGGACGACCCCCCACTAGATGGAGTGACGACCTGAAATGCGTTGCAGGGAGTCAATGGATGCAGGTGGCTCAGGACCGCTCTTTATGACAATTTTATGGGGGAGGCTTATGCCCAGCAGTGGACGAATGACGGCTAAAATGATGATGATGATAATACCTAATCTTATCAACGATAAGGGATGGATCGGTCAATAGTGGTAGTTTGTATTTTATACTTGTTTTTTTCCCAAATTTCTATCATCCTTATGCTACCATCTATCAGTGTGAAAAAGGATTATTGACGAGACTTATAATTTGTTTGTTTGTAAATTGTACACTATTAACTACGGCTAAATGCAATTGACCTGTCCTATGTATATATGTACGAGTATACGTTATGATAATTCAATTTAATTAGAAAAAAAATTATTAAAGGTAAGGATAGATAATCAAATTATTATATTAAAAAATTGATATTGGTCTCTCGTTCTATCTCATGTATACAACAGCGAAAAAATATCTAACAACAAATCTGTATTTGTTATAATTTTCGTAATAATAATCCCAAAAATAGAAGATTCCCGTGATTCCTGTGATTTGAAGGCCTTGCTTCAGGCTTGGATTAGCATCAAACGTCAGTATCGTTGGTTCTTGTTCCGGACAACCACACGTCGACAGCGAGACACACACTTCTAAACTTAGAAATTTTAACGAACTGTACTACCACTATCGACTATCACATTCTATTCAATTACTTCCAGTTTTGAAGATTTTCTGAGAGAATATTATTTAGTGTTATCATAAATTCCAGTTCCGGACAATTGCCAGAAAGAGGCAGGCAAAGAGCGTTTGACTTGCAACTTGCAGGTCAAGTCAGTGTCTTTAAAGACAAGACATTCAAGTCACAAGACAAGTTTAAGTTTTCACAAGTTTTGTGATTTTTGCACAATTTAGACAAAAAATATTTTGATAATCAAGTTTTATAGTCTTGCAAATTGGAACGAAAAGCATATATAAACAATTTATCAATACAGAGCAATTTGTAACCAAATTTTAAAAAGTTTGTAAAAAGCCACTTTTTCTAACTTGAAAATTGAGAGTATGTTGTGAAAAAATTGTCTCGCATACCTGAGTGGTGTGATGCAGTCCAGTTGGGGAGAGCTCGCGGTCCAGTCTTCTACGGATTGGAATCGTACATTTGCAGCGGAAAACACTTCGCACTCGTTCAAATGAGATGCCGCTGTTTCACATTCCGGACTACATATAGGCCAACCACACCGCGAACACAAGCTGTTGTCAATAGGAGCATAACACCCAAGACACAGAGGTGGACTGTCTGCAAAAAAAAATACATTAAATAATTATTATATCATTTTATTTCCTACTCCTTACTCTGTAGTAAATGAAAGTTAGGGGTTCTGAAACTTCTACAGTTCGCGGTATATTAATATGTTTGGTACTTAATTTGTCACTATATCAAAATCAAAATATATATACACAACGACAAAAATATAATAGTTTTAGATATTTTTTTATCCTACTGTGTAATATAAGGAGAAGAAAATATATGAAGAGTAAACATTGGCGCCAGTAGCGGTGCGTTTACTTTTCAACAAGGTGTCATGACGTGCTTTTTGGGAACCTTTGCCAAATAAAGTACATAAAAGGAAGAAACGTGTCTAGTATAGTATTATTAATAATAGTAGTATAGATTATACTGTCTGTGGCAGTTTCTACCTAGTCAAGTATCTGTATTAACACTAGCACAAAATGCACCAATATGTTTCGAAAATTATCAAGGTATTCATATTTTAAATGCCTTTGAATAGTAAATTTAAAACGGAAACATTTTTTTTCACTGGAGAAACTGGGCTTTGGTACTTGCCTGGTTTGGGTCCAACAGCAAAAGGCATATCCGTGAAAATTAATTCTCCACTATCCAAATCCTTATTCGCAACTAAATAACGTCCATACTTTTCATTTCGTAGAACATCATAATTACTAGACTGTGTTTCAGCCATTGTGCTTTGAACTAACGAAGATTGTTCTCTGAGATTATGAAAAGATATGCCTCAAGAGGTAGCCGAGTGATAATTGACGCGTCTGTAAATGCTTGCTGTCTGAATAACATTAGCGGCTATAATAAGACGCGGACCATTCGAGAATGGTGCCGATCGAGTTCACGAGAAGTTTCTGCAGATATAACATTTCCAATAGTATATATGTACACAGTAACTAATACCAATTTGACAAAAAAAAAAATCGGGCAAGCGGGTGTCGGTAACTCATACGGAGGGTTCCGTTGAGAGTTATATGTAATGGTTGTTGCATAAAAAAAATAATCAACTTTTTATTGATCAATTCAATATTTGTTTCGTAATATTTTCTGTACATCGCATATAATTTACTTTTAGGATATAGCATTATTTAAATTTAGGTATCTAGGTATATATATATATATATATATATATATATATATATATATATATATATATATATATATATATATATATATATATTCTAAACAATATCTGTGCCCGAATTATACAATAATACTTGGTCATCTATTTGTATTTGTCTATTTGATTTTAACATTTGGTGTAGTAAAATATGGAGTCAAGTTCAATAATAAATATACCTAGTTAACCAGGATGGGGGGATAGTGATTGTTAATATTGACAAGTAGACCTTTTAGCGATCATTCCTAGAGACCATCGGGCTTAATTTCTAACGCATTCATCATGAGGGGTTAACAGACCTGCCTTTTCCATTCTCATCAATAATCCTTCACTAGTAGTGCCCCAGCAGCGTATATCGATAGCGCAGACGGGGTTATCATTTTCATCCATCAAAAAATAGTTAACTAGGTCATTTTTACTATAGTATGTCTCATTCCCATGGGAAAATATAAAAATTCGCAGCGTGAACAACGTCCCGAGTACAGCCATTTATTTACTCTTTTTTTTTGTTATTGAAGATATATTTGCTAACATATCAATTAAATAATTTTATGAAAAAAATATTCATAAATATTTCTGAAACATTATAAACAAGTTTTATAATATTATAATAATTATCCAGTTTTTTTTTATGACAATGTAATGGTACCTAAATCCCACCCGCACTAACGGTATAGACCTGCAGAGTATCAGTGACGGATGATGGGTGAGGATGAAAGGAAAAGTCAGTTAGTCCACCGTAATTAATACATTTGAAATTTAGCACGATGGTATTCAGGGGGATCCCGTAGAAGTCGACGTGGTTGGGTATATTGCTAGCAATGGGGGGGCCCTTAGTCTCCATTACTAACAATCCCTTACCCCACGTAATTACCTAGATTGCTCTATATTTAATATGACCATACCTATGTTACCTATACTTACTTTTAGACTTTTCTAGAATTCATTCAATAGAAATAGCCGCGGACAGCTGTGGGTTATATATTACAAAATACAAAACAAAACACTGGTTCGAAGATCAATCAGATAAATGACATAACTGGGCATCTCACAAATTACAACCAGCCCAAACAAACCAAATGAACGTCTAAATAAAGAATCGTGTATTATTTTTGAATTTGCAAAAAATACGCTTTTCAGACTCTTTTTACCAGTAGGTAGATGGGTAGTTGTATCTACCTGCAGTGTTTTGTTCAATGATTATTGTTTATTATACTTCAAATTGTACTAATTTTATAGTTTCTAAATTAGCACTAGATGACTGTACAATCGTAAATGGAGTTAAATTTACTGAAAACTTTTGGAACGGTGCCAAATTAAAGTTTTTGAAACAATAACCTCATGAAAGTCATTTATTTTTGTTCCTTTGCATAGTACAACTCTCTCTACTACCTAATAATTATAAATTAGTAAAGTTACAGCAGTTATATACCAATAAATGAAACTCGCGTGTAAAAGTGCTATAAAATATACAAAAACAGTTTATTTTGATCAAGTGGTGATCAAAATCCACAATTAGGTAGGTATGTTGCAACTCGAGCAGCGAAAATGTTCTAGTTTCTTTCTTACTCATATGTGCCAATGTCTATACGTTCTACTATAATTATAGTTTTGTCAGTTTGTCTTTGCACGTCATCGTGAAAATTAATGAACTGATTTTAATAAAAATTTACATAGTTTTAGATAATATTCTAGTCTAGCAGAACATTTCTTTACGAATGTTACTATGTTAATAAATAGACGAACGCGTTAGATATAACACATGTGGTATGGTCCGTAAAAACGTAACTGTTACGTATCTTTTGTGAGCTTGCATAAGTCTTGTTTGATATTTAAGTATTTATAAAATTATACCATTCTGCATGGGTATCATCATAGACATGATGAAAAAGGGTTCAATGTATTCCTAAATGGTATACGGAACCCTAATTACTGAAAGCTTACAATATTCTTAGAGAAACTTAATTATTATAGTCACATTTTTTACAACAAAATCCTTACTATTCTAACTAATGAAATGAAATATTTATGTGCTTTAAATAGACATTTGACATAATAAAGGTAATGTGACAGGACTTTTTGGCATCTATTTAATTGCCTTAAAATCGTAGTCGCATGCAAATCTAATTTATAATTTAAATAAGTATACAAATTAAAATTTGTGATTATTAAGGTTAAAGAAAAAGAAAAAAACAAATTTAAATAAAAAAATATTTAATATTATAAAGATGAAAGTGCGTTTATTTGTTTGTTATTTCTTAGCTTTTTAACGGCGTAATTAAATCGTCATAAAATTTGGTAACATATCCCAGTCACGCTGACGAAGTCGTTGGCAAAGATTAGTAGCATAAGATTCTTATTTATTATTATTAATTTATTCTCATGATAAGAATAAATTCTTATACAAATAGTGCCAGTAGCTGTATAAATCAGTTATTCCCAATTTTTCTGACCCACCACCCCTTTAAAATAAAAACATCAACGCTACGATAATATAACTATCTCAATTTCTCTCTAAATTAGTTACTACGCTCTATTAGTGGCGTTCAAAATGGCAAAAAAATTGATAAATATCATTAAATAAAATGTGAAAGTATTAATATGCTGAGCGGTATTGTCAATAATAATCAGATAGATAAAGCCTAATAGATTCAATAAATTCAAATACCTAAACAATCTAGACGTCTTTTACTGACATATTTATTTTCGGTAATAGTATTGTTTACATATAATTTAATGATTTATTCATAATTATGTTAATTCTTGATTATTTATATGGTTTACAAAATACTGTACTAAATAAAATTGTAGATTTTTCGTGTCCGTTCAAATTTCCGACTGTAAAAGCAGCTTTTAGACAAGAAGTTATACCGTGTATTCGATCTGTAAGTCAATATTAATTCATATAAATCTTTATCTTTGAGTGGCTACATATAATAAAATATTTTTATTATATATATTTTTATTTATTTATTTATACCTATCGGTCTTTTCAATTGTAAAGACATTTTATTTATTTATTTTTAACTATAACATCTAAGTCGATTGGTACACATGTATGACTGTAACTACAAATAAACTGTCAGTTTTCTCATATTGGGTTTGCTGGAAGAAATCTCTATTGGAGATAAGCTCGCCTTATTATCTTTGTTTTTACATTTCAATAACCTTTTGTGTACAATAAAGAATAAAATCACGACGAAGCCTAAAGCTATACATATTATTTTAGGAAGCGTAGTTTATAATAATACAGAGTTAATAATAATAAGTTTATAATAATAATAAGTAATACTGAGTCTATAATGATATTTTTTGTAATATTCCTCTGTTTATTTATATGTTGTTATTTTTTTTATTGACGATAATGGAATGGTAATCCCGCCTGCGCTATCGGTATACTCTGGCGGGGCACCAGTGATGATAAATGACGATGAAGCAGGTCAGTTAGCCCATCGTGACTAATTCAACAAGAATTAACCACGATGGTTTCCAAGGGGAACCACGTGGAGGTCAACCTGATAAGGTATATTGCTGGCAATAGGGCTGTCAAACTCCATTACTTACAATCTCTTTCCCCCTATATGTTGTTATTTGAGTGTTATTTAGCATTTAACATAAAAACGGACTGACAGATTGAGATGAAATTTTCAGAATATATTAAACTAAATATGTTAACACATAGACTACATAAACTTTTAATCAACATAGTTATAATGATACTAAGATGATGGTGATGATGTAAGCCGTTAATTGTCTACTGAACATTGGCTTCCCGCTACTGTACAGTTAGGCTTTGGTGCTGTTTTATATTTTTTGTTGATACTATATATTGATGAAATACAGTATTATGATCAGTAAATCATAGGGACCAGAGGAAGACTTTGTACAAAAGACATTCGCTTGGGTACCTCTGTCCCATTCGTGTTTCAACCATAAAGCAATTGTGTTTGCATGGCTGTGTTTCTGTTTGAAGGATGGGATATGGTGTGAAGTTACAGGGTACAGAGGAATAACACCTGAGTCCTCAGGAATGGCAACGCATGGGGGGTATTATGGGCGAAACAATATACTCTGTTATGTTCATGGTACTGCTCATGTCTATAGGCAACGGTTACCACTTTCCATCAGATGGGCCGTCAGCTTTTTTGCCATTCTAAGTTGTATAAAAAAAAAGTTTTTTTTATGGGATGAAAATAGAATGGTAACTCTGCCTGTGCTCTCGGTTGGTATACACCGACAGGGAATATGCGATGATAATGATGAATACCGCAATATAAAAAACTATGAACACTCCCCCCCCCCCCCCACACTTCCAAACATGGTAGATGGGGTATTAAATTATTAAATAATTAAAATCATCAATATTCTTAGTAGTTTTAATACCTAGGATGGTACGTTCGGTGAAAAGGTGATTTGTACAGATGAAGATGGAAACCGAATCGATTGTCCTTTGACGAGTGAAGATGATAATTATAATGATCATATGGATATATTTGCTAGAGAAGTATTTGGTCCTGTAAGTAAATAATAATTCTTAAATTAAGAGACTAGATATAATATAATATTGTACTTAGGTCTTGTGATGCTATTAAAGAAGCACTACAAGACCCACGCCACAAGGCCGAATTAGGGCTTAGCATCCAATTTTTCATTTTGAATTAATAGAATGTAAGAATAAGAAGTTAGTTAGACTATTATGCCAAGTATTACAATAGGAAGAGTTAGTAACTATGTATTAGGATATAAGGTATTCAATAAAACATAGGTAGTAACAACAATTTATTGGGCTTTGCTAAACTATTACAGACGTTATATATCTCCTTTTAGTGGCGGTTTATCAGCAGGCTCAATAGGCTTGGAGCCTAGGACGGAAGATTTTAGGGACGGCAATTTAGGGCTAATTTTTTTTTAAATCATAAAAATTTTTATTAATATGATTGCAACTATAGTAAAGAATATCAGAAGTCTGGAAAAACGGCAAAATTTGAATAGCCGGCAAATATCCACTACTGTCTATCTTACACTAGAATTAAAGTGTGTCTTACTGAAATAAAACTTTCCGCATTCCCTGCAATCGCGCTATCTGTATGAAATGAGCTTTTAGCCGAGATTTCCCTAGCCTAGAATCTATTGTATGGCGAGGTTTTCAGCTATGTGTCTTCAGTATACACAATTGGCACATACATCACTGTTGTTGCAGAAATACAGACGTCCTAGGCTATAAGTATTAGTAAGCATTTACTCTTAGCATTTACCATTAGGCGGGCCATAAGCTTGATACACCTTCGCGTTAGACATTAAAAAACAGAAACCTCAAATAGCCTAATCAAAGACAGCTTTATTTGTACTATAGAGGCTGGACTTGTAATTATAAAGTACATTTTAATTGTTGTAAAGTAAAATTAATCCTCTCATCTGCGATCTCAGTGTCATGCCCATGTATTTTAGTTACCTGCATACGTTACGTACCTACATTTACGTCATTGACGTTACGTCAAATCAATTATGGTCAAATCAAGTATTATTTAAATATTACATTATTTTCAATATTGATTCCAAGTTATGCTGACAATATTTAATAGTTTTATTATTTTTAACAAAAATCCATTTCATAGTATTTTTAAAAATGCTAAAATTATATTAATGTAATAATATCAATAGTGTTATATCCGGTATGTATTATTTTGCACGCCCTCTAGCGTTAATGTATTCAAACTAAAACTGTCTTGTGGTGCGGTGCAGAGGTTTGCCACGGCAATTTTATTGCCCGAATATTACAGTTATTTAGTTTCTAACTGTGAATAAATATATACCTCTGTAAGTATCATTTCTCAAGTTTACAAGAAAGTATTTTAGTGTGTACTTCATAGAAAAAATCATTTATGTTAGGTTACACTATACATTACCATCAGCCGGTTTTCTTGGAGAAATTATCGACGTCATCCCCCTTTATTCTAATTTTATGTCACTTGATCCAGTAAAAATGTGTCTAGAATTCATTGTATATTTTGGAATAATTCATTACCAGCTTATTTTAATATCTTTGTAACTGTGCCCACTGGAGATGTGATGTGATGTGCCTGACATGTGATTTCTCCTATTAGTTTCAATTGGGCAGATTTTCTTAAGGTCAAGTTTACGATGACTCGTATATTAAGTTTATCAGTAGTTATTTACATGTGATTAGAGACATCAATTTGTTCTAACTTTGATGGATGATGTATGAGTTGTAGTCTAATAGTGTTATGTAATAGCTTCAATGAAAGTGGCTTGTAAATATGTCTATGTCGCGAAGACAACCCAACCCTGACCCAGCTGGCACAGATGGTCAATTTAGCGATTTTTGTTACTACAACTAATATTCTTATTTCTAAAAAATACTAATCCACCAGAATGAATTATTTTATATTGATATGTCACATCCTATTTATGAATCAGATAAATGTTTCTAAAACTAAATTAGAATTTTATATTTTTTTAAGTTAATATTTAATGTTTACTTAGAAGACAATAATTTTTATCAGATAATGGCCCCTCCCTATTATGCTGATCTTGGAAAGAAGGCAAATGATGTCTTCGGCAAAGGATACCACTTTGGTGTGTTCAAACTTGATCTTAAGACTAAGAGTGAGTCTGGTGTGGAGTTCAGCAGTGGTATTACCTCCAACCAGGAGAGTGGAAAGGTATAATTAAAAGAAAATAAATTGATTAATTCTTACTAAATATCACCTTGTCAGAATTATTATATTATATTATACAGTTGCAGTAAACTAAAGTATATTGCTCTCTGTTAAAACAAATTTTATGTAATATGAAATCTATAACAAATTTAATGTTATAGTACTTCTTACATTACTTATTTAGTTTGTAACCAAGTAGTTCTAAAGCTTTACTATATTTTATATAGTTGTTGAGTTATTTGAAGATAGTTACCGACAGTTGTATCATAACTGCTCAGTTGACATTGTTAACTAAAGTTTGATCATGAAATAATTGCCACAGGTATTTGGCAGCCTTTCATCCAAATATGCTGTGAAAGACTACGGTCTCACATTCACAGAGAAATGGAACACGGACAACACACTGGCCACTGATATCACTATTCAGGATAAGATTGCTGCCGGTCTTAAAGTAACATTGGAGGGCACATTTGCACCACAAACAGGGTAAGATGTGCATTATTTGACATTTCGGGACTGAAATAATATTTAACTAAAAAATAAATTTAGTTTGGACTCCATATTAAAAATAACATGATGATTTAAGATTTCCAAATACAGGGTTTAAATATTTCTAAACAATGATACAAGAAATGATGAAAAAGTGTATTTTTTCTTGCAAGCCAATGGCAATATTTTAGAATAGAGAGGGGGGTTTACATTAAGGGAATATATGCTCACTTTTTATAATATTGTTATTATTAGATATAAAGTTATTACCTGTTGCATAATTATGTATTGCATAAATTGATATTTAGGCTTTTATTTACAAGTTGTCTGATGATGATAATTCACTGTATTTCTATGACAAATTTTAGAGAATTTTATATAACAACTTTTTAGAATCAACCCCAATGATCAAGTAATTCTACAATTTTGCATATATTACTCATAAAATTTTAGGAGCAAGACAGGGAAATTGAAGTCTTCATATGCCAATGATACAGTGGCGATAAACACCAACTTGGATTTAGATCTCGCTGGTCCCATTGTGGATGTAGCAGCTGTGCTCAAGTACCAGGGCTGGCTTGCTGGTGTTCACACACAGTTTGACTCACAGAAGGCCAAGTTTGCTAAGAACAACTTTGCTCTTGGCTACCAAACTAGGGACTTTGCACTCCATACCAATGTGTAAGTATAAACTATAGTGTATATTTAAAGTATATTTTATAAAGTTATTCCACAATGAAAGTCTATTGTTTAGCAGTGGGTAAATTAATGGCTGAAATTATAACATATACAACAATAATACAATTAATAAATCACCTAAGAGATTATACTTTTTTCAATAGTAATCAACAAACAATAACAATATTGATTTGTTTGAAAAAAAATATCACCCTAATCTAATGTGGGTATATATTTTACCAGAGGGAGACTACAAAAATTATATGTATGTGGGTACTTGTTTCCCATCCATATTTTTGCTGTGAAGCAGCAGTAATAGTATCAAAAGTAATTTGAAAGTGGATACACTAAGAGGTGCATGTAAGGATAAAAAACCTTTTGAACATTATTCACTCTGCTTACTTTATATTAGTAAAAGAATATAAATGCAGTCCAAAATATAATAAGGTGTTTGCTAAAAAAATTTTTAGTCATTGTGTTAAACATTTATTATTTAACAAATTACAAAGTGAAGTGAGGCTTACTGCAATGTGAATCACAGATATTGATTTTATAGGATTACATAACAGGCCACTTTGAATTCAGTATGTCATGTGTCCTCACTTCATACGTCTCTTATATCCAGTATAATCCAGATGACATTGACTCTAATGTTTGGTCTCATCTTACTATTGTTCTTCAAGACATATGTACAATGAATCAACTTTGTTACATACACACATTTTGCTTATTCAAATATATATCTATAAAAGAAAAATAGATAATAAATATTTTGTTTCTATATAAATCTATTTATATTATTTCGAATTCAATGTTCACATTTCAAATACGCTCCTTAAAGAAAGTGTTATGAACTCTCAATATCATCTTATACCTGACCTCTTATTATTTTTATTGACGTCTCATTGACCACACTTTGTATTAGTTCAGTGGTACACTGACTGCAAGTAGGTCCAATTTTGCTTTTTATTATTCAGTTGTTAAATTACATTACTGGATAACTTTTATTGCTATAGTTTCTTTATACGAGCTTTGTTACGAAAATATACAATTTCGTAGAACTTTAATCTTATCACATTTTTAAACATAAAATAGGTTTATGAAATAATGTTTATCTCACTGGTAATTTTTTTTGCTATGCTCTGTATGTGTGATATCTTTGTATATATTTTTAGGATTTTAATGAAATAGCAAATACAAAATCTTTATAATTTCGTCATGTCCGCCTCTTTTTATATTATAGCATAATAATTAAAGCTTAAGTTCAATCTTTCAATTTAACTCAGTGGGTTTCGTTTCCAATTTTTCTATTTAAAAATTAATGAAATAATTTTTAAATATGATTAATTTTCTATTCATAGGAACCCTTTAGAAATCACAAAACTAGGTATTTTAAATTTACAGTGGCTTTAATAGAAATTTGCAGTGACTTTAAAAGAACAGACATTATTAGAGGCTTAAATGATATTGATAGAACATTGAGCCTCAAAAACAGATCAACTTTTTGTCAGCTAATAGTCAAATTAGCTGACTCGTTTTTTTATTATTGTTCTATATACTTACGCATGTTATGTACCTTGCTATAATTAATTATTTAGTAAATAAAATTAGTTTTAACGCATTAATAATATGTCAAAATTATAAAACAAAATAAATATAGAAGTTATAAAGGAATCACTCATAACTATTTATTACGCAAAATTGTATGAAAAAGTTGACTCGCTTTTCTCAAAGCATTTGTATGAAGACACTCTATCTATATTATCTAAGATTAGAGGATTTTAAAATAAAAACTTTTTAAGAATTTGTATGTCTCAACAAGATGGTACTGTGCGACATTGAAACCTTTTTCATATAAAATTGTTACATTACTAATATAGTGATGTGTTTTCATAAACAGTGACAATGGCAAGGACTTTGGTGGTTCCATCTACCAGAAGGTGTCTGACAAGCTGGACTGTGGTATCAGCATGAAGTGGACCTCTGGCTCCTCGGATACACTATTCGGCGTTGGCGCCAAATTCGCGCTGGACCAAGATGCGTCCTTGCATGCCAAGATCAACAACAAATCCCTCATTGGTCTTGGTTATCAACAGAAGTTGCGCCCAGGTGAGATATTTTTTGGGTTTCTCTGATATATACATATGCCAGACTAAGATTTTTTTAGATAATAGCGTGAAATAAGATAAAAATTATCTTGTGTTAACAAAATGAATTACCTACATTTATTAACATATTTCATTCTTTTATTGTGGTTGAGTAACTAATATACATTCATACAAACTTACATTTATGATATTAGTAATCATTAAACCCAACATTATGACAGAAGACAAACCATGAAATTAGTGATGTAGAAGAAAAGTTGACGGAAGTAAATAAACTCGCATTACATAACAGGATTGTATTTATATTACTCGTCCATGAAACTGCTCTAGTTTGTTATTATTAAGCTTTCAGTGTGAGAGATCTGTGTAACTTTAGCGGATTATACAAAAATCTTGTTTCGATTCTTGTGAACCGAGTTTTTAACTCCCCCAGGTTGACAATCATAATGGCAATGTAGAAAGTTTTTACAAATACCATAGTGCTATGCGAGTTATCTTCACATTACATTGTGTGTACCTATAAAAAGGTGGGATAGTAGTTGTAATCGTGCGTTTACGTGGGAAATTCATGTAGTACCTAATTGAATTGAAAATAAAGTGATAAAAATTTAAAATACTTATTAGAAATGAAATCGCAGGCCGCCGAGTATCAAATAGTTGATAATTGTTTTGTGTATATCATCATCACCTCAATCATCATCATCATCAATGATTTTATGTGTGCACTATCATCATCGATTTTGGATCGTGTGGTTTCTTTTTTCGACAGGGTTTACTGACTTCTGAGTTAATATACAAATTTTATTAGTAGTCTATTTTTTTTATTTTAATTGTTAATCTATTCAAATATCACCTCACTTGACTATCCAAACTTAGTGTTCTTAGACAAATATAAATGGTAGGTTATGTATTTTTAAATTATATATTTGACATTATTTTTGATTTCTAAGTTATCATGGTCATATAGTTCATAGACCTGGGTTTAATGCAGTGGCTTACAAGGTAAGCAAAAACCCTGAGGCAAAAAATGAATTAGGGCTCATTTGTTCCTTATTCGTCGTGTTCCGAATTTACATACTCCCGGTTTATCGTAATCTAAATGCGTTATCAAGCGCGTGCTATTGAGACGAGCTATTTGACGGCGCGTTTGTAAAACCAGCCTAAACATATAGGGGAGTTCCTTGCCTTTTATACAAAGATGTTCGAGACTTGTTGGGAATTCCCCTGTATTTTTTTTTTTTCAAATAAGATGCCATTATTAAAGTTGCGTTCCTGGAATCTGGTTTATTTATGTAAGTCAGGATCCGAGGGTTCCCTCCTGAGCTTGGGAGCCCCGGGACACTGCCCCGTCTAGCCCTCGCGTAGTTAAGCCACTAATAAGATGTATGGAGATAACAATGTTAGATAATATATAAAAGTATCAATCGATCCATCACCAGTTTTATGCGGCTGCAATGTACAATTTATCTTGTACGTGTGTTGAAATTAATCATAATAACCTCGCCTCGATATGTAGATCTTAACACGTGAATAAGTTGTCATAAATTTACATGTTCTTTATTATTTGTATTAATTGATTATAATTAAATTATGCCCTTTATTGTCGTTTATATGAACACTGAGAGACAACTAATCAACAATGGTGCCGTAATAATTTTTCGACAACTCCACTGTTCTATTAACCCTTTTAGTGCTGGGCGAAACAGAGGTGCCTATGCGAAAAAAGCCGGCCGAATTTCACAGTTTTATAAAGGATAGGAAAAACGTCGTCCACAAAGATTTCAAACAAAAAAAAAAATTTTTTTATTATCTTGTAATGAAATTAGATCATTTATAACGCATTACAAATTTATTTTGAGATAGTTCTCCCGCAATGCGAGTAGTAAACCGCTACAAGGCGCGAGCCGATATATCGGCTCCCGGCACTAAAAGGGTTAATATTATAAGTGCGAAAGTTTGTAACGATGGATGGATGGATAGACGGATGTTTATAACTTTTTCACGCAAAAACTATTGAACGGACTTGAATGAAATTTGATACGTAGATAAATTATATCTTGATTTATATTTTTCCCAAAATTTTCGCAGTTCCTTTCACCAATAAAGCAAAAGAGTTTGTAGAGGTAAAAAGTGCATTAAAAATTTTGAGATACATAAACGGATTTACTGCCGTAATACTAATACTAGTAATAAGTTACTAATATTCATTAATAGTTTGTAGTCAGTTGTAATGCTAATGTGTTCAGTGGTAAAATGTAACACCTAAACGTTTTAGTCAATCATCGTATACAATGGGGGCGTGGCCTATTTGTATAAATCTAAATGATTACATGACTTAGTTCAAATTTATTTACATTTGTTTGTGGCGGTATGCTATAAAATCTAACAGTGTCATCACCTCTTACGATTAGAAAAAAAAAATTACGACTCAATAATCACTTTTATGATGGGGTATTCCGAGGCATTTATTTGTTGCTACTATTGTATTGAAAGATATGCTGGAATTTGGTCAAAATTATTTAAATCCATCGTGTAGGTGATGAGCATATCTCTTGGGTATATTTGATTTTTTAAAGGTGTTATCATATAGGACGGTTAGTGGGAACCTTTTTGGTGTCGGTCATATTCAGACCTTTGGACTGTAAGTTTACCAGAGGGAGACTTTGTACAAAGGTCGTTTGCTTAGGCACTTCTAACCCATTCGTGTTTCTACCATGAAGCAGTTGTGTTTGCATGACTGTGTTTCGGTTTGAAGGGTAGGATATGGCAGTAAATTTACAGAGTACAGAGGAATAATATCTGAATCCTCAAGAATGGCAACGCATGGAAGGTATCATGGGCGAAACAGTAAAACACTCTGTTATGTTCATGGTACTGCTCATGTCTATAGGCGACGGTTACTACTTTCCATCAGGTGGGCCGTCAGCTTGTTTTCCATTGTAAGTTGCATAAAAAAAAATATTTTAATTATGCAATAGTTATTCTGGTTATGATGGTTTACAAGCGGATCCATAAATTAGAGCCGTGTCTTCACGCTCAGTTTCTTAGGATGTAGCCAAAGAGTACGGAGCTAACTGCTTCTATTACCTTTAACTTTATACAAGTTGTTCCCTAAGCCATAGTTATCATATGATATTATGTTTATTCATAACAACTGTCACGCCATGTTACTGTATCTTATCAAGTCTTATCTGTAATATAGCGAAATGTTTCAGAATTGTATATGAGATTAAATCTATGTATGTTATTTGTTACAGGCGTGACTCTGACGTTGTCTGCTGCGATTGACGGGCAGAACTTCAACGCCGGCGGACACAAGGTCGGCGTCGCCCTCGAATTGGAACCCTAGGCACTCTGATTATTTAATCTTGTAGATACACATTACCACATTCACTATTATGTAATAACATAAAACAAGCATATATAGAGATATCAATCAAAATAATATCTTCAGTGTTCCCCTTATAATGTAATTTAGTGTTCGAAACGCTGTTATAAAATTTACATCTGTTAGCCGCCATCTAATGTCAGTATATTTGTTTGTATCAAGATGGCGGACGCGTTATCTTCTAGTAAAGATTAGCGTGTATGTATTGTTTAACATGCGGTCCTTCGAACCATCCCTATTTTTTTTTTTTGCTAATTTTATCCGTATATCTTGAACTTTCCCAGTTGATGTCTTGTAAATAAACACCTACGGTGTATTGTCCTATTAATTGAATGGAAATAAATATTAATAGTTTGTTGCGAGCAGCATCATTCACTTGTTTTATTATACCTGACGACCCGGTCAACCCGGTTGTCGTTCTCCTGAACTAATCCCATGTTCCCGTACGTCCGCCATGTAGTCGAGTGATAGGCCAACGGAAAAGAAGTGCTATTTCTATTTGCTATATTATATTTATACGATATATTTTTCATTTCGATAAGATATTAAATTTTTATAACTATCTGTTTTTAATATTTATATTTTTTAATATTTAGTTCCTAATGGGGTAATCGAAAGCAGGCATGTTTTTTTTTAATTTGTGATAATGAAATGGTAACCCTGCCTACGCTTTCGGTATACGTTGGCGGGGCACCAGTGAGGGATGATAGGTGACTATGAAAAATCAGGTTAGCCAATCATGACGAATTCCACTAGAATTAATCACGATAGTTTCCAGGGCGAACTGTGTGGAGGTCGACCTGATAGGGTATATTGCTAATTATAGGGAAATCAAACTATTACTAACAATCACTTTTCCCCCAGGCAGGTTTGTTTGTTACATTATAGTATATGAAACAATTGACATGCCTATATTTAGAAATAAAGAGTATATTAAAATACCACCATAGCGCTGATTACAAAATTAGTCCTTTTTTTAGTACAACAGCTATTCGAAAATTGTCAAATGTTTGTCTAGGGCGGCTCCTAACCTCTTTATTTTTCACCCATCTTTTCCGAAACAATTCCTACTATACAAACCCTTTGCTACTACATTAGTATCTACTATAAGTCTTCATTTATTTTCTCTAATAACTGCGATGAAAAACTTCTTAGAAAAAAATAAATAAAAAACGATTGACAAGATTTTTGTTTAATTATGCAATATATTCACAATGAAAATGGCTATTAAAGGTAAGGACAAATTTGTTTCATTTATATTTTGTGGTAAATAGCAGATGTTATCAAATGATTTCTGGTTTTTCTTTAGCGATATTTGAAAAAAGAAGTCATCTTCACAAAAGCAGGACAAACAATGCTGATTATAACTATATAAAATAATCATATTTATGAAATCAAACTAAGCAAGTCGATTGGATCAAAATTACTGTATCATTTCTTCTTCCATGAGTTTCGCCATCCATTCTGGTTCAGCAGCGGCTATCTTTTCAATGAGGCTATTCACTTGATAGCACAGACTTTGAATCTGTTTGTCCCATTGTGGTAGAATCTCGCGAGCTAAAATAAAAAAAAAAAATCAATAAATGTGTCACTATAACTTTTTTAAATACAGGCGAATTAGGAAAATAGGTTCGGCTTGTATTTTTTGTGTGTATGCAACTATATAAATTATGATAATTTGCCTAAGTTATGTCTACTTGTGACTACAGCCGGTGTAACTTGGTCGAAACGTCGAGATAACTCAGGTAAATTACCATAGTTTACCTAAATAATCGCATTAATTCACGTTTCTTATAAACTGTGCAATGCGAAAGTCTAAAAATTAACGTATGCTACTTGACATCTCGACACTTGATTTGATATATTTTTTTGATTTAATATGATTTACTCTTACGTTCGATCTGTATTTTGTCACGGTAAAAGTTATAATTTTATTTTTTCGCCGAATAAATCTTAAATCAACGCATTTTCTTTCATAAATACAATTTCACACACAATGTAAAACTGGTAGATCATATGGCAGATAAATTATGTTATTTACCAGTAAATTTATTGTCATATTCAACCTTTCAAATCTGAACACAGCGTGCTAGTAAGCAGTTCAGCGGCAGAATTAATATTCGACACAGAACTGATTAAGCGTGACTTACTTTCAAAATGTACAACGGAACTGATTTGATCTATGTATCCATTCATTCTGCCCTCGCTGATCATGTGGCTGGCAATTCTCTCGGCTTTCGCTGGTGGTGTCTCGAGCAGTGCGCCCAGTTCCTCAAACGTTATATTATTGTATAGCTTGCTGGCTGACAGTAGGTTGTGCTCGAATACTGCACGGTCCAGGATCGTCGATCCATCAGCTGTAGTTGCCTGATAATGTCAATTATTGTTATAGGTATATTTTGCATTGGTGTATTGTACTTTATTCCAGTTTATTACTATTACCTTCTGATGGGTCTGCATAAGAGCTTCAAATTCGTGCAATTCAGATCTGCGAATTATACGATCCAAGTACATTTTCTCTAGAATTGAATATGCAGGTAGTTGTTGACATCTTTCATCTTTAAAGAGTGTTGCGAGCATTCTAGACCTTTGCTGCCCTAAAAAAATATTTAATTTGTTGAAAATCAGAAACTGTTTTAATACACTGCCACATAATTATCTGTTGTTAAAGACATTTACGATCGCTGGAGAATTAATTTCAATATTAACATTTCTTTTTATAAATTCGTGTGTTTTTCGTAAACGTAAAATATAAATTAATTAACCTTACTTTTCTATACCTACCTTCTTTTGGAATATTTTGATATAGTGTAAGGATAACACTTTTGCTCTCAGTTTACTCTTTCTTGCTACTTGAATAAATTAGGTATTATATTAACTTGCCATACCTACCTCTTTGTAATCTGATATAAAAACATTTTTAAAGTGGAATGAGGCAGCATAGAAGTGATTAACAGATTCAGCATATGCATGCATGCATATAATTGTAATTTTTTTTTTTTATATAATATACGATAATTTACCTGCTGAAGCTAGCACTGTACAGATAAGTGCGTTCCTAAGACACGTCATTCTCTCGTCTTCATGTATAATATTGCGATATGATAATTCATTGTACCTTTGAGCTGCTTCTATAAATTTCCTAAAAAACAATAATAGAGTTCTGAATTATCAACCTCAATCTCACCTCAACATTCTAAAGGAACAATAATATTAATCTATTTTTCCAGTTTCAATACTACCAAAGAAGACTAACTTAGGCATATAGGAATGCCAGGGCCAAATTCAGACTTATTGCAAATGACACTTTCATTGCTGAGACTGGAATAGCCAAAGACAAATTTAAGTCTTATAATTTAAATTACGATAAACAGAAACATTCCTAATCTAGCGAGTGACGTAAGTTCTTGTCTCGGGAAAAGTAAACATATCATTGATGACTATATTATGGCACAATTCATCCTTTGTTATATAAATTAAACATTGCATACCTTCTATAATCCAACACTCGAGCATAGCACACTTTGTAATATACTTGAAGCTGTTCATTAGTAGTTTCGGCTTGCAGTAGTGATGCTCGATTGACAAATGCCTCTGCTTGCACGGGATCATCAACCTCCAAGTACAAGCGAGCTATTTTTAAGTATGTCTCTAACTTGTAATCGACAGAGTATTGCCTGAAAATATTGATCACATAAAATAATTATAATATAAAAAGTATATTCTGATATATAGTTATAGCATAAAATCTAAATCTTATATTCACATTGGCATAGATAACACGTAAGTTTTATTACACTAGAAAAAAGTGACTACAATCATAATGGTAAATCAGTTTTTTTGGTTTAAAAACTATACAACTGAACCAATTTTAATAAAATGCCTACGAACCAATCTGAAAGCATATCCTTTCAGATAAAAAATAAATTTTTAAATGACAGTGTTCTAAGAAAATCTAACTTTCACCATCTTTTGAAATTGGTTGAAAAGGCACTAATACATTTTTGCTATTAGGTTTATTGGCAACCCATATTAAAGTCTAACCACAAAATTTGTTTGTATATTTATATGACTTTAGAAACTTTATTAACTTTAGAAATACTGGAAAATTATAAATATGAAAAAAAGGCACTTACTTCTGGCCAGTTTCTAAAGGAATGCCAACAAGGACATTTGCTGCCTCTTTCCAGTTTTGATTGTGCTCATAGATATCAGCCAAATGTTGTCTAATACTGGCAACCTACAACATTTCAAAAGTAATATTCATGTGACCTCCAGAGAGAGTATCCGTTTGGTAAAATTATACTTCTCTAAAAATTTTATTTATAGTTATACAATCTGCATGAATAGACTATCTAACCCATTTCAGTTATGAAGCAGCTGTGTTTGGGTATTGTAGAGTGGATATGGCAATAAAATTATAGACTATGGAGGCATAATAACAAAGTCCTTAGAAAAGGCAAAGCATAAAGTGTTACTAAATTACCGGTAAGGTGTTACACAATTAAGTTGTCTATCTTTTATACAAAAGTTCTTAGTTTATATTCATCTTGATTAATCTTACTGTCTTGTGTAATTTTTTAAAACTTCCATTACCTGTTCCTCAAATGATATAACCCGAGGTTGAATGACATCAAGTGCAAAATGTGATACTTCTTGGGAAACATTGTCAGGAAGATTGGCAAGGTGGGCACTGACATCTGTGAGCAGCTGTCGAGATATTACTAGGCTTACATTTTCATTTACAACTGCAAAATTTAAACCAAACTGTATTATTATAATACCAATCTCTGTAATAAACAATATAAATTAATTAACTACCCCTAAGGGTACCCACTGACCTTTATAATTAAATTAATTACTAAATATTAAAAAATATATTAAGATTTTGTAACACAATATTTTTTTAGTACATATATAGAGGATTGGGTATTTGTATATAGTATCAGTTCTATACCAAAGACAACCATTGATAGGTCTCCAAATAGAATATCCTTCAATAAATAACAAGGCAATATAAAAAAACCTAAATACCCAAACCCAAGCCAATTTACAAAAAATATTTTCTAAATTGGCCCTATTAGAATTGAACCTGAGACCTTTTTTTTCAAGCAACTTTTGGGTAAAATAAAATATTTTTATACTAATCAGTGAGGTTACTCTTGAAATTAATTACAATAAACTGGCATTGAAATTGAGGTGATTAACACTCTAGAATTACAACTCTAGCAATGCAATGGTGTCATATTGTTCTAATAGATATACATTGTGAAACTTACTAATGCAAACTACAACAAACCAATACCAAATCTAACCTAATTCCTAATTGTTGTTTCATGAGTGCAGCACAAAACTGTCATTATCAATAGATTGGATTTATTTCGATATCAGAATTAAGAGTAGACCTGCTGGCAATCAGTTGAACATTGTATAAAATTTTACCATATACTATCAGGTTCTTTTTCTTATTGAAATAAAAACTATTCTGTTTCTTAAAGTAATAATATCAATATGTGTTCAAAGTTCTATTAAGTGTTGATAATTACAACCATGAATATTGTAATTACAAATTTAACAAACAAAAATCATGATTAAAATACATACTTGCTTCAACGAATGCCTTGAGAGCTTCTGCTAATTCACCTTCTGGGTTTTTGAGAATTTCTATAAGAACATTACGATACCTAAAAATTAATAGAAGCATTTAATATTCTATATGTAACTAGCACATATCTGATTGCTATTTCAACTGTACTTTTTAATAGCCTTTAAGAGTACTAACTGATCAAACTGAGTTTTACATAAAATTTATATTTTACAAGATGTACATAAATAAGTACATACTTTTCTGCTTGATCTCTGTGAAGTCCCCCTGAATTTCTCAGTTCACTCAGATACTGTCTCACTCCTTGCAAATTTAACGGCATTTTGTTTCGATAATGTTCCTGATCAGAAAAGAAAAATATTAATAAAGCAAAATATTTATCGTTAGTAAGTCTAAAATGCAATATGCAATCCAATACATCACATTGGAGGAAAGAGATTGTTGGTAATGGGGTATGACTTATTGCTAGCAATACACCGTCAGGTCGACCTCCAAGCGGTTCCCCATGGAAACCATCGTGGTTAATTCTAGTGGAATTCGTCACGATGGGCTAACCGACCTGATTTCATTGTAACCTATCAGCCCTCATTGGTGCCCCGCCAGCGTATACTGATAGCGCAGGTGGGGTTATCATTCCATTATCACTCATTAAAAAAAATACATCACATCACAGGACAACTAATTATTATATCTAATTAAAAACAGTATCTCAAAATCTAAGAAATGTAAAAAAAAAACAGTATGTATCGATTTTGTACCTATGTTTATCAAAATGTTTAAAAATGAAAATGTTTTGCTGTTAATTATTATCTAAATACCTTACTATTTAAAGTTTATAAATTAAGTTTGTAATCACTAACATAGAAAATAAATAATCACTACGTTTTGGTTACACTACAGATTAAAGAGACTATAGTTACACCATCACAGACTACTTAGAGAAACATCGCGTAATATCGTGGTATAAAAAAAGGAAATAGTTTCACGATATTTTATTTTTACTGTCAATCTTCATATTGAGATATTTTGTATTATTTCGTACTTTTAGTCTAAAAACGATATATCTGCTTCTGCTAACCAATGTTATAAACTAAAATTATTGTATGAGTTAATTCTGTCTTTTGCCACTAAATCGAAAACAATGCCATTTATGAGAAATAAGTGCAGATATAGCAGATTTAGCGATTAAGAAGCATTTGTAATATATAATGCTATACTTTGGTACTTAGAAATCCTTTACAAAGTTTTCGCGTAGTGCGCAGTATTTGTTTGTTTGTAGTGCGCAGTAGTTTATAAGGAATAAGAATTATAAGTAAACTATTTGATCTTTAAAAATATCACCACTAAATCAATATAAAAAAAGTATTGTTTGCATTTTTTCCATTGTTAAGGTTTTTAATTTGTTTACAAACAAATTAAAAGGACATTTGCAAGGAACAAATAAAATACTTAATTTTAATATTTTCAAGAAAAAAAACATTAATGATCGTAGATACAAATTTCAATAAAAATAATTTCCTTTTTTCCAAAACCACAAAAAAGTGTTTATTTTGTTATGTTGGCTTCTTGATTCTTCCAATTTGTTTGACAGCTGATGAAATTGAAAGAAGCGCCATTCTTTATAATTCAATTTTATTGCAATTTTTACAAAATAATTCGATATTCAGACAATTCAAGTGCTCTATACTAAAGTATATTAATTATTCTTCATAAATGACTAAATAAACTGTATCAGTCTATCCATTTTTGTGTTTTAAATGGCGTTTTATTATCGTGATATATTTGTTTTTAACCGTGGCGGAGCTATTGAGATTTGACAACCTAAAATGGCGGCCTCTTTTGAACTACAGATTGTTTTATAAATTTCATGTCATTAAACAAATCTTATGATGTTAATTGTGCGATAAATTAAATTGTAGTTAGTAAGTTAAAATATCACAATGGATCATAATTTAGAAGATACTTTAAACTTGGAAAGTGCAATAAGTGAAGTGAGTAAATGAATGCTAATTTTCTTGATAAATATATACTTCCAATTCTTTAATTTCTATGTATTCTTTCAATCTTTTATGTTATTCACATGTAATAGTTCACAATGAAATAATATCTTTAAATTTTTTATGTTTTGTTCGTGCTATTATTTTCTATTAAAATTTTCATAGACTTCAATGGACTATAATGTTTTGCTAAGTTGTCTTAAGTTTGATATAGTTAAATGTTTCGTATCAGTTAAGTGTTATTTGGATTTTATCACACATTACTAATTCGATTTATATAGAATTATAGTAATTTAGATTTTGCTGTATAATAGGGTGTATTTCTCTTAAAGAAGTTAATTGAAAAAAGTCTTTCTACATAAGTAAGTAATATATGTAACCAACAAAAGTATAAAAATAAAATGGATAGACTTGGCCTTCCCAAAATATAAATAAATATACTTCTCTGAAGTTATTAATGTTCATAGGTAATAATTTATTATCAAGTGAATGATAGATTCATTTGACCTCTTTTCACTAAAAACTAAGAGTGTTGAGTAATTTAGGAATAATTTTCAAAATATAAAATAATATTATATGGAGGTTAGATTTTATTTTTTATTTCTAGTGAATATATAATAATAAACTCGAATATCAGGAGGTATGGCAGTGCCCTCTACAAATCAAGCATCCATCCTTTTCTCAAAGTTCTTTATGGTACTTTTGACCCCCTCACCTCTGTAATATCCTTGATTTTGGATAAAGCAAGAAGATTTAATTTCTAGTTATCAAAAAGATACTGTAACCGGCTATATTGCCAATATACCTAATAATATTATCTCATAATTTAAGAGTTATTATTATTATCAAATAGTGAAATTACTTTGTCAATAAGGTTTAAATAAAATTTTCTAATGGTTACACACAGATGGATTTTACACATTCTGAGGATGCAGTTGTCAGCCAAGCAGATATCACCCTTGAAGCTAGTGGGCAAGAAGGTGATATACCGATGGAGTTTGAACATATTGAACAGCAACCTATGTTAATGGATACAGGAAATGAAGAAATTATTGGTAAATATTTAATAGCCCACATAAATTGGTATTAAATGTCCCAAGTTAATATGTAACCTACCCAAGTAATAAACTTCATTCAAGTCTATGTAGGTTTAAGTGTGATCAAGTAATAAATATCTTTATAAACTTTCATATTTATAATATTTTTTAATCTATTTTATAGAATTGTAATAAAAATATAAACAAAGTAATAATTCTCTCGATCAGAAGATATTCCAGTTATGTTCAGTAGTCATGTAAAATTAAATATGATTAGGTAATACTTTCAATTTGTATCACAAATTAGTGTGCTGTGTTAATTTCAACAAAACTTGGTTATTTTTTTTATTATATTGTATTGAAATAGACTATATCATAATTTTATTACATATTATTTTTAATATAAGCTTTTCTTAGTTACTATACAATGTTTGCACATAAAATGAATTTACAAAATTTTATTTTAATTAGAAATATATATATTTTTATTACTTATTTTAAGTAGTGGAGAAGCAGTATTTTGATTAATTATAGCTATTTTGCTAACATATAAATATATAGTTTCAGATTTTATGGGAGAACAATTTACACTACAAGAATATTCTATCAAAGATGACCAAACTTCAGGAGCAACTACAACAGAAGAGTCTAATGTGTGTACACTTTTAATATAATGTTTATAAAACTAACAATGCAATTATCTTGTGAAAAAATGTGTTGTAACTGTTATCCTAAAAGAGGTAGTTAAAAAGATTTGTAGAAAACGTAATACTCTACATACACAACGTTTTGTTGAAGTACCATACAAATTTGGTTAGGGGTAAGCCTACTGTTTGATCTCTGACATTAATTTGGTTTGCTAATAATGTTTTCCATAACTGAAAATTTTAATAGACAATCTTTGTAATGTCAGCCAAATTCAAATTCACAACCTTTAGGGTTTGTAAGTTGGGTTAGTGTACTACAATTCTCTCATTATTCAAATACTTTTCAAACAACAAGAGTCAAAACAGAGTCCAAACAACAGAGTTAGCATTTTTAGTGTTGACTCTTTTTTTTTAATAACACCTTTATACCTCCAAATATGTATATGTATTAATCAGTTTGTAGTATGAGAAATATTTTTTTCAAAAGGTAATTTTGTAATAACAAGCAGGTGTTGAGTTCACCTTTCCAGCAGAGAGGGACAGAGAATGATCATACTGTGTGGAGTAGTACTATTAATTATACTCTACTACAGAGATGTGACATTTTTAGTTTTACATGTGCAATGCAATTAATAGAAAAGTACTCTGAGGGAGACTCTTTAACTGTATTTTATGATATATGATATATTGTAGTTGAACATTTTCATTTACAGATTCAGAGTATTTTACAGTCTCAATCAGAAACTATGGTGAACTTGCAGTTTGAACCACCTTTAAAACAAGAGAATCCACCACAAACTAAATATATTTCTGTGAAGGTAAATGTAAAAAGTTTTATTTTTGCAATGATAGCTCTCTAAGAATGTCTACCAATTTGATTACCTATTATTAGTATACAATATCTATAATGAAACCTTAATTATCCAAGTCTGTACATTTAGTAATTTTTTCGAATATTAACTAACTAGACTAGAAATATGCATATCATTTCTTAAATTTAAAAAAGCTGGCAGCACACCTGCCATGCCGTAGGTGTTGTGGGTGACCATGGGCGGCGGTAGTCACTTACCATCAGGTGAGCCGCATGCTCGTTTGCCCCCTGTGTTGTAAAAAATAAATAAATAAATATATAAAAAATAAATGTTTACTAAAAATTGTTTCATGAAGGCGGCTGTACCGCGACCTCCTCGTCCCGTAGCTATAGCACCGAAGCCATCAAAATTCAGCACTCCCGTTCACAAGCCAGATCTGGTTCATGGCAAACAATATGCTATAGCACCTAAACCTGTTGCCTTAGTGGCAAACAGGACAGGCATTATGCAAGGCACATCAAAAGGAAACACTGTTTTAGGTAAATGATATACCTGTCTTTCCTAGTTCTAAGGATTGTAGTTATATAAAGCAAGAATTTGACAGAGTTGTGTGCAAAGACTGGAAATATAATACTTCATATGTATATAGAGTGAATGTTAACGAAATCAAAGAGTGACACATTATAATAAATTGTATTATAATGCTACTATAATATATTGTATAAATCTCTAAATATAAAAATCAATTCCACTTTCTGACTAAAGACTCTAAATGTATTTTTCTAAATTTAAATGGGAAATTATGATAATGATGTATAAAACATAAAACTTCAAATAAATTAATATGTACATTTGACCTAATTTATATAGTGTTTTTTTACAGCACAAATAGGAAAGCAGCTGGTCATGTTGCCTACTGGGGGCTCCCAGAAGATAAAACTTGTGTCAACCTCAAATTCTGGTGTGTCTACTGTTCAATATGTAAGTGCTAGTGGGAATGTCATATTTTATATATACAGTTGAGAGAACCTTTTGACATGTTTCAGAAATGTAAAATAATAACCATAAACATTTTTGTATCAATAAACTACTTTGTAAATCTATTTTTCAGTAGTTGTAATATTTTTTTTTTAGTACTTTTTGTACAGTATGAAATTATAATGTTTGGATAATAATTTCATTATTTCAGGCTCAAATAATATCAAAAAGTGTACCCACTACGCAATCTGCCAAACCCGTGGTCGCAAAAGTAATAGGACAAGGTAATTTATTAAAATTTAAATCTGAGGTTGGTTTGTCTTGGTTGGTTGGTTTGTTCTTTCGTGAGATATTATGAGACTTATTGTGATAAACTCACCACACAAACCTATGAAGAATGGTGCATTTTTAATTCATATCACCTCAAGTGGCCTCATGCAGGCAGATTGGCAACCGCAATCAGGCTTTAGATATGTTTTAAGAGGGACGCTGCTGCTCATTCTTCACCCTTCTTAATCGACTCTATATGGGATAGGAAGAGGTGGGCTATTTTATGCCAGAGCCACATGGCTATATGGCATACACATAGATATATTATTAGTCGTCAAGTCATCCAATTATTATACCCTGTATATGTACCCTTTGTAGTATATCTTATTTGAATGGTTTGTAATGTGGTTCAATATTTCAGCTCAGAGTAGCAATCAGCCCGCTGTGATTACGAAAATATTACCGACCGGAAGTGCTGTGACACCACAAGCTCGTTATGTCATGCATCAAAAAACTATACCAATATCAATTGCAAATAATAAGGTAGATATTAACAGACCTGCTCATAATTATGTCTCCTCGGTAGTTATGATTAAATTGTGTTAAATATAAAATTAGTTCATTTGAATTTCTGTACAGAATGAAATCTATATTATTAAATCAAAATTAATAATCATAAAAATCTTCTAAATTAAAAACCATACTCACTACATAGAATTAAAATTTAAAAAATATATTTCTTTTAATTTTCTATGATTTTAAAAGTACACATTAAAATCTATTTTAGGTATTTTGGTATGTTTTGTCTCTATACTGTGTATTTTATGCACATTGAATAAAACTTAATTTTAGTTCTACTGATTGGGTTTTTATGTCTGTTACGCAATGCAGTTGTAGTTTAAAAACGAAAAGAACCTTAAAAATTGTATTTCTGTTGCGTAAACAAGAAGCATAACAAGCATAACAGGGAATATATTCTTTACTGTGGAGACAATATCTTGTATATTAATAGAATTATCTATTCAATATTTCACAGATTTAAATTAAAATGTAAGCTTGAGCTAAGGTTCCTTTAAATCAAAATTACAGGTGTTACTAACATCTCCAACCAAACAAGGGAAAAAACAACAGATCATAACTATAAAGTCAAATGCGCCTACAAAGCAGTCTCAAGGTATTTATTAATATTTCATTGCTATTATATATATTACTTCTAATCTTCAATACCAGAGAAAATAATGTTATATTTTAAAAGAACTGATTTACCAATACTTAGATGCACAAATATTTTATTTCTCAAAGAATGAAATAATACTATCAAGATGACTACATCTTGATAGTATTATTTTATGATTTATAACTTTATTAAATTGATTTTTTTTTTCCTTAGCACCTACTACTACGAAAAAGATTGTCATAACTGCCAATTCGTCACAGAATGTTATATTGAAAACTGCTGCCCCTAAAACTACACAAGTAAGTGATCATAGTTTTTGTAGAACAACACTATATAGCAATTGGTACAAATCACAATTATATAGACAGCTTTAAAAAACGTTAAAGAATTAATCAATATTTAATTTAAAACATAAGTGAACAAAATGTCATGTAGAAATAATTTTTAATTTCTTAAACCATATGGAAAATTCTTTTTAGATAAACAAAGAGAGCAAAGTTTTGGTCCAAGGACAAAGATCGCAACTTCATAAAATCGACGTTCCCGGCAAAGGCGTAAGTGTTAAAGATACTAGCATGATTTTGCTCTTATACTTTTATGTAATTTTTTTTTTTATGTAGTTCTAAATGATGATTAAATATGTTGATGACTAGTACTATTAGTGCATAGCTAAGATTTTCTATTAAATCATTGATAAGATTTGTCGTGTGGTCCCGGCATAGAATGGACAACTTCTCCCTTTCTCGTGGGTGTCGTAAGAGGCGACTAAGGAGTGGTTGAGATATGGACAACAGTGTCTCTCTTAAAACATCGCCTAAGCCTGACTTCGGTTCCTAACCCGCCTGCCAAACATAACAACTACTGGTAAAGCTCCCTTTATGGGGAAGGCAGCCTATGTTTAGCAGTGGACAGTTAACGACTGATGTAATAATAATATTTTCTATCAATAATTGAAGTGTTTACTATGTTGACTATGTTTGTTTTTCAGATACAATTAATACGATTAATAACAAACCCAACAACTACAGCAGCCAAACCTGTCACGAAACCACCACCTGCAATAGCAGTGCCTTCCAAAACTTTTGTTTTACAAGATAGTAAAGGTAGGTCAAATTTTCACATTTTTTAAATGCAGTATCATATACAAATGTCATGCAAATAATTATAGAATTATATTATTATCTCACTCCAGTCATCAAAATAATGTAAATAGTAATGTATGACATGTTAACCTCGTAAAATTTGCTTATGTAATGAATACTTGTATAATAAATATTGTAGGTAACTTAATCCAGATGACTGCAGAGAAAATGCTCAGTGGTCAACCACCGCCGCTGGTCATCACTGGAAATACTACCACGGCTAGTAAACGTATGTTCATATAATGCTTTATAAACAAGTGTCATAATAATTATATTGTTCTTCATATACAACTCTCGTTTCTCATATTTATTAATTCGGGTACATGCAATATTTTAGTAGATAGCACAGTTTAGTTTGCAAAAAATTTTTAATGCAATTTTAATGTGAATGTTTTTGGATTGTGGTAGTTACAATAGTACTTACTCCATGTGTAAATGTTGCGTGCAGCCAGCCCATTAGTTAGCTAGCCATACATAATAATAATTGTTAAACCCATATTTTGTTAGTATACAATTCTATAAAAAATATTAAAATCAGAAAATGGCGGCTGTATAAGGAGAAAGACACGGAGTATCACTCTATCCATAAAGTATAGAAACTCTTTAGGTATCACTGAATGGAAATCGGTCATAGTGTAAACTTAACATTTTTATATTTATAAAAGTGAAAACCATTTTAGAATTCAAAATGACCAAGTGACAGTTTTCTCTATTTAAATATATTTTGGAACATGTAATACGTAATATTCGAAAATTTTAAATATTTAGCTGTCAATAGGTACAACGCGATTAGATTATTATGCTAGATTTGTTATTTATATGAATAATTAATATTGGTTTTGCAGTAGTGACCTCGAAACCGCAGCAAAAGTTGGTACGGATAGCAGCAGCTCCGCCTGTCACCAAATCGTCGCATTCGGTGGTAAGGAACGATATTTATTAAGTTAAATAATTTTGTACAAGGATACAATTTGTTATCTACATCATTTCAGCTATTAATTGTTCAATAGACATGGGTACCACTGAGATACATTGCCCCGTATTTTTATTTTATACTGCTGAGATGGCAAACATGCATTGGGCGTTTTTATTCTTTACAGTGCGCGATTTATCGTGAAATCCACAGAAAAATATAAAAACGCTCATTAGGTGGGCTGTTTGGGCGTTTTTATTCTTTTCAAATTATAATTTTCTAAATGCTAAATTCAGATTTGCCGAATATAATGCTTAATTATTTGCTCCATTTTGTTATTGAAAATATTTGTAACGAATAGTTTTAAATATTATTTTGTAACGAAAAGTTATAACTTATAAATACTTTTAACGTGTAATAAATGAAAAGTGATTTCAATTAATAACAAACCATAATTTTATATAGTTTATATTTCTACACTATATATTTTATAATAGCAACCGACCAGATCGGCACAAAGTCTACTAGCACCCCTGGCGACAGCAGATACTTCGCCAACGACGATGGAAGAGATAAAAGAAATACAGCTGTTGCCTCATACCTTGCCCGTCGTTGAAGAGGTTATCGAGGAGGCCGATGTAGAGGAAGAGGTAATGTATTATTCAACGTAATCCTTAATTAATAACTCTCATACAAAAGTTACAGTTAAAAGCATATCCTAAAGAAAAAAATTTAGAACAAGGCATAACTAGTCTAAATATGAAACTTTGTGTACAAATGTTATATTTTTAAAATTATAAGAACATTTCAGGACATTTGCACTCAAACGTTATTGGCCAGATAGAAATGAGTTCAATTTTGATCGAGTTATTACTCTTTTACTAATGCCTGAAAAATAAATACCTTTGAATAGGCATAAAAAATCGGTATATTTTATATCTATACTAATGTTATAAAGAGAAAAGTTTTATTGTTTGTAATGGATAAACTTAAAAAATACTCGACTGATTTTAAAAAATCTTTTACTTATAGAAAGCTACATTATCTGTGAGTAATTATATTTTATATTATTTTCGTATATTCTATGTACCCGTACCAAGTTGGGTCGGACCGTTAGTGTAAATATATTAACAAGCAGTGCTTGGTCGTCATTATAACAAAGATAACTGAAAAATAAATTTATATTCTGTCAGGTGCAAAAGGAGGAAGTGGAAGAGGAACAGGCGGAGGATTCCAAGACTTCACTACAAGCTTTAATCGCAGACACAGTTGGTAATGAAGTGAATATACAATCCATGCAAGAGGTCGAAGTGGAATATGAGAGACAACAGGTTTGTTCAAATCAACAAATTATATATTGTTAGACTAAAAAGAGCAATCGGGGAGTTTCTTCTTAGTTCCCACTAGAAAATTTCCTGCTGGATATTTAATATCATTGTTTATGGCCCGTTTTTAATTGACAATATAATACTCTTCTGTCATAATTCGTGTCATAGTTGCTGTAATATTTTATGTAGTTTAGGAATCGTCTAGTGAAATTACTTTTTATTTCACTACATGTTTGATAATGTTAAAAGCTTCTATGATTTATATGAAACCTTACATTTGCAGAGTCCAATACGAGAAGAGAGTGTAAACAGTATAGATCAGCAAGATTCAAGTACTAGGCCAGAAGAACATCCGCTCATTGTTATCCCTTCCAATTACAGAAATTCAGAAGAGTCACTTCTTGTGGAGGATTTAGTTAAAAGTGTAAGTATTTATATTTCATCTTAGCAAATTACATTTTCCAAAGTCTTAATCTTGTTACATATTTTCGGCTTCTTGATACTTCGTCGTCATAATAACTAAAATAATTTTATTTTTTCGAATTTCTTTACAAAAATACCTCCCTTAACTATCCTAGTACATAATTTATATGCCACATATATCTCATTACTAAATAAGGATATAGTCTATGGGTTTTAATTTTATTTTTATTTTCTCTATAACAAAAAAATGTATATATACGTATCTATATATGTATATACGGAGAATATTATTCTATATAGGAACAGACTTAAACTTTATTATATAATTTTAGGAAGAGAAAAGAAAAATGAAACATATGTTAAATGTAGAAGAGGTAATGAATCCATATCAATCGCCTACAACGCCGCCGGCTGTCTCGGAATCAGGTATTGTAATATGTTATTTCTGATCACTTATTTAGGGTATAATTTATTATATAAAATTATAAAAGAGACCGTCTTGCCGACTATAGATGTTTTCCAAAAATATGTGTTATTAGTTTTTATTACAGCTTCCTTTTAGTTTTCTTTCTGTAAGTCGTAGTTCATATTCACACTATAAAACAAACTACAAACAAAACTACTATAAGTAATCTCAAAGTTCCTACTCTCAGTACAGGCTGTACATTGTTTAATTACCCGCTGTGTTAGTCTTACATTACATTAGACACAGCTACTGGATTTTTCTAGGAATCAAAAAGGGAATACGTATAAAATGGTTTGCCTTTTAATATAATGACTGACTGTTAACACACAGTCAGAACTACTAAATATAGAAAGTTGAAATTTAGGATATATATTCATTTTATAACGTAAACATCACAAGAGGAATCACGATACAACGCGTGAAAAGCCCCGGGTTTTAAAGTTGGTTTAAATATATTTAAATCAACTTTAAAACCCGGGTATACCATTTAGATAAAAAAGTCCCAAATTTTACAAATATGTTAAATAATATTAAGCTTATTGCCAATCTGGGTTTACTGTGTACTAACAGTTTGTTGATTTTCACTAATAGCCTCAAAGTATTATTATCCCTTTATTTTTTCCATTTTACGTGCAAAATTTACAATTTTAAATATTGTTTAGAAGTATAAAAAAATAGAACATGCATCTATTGATTATTTTTTCCAGATGTAGTATCAACGGAATTGGGTATACGGCCAAGGAAGGCTTGTAATTGTACAAAGTCCCAATGCCTCAAGTTGTACTGCGATTGCTTCGCGAATGGTGAATTTTGCAATCGGTGCAACTGCAACAACTGCCACAACAACCTGGAGAACGAAGAGTTGCGACAGAAGGCCATCAGGGCATGTCTCGATAGGAATCCAAATGCTTTCAGGTAAATAATGTTCTTTTGTAACATATTACGCATATAACTTTTATTAAAATTACCTTCTGTTACATGGTTAACTTGTTTCATAATGAACAGGTACTTTTAAGCAGGTTTTTATATTATCTGTTTATTAACTAAGTCCTAATGGTATATATATATATTTTTATTTTTACTAGAAATTATTAACGGTATAATTCATCATCATCATATTCATAAAAGGAGGGATTTGCCAGTAGTTGTCACGCTTGGCAGGTGGATTGGCAACCGCAGTAAGATTTTAAAGATGTTTTAAGAGGGTCTATGCTGCCTATCTTTCAACCATTATGTTCCTTTACTCTCTTACGACAACCACGGGAAAGGAAAATATGGTCTATTTTATACCGGCAAACTGTACAACTAATAATAGTAAAATTAGTAGAGGTTGTCATTTTGAGCAGTAATACTTGTTTAGTCTACTTGATCCTCAAACCGGGACTGTCTGTTATAAGGAAGAAAATAGTGAATATTTAAGCAATAAATCGCAAAACCCATCTATCAAATTTGAATTGGAAGAGATTTGAAATTTGACTACTAACTGTATCCCGCCATTTCACCACCGTGAATTAATATATAAAGTATCCTACGTGCTTAGTTAGGATATAACTTACTCATGTACTAAATTTAATTAAAATCTGTTTAGTAGTTTTTGTATGAAAGAATAATAAATATCCGTCCATTTAACCGTCATTACAAATTTAAGGAAATTAATAGAATTAGAGAATTTAACCCTTTACGCGATGGAATTTATTAATCATCACCAAATGGAATACTTATATTTTGGATCAAAATAGTATTTGAGATGTTTAAAAATATAAAGATCATGTAAGAAGGTTTCGTGTATATGTTGCAATCAAAATTTTTTTACCAGTCAAAAGTACTATTGACTAGCAAAATCAGTCAAAAGTACTTTTGCCCAATGGAGATGGTTAAAAGTACTTTTGTACTATATAGTTATTGATTTTTTTATATTGTAGACCAAAAATTGGCAAGAGTAAAACTGGTGGTCCAGAAATAATACGGAGACATAACAAGGGCTGTAATTGTAAAAGGAGTGGGTGTTTGAAGAATTACTGTGAGTGTTACGAGGTGAGTTGCTAATATTTTTATTTAATGCATTTTTATAATAGGATTATTGTTTTTTTTTTTTTTTTTTTTTTTTTTTTTTTTTTTTTGATTAGGCTGGAACTTGATGATGAGTCATTTATTAAAAAATGGTTCTCCACTTTAAAGCTAAATTTGTACATTATGTAGAGATGCAAAGTTTTGACTGATAATATATGTAATGCCATTGATAGACAGTAATTAGTTTGTTCTATCAGTATTTAATAGTAGTAATTTATTTATTTTTTTACATTTTCATGATATTGATTGGTAGAACGGGATCTATTGTATGTCAGTACTGTTTAAGACGTTGGGCCCGGCGCCGGTCCCTGGGGACCGGCAGCGAACTTACCGTACCGTGTGTCCGGCGCCGGTTCCTAGGGACCGGCAGCGAACTATCCGTGTGGCCAGCGTCGGTCCCTGGGAACCAGCACTAGAATTTTCATTTAGCTGGCGTCGGTTTGTGAGACCGACAGTATTAAAGTTAAAAAATAAAATTAGTCTCAATGAAATGTGATCAAATATAATTTTAATGAAATTTATTGAAACATTCTAAACAAAAATGCGGTTTATCTTTACACATATTACAATACGTAACAACTTTTTTTGGTAATATTTGTAGCTGTCTTTCGTCCAAAACGTCCAAAATAGCGCGACAAAGAATTCCTTATCTCATTAGTACTAAAGTAACCTCTTGGCGATAGCATACAACATTGTATCTCTCGTCGGCTGCCGGCTGAACGGAAAGGACAGCAAATTCGGCGCGGGCTCAACATGTTAATGTGATTAGCTTTATTTGGAAGTAAGCTAATACTATTTATGTTTTTGCTTCGTGAGTGTTCGCATCCAGCTTGAACGTGTGGCGTGTGTTCGCAGGCCAAAATTGCGTGTACGTCGATGTGCAAGTGCGTGGGCTGCCGCAACGTGGAAGAGACGCTGGAGCGTGCGCGGCGGCGTGACATCACACGGCGGCACCCGCTCGCCGGCCGCGACCCGCGCCTTTCCTCGCCCACCGCGCTCTACCGCCCGCCGCCGCTCACGCACCACAAGTGAGTACCCGCACGCTGCGCCCGCCTCGCCACGTACTACGAATAAGTACTCGCACACCACGTCCGCCTCGCACCACACGTGCGTACAAAATACAGTAGTCGTAACCAGGTTGATACACTTTATTTATAAACAAAAAATATATCATTATTAGTACATTACTGCAGCGGCCAGCAACTGAGGCTTTGATGGACGAACGTGCAAACGTACGTGAGTCCATCAATGCCTAGTTTTGGCCAAGGCTTGTATAGTACTTTTCTCAAACAATGCGCGGAAATCAAAAACACAATTTTACTTTTTAAGTTCAATGACGAATAACGAACAATAATAATTTTTCACGCGCCATAATGTTCCTTTGTTTTTTTTTTTCAATAAACAGCTTTCTATTTGCAAGCCAGTTCGAAATTTAAACATTTCACATTCCACGCATGTTTGAGAAAAAAATAAAATTCATATATATTATTGAAACATCAACAGGCAACCGTGCAGCTTCATGACATCGGAAGTAATAGAGGCCGTGTGTCAGTGCTTGGTAGCGGCCGCGGCAGAGCCCGGCACGAGGACAGGAGAAGCGGCAGAGGAGGCGGAGCCCGACCCCATGCGTGACGTCATCGAGGAGTTCGCGCGCTGCCTGCAGGATATCATCAGCGCCTCGCACCAGACCGCGCCCCTCGCTCTCGGCGACGACGTCTGATCGCGGCTACCTGTCACCTCACACCGGCTCTCTTACCAGGTACGCATTACGAGATGAAGATTTTTTACAGCTTATGTTACTCACTGATAATGTAGCTTTTTATAAGTGAAAAATGTATTAAAATATCCTTAAGTAATTTTTGAATTTATCCATTACAAACAATAAAAATCTTTCTCGTTAATAATATTAAATTGATTATACTGAATTTGTAGTTTAAATCGTTAGGTGTTCCCAAATATAAATTGTCTTATTATTTCAGGGTCATGTGTGATGTTCGAACTCCATTTCGATGCTACATCGTATTTAATCCGCCATTGCCAAGTGATAATAATCTATTATTTATTATAAGAAATAATATCATAGCATGCTATGTTTTTATAAGGAAGATTTTTTTATCAAAATTTGTGTATTATATCAAGACTTGTACAGTGGTATATAGTGACAAAATGGAACCATAAATTAATATTCTATGACAATGAGGATGTAAATAATATTAGGTTATTCGATCAGATTTTATAAAGATTTATATTCATCGGTCATGTATATGGACATCATATGTAAAATGTAAATAATTTTATTTTAAGAGCGTTCATAATTTTAGCTTGAGCAAGTGCAGTGACGTCGCAACTATCAATTTTCAAAAACAATTGAACACAATATATATATATATATATATATATATATATATATATATATATATAGTAAAATTAATCATACATAAAATTCTTCATTATGAACGCTCCTATTTATATATATTTTACTAGTCTTAAGAGTACCTTTTGAACTGAGGTATTGAAATGTATATAGTATTAATAAATGCAATAATTATTTCTAATATGTTTTCCTTTTATTCTTACTAATCTAAAATTTAATTTTGTGTTTTCGAGTTAGAGCCATTAATGGCTTATTGGCGCGTTTCCGAACGAATGCGTTGCATACATACATGGTCGAACAAAATTTGTATAAAAACAAGCGTTTGATATAAATTCCGTGCGCATACTTTTTTAATGGATAATAATGAAATGGTAGCCTCGCCAGCGCTAATGGTATACGCTGGCAGGCGACCAGTGAGTGACCATAGGTGAGAAGGAAAAGGCAGGTCAGTTAGCCCATCGTAATGAATGGAATTCAGAATGATGGTTTCCAGGGGGGACCACGTGAAGATCGACCTGGCAGGGTATATTGCTAAAAACGGGACTGATAGTCCACATTACTAACAATCCTTTCCCCCCTACGTGCGCGTACTTTCAACTGCATACTGAGGAATGAGTGCAATGCGCTTGTAGCTAATTACGTTGCGTGAAATACATGTAAAGCTAAGACTGGATTATCAGTCTCATACAAATCTGACTCGTAATGTCCTTTGCCAACGTTATAAAACGCGATGCTGATTCACGCTAGATGCAAAACGTACAAAATATAATTTTAAAGTACATAGTTACAGCTCATGGGACATGGGTTATAATTATATACAAAAGTTACATATGAAATATTGATCAGATTCTAGTAAATAACGACATTATTATGATTTTACCAGAGGGAGACTACAAAAGTCGATTGCTTGGGTACCTCTGTCCCATTCGTATTTCAACCGTGAAGCAGTTGTGTTTGCATGGCTGTGTTTCGGTTTGAAGGGTGAGATATAGCGTGAATTTACTGGGTACAGAGGAATAACACCTGAGTCCTTAGGAATGGCAACGCATGGGGGGTATCATGGGCGAAACATTATACTCTGTTATGTCCATGGTACTGCTCATGTCTATAGGCGACGGTTACCACTTTCGATTAGGTGGGCCGTCAGCTTGTTTGCCATTCTAAGTAGTATAAAAAAAAAGATTTACGATCTGACAATCGATAAATATTTAAAAAAATATTACAATTTTAAAGAATTTTTATATCAGAATATCACACTGCTATTATAATTAAAAATTTAATAGATTGAGGATCATTGGCATGTATTGTTTCTGTTTACCCCGCGAGATAGGCTTGAGATGTGTATTATACAGGCACTTTTTGTAAATGCAAATTTATATTATTCGGGTCATGCATACATTATACTTAATGTGTCATATACCTACTTGACGTGCTTCACCTAGTGAAATGTCTATAAATAAATCACAGTAAGCGTAGGTACTACTATAAATAACAACACACTCGAGTCCCGCACGTGTGTTCATAGGCGAGATTGTTGTCTTCTAGTTGCTTCTCGTACATTTAAATTATAAATCCTTTGAAAGTAATATCTACAAGATGAGTGCACGATATGAAGTACGGAGATCGGATAAACTTGGAAGGTTTGTTTCCATTTGTGTAGAAAATTTCATATAAGATTTACACTTTTTATATTATTATTACAGTACAATACTAGTATTTTTTTATTTATAAAAATTTAACTAAATTAAATATCATAGAGTGACATGGATAATAAACAGAGCTGGGCAAAAGATTTGGCTTTAATTAAAATAAAATTAAAAAAACTATCTCGTGTGTTTTTAAAATATTTTTAAGTAAAGTTTATTTGAAATATAAAATACAAAATATAGTTACGTATTTGATAACGTAAATAGAATCGGTAAAAGAAATATTACCTTTCATGAATATGATATTTGGGTTACGAAATGCTAATGAGTGCTGTTTTCTACATAACGCCCCTATAAATAAGATCTCTAAATGAAGGCTAAATATATTTATATCAAAATGCATTCTGAAGCCAAAATATTTAAAATACTAACTAGAATAATACCTCGGCGTCAGGTATTTGAAATACGAACTTCCTACCAATTGCATTTTTAGGAAGTAATTGATATTTCAATTACTTCCTAAATATGTATTTGTATTTACGCATTTTAATTACAAGTAATTCAAATAGTGCTCAGCTCTAATTATAAATATGTAATTGCCTTCCTTCAAGAAATAGTAATTTATTCTTTCAAATTTAGAGGTATTTTTATTGAATAATTGTGAGTAATCATACTTGAGGGGATTTACGACAATTGGAATTATTAAATACAATAACTTAATAAAAAATATTTTATCGGATATTGTAATTTCATAGAAGCTGATTTGATGCAAAGCGACATTCGCTGCTTATAAATATAAACAATAAAGACTTCGTAGACGTACTATCATAGCATCCTTTATGCCTTAGGTGTATATTTCTTGACTGTGATTACGCATGATATATTGCCTTTTTTAGAGAAACGCAATGTAATGCAACTGCTTCATTGCAAATAAATAAATAGATACTTAGTACTACTTTATACTAAGAACCATAACTATTTTATTCTGTTTCTTTTTGTTCCTTTTTAATTTCATTTTATAAGTATATGGACCTTTTTGAGTTATTTAAATAACTAAATTGTAAAAGAGCCGGACCGCAAATAGCAATAAACATGTATTAATTTAATTACTCACTCACCGGTTACCACGAAACAGGCCTGTGAGTCTAGTGTAGTAATCACTGATAATTAAATTGTGAACCTGCATTTTTGTTTGATCAAGTTATATATGATACAGGTATAGTTTTATAGTATTATAAGACACTGGTATAATTATTATACCTAGACTAATCACGCATAAGGGACTAGACTGAGTGGCATTTCTTAGAGATACTAATATTATTTATATAAAAATTTTAATTGATAGTTCTAAGTAAAATTTATATATCCATAAAATTTTGTTTGTATTAATTATTAAAGATATATAATAATTTTGCTGTAAATCTGAAATTTTAGAAACTGCGAATGGTGTTTCTATATCCATCCCAACACCTGTGTATTCTGTGTAGATAGTTTAAATTAATGATCCCACAGAAAAAGATAAATAATAAAGATATACTAATTAGGTGTTTCCAAATATACCTATTTAAATTAAACAATTTCCATCTAAAGATTTCGGGCTCGAAAGAAACCCGAGTATTTTCCTAACAGCTCTCGATTTTCCATTGTAGATACCTTATAGCCGCTAAAGATTTAAAAGCGGGCGAGAAAATCTTATCGGACGAGCCGTTCGTCCTCGGTCCTAACAGCGACACGTCGCTTGTTTGCCACAACTGCTACTTGCCGCTGATAAGCAAGTTCATTGTATGCAAGAACTGTGCCGTGGCGCCACTATGCCCCGGAGACGGATGCCCCCAGCCACTCGCTTACAGTTAGTATACTACACTGTATACTGTAGATTTAGGTATGAAAAAACACTATATTTAATTACCTGTCTATTTATTCTTCATGCCATATTTTTTATACTTTAGATATATTTTTTTTAATACATGATTAATGGAATGGTAGCCCCGCCTGCGCTAACGGTTTACGCTGGCGGGGCACCAGTGAAGGACGATAGGTAAATAATGAAAAAAGATCGAGCAAATTGGATGCCAACACATAACAAATGCCTCTGAATTCCCCATTGGCGTTTATGATCGTGAACATATCAACATTCTACGTATTATATCACTTGTTTTTTATTTAATTGCCAGTTCCGCGCGATTGCTATTCTTTGTTGAATAAAGAAAACATGAATAATGGCCTGAGTTGGATTAGTAAATGATAGCTTTTACAAAATTCACAATACTCGTAAGTAAATAATATAAGACGCTTGCTTCTTTTTTAGACTGGCATACTAATACAGAATGTGAGTTCTTTAGAACACTGAAGCTCACCAAGGGCCTAAATCCAATGATTATGGTTCAGAATGTTGGATCATTATTAATCTTTCGCGCAATGTTAAAGAAGAAAACAGATCCACAAGCTTGGGAAGAGTTTATGGAACTAGAAACGCATATGGAGAAGAGAAAGAATACTAGCATCTGGCAATACTATCAAAATACTGTACAGGTAAATTTATTAGGATAATTTTGTTTTACATCGTATACTATATCATATCAGCCATTACCATTTAACAGTTGTTTTACATAGGCCTCCATCTATTGAGAGATTTTGCCAGTAGTTGCCACGCTTGGCAGGCAGGTTGGCAACCGCAATGAGGCTTTGGTGATGTTTTAAGATGGACGCTGCTGCCTATTCCTCAACCATTAAGTACCTTAGTTGCCTTTTACAACACCTATGGGAAAGCAAGGGATGATCCATTCTATGTCAGGACCACACGGCCAAATTTTGTTTTATATCGTCTTCAAAATGAGATGGTTCTTAATCCTAATAAATTGTGTGTATGATTTTGATATTTTTAGATAAAAGTATTTATTTATGATTTAAAAATAATATATTATAAATAAAATATAAAAGTATTTATTTGTGATGTGTAAGTTTCATATTATTTTGCAATGATATTGTTGATTAAATAATTATGTTAATACATATGAATAGAAGGAGATACAACTCACTACTTAATAAATAATATTTTTATGGGTTTAAAATTTAAAGGTTCCCCTGCCTACTCTATTATTATATGTTGCTCATCAGATCAGTTAGTCCATTGACCACAAAGTCTTCATCAATTAATCGCGATGCTTTCAAAGGGGACTGCGTGGAGGTCGGCCTGACCTTATTACCACCTCCAATAAGACTAGATATACTTATTATATTATATGAATGGTACCATGAGTATATTTATTAGTATCCATGGTGCAATTCATGTCTAAACACGACCACTTTCTATCAGGTGAATCGTCAGCTTGTTTGACATTCTAAGAAAATTAAAAAAAAATATATTGTTACAGTTTATTGAATCATTGGATTTTTTCGAGGGCGTCGATGTAAATTTAGTACAGAAAGTGTGTGCAGCGGTCGACGTGAATAGCTTTGACGTACGGGGACCTCAGATACCCGCCATCGGCTGCTCAGAGATACTGCGCGGAGTTTATCTCAAAGCATCACTACTTGCACACGACTGTATCGGGAATACGCATATGGCTATAAACGACAATAATTTGCTTGTGTGCCATGCGAGCATAAATATCAAGAAAGGGGACGTGATTTATTTTAATTACTCGGACCCCTTAAAGGTATGGTTTAAGCACAGGAAATTGAATGGAATTTCAATGGAACGCTAAGGCTGTGAAATGAGGTCTAGGTTTTTCCTAGAAACTACAGTATTTTTCATGTAAATGTACAGATTCTTCAAAATGGGTATATTAAGATTTCTTCAGGGTCGGCAACGTGCACGTGACACCCCTAGTGTTGCAGGAGTCCATAGGCTACAGTAACTGTTTACCATCAGCCAAGTTGTATGATTGTTTATCGCCTTCGTGGTATAAAAAAATATAATAATTATTTTAAAAAATGTAACATTAGATATTTATTTTAGTTATTTAATAATTATATACAGTATTTTACTTAATGTAAACAATTGAATTTTTTTGATTGAAATTTGATTGAATTTACCCGATCAGATTTTTTTAATGCAATTTAGAATGGCAAACAAGCTGACGGTCCACCTGATGGAAAGTTTTTTTTTTTTTTTATAAAACTTAGAATGGCAAACAAGCTGACGGCCCACCTGATGGAAAGTGGTAACCGTCGCCTATAGACATGAGCAGTACCATGGACATAACAGAGTATACTGTTTTGCCCATGATATCCCCCATGCGTTGCCATTTCTGAGGACTCAGGTGTTATTCCTCTGTACCCAGTAAATTCACGCCATATCCCACCCTTCAAACCGAAACACAACCATGCTAACACAACTGCTTCACGGTTGTAACACGAATGGGACAGAGGTACCCAAGCAATCGACTTTTGTACAAAGTCTCCCTCTGGTAAAAGTGGTAACCGTCGCCTATAGAAATGAGCATAATAGAGTATACTGTTTCGCCCATGATACCTCCTATGCGTTACCATTCCTGAGTATTCAGGTGTTATTCCTCTGTACCCTGTAAATTCATTGCTATATTCCACCATTCAAACGGAAACACAGCCATGCAAACAAAACTGCTTCACGGTAGAAACATGAATGGGACAGACGTGCCCAAGCAAACGATTTTTATATAAAGTCTCTCTCTGGCAATTAGTCAATTGAATGATTGAAGTAGATAGTCTATTGATGTCTAATAGTAATAGTACAAAAGGCCATTGATTGATTGAAGTTTCAATTTGTTTATAAATTCATTAGAGACCGTTTCGGTGATAATTTCAACAGAACTTGATTATTATTTCATTATGTTTTATTTTAACAAACAATACCAATTAGATTGTAGATTCGCTAAATTTGCTTCTTCAGGGCACAACGTTACGACAACAACATTTACTGGTAGGCAAATACTTCAAATGCACCTGTCTTCGGTGTACGGACTCCACAGAGCTGGGTACCTATATCAGTTCTATTATATGTCCAGAATGCAAGATCGGCCTCGTATCCATGGGTGAAAACGGTGATTGGAAATGCAATAATTGCAAAAAAGATTATGCACAGTCATATATTGGCAAGAAGATTCAAAGTTGTTCTGATAAATTTGATGTAATTAGTAAGTGATTCACTTAAATATATACATTCTCATTCCAGATCTCTTTAGGATAGGCTAAAAAACCTTGTTTAGATATCTTTTGAAATAATATTTAAATTATCCAGCTTTTTTAAAAACTATTAATCAGGGTTGTTTATGCCCCAACACCGTGTAATTATGTTGAGCAAATTTTATAAAATATATAAATTAGTCCTTGAGTGTGTGAGATTGAATAACTAAGAGTTCATAAGCATCTGACCTAAAGTTGTCTAAATTATGTTTAATTTAAACTTTATTTATATTTTCGTTTACATTTAGACAAGAAAGATGAAAAAGAGCTGGAAGAGTACATTCGAAATGTGTCGTTACTGTTGGCTCCCAACCACTACCTGTTGTTGGAAGCTAAGCAACGTCTAGCTGGCGTGTTAAGGGATCTTATCAATAGGGAACCACACCCGACCAAGAAGGTGATGCGCCGTAAAATACAATTGTGTAACGAACTATTGCCTATCATTGAGAAACTTGTCCCAGGCATATCTAGGACTAAAGGTCGGTACTAACTTGGAATCGATTTAAAATAGATACTTTGATAACTTGTAATGTCCTAGTTTTTTATATATGCAATTTCTCTAATTTAATAATTTACGACCTAATATGGAACTAGAACCTGTGCTCCCGGCAAAGAATGGGCCACCCCTTATATACACTGTCAGGTTGACTTCCACATGGTCCTCCCTGAAAATTTTCGTGCTGATTTTCTGGTGTATTCATCACCATAGGTTAACTGCCTTGTCTTTTCATCTCACCTATCATCTTTCACTGATGCCCCACTAGTCTATATCGTTAGCGCAGGCAGAATTATTTTTCCATTTGTTTCTATTGTCATCTTGTATAAAAAAGCTTGTCGATTGAAAAAAGAATAATCGAAATCGGTGCTTCATTAGCGAAGATACGATGTAATATATACTCTTAAATGTACTGTAGAAATATGAAGTCAATTTTTTTTAATCAATTCAGTTAATTTATAACAATCAATTTAAGATCTGTAGTTTGATATATCAACGCAATTGGTTCCTGACCTGTGCTCCATGTTTTCTTAGTCTATCTCTACCAGATTCTATGAATATTATTTTATTTTAAATATATTTTTCGTATTTTCAGCTATTACTATGTATGAATTACACGCAACTATGGTGCAATTGGCCAAAAAAAAGTTTGACGGACGTGAAATAACGGGTTCCGGATACATGGATGAATTACTAAATGCAGAGGTATTCCTAAAACGGGCCCTGGAAATGTTGTTTATTGAACCTGGTAATTCTCCTGAAGGAGAATTATGTGCTAAGGCACTAGAAGAGTACCGAGCTTTGAAAGCAACAATAAATAGCGTTTTAGATGGTATACATGCAGAAGGTAAAACATACGTGAATGCTGCTGATAGAGAAGAACATTCACAAGCTCAGGCGGTGGCGTAGTTGCGAATTGAGGACATCCCGCGCAAAAATGTCAGTATGTCCCACCTCCCGGTCCCGAAGATCACTTTAATATTTTTAATGCAATATCCTAAACGTTTATTGGATTTAATGTTCTAGGGTGTTTAATTTGACACCATGGAATGTTAATCTAGTCAGAAATAATAGCAGCGGCCTGGGCGCCTTTAAGCAAAAAATTGGCGTATTTAAGTTTGTTTTTCAGGTGCGGGTCTTGGCCCCTAAAAAAGCACCACTTTTAGAATTTTAAACATGTTTGTGTTCATAGTTAAAAGCTCTGATGCCGTTCCTGGGTTAGGCACTAGACAATTCTGGGATGAGTACACCTCTCCTCCTTTAAATACGTCTAAACCGATAACAGTAGTGAGGCTTCATAGCAGAAACATCGGAACGTCCACTGCTTCTGCAGCTAGATAAATAAAATATCCAATACACAAGTTAGTATGTATAATAAAAGTTTAAAATATCAAACTGCTGTTTTTAATTTTTCAAACAATTATTATAAGTACCTAGTGATTTAATCCTTACTTAGAGTTAGACTTAAAAATATAAGTTATACTTAGACTTAAAAAAAAAGATACCTATCTAGTTATTTTTAATAGCTGATAATGAAATGGTAATCTTCTTATGCTATCGATATATGTTAGCGGGGTACCAGTAAGAAATAAATGAGAATAAATGCAGTTCATTGTGCTTATTATGATGAATTCCATAAGAATTAATCATGATAGTTTTTAAGGGGAACCGCATGGAGGTTGAGCCGGTAGAGTATATTGATAGCAATGGAGCTGTTAGACTAGCAGTTCCTTTCCCCCAAAAGATACCCATCAGTTAGACTGTATAGATATATAAAATGTATATTATTACATGATCAACGTTTTAGTTTGCTAGAAAAACACTTTTTAAATAATGAATCAATCGGAAACATCGAATAACGTTCAATTACTTTTGAAAACTGACTCATATTTGTGAATCGCTCCACAGAGGCAACGTAAACTTTTATTACTCTTACCCTAACTTACTCTAACCCCTTTCCCATTTCTATTCACCCCAACCAAATATACAAAGTGAACACATTTTGAAGGATTTTGAAAGATTGGAAGAGAAGCCAAATGTTAAAGATTATGATCTCGAATTGTATGTTGAATCATCAAATCTTACTACATAAATAGATTAATTAAAAAAAATAAAGCGATGTTTTTTTTCCTATTCACCCCGTTCTACGGTTCCTAAATGTTAAGAAATGTGAAATTTGTACGAAACCGAACTGTTTAAATTTGATTAGGTGTCTGTATAAGAATTAAAGAAATATTAAATTTATAATTGATAACTAAAACCATTAGCACAGTATTGTATATGTTGATTGCTTTAGATTCTTTTGAGTATCACTTGCATTTTAATATTAAATAAGCATTACGTTTTTCTTTCATCATACCGCTAATAGTGAGTGTACATTTGGATTTGTGGAGGTAAATTTGCCGTATTATTTAGCACGTTTTATTTATTAATTTTCGTGTAATAAGTAGGCATCTTTATTTTTGCAGTCCAGCTATGGCGGATCAGTCGTCAGTATTAGCTTTAGTGATATTAGCGGTCGGAGTTACTGTGCATTTTTCTCTGCACAAAGTAGAGGAGGGCCATGTAGGAGTTTATTACCGGGTATAGTATCTATTTTGCATCACTACTATAATAGATGAGATGGTGTATTTTGTAAATGCAAAATTCTTACTGAAGATTACTAATATCTCTTAATTGTATTATTCCTTAGGGTGGTGCCCTTCTCCCAGTAACTAGCCAACCTGGATTCCACATGATGATACCTTTATTGACCTCTTATAAAGCTATTCAGGTACAAACTTAAACTTTATTATACTTTAAATTTCAAATTTATTATAGATAATAATTTACAAATACATTCTATTACATTTTTAGACAACACTACAGACTGATGAAGTTAAAAATGTGCCATGTGGTACTAGTGGTGGTGTGATGATATACTTTGAAAGGATTGAAGTTGTCAATAAGTTGGAACCAGGCAGCGGTAAGTAATCTAATCAAATTATCAGTAATTGTGATTATTACTTTAGCTGATAGCAATGTATATTCTTCTCTGCCAAATATCAAGTTTCCATATGATTATTTGAGCTGTTAAGGGTCCAAGAGGTGATAAATAATCACACTTTTATATCAATAATGGTTAAAATAACATTTTTTAAAACTTTATTTCAGTTTTGGATATGGTACGCAATTTTACTGCAGAGTATGACAAAACATTAATATTCAATAAAGTGCACCATGAACTGAATCAATTCTGCAGTGCCCATTCCCTACACGAAGTGTACATTGACTTATTTGACCAAATAGATGAGAACTTAAGAACGGTAAGTATTAAAATAATATATTAAATTATTTGTTTTGAGCATTTGTTTTTTGTTATAAAGCCATTATTTGGGGGAGCTATATTTACTACTTAAATAAAAGTTATGAAAAGGCCACAAATTTATAAATAAAATCTATTACCTCTTTCAAGAAGAGGTTGAAATCACATTTTCTTTCCCTTGAGTAATATTTTTTTTTTGTATTTTTCTAATTGAACTCTCAAATCTTAAAATCATTAAACGAAATTTCTAATGTAAGTAGTATATTAATTTATTTTAACATATACTATATAAGTAGGTAGGTATTGTATATATTTATAGTGTATGTATTTATGTAATATTTTATTATATATTTTAATATTTTATTTAACTGCATATTTGTTTATGTATTAATAGTTGTAGCACTTCAGCTGTCTGCTAACGAAATGCTTTCTTACTGTACTGGGTTGACTGGAAGAGATCTCTGTCAAAGATAAGTCCACCCTTGCTCACAACATTTATAAATAGATTATTTTATATGTAACTTACAAGTGCAATAAAGAATATATATATAAAATTTGTCAGTAAGTGTAAAAAATAACTAAAATTGTAATGAGTGTTGATTTTGTGATTGTTCAATATATTATTTATTGTTACATATTTATTCAAGGCTTTACAAAGGGACTTGGATGAAATGGCACCAGGATTGAGAGTACAGGCAGTTCGAGTAACCAAACCAAAGATTCCAGAAGCTATCCGAAAGAATTATGAACTTATGGAGGCTGAGAAGTCTAAACTTCTTATTGCAGCACAACATCAAAAAGTAAGGTTACTTAGTATTCATATACATTCAAATAAGAGTCCACAAAATAATATTAAGATTACTGTGCATGTAATCTTTCTTCTGTTTATTAGAAAGGATAAGTAGATCTTTATAGAATCAACCAACTCTTTCCTGTATGTGTTGTAAGAGGTGACTAAATGAATATAATGGTAGAAGAAGGAGCAACAGCATCCCATTTAAAACATCTCTAAATGTCTGACTGTGATTGCCTAATCGTCTGCCAAGTGTGGCAACTACTGGAAAAATTCCTCTTATGAGCAAGGCTCATGTTCAGCAGTTAAAGACTGAAATGATGAAAAAAATTTGGATTATCAATTATTCATGTCTCCTTTTTTACAGGTTGTAGAAAAAGAAGCTGAGACTGCTCGTCGTAAGGCTGTCATAGAAGCGGAGAAAGAAGCTCAAGTTGCTAAAATCCAATATGAACAAAAAATTATGGAGAAAGAATCTTTGCAAAAGATTGAATTGATTGAGGATAGTATTCATAAGGCTAAGCAACAAACTAAAGCTGAAGCAGACTACTATCACTTGAAGAAGCAGGCTGAAGCCAACAAACTACTTTTGACTAAAGAATATTTAGAATTAAAAAAATATGAGGCACTCAGTTTGAACAATAAGGTCTATTTTGGAAGTGACATACCAAATATGTTTCTGCAAGCCAATGTCGGAGATAGTACACAAAAGAATGTACTTGTTGAATGAGTTGTTCTGTCAAAGCTCAGCTAGTCATTTAATGATATAAGTCATTGAGAATGAATTTAATGTGTTCTGAATTTAAGACATGCATTTTGTTTGTAAATAATTGTTTTGTTAATAGAATTATGATTGTGATATATTTTTAAGAAAATTAATTTATAATAACAATGTTACATTACTGTAAATTTCTATGTAAATCATGTACATTTTGATTATTTTCATTATTATTTTTGATATTAAAAATATAATAATTTATAATATTAAAAATAATAATTAAAAAAACGAACGAAATTGATTAATAGGCATTATTTGTGGGATAAAAAAAATATTCATCATATCAGCTAATTGTCCACTGCTGAATATAATCGTCCCCTTGGGGAGAGAGGAGGAATATTACTTATGTAATAATTTAAATTTGACATATTTATGTTCTAGGTTTAACTAATTCTTTTTCATTAGAAGTACTGTCGCTCAAAAGTATTTGGCCACCTAGTAAATACATTTTGTAAGTCTTATTGAGAGAAACTACTTTATAATTATTTTAACATGTTTATTACCCATTTTTAGAAATAACAAGAATATAATTTATAAATTTTGGACGAATTTATGTTTTCACATTTATTTTTAATGACAGCCTCCACACTCCCTCTCACTAAGCTTCGGCTTCCTAGTTGCAAATTTTTGCAATGCAGTCTTGCTTGTCTTTTACAATTCTTGCAGTTTTTTTCTGGGAAGACTTGTCTTCCTGAGAAATAAAACAACGTTTTCGCACATGTTTATCCAGCTGATTCCACAATAGTTCTATGGGGTTTAAGTCAAGGGACTGTGGAGGCTATATCATAAGTTTCAACATCTGTTGTCATTCTTTTTCTTGTAAAAAGTCCTTGTATAGTCTTGAAATGTGTTTCGGGTCATTTATCCTGTTGAAATATAAATCTCGGACCAATTAAGTAGGTTCCATAAGGCACTGCACTATCCTCCAATATCTGCACAAGATCTCTAACGGCGGAGCCACCAAAACATCACCAAACCGTCACAGGCGGAGGGCCTGTGACGGTTTGGGGCTGTTTTGGTGTCGTTGTCGTGTTTAATTAAAGCCACAATATAAGCGTCATTCATTCTTTAGTTTGACTGCCGCCTTTTGAAATCGTTTGGTTCCATAAATTTCAAATTTTGATTTGTTTGTCCAGATGATCTTTTTCCAATCTGCTATTGCTCAATTCTATTCTTTTTGTTAATAGATTTAAGAAGTGGTTTTAATACCGCTATGCATCCCTCAACTCCTGCGTCACAGTCTTATTTTAATTGTGGATACACTGACTGGTTTATCACGATCCACATTAAACTGCTATTTCCGGTTCAGTTAATCGTCTATTTCGTTTGCTATTAATAACCATACTTAAATCTTCACTCCAAGTTGTAGTTGTCGGTCTACCTGAACGACGTTTGTTTGGAATTGTCCCTTTAGCCGCAAGCTTAACGATGTAGTGAAGTTTGTCTTGTTATCTTCTGTAGTCTTGAAAGATCACGATTACTTTTATCGGATTTACGAAGGCCGATTATTATACCTATGATCTCTTGGAAATATTCATTAGTTTTACCCATTTTCTTCAAAAAACTAACATCAGAAGTGAAAAATAAAAAAATATTGGTAGACTCTAAATACTGAGCTATGGAGAGCGTGTTTTCTGGTGGAATGACATTAGATAATTCACAAAAAAATTTTGTAGTAATTCTATATTTTACTTATTTCTCAACTAAATCAAAACAAAATTGCGATTTCAATATCACTATTATGATTTTATGACCAGCAATTGTCAAATAACAATAAGCTGTTTACAATTGTCCTAAAGATAGGTATTGTTTTTAATGGGTGTAAATGGTATGGTAAAGTGAGAGGTGATAGGTGAGGATGTAAAGGCAGGTCAGTTACCCTATCGTGATGAATTCAACGATAAATTAGTCACCATAATTTCTAGGGTAACCGCGTGGAAGTCGACCTGATATGGCATATTGATTACAATGGCGACTAACCCCCCGATTGCTAGCAATCCTTTCCTCCTAGATAAATATTTTGTGGTGTTACACAAACAATGAAACCTAATAAATGATCCCTTCAAAATGTTTGTAATTTAAACAAAATAGCTAAATTCTTTTGAAGAGTACTGTAACTAGTAAAAAATCTCACTAGATGTACGGACTGATTTGAAGGTCTCACAATTTAATGTGTAAAGATTTTTTTATGTGTAATAAAACAACAAAATATTAAAGCATGGTTTTATTGGAAAGATGTTAAATTATGGCTTCATTTAGATTTTATTGAAGGCAGCAATATCTACAGACTGTACAAAGTCTTCAAATTCTTGGATCTTTTCCGTTAGAAGGTCGACTGAGACTTTGTCATCTTCAATAACACACATAATTTGTAGTTTGTTGATACCATAACCAACAGGAACGAGTTTAGATGCACCCCATAAGAGACCATCCATTTCAATAGTACGAACATTCTTTTCCATTTCTTTCATATCTGTTTCATCATCCCAAGGTTTCACATCAAGGACTATGGATGATTTGGCAATGAGAGCAGGTTTCTTTGACTTTTTATCTGCATAAGCCTTAAGACGCTCTTCACGAATTTTGGCTGCCTCAGCATCCTGTGAATAATAAGAGATATCATAATTACTTTTATAATATAATTTTGTTCAACTTCGATGTAATGTTATCTTGAAAAATTACATCAAAATGGTAAAGGCCTGAGATGATGAGCAAGTGTTGTCATTAACTTATGCTAATGTATTACTATATTAGTGTATTTCTAGACTGAAAAGTATGCTTAGAGTGGTTCCTCATCTGTATAGGTCATCATAAATCAACACTGAAATATTTAAGAAATGATTATATCTTCATAGTTGTAGAATACTAACAGATCTATATATATAATATTTGTCAAATCCGTCAGTATTGTACGACTATGACGATATTTCTTTCTAAAATGCTGGTAACATATCTGGAATTTCTAAGATAATCAGTAATAACCATTAGGTGAGACACATGCTTGTTTCCCCCCTACATTGTAAAAAAGCCCTATTAAGATATGCTGCAAAATATACTAACTTCTTCCTCATCACCAGAACCAAACAAGTCAACGTCGTCATCGTCGTCGTCCTTAGCTGGGGCTACGGCTGTAGTAGGTTTACCTCCCGCTGTCAGAGGGCTCTCACCAGCGGGCCAAGCTTTACGCTCAGCAGGTGTGTACGAAGCAATTTGTCTATACCAGCGGAGGGCGTGTGGCAAGCTGGCGGCCGGTGCTTTGCCGACTTGTTCGAACGCTTGAACATCGGCTTGAGAGGGAGTGTATCTGAATTATCATTAATAAAAAAATTAATTCAATAAAAGGACCTGTGAATTTGAGAAATTTTAATAAGGTCGAAGATAGGACTAAATTTTATAATCTAAATATTATTAGGCAATCTCTCTTTTTTCATTTAAGAGTTTCCTCTTGTCGGTGCAACTAATTCATGCATTAAGTGTTCATTAGGCAATAAGTGTTCGAAAAGGTAGGTTATGAAAAGACTAACATCTGTACTCTGACGTGGTTATGATATTCCAACCTATATGATAACAAAACCATACGCACCCCGAGAGATAACTTCTCTCAACCAAATATTTGTTCAGATCATTGAGACCTTGAGCAGTTTTAACATCTCCAATTGCCATTATTCTGATAGAAAATAGATATAATGGTCCAAAAGACACACTAGCCGGCCGCAAGTGAAAGAAAAGAATAAAAAAAGAGATAGATGAATAGATGTAACGAATGAATGAATAGAAGGAATGACGGCATGAACGAAATGATTGATACAGGTTAGCATAGATGAAGAATAGTTCTATTTAGGGATAGCAATAACCTCTGTAGACGCATAACTTGTACCAAATTGTTACTTCATCAAACAGATAAATTGTACTATAAAATGGGGTGAATAAGCCCGAATTCGAACGAAATCTTTACACTTCAATTTCTTTATTTTGTTAGACAAATTGTTATTTATTGCGCAGGTGGGATTACAATTAGGTAATAGTAACTCCGTCTGATAGTAATCCCACTTGTGCTAACGATAATAAAAGTAAGCGCACCTCCAGAAAGAATTAAATATTTTAGTAATGACACTTCTGATAAAAATAGGTACCTTTGATTGTTGAATTATACCATAAATTTAGAAATATAAAATGTGCGGGACACCTTCGACAGACCCGCTTTGGTTTGGGGTTGTATATAGTGATGCCGGCTGGAGAAATAAAATATCCAACTGCTTCCTTTGAAGTCCCGTTGTGCTGCTCAGAAGAGTTTTCTTCTTATCTCGTTCGGAGAGGTCTTCTGGTCGGCTAATCATCTGGTCACTTGGTCATGCCGCTAACGGCGTAGGCGGCCTATATTTATACCCCGCCCGGTCGCACGTTATCTATTACTAACTCACGTTGGTGGGGGAAAGGGATTGTTAGCAATGGAGTTTGACAGCCCTATTGCTAGCAATATGTCTTATTAAGTCGACCTCCACGTAGTTCTCCCTGGAAACCATTGTGAACAATTCTTGTTGAATTCGTCACAATGGGCTATCTGACTTACTTCATCCTCACCTATCATCTTTCACTGGTGCCCCGCCGGTGTATATCGATAGCGCGGGTGGGGCTACCATTCCACTATCACCCATTAAAAAAAAAAACTCACGTTGGTGAGTTGGTGCGAGCGGGATGGAGCGAGTGTGAAAGGGAGGCGCTAACTATTCTGAGTAGCACTAGTACTGGGTGTCTATTTATTTTTTAATTAAACATATTTCTATTAAATACAAACTACTTGTCTATTATCAATCTTATTTCTACCATGAGGCGTAAAACACAATACAGAGAACATTGAACATTTATTTAACTTAAGAGCTATGAGAAAAAAAAAACATATTTAGATCTATTATTTACAACTAGCTATAAAACGTAACAATTACAAGATTAATATCGTAAATAACTATGAATATCGCGAACATAAAAAATACGTCGACCCATTTTGAATATAATATTTATGACAATCCATGAAACGTCACATTGTTTTGGTGTGAAATAATGGCAGATCAACTGTTGTACTATTGGATAAAACAGCTAATATTCATATATGAATTCAATAATGTTTATTTTCTCTACTCCAAACCATATTTTTGGTTTCGTTCCTATTTGAACACGTAATTCCTATTCACCCCATTTTTACAATACAAGAATAGTATCTGTTATTTTTTTTGACAGTCAGCAGCTGTCACGTAAACGAAACGGATTATTCCAGACAAATTATCTTTTTGAAGACTAGGCAGCATGGTCTCCGACCTTAGCCTGTTCCAAACGGAACAAACGTACTAAAAAAAAAAAAAAAACGAAACGGATAAAATTATATATTTTGATAGGAATTTCACAAAAATAGGAGAATAAATTGATTAAGTAATTTTTTTTCGTACTTATGTGCATTATATGATAAGTCTAATTTATTTCATTATGTATTTGTAGTCTTTTGTATATAGGTTATGTATCTTGTACTTATGTAACAATAACAAGATTTTCTCCCCTATTGCTATCTCTTTAAACTCTGATATAAAGTATGTCACATTATTAATTTATTGTTTATTCATTAGTTCACTATTATCACTAGAAAAACGGTATAAATTTAATGGTCGTATGTGCGTAGTAGTGATAGATTGGTGTTTGACTGCAGAAAATGTTGCGCCAGCCGCTGACTCGGGCGATTGCGTTAAGTTCGCCGTCCCGTGTGGCGCCCCTCGGGGCTCGCCGGTACGCTGATGCCGTCCCTGCCCAACCTGAGAAGGTGGAGGTGTTCATTGATGATAAACCTGTGTATGTTCCTCCAGGCACCACAGTACTGCAGGTAATTAAATTTAATATTTAAACATTGTAATATTTTATTAGACCTTTATTTTATTATTTATTTCAAATAGGAGTATTTCATTATACATATGCTATACTAGTTTGTACCTTCAATGTCATATGTATGAATTTTGAAAAAAGGTAAATTAATGAGATAGACTATTTCTGTATGAAACATTGATATTTCGATATGAAACATATGCTAGATTTTAATTATAACAATAGTGAAAATTATATTCAATTTGGTACAGTAGTTTTACATATATATAGACAGACAAGTATCTTAAATGTTATTGTTTTGGTTTTTGTTTCTTATTGTATTGTTATGATCCCTGTATATAAAATATTCCCTTAATATCTTCTATGTATTGACATCATCCAGTTACAATTTTATTACATGTGTATTATGTATTCAAAAACCTATAATGAAAAAAGTATACACACACATATATAGACAGCATTAATAAAAAATATTATGTAATATGGATCAGAATATAATTTTAAACTAGCAGTTCCTTGTGGCTTTGATTATATAAAATAATAAATAAAAGTATCCTGTGTTAATTCAGGTATAGTATGTTTGTGTCAAATTTCATTCAAATCTGCTTGTTTATGTATAACTAACACTGAAATGTCTAAACACTACTAGTTCCAAAAGACTACCCAATTAACTATCTTAATAATTTTACACACATTTACAATATTATGCATTTAGTGATATGATTATTTTGATATCGCCATAGTTGTAGAATACTGACGGATCTGACAAAGGTTAAGTATACATATCTGTCAGTATTCTACAGCTATAACGATATACAATCATTATTTCCTATTGAAAATTAGAAAATCAGTATGTATTAAGTGTAAGCTAACTTTTCATCAAATAATCAACCTTATAAAAATATGTGAAATAAAATTTATTGTTATTTGTTTAAACTTTTACTTTTGTGAAGTGGAATAATAAACAAGCCACAGGTCTAAACTGGTAAATATTCCTTATAGATGTGAAATGAAATGGTATACTCGGTATCACTGTGTATACTACTATCCCATGGTACCTTATAGATTAGTTATTCCAGAGTGCTCTATGTATATAAATGAATGCTCAGAAAAAATTGACATCATTAGCATGTTTAAAATTGTTTTAGAGGGGCCTGGCCCCTTAAAAAATATGCTTATAGATAAGTCTTAGTGTAAAGCTTATCTAATGACTTACAATCCATTTCTGGAGTGGGTATGGTCCATCTGTTTGGTTACACTTGACATAAATTACAATAAATCAATATTGAAGTTAAAACATTTCACACTCTTGATTTGCAATATTAGTGACATAATGATTCCTTATTGTTCTGATAGATGCATATTAGTGTAAGTTGCCATTGCAAACTATTGTAAACCAATCCCAATTATAACCTAATTCCTAACTGTTGTTTCTTGAGTATAATATAAAACTGTCATTGGCAATAGATTGGATTGATATTGATATTAGATTTAAGAGTAACCTGCTAGTCCCCTTTCTTTTGAATCTGCCTATGATTGCCTCTCAAGAAAAATAGGATATATTGTGATTCTTGAAGTCTTTTCTATATCTTACATATGTATCAATAAATCACTTTATTATTTTTTAATTGTTTTGTTGAATGAATCGTTATATCAGCCTTTAACTGGCTACTGTTGAACATTAGCCTACCCCTTGGGTGTTTTGCGAGTAATTGCCATGTTTGATAGGCAGATTGGCAACCACAGTTAGGGTTTGGAGATGTTTTAAGAGGGATGCTCTTGCCCATCCCTCATCCTCTCTTAGTCACTTCTTATGACATTCACAGAAAAGGAAGGAGTGGCCTATTCTATGGCGGGGCCACATGGCATAGAATTGAAGATGAATGAATGACATCTTTAAATTCTATGCCATGTGGCTACCCCTTCAGTCAGAAAATTAAAATTTTAATAACTAATAATTGTATTATGCTATCATGTAAGCAGTAAACAATTTGACTTGAAACTTTATTTTTTATATTTAATATCCTGATCTCTGAATAACAATGAATAGGTTATAGTTTTTTGAAATAATTGATATTGTAAGTGTATAATCTAAAAAGGATGTCTCAAGCAAGCTAATTGTATTTGTAATTTAAGATTGGTTTTAAAAGTTCAGAACCTTCTTAAGAACATATCTAATTTTACTTTTACCAGGCTGCTGCTCAAGTTGGTGTTGAAATTCCCCGATTCTGTTACCATGAACGTTTGGCTGTCGCTGGCAACTGCAGAATGTGTCTGGTTGAAGTTGAGAAGTCACCCAAGCCTGTTGCGGCTTGTGCTATGCCTGTTATGAAGGGTATGAGAGTTAAAACTGACTCTGACCTCACTAAGAAAGCCCGCGAAGGTGTAATGGAATTTCTGCTTGTAAACCATCCGTTGGATTGTCCTATTTGTGATCAAGGTGGTGAATGTGATCTCCAGGATCAATCAATGGCTTTTGGATCTGACAAGAGCAGGTTCACCGATATTCATTTCTCTGGAAAGAGGTAACATTTTTAGATTGAATCTGTTATAGATTATATTTATAAATTAATTAAGTTAAAGCTTTAATTCTCTATAATAGATTTTAACTTAATGAAGGTGATATTAATAAGATACTAACATTATAGCCATAGTCTATCATATTTGTTTGGGTTATAAGTTTGTAGTATAAAATAAATATACATTTTTATTTGGGTTTGTTTTATATAAGTACTAGTGACCAGTTCTGATTTTGCACTTTTTTTTTTAAATAATAAACCACCTGTGTTACTTGCTGTAATGTAGCTTCCAATAGTTGAGAGAGAGAGTTGGTTGCCAATATCCTAGAACTACCTATAATAATTTTTTTATGTAGCTTAAAATGGTGGACAAGCTGACGTGGTGAAATGTAATAATCCTTGTTAAGTAAGTGTATAATGCAATCAAACCTTAGGCGCCATTGTGCTAAACCTATTTCTAAAATTAAAATTTCAATTTGATGTTGTAGCAAAATCTTTATTGTAAGGAATAATAATTAATATAAACTAAATTTATAATAGTCTTATGTCTAAATTATTATGAATTAAATTTAAAATATTAGGTTAAAGAGAATTTAAAGAATCGAGCTCAATATTTAGAGTACTTTTATTCTTGCATTTGAGCTTATCTTCAAAATCTTCAATCCCTTCATAGGGCCGTGGAGGATAAAGACGTTGGGCCCTTGATCAAGACAATCATGACCCGTTGTATTCATTGCACACGGTGTATCCGATTTGCATCAGAAGTCGCTGGAGTCGACGATTTCGGTACCACCGGTAGAGGGTCTGATATGCAGGTACATACTTTGACATTTAAGTGAAAAAAATATAATAATAACAAAGAATTTTAATATTCCTTTGATTTGTTTAGTATTACATTATGTTTAAAATTTTGTTTATAAAACAAAATAGAGCTTCATTGAAACCGTTATCCTGAATTTGTTTGAGAAATAAAACCACTTTACTTGTCGAGTGTTTATAATTTCGAAAATGATGTTGGTACATAAAAAGCGAGAGTGATAGTTTTTTTTTTATTAATTAATTATTTATCCTAAATTCAGGTGGGGACATACGTCGAAAAGATGTTCCTCTCTGAATTGTCAGGCAACATCATAGACTTGTGTCCAGTTGGTGCTCTCACTTCGAAACCATATAGTTTTGCAGCTCGACCATGGGAGACTAGAAGGGTAAGTGTGAAACATAATTAAAATTGGTAACAGTGCTTCATGTATTGACAATTTTATTACAAATTTTTGTGACATTGATACCTATTAGTATCATTACAGAGTTTTAAATAGAGTATAGTATTCGATTAGAAGATCTCGGATCACAATGTTATTGAATGAGTATTTAATATTAAGATAAAGTTTAATTGTACATTTAAATAAATACATATAATGTTAAGAGAGTTTTAAAAGGGAATGATGATTAAAAAGAGCTTGTTACCAAGTCTATTTGAATAAAGATAATTTGAATTTTAATTATTGTTAATTTTATACCCACGTAATATTTCTTTCTTTTTGCTATTTTGATGGCTCTATACTTAATTAACTATCTATTGTTACATCATTTCCTTTATTCTATAAACTCGGACATGTTGTTTCTGTGTTCACATAAGATGGTGTGATCACATGCTATAATAAAAAAAGAAGAAATATTAGATTTTTTAGAAATTGTTATATATTGTAATATTTTTGAAGATTACTGTTATTATTTTATAATATAAAGTTTCTAAAATCTGTAAGTTTTCCAGCAATAGCTAGAAATAAAAGAAATGAACAAAAAAATTAAACTGTCAAAAATAATTAACTTTATTGTTTTTCAGATTGACTCTGTCGATGTTTTGGACCCCTTGGGTAGCAATATAGTCGTAACGACCCGTACTAATGAAGTATTACGTATACTGCCTAGAACCAATGAGGTAAATATTGGAAATTAAATATATAAAATCATTCATAAAAAATATCTGTAAGTACTAGTCAAATTAATACTAGCTGTGTCCATTCATATTGAGGTAAATTAATTAATCTGCCACTTAGGTTTTTTTAATGGATGGCAATGGAATGGTTACCCCGCCTGCACTATCGGTATCCACCGGCGGGGCACCAGTGAAGAATGATAGGTGAAGATGAAGCAGGTCAGTTAGCCCATCGTGACAAATTCACTAATGAATCAATCACGATAGTTTCCAGGGGCAACTGCGAGAATATCGACCTGATAGGGTATATTGCTAATGAGGTTGCTAATCCCACTATTAACAATCCCTTTTCCACCCACTTAAGTTGAAGTAAAAAATTTACATCAAAAAAATCATTATAAAGTGTTGAGCGGTTACGAAGATTAGTGTAAACGAATACTGTGACATTGGATTGTCGTATTCGTATTCTATTTCTAATCGCTGTATAATAATTTACAGGAAATAAATGAGGAATGGCTGTCTGATAAATCTCGGTTTGCGTGCGACGGTCTCAAGCGGCAGCGTCTGGTGACGCCCATGCTGGCCGACAGCCGCGGCAACCTTACGCCCGTCGAATGGGAGGATGCCATCGTGGCCGCCGCCCGCGCTATCCAGGATTGCCCCCCTGACAAGGTATTGTAGTGCTATTTTCCGTAACTACCCAATTACCGAAAAAAGGGTAATTTTTTAAGCGATTAATGGCTAAGTTATATAGTTTTTTGTAACATGTAGTTGTATGTTTTTGTTCATGGATAATTATATTTTTTTTTGTGTGATTTATGTCAATTGTAGAAGTACGCGGCTACAATAATATTTTTTCATAATGTGGCTTTTCTTTTTTTTTTAATGAACTGAGTTTTGGCCGTTTGCTTAGAAACCGGATTTAGAAAGTATTATGATGCTTAGTAAGCTAAAAACTTAAGAAGTAAGAAAATAAGCATAGGAGTGCAGGGTAATAACTAGTCCCTAATGTAACCTTTTTTTTTTATTAAAGCTTTTAGCAGTGGCTGGCGATCTGGCGGACGCGGAATCCCTTGTGGCTCTCAAGGACCTGGTAAACCGGCTTGGTTCAGAGAATGTTTACACAGAGCGTGACTTCCCTCTAGAGGGTTCTGGCACTGACTTGCGGTCATCGTATCTCCTCAATACTAAGATTGCAAGTATGTTTTCTTTTACTCTTCTTTTTCGTGGTCTTAAACCACGATTTAACTGTACCTGTTGCATTATGGTTTAATCTGGTATATTTTCATTAATTTGTTTAGTTTAATAAATGTTTAATAAAAGTGCTGTTAATTAAGTTTTTTTGTGCATAAATAAAAAATATAAATAATAATATATAAAAGGCCGTGTGGTCCCGGCATAGAATATGCCAACTCTTCGTTTCCCGTGGGTATCGTAAGAGGCGACTAAGGGTGGGCGAGGGATGGCCAGCAGCATCCCTCTTAAAACTCTTCAAAGCCTAACTGTGGTTGCCAATCCGCCTGCCAAGCGTGGCAACTACTGGCAAAACTCCTCAGTTTGTTTTCAGCAGTGGACAGTTGAAACCTGTACATTTGTGTGTAATAGACAAAATATAGGAAAAAAAATCCTCAATTCTGTCCTTTATACCGTAAGTGGCGGAAACCACCAACAAATGCATTCCCAAAGAGGGTTGACGTCAGGCAGGTGGCCGATTGTAAAACTAAAAACCAAGTCTTTTTGTAATATGGATAAAATCATATTACGCCGACCCCAAATGGTTGGGATAAGGGTAGGAAGATGATGATAGGAAAAAAAAAATTACCAAAAAATTTCTTAGCAACATCCAGTAACAAGACATGTGTAGTCAAAAGAGGAAATAGAATGATTTTTATTTTTTTTCTGTTTTTTGCAAGACGTGGAGGACGCTGATTTCGTGTTGCTAATTGGCACCAACGTTCGTTTTGAGGCGCCGTTGCTGAACGCACGCATCCGCAAGGCATTCATACATAAGGAGACCGACGTTGCGGTCATCGGACCTAAAATAGACCTCACCTACGACTATTTGGTCAGTGTTTTTTTTTATAGTTGGTAGGTAAATAAGCAAACAGCTCATTTAATGTAATAATTTTTTGCTTGTAATTTCTGTATTGTAAACGGCACTATTTCTGGTAAGGTAATTAGTGACATACATTTTAAAAATGTCTAAAACTTCAACTAGTTTTGTAAAGTACATATATATTCGTGTTTCAACCGTGAAGCAGTTGTGTTTGCATGGCTGTGTTTCAGTTTGAAGGGTGGGATATGGCGTGAATTTACTGGGTACAGAGGAATAACACTTGAGTCCTCAGGAATGGCAACGCATGGGGGGTATCATGGGCAAAACAGTATACTCTGTTATGTCCATGATACTGCTCATGTCTATAGGCGATGGTTACCACTTTTCATCAGGTGGGCCGTCAGCTTGTTTGCCATTCTAAGTTGTATAAAAAATAAATAAAAAAAAACATATCCATAATACATTAATCTTTTATGTTAAAATTGTTACAGCACGTCGGTGATTCAGCTTCCGTTGTAAAGGATTTGGCGACTGGCTCATCTTCTCATGAGGTGCTGAAGAGGTTGGATGCTGCCAAGAGGCCGATTGTCATCTTGGGAGCTGACCAGCTAAAGACACAGGAAGGTTCAGCACTACTCGCTTATACTCAGGAGCTCGCTCTCAGGCTCCAAGACAAGCTTCAGGATAAAAACTGGAAGGTATACCTGATGAACAGGTTTTGAGTGAAAACTATTGATATATATGATTGTTTTTATGTAACTTAGAATGGAAAACAAGCTGACGGCCCACCTTTATAGAAAGTGGTAACCGTCGACTGTAGCCATGAACAGTACCATGAACATAACATGGGCAAAATGTATTACAATGATGCTAAAATAAATAATATATGCTTTATTTAACTGGGAACTGTAAATAAGTTGATGAGCCACCTGATGCAAAACGGATAGTGATCATCGGTAGGCAAAAACCATGGGCTTCATGTTAGTGTATCCTATATACTAACATGTGTTATGACCTCTATATGCATCCTGTTTTTGGGGATTATTGTGTTAGTGGTGGTAATTAAACAAATGCCTCGCTTTCAAATGTTTGCGTTTTTGGTTCTCATATTATCTATGGAAATTATGGATATAAATATCTATCTATCAGTTGTCTAGTATACATAGTACAGGTTTGTCATTTGTTATTTGGTACTGGCTTTTCGTTCGCTACTTTGGCCGCGCGAAAATCAAAACTGATCAAATCAAAAAAAGGAAAACCAATTAAATAGGTCACTTCTAGATGGTGTATCGAAATGAAACATACCAGATTTTAAGTTAGGCCTTCAGGTATACAACTGTGAAAACCAATAAATTTGGTGCAGCAGTTTTTGCGTGATGCCAGAATAAGCATACATACATAGATGAAATTTCTAACAATTATTGTTTTGGATTCTGTTGCCTTTATTAAGACCATTGAATTTTTTTTATAAATATCTCCCATGTACACATCGTTTAGTTTCAATTTTATTATAGTAGTAAAAAATAAGTTTTATCATGTAATTTTTGTTCTGAGTGACACAGTGCATTTACAATAAAAAATATAGTACTGCTGGTTTATTTAGTGTATTAGACATGGATTTTATTGTTTTAGACTAATTAAACCGGTACAAGTGGGGTACCATGAATGCAACAGTATGTTTTTTTTTATCTTTAGGTGCTGTCCAAGTCTATGAGATGGTTACGATTTTCCATCAAGTGTGCCATTAGTTTGTTTACTATTCCAAATCGTTAAAAAAAAATTAAGTATGTTTTTATATTTTTTTCTCTCCTATTCTATGGGGAGGAATTATCAGGTTTAGATATAAATTTTGTGGTGTGGTGTGTACGCAGGTGCTGAACGTGCTGCAACGCAGCGCAGGCGCGGTGGCGGCGCTAGACCTTGGCTACCGGCCAGGAGTTGCCACCGCTCTGGCGGCTCAGCCTCGCGTCGTATTCCTGCTGGGCGCCGACGGTGGCGTCGTCACCAGGGAACAGCTGCCCAAGGATGCCTTCGTAATCTACCAAGGTGATTGCTTATACCATGAATATTTGGCCAAAATTTTTTAGTTGATCAGAATACGACACGTCATAAAATTAATGAATGAAATTAACAATTTCGATCGTCATACAACATTATGGTAAAGGGTATGTGAATGAAAACCGTCTAGACTCTAGAGGCTCAATTTTGGTGTGAATATTTTTACTATGGTTATAAGTCTGATGAAAAAGAATACTCCTTTCCATCCAAAGGTTGCCTGGAAGAGATCGCTTTTAGCGATAACGTCGCCCATTGTTTTCTCACTGTGATTATTTCTTGTAATTGTTTATATCTAGAATAAGTTTACTGTTGTAATCTTTTGGAAGAAACAATAAGAAGTATCTATCTATATAGATAGATAGATCCAACTAGAAGGACCAAAAAAATTTTTGTCCATAGGAACAAAAATTTTTTGGTCCTTCTAGTTGGATCAGAACCAACGAAGTATATATTTATTACGATAAAATGAGTTTCATAAATAATTTCAATACCTATTGCTTCAAATATGAAACTCTTAGACATGTTTTTCTTCTATAACAAAAATATTCAAGGCAGTTGTTGACCTACCTGCTTTGCCTATTCGAACAAAAATTAAAAAACGACTTTGTTAACCCATTGTGAATTTATTTTACCGCTGAGGCGTTGATTTAAAGTTCCAGTGGCAAATTGCAATTAAAACGAGTTGGCAACAAATAGTACAAATTTCCGTGTGTGTGTAGGTCACCATGGAGATGTTGGCGCGAGCATTGCGGACGTGGTGTTTGCGGGCGCGGCGTACACCGAGAAACGCGCCACCTATGTTAACGCGGAGGGCCGCGCGCAGCAGACGCTGCCTGCTGTCTCGCCGCCTGGTCGTGCTCGCGACGACTGGAAGATTATACGGTTTGTACGCTACGCGTGATCGAACACGTTCACGTACGTTCGCATCCGTCCATTTCTATTTGCATATGTTCAGTATTTCAACATTTGATTAAATAAAATTGCAGTTAATTGCATTTTTTTATGGGTGAAAATGGTATGGTAACCCCGCTTGCGTTAATAGTATACGTTTGCAGAGCAAAGGGTGATAGATGAGAATGAAAACAGGCCAGTTAGCCCATCATGATGAATTCATCAGGAATTAACCATGGTAGTTTCAGGGTGGAACCGCGAGGAGGTCGACCTGGTTGGGTATATTGCTAGCAATGGGATTCTCAGTCTCCATTACTAACATCCCTTTCCCCCCAGTTAATTGCATTAGATTCTTATTATGGGATTTGTGTACTAAGATATGCTGTCGCTACTGCGATTTGCATTTTCTTATTTTTATTCATCATGTCACAGAGCTCTATCGGAGGTTGTCGGCGAACGTCTACCATACAACAATTTGGATGAAGTACGCGACCGACTCGGTCAAATCAGTCCCGCTTTAGTGTCGTATGGGGAGGTGCAAGATAACAACTACTTCGCGCAGGCGAGAGCTTTATCAAAGGTAAATATGAACTGTTGGTTTTTTGTTTGAGTTGTTATTATAAAAGTTCTAACTTCAGAAATTTATCACATATTTTTTATTTCTAGAAGTAATTTATAAAGTTCTATGAAATTAGATAAAAGGAAAAGTAGCAAAGTCTACTCTTTCTTAACAAGTGAAAAATAAGTATGTTACAAGAGATGTATGTATTTAATTATAGAGGATATCGGTTCTATCTGTATATCCCGTAAGGGATTTGACATGAATATAATTTAATTGAAATAAAAAACTTATTTATAAAATTATGATGTTTATAATGAACATTTTTATTTTGGTCAAACTAGAGTCTCCAGAAGCCTGTATCTGGCACCCTAGATGTCCAATTAAAGCAGCTGGAAGATTTCTTCATGACTGACCCAATCAGCCGGGCCTCGCCTACTATGGCCAAATGCGTGCAAGCCGTCATCAAGCAGAAGTCGTCTGTGTATTAAACAACTGTGTTGCATCAGTTCAGTACACGAATTCTTTTGAAAAAAATCTTAAGAAGATTGACGAATTTAGTACCTGATCTGACGTAATGATGCGATTATCCCCCGTCTTAAAATTTCTCTAGATAGACCCTTAATTGTGGTTAGAAGTTTAAGTTGATTTATTAACTTCCGTGTGCTGTTTTTTGGATAAATATGAAGAAGCTCTACATTCAGCAATACCCTATATAGGTTGTATTGAATAATTAAAAGACCGAGTAATAAAACATTTATTTTTTAATATAATTCGTGTAATGAATTGTATCTACGGTTAAATATAAGGATATGAAATGTATTTGTAACTGTTGTCGCTTTTGTGTTAAAAAATACACTTATCTCTTTGTATAACATAATTATTGGTAACTCGCATTCATATATTTTAGTACAAACCATTTGCTGACAGACAAATACACTCACGTTCCACAATATAAAAGCGACAGCAGTTAGAAAGTAGGATAATTTTTAAATTCACTTACGCCTTTCTGCAATCATTTTTAAAAAGGTATAGTATATAATATTTTCATCAACCGTATGTGTATAATGTGATTATTGATGCTATTTATTTTGTTATTTAATAGTTAAGCGTAAAAATGTTTTCAATATTTCCCTGTATTATTATATAACCAAGTAAATAATCAATTTTAGAATTCAAAAGGGAAGTAAACGTTTTGTAATGTAATAGTCTGGTATTGGAATGTAAGAACAGATTTTGTACATAGTAAATGTTTGTAGTATAAAATAAAATGTAGTATAATGATTGTCGAACTCGGAATTTTATTGAACATCCTTCTAAATCAAATATGAGCATATGAATTTAATTAAATCGTTTGGTTTATTAAAAGCGACTAATACTTTGACACAGGTACCTAGTACAGATACATCCAAGCAGTTTTTTTTTGTAATGCTGAAACAAAGTGGTACACATTTTCATTGCCGCTTCGATTTTTTTTTATACCACTTAGAATGGCAAACAAGCTGACAGCCCACCTGATGGAAAGTGGTAACCGTCGCCTATAGACATGAGCAGTACTATGGACATAACAGAGTAAGTATACTGTTTCGCCCATGATACCCCCCATGCGTTGCCATTCCTCAGGACTCAGGTGTTGTTGCTCTGTATCCAGTAAATTCACGCCATATCCCACCCTTCAAACCGAAACACAGCCATGCAAACAACTGCTTCACGGTTGAAACATGAATGGGACAGATGTACCCAAGCAATCGACTTTTGTCCAAAGTCTCCCTCTGGTTTATTTGTTGATTGTTGTTGATTTTTTAATCACAAAGTATTAAAGTATATAAATTTTCTATTTTTAGGCTTTTAATTGATTAAATGCATAACATGACCTAATGATCACTCGATCTGTATTATGATCGTTATCATATTTTTGATTTGTTTGTAAATAGTGAAATAAAATTGTTTCACAAAAAAAAAAAATTTAGCTGTAAAAAACTAGTTTAATTTACATTTAAGGTTTAAAAACTAAACTGCTTAACTGATTTTGATAAATTTTTATGGGATCAATCTGTAAATATATCCTTTCAAATAAAAAAAGTATTGTCCAAATCGGTTTATACCTGACGGAGTTATAAGGTAACAAGAAAAAATACAACAGAATTGAGAACCTTCTTATTGAAAATCGGTTGATAAAAAAAAGTATGGACTGTAATTCCTGATGGGGTAGTCAAAGGCATTAGACGACTGTTGTCGTTGTGGCGAACGTAACACTCAATACGCACACATTTCACCGAACAAGTATTTTTTTATTTAATGGGTGATAATGATATGGTAACCCTGCTTGTGCTATAGGTATATACTGGCGAGGCACCAGTGGGAGATCATCCATCAGTCTGATCAGTTAGCCCATCCTGACGAATTCAACTAGAATTAATCATGATGGTATCCAGGAGGAATCACGTGGAGGTCGACCTGTCAGGGCATATTGCTAGTAATGGGGCTATTTGTCTCCATTACTAACAATCCCTTTCTTGCTCGCTAAACATGTTAGAATTCACTGAAGAATTAGTAGAAAATATAAATAGACACAAAGTTTTTGGAGTTGGCTAGATTTGAATTCATGACTGTGGGGTACATAATATTACATAAATAACCAAACTATAGGTAATTAGGCACTAGAATGCGGAGTATTAAGAAAAAGATAAAGGGCATCAAGGACTATAGATCACTTAGATATCTATCAAAATCATATCGGCCGATAACTGAAGTTTTTTTCTCCTATGCGCACATAAAAAAGTATTAAGTACCTATCTCTCGTCTTTTTTTTTACACAACTTAGAATGGCAAACAAGCTGACGGTCCACCTGATGAAAAGTGGTAACCGTCGCCTATAGACATGAGCAGTACCATGGACATAACAGAGTATACTGTTTCGCCCATGATACCCCCCATGCGTTGCCATTCCTGAGGACTCAGGTGTTATTCCTCTGTACCCAGTAAATTTGTCTCTCTTACATCACTGCGCCTCCTTAATTCTCGGTGCCCCCAGGTGTGGCCCGATCAGCTCGACCTAGATTTTTTTAAAAACGGAATTAATACTAGTAGCATTTTCTACCTGTCAACTTTTATTGTAATTGTTTTTGTTTTTGCAGACTGAGAAGAAATACTTTTGGAGGCAACAAAACGACCTTTATTGCATTTCTATCAGGAAATAGACACCTAATTGTTATTATTTGTTATTGATACAATAATTCGTATTTTTTTATTTGGTTTGGTTTTTTATTGATAAAAAATAATTGAATTAAAAATTTGGTTGGATTGGTTAAAAATTGGACAGTATAATTGTTTGTTTTTGAAGATTTTTGATAGATTCTCAAAAACGTTGCTAACATTGTCTTATTTTTCGTGTAATATTCACATGTATCTTTATAAACTGTAATTATTTAAGATTTTTTCATAAACTTCAGAGATAAAGGGGAATGGTATTTTTAATTACTATTATTAAAAAACATTTTTTTTTTTAATTTGACTAGTTGCAACTCGTTGCTGCGTGAATATATATAATATATAATGTATACATATATGTATTCTATCTGTTAGGTTAAAATCTACCCGTGTATTAATTTTCAATTAAATCCGTTTAAATTGAGTTATTAACATCGAAATATCTTTACAATTTTTTTCATTTATAATAATATCTAGTACAAGTAGCAAGAAATTTAACTTGTTGCTAAAATTGCCTATTTAATGATGAATAAGGACTTGCTTTATCAAAAGTGACCTTAACAAACCTTTTCCTGTTTCTCGAAATCAAGCAATTGTTGCATCAACCGGGCATCTTGCAATTCCAACAGAGAGTGCTCTTCTTTTTCCTTTTTGGCCTTCATTATTGCATTGTAATGCTGCCAATGTAATGGTTAAATGAAATGCGCAAATCAAGAATAGTTTTGGTTTGCGTGGAGGAAGCTGTATTTGATAAATGTGCGAGATACTTTAGTTAGTAGCTACGTGCTGCGTGTATATACGTACGTATATACGTATATCTTCGTTTATTGTTAAAGTAAGCATTTATTATTGAATAACTTTATCTCACGGCTTTATTTCTACATGATTTGGAGTAATATTAGCCGTAAAATTGGCTGCTTAAAGGTGCTTTTTTCTTCTTCTCATCCTGTTTCTTTTTTCTTGTTACTTATCTGTTTGTCTTTAATCTTATTATATTATAATAATCTAACCGAAGGATAGAAGGATTTTAATATCAGGGAGATTAGCTCCCTCAGGTACTTAAAAATCGTACTACTGAGCGTTTTTGTAATTTACCGTAGCATGGGATGGCACAGCAGGTTTTTATTGCTATTGTATACTCGTATATGTAATAATGTTGTGCACGTGCACAGAAAATTAAAAGCATATTCATTTATTTGCATACGTTTTGATTTCCTAATATGTATATTATAATATCGATAAAATATAATATAATTATATATTATAATATAAAATCGATATTATTGGGAATGATAGATGGAAAAAGTGTATTTTATGTATAGACATTTTAATTACTAGTAAACTTTGTTTTGCCCTTCTACCGCCACCTACCGGTCTATTTTTTCAATCATGGACATCTCTTTGCCCGCCGTATGTTGTGTGGGCGGGCGAGGTAGGGGCCTCGGGGTAAACCCCTCTACCCCGGCTTCAACTCCGGAGGCGACGACCTCCGGGTCACTGGGTTCTTCAGCCGGCTATTTTTTTTTTATCGCCTCTTACGACACCCACGGGAAAGGAAGCGATGGCCTATTCTATGCCGTGACTACACGGGACTATACAATTATAGTGAGTATTTTATCATAACTTTTAACGAACTAACTTGTACTGTGTCCGGCCATGTTTAGATCCATCTTTGGCACACTTCTACTAAATTGTTGAATTTTTCTCTGTCATACAAATAGTTTCTTCGAGATTAGGTTGTATCTTCAGTTTATTCCATTCATTTTATGAAGGGCGTAAACTCTTTTACGATTCATAAAAATGTTTGAAGTATATATAATTATTTTGAATGTTTATATTGCATGAAAATTGCAATCTGTATGGTCATGGAATAGTTTATTTTATAGTCTGTTTTTCTATATTTACTTAATCTTAGCATATCTTTATTGAATTTAATAATCATAATACAATACATACATATTAATACGTGATGAAAAATTGTACACAAAGAAAGACAGAAAGAATGCAAAAGGAGGGAACTTAAACAGGAATATTAAATAAATTATAATCGAATTTCATCCATTGGATAATGACTAATATAACTTGAAACAGTAATAACATCTTTCTTAATTTAATTTTTAATTAATTACACTAATAATTAATAATAATAACATAATAATAATGATCAAAGGATATGTCAATAATTTTTTAATAGCCCAAATTATTGAAAGACATATCATATAAATTTGTAGAAGCAAAGGAAACAATTAGAAAGTAATAATTAATTTGATTGTGGTGTAATAATATACGTATTTAGGTAAATTTAGATTAAACAGATTTCTGACTTAGGGTAAAATACGAATAGGATATCGTGCGTGTCGTATTGGGCCATTTGAATTGGACAAGTAGGCTATCAGTCAATGTCGCTCGGCGTTTTGTTCACTGTATATTTTTGCATAAAAATAACTTACAGTGCGGGTAAGCGGTATGGAAAATGATTAATTATAGCGTAGGGAACTTTACACTGGATGACTACTAAATCAGAGTGGTTTATAAATAGAATTTGAATTTAGCTATAAATTGCGGCTTGATCCGAGATTGGAATTAGGAACAAAATTAATCTGCTATTGTTTATCTAGGATAATTGGTTTCGTTAGAATTTGTTCAGCCATTTACGCATGATTAAGCAGGCATTCAAACTGTTTATTATTAGCTAAGATCCTGCCGCTGAATTCTGCATGTACAAAACTTTTTAATGAAATTTGAAGGCTTACCATGAAATATTTACCTACATTTTGGAGCAAAACGAAACACAAATTTGATGTTACAATATTATACAGTTTTAAAATATTAAAAATGTTAAAATATCATTCCTTTGGACTTTTATGGAAGGATTCACTACGACTGAAATATTAAGCTCCATTTAATTTCTAATTAATTTAATTTAATGATCAAAACGATATGAACGAAAACATGATATTGAGTCTGAAAATTCGGAATTTCATTTCATGGTAGGTCTACTTGGTTTAAAAAAAAGATGAGCGAAAATATAATATAATACAATGCATCCGGGTTGCCTGCTCTCAGTTAATCACAACCTGGAGTAGCTACGTGAAAATAGGTAAAAATTTTGGGCAATTTGGGTAACTCATCATGCTTTTTGATAAGATTTACACCAAATAGAAGTTTATTCTTTCCTCGTATTCGTTTATTCTTTGCTCGTTCCGAGCAAAATTTATTCATGTATTTTATATTTTATTCACATTGATACATTTGTTTCTTATTCTATTTCCCACTAATATGGAAACTTTTATGGGAACACATGATATTTTAATAAATAACACGTAAGTTAAACTGTTACGTGTAATTAGATTGAGAAAGCTCGACTAGTTTCGAGATCAATGCGCGATCCTTAATCATGAGTGGTTATGTAGCTAGCGTGAGTCTGACTGCACACCTCATTAAAATATAATGTGTGCTTACAAAACTTTTAACAGAAAAATTGTAGTCATATTTATTTCTTAATTGCACTTAAATAATTGAAAGAATTTAAATGAAATTTTCTATATTACACGAATTAGAACAAATTAATAGATATGGGATAATGATTCCAATCATAATGTTATAGTTGTGCAAATAGTGTTTAAATGTGGGCACACGTAGTTTTGATGGTTTGGCAAATAAAACTGAAAACGAATCTTTATAATTTACCAAAAAACTGTTGGTGTAATTGAAGAGACACACTTGCTTGTCTGAGCGCTGGTAGAGAAGACAAAGATTTTTTACTTAGGGAAGAGAGATAATCATAGACAATCCTAGTTAATTTTTTTACTAGATTATAGGCGATAAGAAATTGATATTCTGTCTATTTGGAATAAATAATGATTAACTGAAATGAGTATAAAAATGAGATTTGGCCGTGTTGAAGCATATCATATAGCGTATATAATTATTTATAATTATTAAAAATTATTTATTATTATTAAATATTTATTAATTAGTTAACTGAATAAATCTCATAGAAAACATTTACATTATCTGTGACATAAAGCATACCTGTTTTTCTAATATCATTGTGGAAGCCACTTGAGCGATCTTTAAGTATAGCTTTTATCCGTTTGTCCCTAGCACTTGACTCCTGCAGGTAGTTGATTGTCATTAACAAGCATATAGTTCGTTATAATTAAAGTGATTTAACTCTGGAATTTCGAGATTTTAGTCATATAAGATTAAAAGAATATATTAGGTTTGATTTTTCGTTATTATCTATAAGAAAAAAATGTTTTTTGGTGGAATAATCGAAGAAGAAATATTCTTCGTAAATGAAAAATAAAAATAAATATGCTCACTACTAAAAAAATACTTTTAACAATATAATAACTAATACCTTCTCTATTATTTCTGGGAATAATTATAAAAAAAATAATGAAGTTTAAAGTCAAGTAAATTAGTGGAGCTTAGATTTCTGGACTTTAGATTTCATATATATATATATATATATATATATATATATATATATATATATATATATATATATATATATATATATATATATATATATATATAGTACATAATATTCAGAAAGTATTAGGTGTCAGAAAGTAACCGAACAAAATGTTTACTACATCAGAAAATAAAGACGTAAATATTTAATTATCTTTAATTATATAATATACTACGTATAAATAAAGTGCTTTTGAAAATATATACTCGTATTTCAGTACATCTTTATATTACGCCGTTTACAATATTTAAGCCTCTGGACTTACGTATTTCATAATGAAATATAGAGATCGGGGGAACTTTTCAGAAATCCAATAGTTTACAGCCGTAGTCCTTCTGGTCTGGCGCTTACAATCGGTCCCATCTGTGCACTGTTTAAATTAAAAGTAATTTTCTTATGCAGAATTAATTAATGACTAACGAGCTCAATGGGGTTCATCAGGCGGAAGCGAGAAAACGAGATGACACTATACCATTACGCATAGAAAAGAAAGGGACAGTCCGGGTAGAGGCTGGAGTTGAATGAATTTATGCTGGTCTATTTAGTAACGCGTCAATTTGGCGCGTGAGAGGTTGGTGTTGTGGTTGTTTCTAATGTTCTTTATATAAAGAGCGCGCTAATTCCGCGTGTTTGTGATACGTGAAAAAAGTTGGATTATTTATCGGAAAAAAAAATATTTTTAATTTTTATTAAAATAAAAATTATTTATTTTTAAAGTGCAACACTTTAAAATAAATAAAAACAAGTGTCGTGACATATACAGAGTGCGTTTGGGTAATCATTTACAGATAGACCTATAACTACAAAGAAGATGACAAGGTATGATTAAAGTGATTATTTGCTTTATGGTACACAACCTGCAAGATAAGGCTTGATGATGGCATTTTTCTTAAATTCAAGAGACTATGATGTTAACGGTCTTACCACTAAAGTAATTTAAAAAGTTGTTTATCTAAAATAGAAATTAACAAAATTTTAATTAAACATTGTTTATTGGTGTTTATTTGTAACTTTATGTGCCGATTATTATAATAAAATTTACCACTTAAAACACTTTTTATTTTTTATATGACAGATGTTTTTTAATTAGTCGTAAACAGATGTTTGACAAGCTTTTGCTGTCTAAATATTACATATATTTGTACTAATATATTTCATAATAAAATACGTCTAAATATGAATTGAATACTTGTTTACCGCAAGTTTAACTTTTTCTTTTACGACGGTGAGTGCCTATCAAGAAACCTACCGTGAAAAAAAGATAAAAAATAAATAAATAATGTAAATTATTAATGAAAATAATGTATATTTATTAAATAAACTACATAAAGCTTATCAAGAAGAGTTTATACTATAATTAAATAGGTAGTTCTAGAATAATAAATTTGCAAATTGTGTATTTAATTATTTTTAGCAGTATATAATAGTTTAAAAATAGATACTTTATGCAAAATATACCAGAATTCTAGACTTGGCTCTTTACTCACAGTGGCTCTATTTTATACTGCAAAAGTTTACTATTGCAAAAATATACTAGAATTCCTGACTTAGCTCTATACACTGTAACCTACTTAAATAGTTTTAATAACAAAAATTCATTTTTTTTATTACTTAGGTAATAAAAAAACTCTTGAACCTAATTCAAATCCATTTTATAAGTCAATGACAATTTTGTACTTCACTTATGAAACGACAATTAGGGATTAGGTTATAATTGCGTTCAGTTTACAATAGTATGCGTTGGGGGGAAAGGGATTGTTAGTAATGGAGATTGAGAATCCCATTGCTAGCAATTACCCAACCAGGTCGACCTGCTCGCGGTTCCCCCTGGAAACTATCGTGATTAATTCCTGATGAATTCATCATGATGGGCTAACTGGCCTGTTTTCATTCTCATCGATCACCCTTCACTGGTGCCCCGCTAGCGTATCCCGTTAACGCAGGCGGGGTTACTATTCCATTTTCTACCAATAAAAAAAAAGTTTGCGTTAGCAAGTTACCCTGCTATCTGCATCTCAGCTTCAAGACTGATCAGTTGGAACTTATTTAAAGATTATCGCACTGGTTGGGCTTTAGTGAACTTTGTACAATTTTTTTATTATTAGGTTCCTTTTTTTGTAATCGAGACAAAAACCATTCAAGTTGGAGCAAGCAATATACATTTACAAAATTTTATATAAGTGGTTGAACGGTTTTAAAGATTAGCGTGAATGAATATTGTGATATTTTGTTTTTTTTTTTTATATAAATATTAACTAGGCAACAGGTTTCCTTTGGGTATACTAATAAGAAAATGTGTCTAAATCTTTCCTCTCTCTCCCTCATTTACTCTTTTTTTTTATACGGAGATTGTATATACAATTTTTTTCATTTTTTATGTATTTATTTGTTCTTTATTGTACTCGCTAATAATACAGAAAAAAATGATAGTGGAATTCAAATGTACTAAGGCGAGTTTAACTCTATAAAAGTTCTCTTCTAGCAAACACAAAATGGAAAGGAAAAAATAAAGAATGTTTTTTGTACGTTTTTGCAAACATTTTCTATTATACAAATCATGTCCTGTCAATTACAAATATAACGAATTGGTGTAGCCGTTTTGAAGTATAGCGTTTATTCAGCAATATATATTTATTTATATAGATTAAGATATCTAATCTTCGCTATAATGTATGTACTACAAAACTAAAGAATACAAAACAAAAGAAAATTGAAGAATTTTACTGTAACGTCTAGAAGATATTTAAATAATAATCCAATAATGTTTAACTAAGTAAAAATTTTATTTTATAGAATTTTATTATATTATTTTATTATTTATTTTATAGTATTTTAGTGATGATTGGTTTGTGTAATGTTGCCAATAAAAATTAAATAAATGAATAAATATACCAATTGTGAATATTGACCTTAAAAGAGACATTTGTATAAAGTTCAGAAGTCGGCTCCGCCAAGGCGGTAATAAAGCATTTTTATTTCAGTTCGGCCGATTTGTACGGCGGCTCTCTCATGATTTTGTGCACAAACTTCAGGCGGCGAGCCGACGAGTGCGAACAAATGTTTATGGACGATAAAGCTATGCGACTTTAGATCTATCGTGCCGACTTTTTTATAGTAATACTAGTTACAACTCGTGTCGTTTTTCGCGTGAAGAATTTTTGTATTTTCCTTTGGGAGTGATATATGTATTTGTAAAAAAAAATTATATATAATTCAGGTTATCACCACACCAATCACCATTGTATGTCTGGTGAAATGAAATGACAATACAAAATTATTGCTTAAATGAATAAATCAATAATTATGTATCTACTATTACAATTTGTAAAATCTTCTACTTGTCAATTGTTACAAATCATCCGTCTAAAGATGTAATTTATTAAAAAACATTGAATTTGTGTCCTTATACAAGTTAAATTAGAGTATATTGTATGCGTACAAGTCTTCCATAAAACATATCTAAGCATATTATATCGAAAAATTAAAGATTAATAAACGAAATTATTATAAAAAAGATAATTAACATGTATTAACTGATTAGTTACAACTCATGAGTTTGCGTAAAGTTAAAGAAAAATTTTATTCGAGTTCGCTCTCGGTAAATTTCATAGGTATACATTGTAACTTTTTTTACAATTTTTCGCATTTATAAATCAACTAGCGACCCGTCCCGGCTTCGCACGGGTGCAATGCTGATACCTAATACAGAATGTCCTTATAAACAACGTTTACAGCTTTTTTGTCATTAGACAATACAAACATAATAAAGTGCTATAGAGCGAATCGCGGGCTTCGACGCGCTATTTATAGACACGCTCTGCCGGCCGGGCCGGTACCGCCGCACCGCTATGTTCCTGCATTTTAAATCTGTAATATCTACGGAAATATTCATTTAAATTACATGCTATAAAGGCCCATATTGATCTATATTATGTTGACAAGGTATTTAAGGTACTTAATTGGATAAAAAATAATGCTGTATTGCTTAAAATCACTTCGTAAATAAACCATTTTTTTCCGTAAAATGTAAAGGATAAAAAATGGTTATTATGGGTTATCCTTAAGAGATAGACATATATCATCGCGGATTTTTTTGTTGACCTTTTTAAGGTGTACAATACTGTAGTACATTATTTTGATTTATCTCGTGGGGTTCAGCCAGCGTTTGGAATGTAAGCGCAAAATAATGTATTTATTTACGACATCATATTAGAAACCTCTAAATTTATCAGTGTTTCTCTACTATATTATGCATATATTATATATTTAAACCTTCCTCTTCTAATTAATCTCTATCTACTCTATCTATTAAAAAAACCGCTTTAAAATCCGTTGCGTAGTTTTAAAGATTTAAGCATACATAGGGACGGACAGACAGCGCCAGCAACTTTGTTTACTATATAGTGATTATGAAATTTTAAATAATAATAATTTAATTACCTTATTTTTATTAAAAAAAACAACAATAAAAGTAATTGCATTAAACTTAACATGACTAGGTTCAGTAAAAAGTAGGATAATATTTTTGTTTCATATTTAATTTGATTTATAGAGATAAGATTTATATTATAAAAACAATAAATTTATCATGTTTTTGGACCAGTCCCAATTTTACATTTAGTGAGAGCGTTGTTTATTGTTAGGTAAGTAACTTATTTTATTACTCATATTCTACCAAACAAAATATATAAAACGAGTATTTGGCGTCATAATCGGCTTAATTAATGCTCTTGGAATTAACTGTTCCCATTTTCTGCATCTATACGATTTTGGATAACGTGGTGTCTTTTTTGTTGGAAATGTGAACGAAATTGCAAATACAGTTAGTAAACATAATATATACAATTAGAATATAGTAAATTAAAAGTCTTGTCTCATAATATTCGTTTGCGTTAATGTCCGAGACCACTCAACTGATTTCATTCAATGAAATTTTGTATTTTTAGTGTATCATTTGCTTTAACTTGAGAAATAGTATAGTTTTTGTAAATTGTAAAATAAGAATAAGTAACAGTACAAGTTATGTTAGAGAAATTCTAAGAACCTATCACTTTACATCTAAGGCGCATACCATCACTGCTGTAGTGTGTTTGATTAACACTGTTACTTCACAGTATGAACAATAAATTATGATAAACGTTGTGATAAAAATGAAAGGTGGCCTGGCCTTTGATAACTAATATTATTACGTAGTGTGATAACGAAAATTCATACTTTTCTTATATGTAGGTATCATTACATTCTTTATAGTACTTAGAGAACAAAATGTCTTTTGTCTACAAAATAATAATAAAAAATATCTTCTCTTTACGAACAGATTTAGATTTTGTGGAAGAAGTGAAGAAGGTCTGTTTGAATTAATTCATTTGGCATTCTATTATTTCTGTCTATCCCAAAGTGATACAGGCGTGACGTGTATGTAGGTGTATATGTAAATATATATAGATAACTGCTGTCTGCTCTCTACATAGAATGGGTCACCCCTTCCATTCCCGTGCGTGTCACACTAGGCGATTAAGGGAGCATAATGATCGCAGGAATATGCAGCGGCGTCCCTCTTAAAACATCATCGGAAAGCTAACTGCGGTTGCTAACTTGCCTGTCAAGTGTGGCAACTACTGGTAAATCCTCCTTTATGGGGGAGGCCTATGTTCAACAGTGGACAGCTAACGGCTGATATGATGATAATCATAAAGATTTTTGGGGATGATCATAGGATGGTATGTCCGTGATTTTTTTTGTGCCGACTTTTAATTTAATTAACAAATTTAAAATAATTGATTTCCCTTTCAAGTTGCATAGAAATATTGGAAATGATATTTAGTGAATTATATACTGTACCTGATACGGTACACGTTACCATTCCTGAGGACTAAGGTGTTATACTTCTGTATCCTGTAAACTCACTGTCAAATCCCACCCTTCAAACCGCAACACAGCCATGCGAATACAACTGCTTTAAGGTAGAAACACGAAGCAAGCGACCTTTGTACAAAGTCCCCCTCTGGTAAGGTATTTTCAATTAGATATCGAAAATAGGATGTTGATGTATTTGCACATATTATAAAGTATTTTATTATTACGATTTTTAGCATAATATTTTTTATTTCAGTGGACTAGAGGTAGAATATCTGAAGAATTAATAATATGGCGTCTAGTAAATATTGCGGGAGAGCGAGACTTCGGAAGGAAGGCGGGTGGCGGTGGCAGGCCAGGCTGATCGTTGCAGCAGTCACATTTGCGTTTGCAAACTCTCAAGGTAATTATGCTCCAGACGTTATATTATTTATTTATGTAATCGTCAAGGTGTGCTTTATATTATAAGATCTATAAAAAATCCCACATCAATTGAGATAATAGAACGAAAATGCTTTTGTCTTAATTTAATTTTTATTTGTCATGAAAGTAAAGCTTATCAACTGCAGTAGTAATCTTGAAAATCGTTTAAAAACTGGAGACAGTATCGCATACACAAAAAATATAGTTAAACTAAGAACTTTTTTATGGTAGTTCAAAAGTAAACTTGTAAAGTTTATTCTTTATCCTATTTAAGTAACAGAAAACAGTTTGTAGAAATTGTAGACATAGATGACGATGGCATGAAAAAGTCATATAAATCAGCACTAGCAACTGTAACAAGAGGTGTACCTCAGGGTTCAGTATTAGGCCCAATATTTTTCATAATATTTTTGAATGATTTAATAAATTATATGCACAATTTGTTCTTTGATATTGGGATAGTTATTTTTGCTGACGATACAAATGCAGTAATTTCTGGTAATAATGTAACGGATTTGAGCAATAAGACTAATGCAGTAATGACGGCTTTTAACACGTGGTTTTCAGTAAATAACCTGATACTAAATACTTCTAAGACTAATGTCATGGTGTTTAAAACAACAGTTAGAAATAACCAAAGCCTTAGTATACATGTAAATGGAGTAGCTCTCAAAATAGTTGAAACAATGAAATTCTTGGGTATATATTTAGATTCGCTCTTAAATTGGAAAGCTGAAGTAAGTGCAGTAGACGACGCTATAAGCTCTGCATGCTATGCACTTCGTACTCTGAGAGAAGAGCTTACAGAAAACCAGTTGTTGACAATCTATTATGCTTTGGTAGAATCGCGATTACGATATAGCATAAAATTTTGGGGAAATAGCTACAAGTATAACACAAATAGAGCATTTATAGCACAAAAGAGAGCCATTAGAGCCATGGTTCATATTCCTCCCTGGGAATCGTGTGCAGGACATTTTAGAAGACTAAAAATACTAACTGTTCCAAGCCTATATATTCATGTTCTGCTAATAGATTTAATTAAAAATAGACATTTATATGAATCAGAGGATAGTATGAAACAACGATTAATTACAAGAAGGATGGATTTACAAAAGGTTATTATACTCACATTTAACATAGTACAACATTGTCCACGAAACCAAGCGGTGGTGTTATTTAATAAGCTGCCTAGGGAATTAAAGTCATTGAATGATTTAAATATCTTCAGGACAAAATTGAAGTCATTACTGCTAGAAAGGTGTCTGTACTCAATTGACGAATTCTAATTATAGTAAATTTGAATATATACCTATATTGTTTATGTTAAGAGATGACTAAGTGACTATAATATTTGTTTTATGCTTGATTTAATTTATATTTTATATAGTGTATGAAATTATTGTATAACATTCAAATACAAATTTTTGTTTATGAATAAATAAAATAAAAAAAAAAAATATCGGAAATCTCCATATATTTTCTATTTCATTTAAGGAATTTCTATGCGTTATCAGTCAGTCGTTAATACTATTCCATGTTTGAGGTTATCAAGTATGAAGAGGCGGTAGGCTCGTCCGTTATTACTTTGCAATCAAATATTGGTTATTATTCAAATGACTTGGTGAAATGAGTAGTTTTCGAGTTTTACGTACTCCACAATGTACTGCACTATCTGGAATTACATACATACATATATGTAACATATTTCTATTTATTTTATAAGAGTTAATGAGTCCAATTTTCATGCACGTACTGAGTTTCTTAAGTGCTATTAATTTAGTAAGGCAAGACTTTCTATCTCACAGGGTTCCGAGAAAATTAATTATTACCCGTTAGATATACCTATTTTGTTGCTACATTTTGCATAACTCGATTTATGCGCAAGAGAGCGACCATTAGCAAAATGGGTGATATTTTATAGTAATAGCTCGCTTTATAGAATACTGCAGCTACAAACCCTATAATCTTGGTGCACTGTCCACTATCCTCCATTTACTTCCTATAATTTTATTTCAACGAAATCTGCTATCTGCTAAACAGGTTCGCTTTAGTTTATAGCAAATGTACTGAAATAAATACATACTTAACTATAGCTATTTTATTTTTATGACAAACAAGCTGACGGCCCACCTGATGGAAAGTGGTAATATTAAAGTATTAATAATAAAGTGGTTATATTTTCTAGTACGTATTCATTAGGCATCGAATTAATTTTTTTTAATCTTTATTTGTCTGTTTAATCTATATGTGACATTTCACTATATTTTTTTTAATCTTTATACCTAAATGTGAAATTAATATAAATAATAAAGATATATATGAATAATTAACTATATTATCTTACTAAGAACTATTATTATTTACTTGAATTGTCGTACAATAATAAAGATTTATTTTGAAATTTGATGTGAAAAAATATTGTAGTGAACGTAATACGCTCATATTTTGTTGAACATATGAAACTCTGACATGACAAGGAACTTGCTTATTCATATAATTCGGATTAATTTAGTTCGTTAACGGTACTTTGCATCACCAGAGAGTTAGAAGTTTATATTGACATAATGTCTGATTCGACCATACAAAAAAGCCATATACGAGTAGATATGTAGCGGCTTATTAAGAAAAAGTGTCTATGTTTATGTCTAAACAATAGGAATACTGTGTTATTAAAAATAAAAGCTATGTAAAGTAATAAATTAAATTATAACAATGATTTTGCCACACATGCGTCAGGGGTGTTCTTCTCTAGAAATCTGTCCGATTAATAGAATAAGGGCATACGAGTATGCGACCCCGGCCTCCCGAGCCGCTGCAGTATCCCAGTCTTTTCCGCAACTGCGGTGTCCCCCTTTCCTTTCCCACATAAGTCCCTTATTCCTCTCATTTACTAATCTCCTTTATGCATTTCCAACGTTCCCTTCCTTTTTTCCTCAATCCGTTCGTCCAAACCGTAAGTGGCGGAAACTACCAACAAATGCATTCCCAAAGAGGGTTGACGTCAGGCAGGTCGTAAAACTATGCCAAATCCTTTAGTAATATGGATAAAACCATATTACGCCGACCCCAAATAATAATTGGGATAAGGGTAGGAAGATGATGACGAATGATTTTGGCACATTAATAACAAATTATTATTATTACACTGGCTAACACTTGCAGTTTTGGTAAACACTGTTTAGATAAAGAGTTTCAAATATTTTTGCAGTAAGACCGTAATAAATAAAAATGCATAATTGTTATTTACTGAACTGGAAGGCAGGATTAAAAAAATATGTGTAGAAGTGATAAAAACTTCTATAACGACTGAACTAGTTTTCACCCGCGATTTCGTTTATGTAATATAACTGGGATATTTTGATTGACTAGGCTAAAAACAACCTGGGTATGTTCTTCTTCATCTCATATATATTCATGACAGTTGGTTGAATAGTTGAAGCGTTAAGAGGTAATAAATAGACTAACTTTTGATTTCAATTTTTCGATTCCTTGATATATCTACGGCGTAGGAGACAAATAGATCAAAAGCTTTATATAGTCATCTGTAAGTGTCAGCTCCACTTTGTCGCGGCTCGGGACCAGCTGTTGTGCCCTGTTCCGTCCGATCGCGCTGACGCCTCCATACCTATACAAATATTTTCGTGATGTTTTATTGCCCTATTTTTCATTTCAGATATATCGGCGTGCTGCAGCAAGGCGGAGGGGACATGTCGCAGTGTATGTGAGAAGGTAGGTTACACTTTTTTTACTCAACCAAAAACAAGCATATGTTCTAACAAGTTTTTTTAATGGATGATAATAGAATGATAACTTCGCCTGCGCTATCGGTATACGCTGGCGGGGCACCAGTGAGGAATGATAGGTGAGGAGGAAGCAGGTTAGTTAGCCGACCGTGACGAATTTAATAATAAATCAATCACGATGGTTTTCAGGGGGAACCACGAGGAGGTCAATCTGACAGGGTATATTGCTAGCAATGGGGCTACTAATCCCCATTATTAACAATCCCTTCTCCCCCCCTGTACTAACAAGTAGGACAGTTATGCCCACAACTTTAGATCTTTGTAGTAACTCTAGCTAGTAACCTAAACTGTGTGATGGATATAGTTATTAGGGGTATGGTTATATTTAAGAACATCTCCAATAATCTCGCTGCAGGTCAACAAGAAAGAAATATGTAATGCCCATAGAATAAGGATAAAATTTGCATCACGTCACTATAAATACGAGTAAATATGGCGGCCGTAAATTGTCAAAACTCGAGTTTTTCATTTGTTTTGTATACCTTACTAATGAAATGATTGAAAGTTAATTAAATTACTTCGTATATAGAATTAATATAAACAAGTTTTTATTATTCCTGTTATTCAGTATCTACAATAATAATTTATAATACGTGTGAAAGTTTTACAAAACGTGTACAAAATTTGTATAGTTTTTATAATAATTTTGTACACGTTTTGTACTGTAGTATAATAAATAATACATAGATACTATATATAAGGGAATTGCGATCTATTAAATTTTCCCGAAGTTGAAGTTCTTATCGCGTCATATCGGACACGTTCGACTTACGTATTCTCAGATGAGCTATGTCGGACATTCTTTGAGACCGGCCGGCATCACCAGTGGAATCTTAATCACTTCTACAAGGATTTCCAATCAAAGTTTTCAGTAGAAAGCTAAATTGACTAATTAAACGGATTTATTGCTTCCCTGTGTCTTTTCAGTTGTCTGATATTTTTGTTGCGCTCGTCACGTTGTGGTCACTCAATATTTATACGAATTAGATACAGAACGACCGGTGTTGAATTTCCTTTTAATAGAATTATTATAATAACACAGCTTTGATCTAATCTTTTAAATATTCTAGAGGATGTTGATGTTGAATAACAGCAAAATTGGGCGAGACGTCACGGCCTACCTTCCTGGGGCTATTGAAATATTATACTGTGTAAACCATTGGAGGCAAAGCGTGCCGAGTCGATTCTAATCAACAAGCGTGTCGCAACGCGATGTGTTCTGAGAAAGCGCGCACGATGAATAAAGGAAAATTATTAAAATGTGTAAGGAGAGACACCGTGGACTAATACATTCGTATTTAATTCCGTCTCGTTAGGGACTGTCGCGCCGTGATGGCTGTTTCCTCCCCCGCGACACTGTTTGAATACTTTACAAGTTCATATCGATATTTTTATTCATCATACATATCTTTCCTAGTATCGGTATTAAGTACCTAACAAATAAAGATTTTATATATAAATTAGATGTTCAATTGTTCAGTTATGTATGTATATTATTTGTATATATCTGAATAAATTTGAAGCTGGTGTCTTGTGACCATGTGCAGAGTCCAACTGGAAAGTCCACGAAATACATATTTTTAAAGAGTGTATTGCTGAGAGGTCACGATCACACGATGAGACGGACGAGAACATGACCCATGAATATCTTGATACACTTCGGCTGAAGTTTTCACTCCTTTTTCACAAAAATGTAGTTTTGTGACTCCTTGATAGGACACGCCCCACTATACCGTCACTGACGCAGGATGATGACCACGTTGCACCTTTCCGACCACTTGAGCAGCTTCTTTAGAACTGTGAGCGTACACTTTATTATTTTTCTTATTGTAGTGTTCTTCAATCGTGAAAATTTTTTCATCGGTAAAGAGTTTATTTTTCATACGCACAACGGCCCAAATGAGAGGCTAAGCGCGGAAAAGAGAGTCCAATTTACATTACAAGAGGATATTTCTATGCCTTCCACCTGCGTATCGCGACAGAAGGCGTTTTCATCTATCTACTCTCTTGAAAAGATTGTTTTAGGGCATGTCCTGTATATGGACGATAAGCACCGAGCTTCAGGTCTTGTTTTATAATACGCGACAGAGTCCTAGCGGGAATCTTCATTACTCGCGATAACATTTTTTGCTTCCTAATAGGGTTTCAACGAATTCTGGGTTTATCACCATTAGCAGCTTTTGTAGTTCTAACAGCACGCGGCCTCCCCGATCTTCTCTAGTTTTCGACAGAGGAAGTGCTGTTGTATCTGTTGATAATACGATATACTATACAAGCTATACAAGCTTTTAAAGTGTCTGGAATATGACCGACGGCTCCATACCCACTTTGTGCAAGGCAATAATTGCAATCTTATTTTATTTATCACCCCATTCCATATTGTAATTTGATAATGAACACGAAAAATGTATGAAATGGCGCGAAATCGAAAGAAGTTTTTAAAATATATATTAATATAATAAATTAATTTTATTATATTAATATATATTTTATTAATTATTATAATAATTATTATATATTATAATAATTTAATTTAATTTTTAAAATATATATTAATATTTAAAAAAGTTTTTTATGTAACAGTATTTAAGGCCAGACTAGTAAAATACAAATTATTCTTTATTCGAGATTTTTTTTATTTTTTGATGATAAAAATTTATTTTAGGATTTTTTTTAAATTCTATTAATGACTTCTATCCCCAGTTTTAAGGAATGGGTTACATTCATTAACATACAGTATAAATCAATTAATCCAAAGATTATTATTAACCCGCATTGATTCAATGCGTCTTTTTGAATATAATTGCCACGATGCGCTTATGTACTCTATTAATATTGTTATACGACATAATTTCTAATCAGCACGGCAGCCCTCATTGCTACGGAATTTTTCTGCCCTAGACAACAATCTAAATAAAGTGGCGGCTCGTTAAAGCAACTATTAAACATATTTAACCCCTATGGATTCTCTTTATGAATTAATAGAACTAATATTCTGAAATACACGTCAAATTGGTATGAATAGATGAAAGATTAATGGGCATAGACAAGAATTACAGGGTAGTTGGAAACAAGTATGAAATAGAGTTATATCTATTGTTATAAATATCTTTCTAGCGAAGGGAGTAATTGACAATATTGTTCAGACATGTCCTAGATGATAGGGTAGTATGGATAATAACATAATGGCAGTGCCTGTCACACAGCTATGACGGAGGGCAAGCCAACGGCCGCTAAGTGGCGTGACTGTAGTTTTTCATTATGATTAGTCCCTGAAACAATTATTAAAAGCAACGTAGTATTAGTTATTCTAATGATATCAATTGAAATCCTGCGAAATGTGTTTATATTGGACGATATATTGGACGATTTTGCCTCATATTATGATAGCTCCGGGTTCAATTTCTGTACGTCAACAATATGTTAATATAATATAATAATAGATACGAGTATATACAACTATTTGTATTCATGAGTATATTGGTATGCTTGGGTGTATTCTGTTCATTCTGTCTATGTATGGGGTCCGGTGTTTCGAGGTAAGCCAGACGCAATGCTAAGCTGGTCTAAATTGGCACTACTTAACAAAACAAAATGACTAAACTTACACAACATTCGACCTCCGAGACAAAGCTTAAATAATCTGTCTATGTATTTATAAAAGAAGTATATATATGTTTATTAATTGTGTATTATAAGTATAAAAATAAAGACTAGGTAACCAGATTATTTATTCTTATTCTATTGTAAAAATATGTGGATTAGAACTAGATAGCTAGTACATTACATACGTTTTTATAATAAACTTCCAAATGACGTTTTACATTTAAATGAAAGAAAATTTAAGACATATATAAAAAGGACTCTCTGTACAAAAGCATATTATAAATTAAATGACTATCTAAATGACAAAACTGCATGGATTTGAATTTTGTATTAATGTGAATTGTATTGTAAATGTAATTATTGTAATTTTTCTTAAATCAATATTATTTTCTATAGTAATTATTATAATTATAGACTGACGTATCATAAGAATCTGTAACAGATGTATATGAATACAGATGATTGATTGATTGATTACGGTGTAAATTTTCTATTAAATGGAATTAGGTTAATGCTAAATAATAGCTGTAAAGTGCTATACATGTATAGTTCAAAATATAGTTTAATATAAGTAGTAACGTAACACGTGGCCATAGTTTTCAGTATAAGTAATTATACAACTCATTACTGTTCATTAGTTTTACTTTCGCCATTACTCATTTCAACGGCAACATTGTTTATAACAGTAAATTACATATTTTATAATATATATTTTATACTAAATATATAAACGTACGTTAAGTACCTGAAAATGTATTGAAATACACTGTTGCAACATTACAAATATTTACAAGATTATTTCGAACTAGGGTTATCAACTCACTATAAAAATAAGGTCACTAAATAATAAATAATTCACCATATAATAAGCTAATTTCCAATATACTGGACAGACCTATTTCTGGGGTACCTATAACGTTACCATTTAGTTTGTGTTACCATCCAATTATAGTTAGACCTCTGTTCGAATTTTTGTAATTCTTTTTAAATAATTTATTTTATAGAATTATAGTTTTAGTATACAATAGAAATTACAATTCGCCTGCCAAGCGAGGCAACTATTGGCAAAACCCCCCAAGGGGGAGGCTTATGTTCAGCAGTGGACAGTTAAAGGCTGATATGACGATAGTGATGATACAATAAAAGTTAAAGTATACTATTGTTAGTTGTTATTTTTTTAACTCTAATATCAAAGATAAGCTAATTAAGGATTCTATTTCTGACAAGTTAGATGACGATACATGAAAGACTAAAATACGCTATAACGACTCTACATAACTAGAAAATTGTCGTCATTAACTACAATTAATAACGTTTAAG